CATTGCCTTGTACTTCCTGATGTCGAAGCCTAGTACGGCTGAGACAGTGCGATCCATGTCCACTGTTTACAAGGTGGATTATGAGATCATGCACCGGCGATTTGCACATCTGTCGAAAGACGTTTTATGTCAGGCAAAAAAGAATACCAAGGGCTTTCCAGAAGACCTAGTATTTCCCGAGGAAACCCGACCGTGTAAAGGATGCGCACAAGGGAAAATGCACCAACGTGCCTTCCCGCCTTCCGAAAAACGAGCGGAGAATCCGTTTGATCTGATCCACTCGGATCTCAAACAATTTCCCACGGTGTCTTATCACAAGTACCGTTACTTCATGAGCTTCTTCGACGAAGCACTCTCCTATGGCTGGACAGTATGCCTTGCGCAGAAATCCGACGCCAAGCAGGCTATGCGCAATTTCATTGCGATGGTCAAAAACCAGTTCAATGTCACCATCAAAAAGTGGCATATTGACAATGGGGGAGAATTCATGGGGATGGGAATGGAAGAATTTCTCGCGGAACAAGGAATTCTAGTGGAAAAGGGTGCTCCATATGCTCATCAGCAGAATGGGCATGCCGAGCGCTTCAATCGTACGATCATGGATAAGGCAGAAGCCATGCGCTTCACTGCCTGTCTTCCTAATTCATATTGGGAATTCGCGATAAAACATGCGACACGGATCTACAACATGACACCTATCAGGCGTCTAAAATGGAAAACTCCATTTGAAGCCCTTCACAAGGAAAAACCGGATGTTTCTGAACTCCGAGTCTTTGGTAGTGCTGCATACGTCTTTATCCCTGATGAGAAGCGTGCCAACAAGTTATCGCCCAAATCGGAGCTGATGACCTACTTGGGCATTCCTGATGGTGTGAAAGGATTTTTATTCATGCGCACAAACAATTCCACGTTCGTCGCCACCAAGGCATTGTTCGATGAGGAGTTGTTCCCCCGCTGTCCTGACAGCAATCGACCACCCCACGTTCCTATTGGAGAGGAATTTCCAGAACGTGATGACCCAGTGAATCCACAAGATCCACCACAGGTAGACGGAGAAGATTGGCTATATGGAGATAATCCTTTTCCATTCCCCATGCCATCTGATCCGGCTCCACCACCTCCCGTACGAGGAAATGATGATGGTGACGACGGTCATAATCGTCAGGACCCACCGCCAGAGCGTCAGGATGAACCTCAGAGGACTCGTAGAAGTAGAATTCCACGACCAAGCCGGGAAGCTTCACCAGCTCCCGAGCCTCGAAGGTCTTCACGCCAGCGGAATGTGCCTACACATCCAGGAAACGTCTATGGGGAAAAGCGTAACCCTACGGACATAGTCCGTGATATTCAGAACAGCAGAGGCTGGAAGCGGTATGTTGGTGAAGATAAGGGTAGCTCCCAATCTCAACCATCAACCGGTGCTGATGCAGGGGTTCCCGGCCCTAGCTCGCAACCAGATTCCTCAAACGCGGGTGCTTCTGATGATCTAGACGAGGATGCACGCATGGAGAAGCTATGCCGGGAAGGGGGAGTAGAGCTCATCACGGCGCTGCTGTCAAAAGCGGTTCCAAATGAGAACCTACCTGACATGTCCAAAATTCGCGATTGGACGTTCCGCGATATCAAGCGGTTGCCTTCTGAACAACAGAAAGGTTGGATTGATGCTTGCCGCGACGAGTTAGAGGCACTTCGTCAGCGCAAGGTCTATTCCCTTGTGGACCGTCCGAAAGGACGGAAGGTTATCAGATGTCGCTGGGTCTTTGACCAAAAATCTGATGGCCGAAAACGTGCCCGCCTAGTTGCCAAGGGTTTCAGTCAAGTCAAAGGTGTTGACTATGACGAGATATTCTCTCCTGTTGTCAGGTATGAGACGTTCCGGTTGGTCATGGCACTTGCAGCGCTAAATGATTGGCATTGGTCTGGACTCGACGTCAGTAAGGCTTTTCTCTATGGAGAGCTTGACGAAGAGGTTTACATGGAACAACCCAAAGGCTTTGTGGCAAGAGGCCAAGAGCGCAAAGTCATGCGCTTGCACAAGGCAATCTATGGACTCAAACAAGCTGCTTTAGCATGGTGGAAAGCGCTGACCAAGTCCACGAAAGCCATGGGCTGGATCCGACTGACATCGGATGCCGGCGTGTTCTTCTACAAGGACTCTGATGGCAGCATAGCCGTCATAATAGTCTATGTGGATGATGCACTGTTCTTCTCCAAGAACAAGAAGCTCCTCGCCTTTCTCAAGGCTGAGTTCAACAAGCGATGGGAATGCCGCAATTCTGAAGATACTCCAGAGTTCTTGCGCGTACGCCTCAGTAGAGTAGGATCTTCGATCAAGATTGATCAGATTCCCTATCTCGACAAGGTGCTAGAGCGTTTTGGTATGCAGAACGCCAAGTTCGCAGCGACCCCTCTACCGGCTGGATATGTTCCAATGCCAAATGAGGATGAAGTCGATCCTGAGCTCAGGAAGAAATTCCAATCAGTAATTGGATCTCTTCTCTTCATCATGCTAGGCACACGTCCTGACATTGCATTTGCTGTGACCAAATTGTCACAATTTGCCGCCAATCCGTCCCAAGACCACCTCCATAAAGCGCTGTATATCTGCCGCTATTTGGCTGGTACTAGGAATTATTCGCTCATTTTCAATGGTGCGACGGATAGAGGGCTAATTGCATTTAGCGATTCAGACTGGGCTGCTGATCCGATCAAGAGGAGGTCTACCACTGGTTTCTTCACGAAATTGGCAGACGGGATTATTTGCTGGCAGTCTAGACTTCAGCGTACTGTTGCGCAGTCTTCGACCGAAGCAGAGTACATGGCGATCTCAGATTGTAGTCGCCAGGTGATGTGGCTGAAGAGCGTCCTCTCGGAACTCTGGTTCAAGCTCACCGTCCCAGTACCCATTTGCGGTGACAATCAGGGTGCACTCTTCAGTGGCAGCAATGCCTACCAAGACCGTAGGATGAAACACATAGACATCCGCTATCACTACATTCGTGAGCGAGTCGAGGAAGAAGAGGTTGAACTGTTCTTTATTCCGGGCAGTGAGAATCCTGCAGATATGTTCACCAAGAACCTAGGACGCGTCAAGTTCGAGAAGTTCAGATCTCAACTAGGACTTGAGTTCAACTCGTCCTGAAGGAATGGCCAATGAAGATTCGCTTTCAAACACTATCCCGTGGTTTTCAGCGTGGGGGAGTGTTGATCAAATGATGATCTTATCGTCTGCCAGATGGATGTCATGATACACATCTATGACTCTATCACGTGTCATCTAGAGTCATATCAACTCGTTTCAAATAGACACAAACGGCCCCCTGTATCATATATAAGGAGGGCTCTATTACCCTTTAATACAAGTCTCTTGACTACTCCCGCATAGTGCCCACACTAAAGCTCTCACTCACACAGGTGAGCTGCTAGACGCTCTCCCCAGTGCTCAACACATATGAGATCCCCTGATGCTCCAGATAGGACTCCATAGTTCCAGACCAGACAAGCCAGTGCTTTCCATCAAAGATGGAGACAGCATTGAAGATGTTGTTGGAGTTGGACGACATGTTAGATCTGTGTGAGAGATCAGCATCAATCTAATCTGATAGATGAAATCAAAGATAAAGATGATCAGATCCTCATAGATCATAATCTCCTTCAGAGATCGATGCATCTGGATCAAGCAATGTAATCGCGATCCGGCATGGTTTCACCAGCGCTATGCAGCAGCTGAAGTGAATGCAGATAGGCTAAAGACGCTGCTCATCGTTGCAGCCAGTGACGGCGCATACAATGAATGTCGCGGCCACTGAGGCGCAGACATAGCTCTCGGGGCCCATAACCTGTTGAGCACTGGGGAGAGCGTCTAGCAGCTCACCTGTGTGAGTGAGAGCTTAGTGTGGGCACTATGCGGGAGTAGTCAAGAGACTTGTATTAAAGGGTAATAGAGCCCTCCTTATATATGATACAGGGGGCCGTTTGTGTCTATTTGGAATGAGTTGATATGACTCTAGATGACACGTGATGGAGTCATAGATGTGTGACATCCATCTGGCAGACGATAAGATCATCATTTGATCAACACCTTGTAGCTACCGTAAGGCTTGGGTCGGGCTCAATGTTACCCGTGGCCTGGTGCTGTTTGCTCGATATGAACCCTTCACTGCAATTGCAGCGAGCGACTAGATGATTCGGTAAAAGGGTGAGTGAGATGATAAGGGTGAAGAGGATATAGCGGGTGTAGCGGCAAGGGATGCAGTGGTAAGAGGTATGAGGTGGGAGGGTATGAGGGGAGTCTTTGAATTATGTGACAATCGACCCAAGAACAAAGTTGCAAAGAGAAGTGAATTCGAAAACTGGAGAATACCACCAAGTAGCTACAGTATTTATACCCAAATCCAGTCTGAGTCATATCTATAACTAATGAGTCATAAGACTATGTACCGCATGGAGCACTGGTCATGGGTTGTAGTAGAACCTTCTGGAGCATATATTGCGCAGCCTCAAATCAATAAGGATAACCCCTGGAACCCCTAACCCGGACTGTCTCATGCTGTGATCCGTGATAAGATAAGTCATGCCAAGATAAGATAAGATTGTCGGTGATAAGATGAAAAAGTGGCCGAACTATGACAACCTGAGACTTGACCGGCTGCAATAACTTTGGATGACATGCAAAACTTTGTCGAGATCAAACCATTTTTGAATGCAGGCTTCTGATAAAGACGCCCCTAACAGCTGCTCTCCTAGCCACTGTCACGAGGTGGCGCAAGAAATTTTTGTCAGCCATTATGCACAAAGATTGCCAATCCAAGCTCTTCCTTCCTGTCTTGACATCTCAGGGTCAACGGGAAATGACACTTTTACTTGCCACAAGTAACAAGCCTTGGGCAGGTGCTACTCGTCGAGTGACGAGGGCCATTGATCATGCAATGTGCATGCCTCATGTTGGAGCTGACTCAGCAACATTGAGCGTGAGAAACTCGATCAGACGCTTTTGATCACTGCCATCCGACCGCTCTCCACATAAGTAATGGGTACGTCGCAGCTCCTTCAAACTCACTTGTCCTCTTGTTCATTCTGATGCAGGTATTCCAAAGGTCTGTTGCGACCTTCTTCTTGCACCTAGTGATGTCTGATTCCCGTGAGAAAGTTCTTTCGTTACATCTCGTGAGTGGACTCCGCAAACGACAACGAGGGGGTACTGAATGAACACGGAAGAGAACGCTATCCACTCACCTCGCAACTCATCCAAGAGAATAAGATTCCCGAATTTGGTGCGTCTCCTCGGTGATATTGTAAAAACGCTCTCAATGCATGGGGCAGACAATTTGTATCTTGACTTCAATGGGATCATTCATAACTGTGCGCACTTTCACACCTTTCGGACACTCCTCACACCCGATAGGCTCACATCCAAACGACGAGGATGCTCATTTCCGGCTGTCCGAAGAGCAGATATTCACCTCAATCTTTGGATACGTCGATCACCTATTTGGGAAGATCAAGCCCAAGAAGCTCTTTTTCATGGCGGTTGACGGCGTCGCTCCTCGAGCCAAGATGAATCAACAACGCAGCCGGCGTTTCAGGACAGCAAAGGAGGCAAAGGACGTCCGGGAGAAAGCGGAGGCGAGAGGGGAGCAGTTGCCTGCAGAGAAGCCATTCGACAGTAACTGCATCACGCCTGGCACACCTTTCATGGTTCGACTGTCTGAGCAGCTGCGCTACTTCGTTAACAAGAAGATCACGGAGGATTCGGATTGGCGGGACGTCGAAGTGGTGCTTTCTGGGCACGAAGTTCCAGGAGAGGGCGAGCATAAGATCATGGAGTACATCCGACATTCTCGAGCTCAACCGGACTATAACCCCAATGTTCGGCACTGCATGTATGGGCTCGACGCGGACCTTATCATGCTCAGTCTGCTCAGCCACGATCCGCACTTCTGTCTCCTTCGGGAGGAAGTCAAGTTTGGGCCAGCGCGTAAACGGGGGAACACTTCTCTCGAGGCCACCAACTTCTATCTACTGCATCTTTCGCTTCTTCGCGAGTACCTTGACCTCGAGTTCCGCGATATCGAGTCGCTGCTTCCGTTCAAGTACAGTCTGGAGCGCGTGCTCGATGACTTCATTCTTCTCGCCGCCTTTGTCGGCAACGATTTCCTTCCTCATCTTCCCGATCTACATATCCACGAGAACGGGTTAGAGCGACTGTTCGATGTGTACAAGAAGGTCCTGCCAGGGTTGGACGGGTACATCAACGTGAACGGGACGATCAGTGTGAAGAGGTTGCAGATTGTGCTGGACGAGATGGCTCTGTGGGAGCAGGATGTTTTCGAGAAGGAGTACGCTGATGTCAATTGGTTCAAGGGAAAGCAGGCCAAGCATGTGAACGAAATGGAGCTGGCGAGGAAACGAGGAAAGCTGGGTGGGTGTTTTATCCTTTCTTTTTCGACCGCGATTGATCAACATGCAGTCCTCACGGTGTCTCAGCGCGAGATATTCGATAAAGTCAAGACTTTTGTATTGACGAAGAAGTCCAAGACTACTGTCCTCTCCATGAGAAACGAATTCCCTGCGCGAGATCGCAAGTTCATATCAACTTTAGGCGAGGATCTGCACCTAGGACTCCGATGGGATGAGTTCGACGACGAGGATAGAAACTTGGTCACGTGGCGCTTCCCAAGTGCAGTAACGGAAGAGGGCGACAGTGAGGAGAGTGCAAAGGTGCCGGACGGGAATGATGCAGAGTGGGAGGACGTCGATGATGACGAAGAAGACCCGGAGAGCTTGGCTGCAATCGAGCGAGTGTTGCGCAAGTACGACAAGGCTCCGGTCATGGATGACGACGAAGATGGAGGATTTGAAGCTCGACATGCACGATCTGTCAGGGAAAAAATGGACGAGTGGAAGCGCGGTTACTACCAGGTGGGTTTTCACCATCTTCATAGCAATGAATCACTGGCTTGAATGGACGACAGGGCAAGCTTGAGATCTCGTACGATGACCCCAAAGCCATGGGTGCTTTGATGTATCGTTACGTGGAAGGGCTACAATGGGTCATGCACTACTACTATAGTGGCGTTGCATCGTGGGGTTGGTTTTACGACTATCACTACGCACCCAGGATATCAGGTTTGCCGTTCGGTTTCCTTCGATCATCGGTTGACAAATGCATACAGACTTGCGACACGTCGCTGACATGGAGTTCAGCTTTGAGCTCGGTGCTCCCTTCAAGCCCTTTGAACAACTGATGGGCGTGCTCCCCGTCGCCAGCAAAGACCACATACCTGTCGCGTATCAGGTGCCACATTGACTTCTGCGCTTGTGTACGTTGATACTAATGCGTGTCAGGATTTAATGTACAACCCGACCTCACCCATCCTTGACTTCTATCCGCTTGAGTTCGAGCAGGATCTGAATGGGAAGAAACAGGACTGGGAGGCTGTCGTTAAAATTCCCTTCATAGATGGCGATCGGCTGCTGACGGCGATGAAAAGTGGGCCGTTCTCTCTTTTTTTGTTCTCATGCTGATTCTCGGACAGCCCGAGAGCATCGGCTGAGTGATGACGAGAAGCGACGCAACACTTTCGGTGCGAGCGTGAAGTTCAGCTTCAACCACGGAGAGCCCACCCTTTATCCTTCATCCTTGCCCGGATTCTTTCCGCCGCTGTATAGGTGCTCTTGCATCATGGAGACCTTTGATCTGCCGACCCTTGATGGTCTACATCTCGTAGAGGGTCTTTGTGATGGTGTCTTCCTCGGCGCCGACGCGCTTGCTGGGTTCCCTTCGCTTAAGACGCTTCCGCACTCCGCCTCTCTCGGATTTCACGGTGTTAACGTCCATGGATCTGAGAGTCGAAACAAGTCGATGATCGTACATATCCAGAACCCGCACGAGGAAAAGAATCTGCAGCAGATCGGCGAAGAGATGGTCGGGAAGCGGACCTTCGTCGGGTGGCCGTTCTTACAGGAAGGGCTGGTCGTGGCGCTATCGGACTCGTTGTTCAAGTATGAGAAGATGGCCATCGTGCACGGTGGCCCTGCCAAAATTGTCTCGACGCCTCATGCGCCAAGTGCATTGGGGCACTGGAAATCAAAGGCAGAGCGGATCGAACAAACTTACTCGAAGCGAATGGGTGTGGTCACGGGAAATGTAGATGTGCTGCTGCATGTCAGGCCTTTGAAAGGTGAAGAAGTTTTCGCCCGCGCTCATTGACTAACATATCCTAGGCATGAAACGGCTAGAATCCGGCGCGCTTGTGAAAGACTACGAAGGAGCAGACAAAGAGCAGGAGCATGCTGTCCAGATGACGCTGTCAGAAGTTGCGTCTGAAGACCCGCGATTTCTTGAGCGAGCGGCTCCGCCTCTGGCCGAGGAGTTCCCTGAAGGCAGCAAAATCTTCTTCTTGGGCGAACACGCATATGGCGTCGCTGCCCAGGTGTCAGCAACCACGGATAAAACGCTCTCCGTTGTGTTGGCGTTCTTCCCCACCGAGAAGGCAGAGAATGAGCGCTTCAAGACTGTGGTCGATCAACGCCACGCCGTAGCGTATCTACCTTCGTTTAGGGTGGCTGACCAGTTGGGTGTATCGAGCCGGGCGGTGTCCAAGATCACGAGCAGTTTTTTGGTCATCACTGCAGATGGCGCCAAAGTCAACCTGGGATTGAGTCTCAAATTCGAGGGCAAAGGGATGAAGGTCATCGATTACTCTCGTAAGGGAGTGAGAGGCTGGGAGTTCAGCGACAAAGCAGTTGCGTTGCTGAAAGAATATCTGGTCTGTACGGTTGGCAGAGTCTGTCCGATGACGCTAAGAAACCAGTCTAGACCACTTTCCCCGACTTGTTCTTGTCGCTGGATCTCCCGGGCGATGGTGCGGGCTAGCTCGACTGTTCGTTGAAGTCGCTGACAATTAAGTAGCAATTGCCAAAGCGAGCGAAATCTTTCGGAAAGGGGATGCTGACCAGCGAGTCAAGGAGGCCAAAGCTTGGCTCAAAGGCAAAGGGGTCAGGGATTTAGAGCCTGTCTCGCTGTACTGTGACCAGTTGGGCAAGGTGCGCCTTGATGTGTCCCTTCGTTTGGACAAATTTGACGGCTCCTAGGACTCGGTGACGGAGATCGAGAAACTGGCGGACTCATTCACAGAATCCAAGTCTACCCAGGGAATCAAGAAAGCCATCGTGAAAGGCATTCCTCGGCAAGCCGTGTTGAAGCCGAGCCACGCTGTGTATCGCTTACAGAACCAGCGATTTGCGCTCGGAGACCGAGTTGTGATGGTCCAGGACTCAGGGAGCGTGCCCTTGTCGGTGAAAGGCGTGGTGATTGGGCTCAATGCAAAATCCATGGATGTGGTCTGGGATGTGCCGTTCATGGGAGGCGGAACACTGGGTGATCGGTGTGTTGCATCTTCTGTTCTCGTGACTCGGAACTGACAGTCATAAAGTTGCTCGATGTACCGAGGCTCGAGCGTGGAATTCAATACATGCTTGAATCTGTCACAACCGCAATATGTCACGTCGACGAATCCTGCTCCTCCTCCCTATCGACAAGTACACCAGCATCCCCATCAACAGCAACAGGCACATGGCGCAGCCACTCAATTCCGGTAAAGGACTTGATTCGCGTTGTGAAACTCTGCTGAACAATCCCGCAGTCCTACTCCTGTTGCCATCATGGCCAACCCGAACAGAGGCAGAGGGGGATTTACTCCCCCTGCTGCTGCTGCTGCACCGGCTGCTGCCACCTCAAACGTCCATCCTGTTCCCAACCGCGGACGAGGCCGAGGTGGACCCTTCATTTCAGGACCCCCCGCCTCAAATGGTCTCCCACCTAGGGGTCGTGGTGGTTTCCTGCCTGACCGAGCGAGAGGGCGAGGTGGCTTCCGTGGTGGAAGAGCTAGAGGATCATTTGCGCCAACGATGGCTTCGTAATGTATGTAACACGAAAACGGCGTCTGTATTTACAAGTGTATGAACATGTTCGTATCCGTGGCCCGATGCTCCAGCTGTGCTACCAATCAACTTACACAGTCCCTCGGACAACGAACAGACGGTTGACGGATAGTGCGTTTCTCCACCTAGCGGAAGGTTTGCACGTGACTCCCATTTGAGACGAAATTTCCACCGGGAAATGCACTTTCAGCATACAACCCGTCTTTCTACAGAGCTCAAGAACTCAAATGGATAATGGATGATACGTCCCCAAGAGGCGTTTTATACCCGTTAAATCCTTGTCCTGCTTGTCACCACTCGCGGCAAGCTCTCCTCCAGCCACCCGTTGTGTCGAGAACGCTCTGCTCCGGGGCCGAGAATTTTGGGCAAGACGGATAGCGACATTCGCGATAGGCGAGAGCGCACTCGTAATGGTATATGCTAGAGTAGCTATATGCGGGCTGCGTATCTCGCGTTTGTATCATACTCGACTGCCCGTTTCTGACGCCGGCCGAGTTCTGCGGGCAGCTCGACGCTGGGTCTGATGTGTGGACTGGACGTTTCGGGTCGGGCATCGGATACGAGAGTGTTCATTGAAGCCGATGACACCAGGGTTTCTGTGGAACGATACGCCCGCAATCGCTGAGAATAGAGCGGATGAGCTTTGCAAGCGATGTGAGAAGAACGGAGGCCCGCCCACCTCCATGGATCTGGCGGATTCCATAGACCGACTGTGCCGATGATTTTCGTATCGCTTGGGCATCGGCACAGGTTTGCGCGGTATCCTGTTCGTTCTGCTCGAAACACTGCCGCTCTCGTCTTCGGACTCGCCACCGCGGCTCAGCGTTCTGGCACGGGAGATGGGGCGGACAGGGAACGATCGCACGGGCGTCACGGGTCTGGATGACACTGGGGTGTCCACCGCCGGACTCTGCAAGGACCGGGGAAGTTGCATCTCGATGTCAGCCGGTTCCGTAGTCGAGAAAGAGGCCACTGGATCGAAGGCAGGCCTTTCTTGCAAGGCAGCAAAGGAGAAAGTCGCCCGTTTGCTCGCCGCTTTCTCGTTGAGCCCATCCAGTTGGGGCACCTGTGTCGTACTGGTCGCTTGTGCCAGTTTCGCCGGGTCGCGAGAAAGCAGCCTGGTATGATGTCATGAGAGGCAATCTTGTCCAAGTATCAGACCCACATCGTGATCATAGATATAGTGTACAGATTCGAGAGCGGGAAGTCCACGAGGAAGTTACTGGACCTTTTGGTCAACGTGGCTGAAAATGAAAGGGAGTGCGGCGACATACAGTGAAGTGCGCTGAGACGTTTTCTCGTAAGCCTCCAGCTATCAGCTTTTCATGGCAGCACGTACCGGCACGAGGAGAAAGAGGAGGATGTCTGTGAGAGCCACTGCAGCCGTCATAGACCCTGTCCCAACAACAACTATCGGGAACATCAGCTAGAACAGAAACAGACAAACGATCAAAGTCACATTTCACTATCCGATCGATATATCCGTTTACATTCCCAGCAAAAGGAGATTTTCGCTTGAGCTTCGGCCGAGGAGTAAGTACTGGTGCGGCATAGAGAAGAATCGGCCTCACCAAGGCATAGCTCATTGAGATAGCGATCACAAGGTCGCACACAGCGCTGCAAGTTAGCCAGACCGCGGATATCACCGTGAATTTCCCAAAGTCGCTGAACCGGCGTGTTGTTCCAACGTTAATGGACATGAGCGCTCCGAATCCTAAACATGTGAATCCGTACGGTCTCTCGAAAAAGAACGCCGCGTACCGAAGGATGTCAGCGAGAGGACACAGATCACGGCTGGCATTATGTAGGACCGAGTGATGACTGAAGTCGCTTGAGACGCAAACGATACAGGAAATTGCTCATCACACCTTTGAGTCTCCAAGCGGTGAAGACTTGGATGGGCATTGCCACAATCGACTATAAATGGCGAGTCAGCTGTGATACGCCAGGCCATTTCCGAGACGTACAATGAAGATCGGATCTGAGAAGATAGATTAGCGTGCAGTGCGATAGCAGGGTTAAGAACGCACCTCCTGCCATGACTGCATTGGTTCTGTCAATTATGCCCAGTTAGAACCTGCAGTCCACTCACGTTTTGGAGCGAAGATCAAGGCTTCGGGTTTTCCTTTCAGTTTCTCAGCCGCAGACAATCGCAATAGGTGGCGGCCACAAGCGCACCGTAGTTGACAATCAACGGCTCGAAGATAATGCCGAGCTCGACAACGACATTGGCCGTCTCTACGAGCATCAGATAGTGCATCTGTGGCGGGTGATGAACGTGATGCGACGAGCGACGAGCGTAATGCGTGACGAACGAGCAGTCGGATCCATTTGAGGTCACTGAGGGGGATCAGGACGGAGACTCTGAGACGAGCGAAAGTTGCGCACTTGGGAAACCGGCGACGGTATTCTGACATCTAGAATGGCTTAATGAGCGGAATGCATCTCAAGGAGGCTTGGCGGACTTGTATGACGATCATCTAAGCAACGACGAACAGAGCGCGTCAGAATTGACGAGACCGGAGATGATACCCATGGCAGAACGCACCCCGTATAGAATGAGATTGAGCACCACGCCTGCAGAAAGGTCTCCTCAATCAAGGCCCTTCGTCCTCTCGCCCGAAGCCCTAACGCACCAAGTAGCATGGGGCCAAAACTGTGACACGTTCATTAAGCAAGGAGACAGAGTGGTGGTGAGAGAGAAACGAACAGGAGCTCAACTCCGCCCATAATTACAAGTCCAAGAGAAATGGCGGAGGATTGAGAAATGTTGGATAGAGAACGACTCGCAGCGCGAGGAGGAACGAATGGAAACGATGGAAAAGAGGCCCGGGCGAGGAAAAAAGGAATGAAGAACACCGCACGCGCACGGTATCCGCGGGTTGCATCTCTTATGCACAGCGCAGATCGAGGATAGAAGGGTTTTGATCTTAATACACCATGCACGCTTCATCATGATGATGATTCTCCACATTGTCAATTTGGGATACGTCGCGCCCGAACGAAGATGAAATCGCACTAATGCATCACAAAGTCGAGCGACAAGACAAGCAAGAATTTCTCTGTACGTACACTTCACCACAGGATTGGTATGTGCCTCTGCTGTTTACATATCTCAAATTGATCAGGTAAGGAGTACAGCGCGGCCACGGTCCGACAATTTTAGATTCCCAAGCCTGCCCGGCAGTCGCTGAGCAGATTGACATTAGGTTGCGATCTGAAGCAAAGAATGGAAACTGAATCGGCATCTCCATCGTGAAAATATCGGGAAGATAAAGATTCGGAGGCTACTGATAGCGCAAGAGTGTCCTTCCTCTGGAGTCTTTCGACCTTGGGAGGTTTCCGCATTGGATGAATGGCTAGAGCAAGAGCAAGAATTGTCGCAATCCTCAGTCGATGTTTGTCACTGCTTCATCGTGACTGCTTGGCAACGCGGCAACCTCCGCACCATCAAACCAGTCACGCAGGTTACTCCCTCCGATCGTGATGGCACGATGTCGACGCGATCATGTGACTTCATCGTCAGCCGCGCTGCTCTAGTTGAGCTTCCGAAATCGAGATGAGACAACAATCAGTTAATAAAACTGGTTGACTCAGCGCTCACATATCTTTTTCGAGGAAAATCGCCATGAGCTCGTTGAGGCTACTCGATCTACTCTAGCCGCACACAGGAGGCAAGAAGCGGAAGTGTCTCGGTATTCCGGTCACGTGACAACTCCCCCAACAGAATTTCATTACCGTGCTCGCAGTCCTTAGTTCAACTTGAATCATGGACTTTGGAAGAACATAGTTTGCTAAAGACGGCAGAATTGTACTGGCTGTGGCATAATTACTCCACTGACACAGGCCCTCGGAAGTTCCGCTAATGTCTTGTTTGATAAGGTGTGCTCTAGACCTTTCTAGGTCGGCAACGGTGCGCGAGACAGACAAAAGCTCTACCGCCGCAATTTCAACAGCGCCGAGAGCTTGAACTCGTACGTCTGCGACTCGATGTGCATTGTGGACAGGATAGAGGCAACCGACCATGGTCGAAATCGAAACAACTCGAGGCCGCTGCTCACTCCACGTCATCCTTGACATCATCGGGCTGATGTCACGCACAGAAAGACAATGATAGTAATCCGATCCTGAGACCAGGAATGCGGCACATCGTAGCCTTTCGTCATGAGCGTCAGAGAAGCAGAATTCATCCGAACTCATTATGCAGAAGTCCCTCCTGTGTTATGCACTCTGCCCGGGCATCGTGTGCAGGAGTAGGGGGCGCTGCGCGAGCACACAAAGACAGCCAGATGTTTCCAATTTGAGCGAGGACTGTGCACAGGTCGGGACGAATCGAAAAAGCGATGCGTCTGAATATAGATGCACTGAGCTGTGCCGACTCCGCCGAATGGGGGGTCCAGCCTCTGAGGACTGGAATCTCAAGCAAAGAGAAGATAGAGGTTAGACAAAGCAAGTCAGAGCGATCCGGATTATGTAAAGGACTGACAATGTGAGACAAATGGAGATCGATTGAGGAGTCGCATTGATCCTCGTCCAACGACCTCGAACTGAGTGCCCTTGTGCTTTACGCCAGTGGATACCGACACACATTCGCCTTTGAGCTCAGTCATTTCGAATCATTTGAGGTCCAGAAATCGACAAGTTTGGCCAAGCCCTGTTTCAAATTGATGAGGGACAGAGACGGAAAGCGGGAAGGGAGGATACTGCAATAGGCAGCCAGGTCGATGTTGGGCAAGCGACCTCGTAAAAAAGTGGGCCCTTTTCACGAGGCGATACTCCACTGACGAAGCGGTGTCGAAAAGTCATTTTCCAGGCCGGGAGTGACTTGACGAGTCAGTCGTGCACCATGTCTTGAGACTGTTGTCTGTCTTCCAGGACCCGCCCTTCTCTTCCGCACTTCCAAGACATGGGAGCCCCAAAGATTCAGCCAAACCAAGCCGCCATCCTTCTATCACGACCATTAGACACTCGGGCAATGTCGACACAGTGTAAAGATGCGACCTGCCCATGCATTCCCCTCGAGCGTGTGCTGGCCGCCGCCGCTGCCGCCTACTCTTTGCCGACTCGAATAGCTCTATCTCCAGGGACGTCGTTGGTAAGCTCGTAGCTGGTACGCGGGCAGTTCCCTGGGTTTCGATGGCCAACGAGTCAGTGTTCGAGTCGAGAGTCGAGGATTCATCTACACAATCATCCATAATCGGAACTTCCCCAGTGCAATCCTGATGCACACTTGTGGCGAAACTCCAAGAAACCCGCAATTGCTCATTGGAAACTTGGGTCGACGTCACCAGCCAGCCTGTCAGGACTGGATCGAGATCGGGTTCATTCAATGTCTGCAAGCGGGATTCCTTGCTGACTACTGAATGGCAGTACCGCCACTTTGTTTTTACTGATTCCAAAGCGCTATCAGCCGGGAGATCGAGACAAACACGAGCGAAACCCACCAGTAGCAACCCAAGTGCGCATCCGACTGAAGAACCTCGATCAGTGCCATCCAACTCCTGATTGGCCCAAGATAGTTATGTGACGCGACAAGCAGAGGTGCGACCAAGTCTTGATCGCATGCTACGCCAACCCTTTCTGACCTGTGCGAAAGTTTACGCATGTGTCATGCGTTAGCGGATGATCAAGTAGTCGTGTCGAACATAGAGGCCATTGACGAGAAGGCGTGGCAGTGCGGCCAGAGCCAACACTGCACGTATTATCGGTGGCCAGACGGTTGACCAGCCCCGTATTCGCCAACTCGAGCGAATCGGCGAAGCAAGCCGGCCCCTTCCGCACGACCGTCCTTCGCAACAAGACTCTATTGCGTCCACCGCGAATGTGTTTGAGTCATGGAGAGAAGCTCTGCGGATAGAGGAGGCAGGATTAGCTGAGAAGTGCGGAATCATGCGGGGTGTCGCTCAGGTTCGTGCGTTTCTCGTAGCTCTACTCGTCGGACCTAAAAGCCCTGTCAATGCGGGGCCGCTCCTTATACGAGAACCTGTTGCTCACCTCCATTCAGAACTGCAATCTCACTCGGTGACGAACTAGCGCTCCGCTCAACTCGAGCGACCTCACTGAGCTGCGCGACCAGAGCATGCTTGCGCCCGAGTTCATCCTCCATCGCAACGCTATCAGGCCATTCGATCTTGGACAAGTGGGAGTCGCCAGAGTGGCACTGCAAGGATGGCTCCGTGTCTTGGTCACGGTACTGCAACCTCATCGGAGTGACGGCGCTTCTCCGGATGCAAACACTTTTTATGCGACCAACGCTTGCCATCGACAGTTCGTCTTGCCCAAAGGCAGTAAATTTCATGGCGGCAGAGATCCCCTCAGCAAGATATCATGAAAGACTCCACGCCGAAGGATCTGGACTTCACGCCCCGTTCTTTCTACAGTCGCTTGTCCCGGACCTTCCCCGTTCGTCTTGATCCTCCGGTTGCCAAAGCAGTAGAACCATGATAATGGATGCAGCCGCCGCAAATGTTCTCTGGCTCCCGAATCAGAGTAGAAATCGCATCCCGATTGCGCAATACGAATCTCGACCAGAGTCTATCATACAAGGCCAAGGACGCAAGGATGCAGTCTGTTCCAACGGTTGGATTCATCTGTAGGTGTGGATGGTTCCCAGCAGACACTGAATGCTCGTCGCGACGAATACGGCTTCCGTCAAGGGATCCTGGTGGTCCTGCCGGTGCATTCAGCTGCGATGAAGATTATCTCCAGAGGCTATTCTTGGAGCAGCAATTTCCGTCCAAATTATCATCTATCGTGGCTGGTACAACAACTCACAGGCGTGAAAGCGATGATGTTGCTGCTCGGTGACGGCAACGAGATCTTGAACGCGAGTCAGTTTTTGAAGCGTATTCTCCGAAGAGTGTTCGACAGGAGCATCAACGTCGAACGCCCACTTAGGATGGGCACCAGGTCTCTTGAGCTGGGAGGCATGATAGTCGTTCGCATGTTGGAAGGAGACGTATGGGGAGCTGCGACGTACTGGATTCCCAGGTTATCCATGTCATCGACTGCTTCCGACTGCTGCTATCCAAAAGTGCTCAGGGCATCGACGAACGAGGAGCAAAAACGGGTGCTCGCAAAGCGGAAGCTTCGTGGACGGGGTGCCATGCTGGTCCACTGGAATACGAGGCGAAAACTTCGGCTTTCGAGTCCGTGCATGCAACTGTTCAAAATGAAAGACGTCGGACGATCTGCCGTAGTGCATCACAAAGCACAATAAGTTGTAAATCGTGCCCCCCTCAATTTCCATCACCTTCGACAGACTCTCGCATTCTCCGACCTACTCGCCCAAAAGACGCTGTTTTGTCACAGGACCGGGTCCTTTCGATGATGTCAGCAGCGCTGGAACAAGGATTTCGTAAGGAGAGAGGATATCGGACTTCACCACTGCGAGCTCAACCCATTCTGGCCCACACTGGCGGAGTAACGGTCAAGTCTCTTGTCTCAATACAATCTCATCATGCGAAGATCGAGTAAGCAAAGTGTCTTGCCATGACCTCGTCTGCTTACTTCCTTACCACAGGACGGGCTCCACGCCGCCAATCCTCCGGTAGTCATGCGTCGTTGGCTGAGTTATCGAGTGATGCGGACCCACAATCTCCCACCCCCACTGTAGCCTCCTATCCTACCCGGAAACCAGCAGTGCGTCGAGTCTACCACCCCGATGCACCGATAAATCGGTCTGAATGGGCGATGTGGGTCGGAAACATCCCCAAATCTGCCGATGAAACCGATATTCGCAAATTTTTTACTCAAGTCGACGATCATGGCGTTCTGTCGATCGTCCTGCTCTCCAAATCCAGCTGCGCATTCGTGAATCTTGCGAGCGAGGCCCATTTGCATGCTGCGATCGAGTATGGAAACGGACAGTATCTGCGCCCAGAGTGGTCCTGGGGCTCCTCGCTCGTGTGCCGCATTCGCAGTCTCGACGATGATCTCTGGACTGGAGTCGGTGGGCAACGAGGGATGGGATTACATCGGCAGTGGGTCAAGGACCGTTCGGTACCCGGCGTGGACTCGGAGTCGATGGAAATTTCCGAAGAAGACTTGAGCGGTGCAGCTTCTGACACGTCGACGACATCTAGCTTCTTCCAAATGCACTTTAAACGGCGTTTTTTCGTGCTCAAGTCGCAGACGAAAGAAGAACTCGATCGGTGTGCTGCCGATGGGGTGTGGTATATCCAAATGCACAACCAGGTGGTGCTCGATAAAGCCTTCCGCACCTCTGAGGAGGTCATCTTGTTTTTCAGCGAGAACAAAAGTGGTCGATTCTACGGCTATGCCCGGTTTGTGGGTCATCTGATTTGATACAACTCTGCTCATGAGTATGTCATCCACAGAATGAGCAGCCGAGTGCTCTCCACGGCTTTCCCCAAGGCTCCTCGAATGCTGCCGAACCCAGCCGCGTACGAAACATCACCAAGGCTTACAGACACAGCTCTATCGCCGTATCCTTCACCATTTGGCATCACTCAATCGGCACCGAATGTGTTGATGTCTTCCCCGTCGACCTTCGACCAGCGTTATCGGGCAGGAAACATGCACCGCCGAAGCATCAGTCTGGACCAATTTTCCCCACGCAGGATTGGGGACCCTGAAAGATCAACGCAGCCGATCAATCGACCGGAGCTGGGCAGTGCCCTGAGGCCTGAAAGTTCGACTCGAGGCCAGCAGCTGGGATCTGATCTCAGCGGGCAGTTTACCGTCGACTGGTTGTGCCTCGAGCCTCTGCCTTTCAAGAGGACGCGCAACATCTTCAATCCATGGAATCGGGGCCGCGAAATCAAGATCTCGCGAGATGGAACTGAACTCGAGCCAGGTGCTGGTTCGGCGCTCATTCATGCATGGCACGCGTCCAGGAGTCAGTGAGCGTCGTGCTGTTCTCTGTATTTGTTACTGTATACCTCCTCACATACATACTTTATCTATTGTACTTATGCGTTCACACTTTTCTGCACAGTCTATCATATCCGGCGATCCCTCTTCGCTGTGATATCATTTCATACTATACAGCATCCATGTCACAAGACACTCCTTATATTTCATATCATGTCACGGTACTTTCAGCCAGCGACGAGCAGCAGGAGAGATCAGTTGCAGAGTTAGGAGGCTCTCGCATGCAGTATATTCGACGGAGTAGATCGACGGTTTCGATTCTGAATCCGATTCGTCCACCCATCCAGATATGAGGTTCGAAAGTGACCATGTTCGTTCCGCCGTTAAATTTCAAAGAGAAACGGGCGATGTCGTTGCGAAAAATTGTGGTCTCCAAAATCCAACTGTCTTCATAGACACGAGGCCATTCGAAACCCAGTCTGCTTGGATTTGAGCTTCTCTCCCGCGTACTCGTTTACCAGTGCATACATCGTCGGTTCCGATTTTCCCATAGACAAGCCTCAAGATATGAATCAGTCTCCACAAGTGCTCACTCGAACCCGTGGCAGAGATTTGCAGGCTGGTGTATTGAGGTGCTGGCCTTGCGTACTATGTATAGAATGTTTATCAGTGAAATCACATGTCGTCGCGGAAAGTTCGCACGTGATCGCTGTGATATCCGTAGACTAAGAAAATTTCTGAGACTAGGTCGTGAGCAGTCAGCCCGGCAAGGCACGGCTCAACGGATCATGTTCGGATACGCTCTCTTGTCTTTGTGGAGAATGAGACCTGAGGATGAAAATCAATGCCAACTATCATGTCACCTATCATCGATGTCTTTGCAACTTACAGAAACTTGTGCGGCAGAGCACAGCAAAGCACGAGATTGTACATTGCGAAGCTCGAGAGGATGCGAAGCGAGATGCAGAGTCGACGTCAGTCATGCGTCATCAGTAACAATGCCGGAAAGCGTAGCAAACGCCGTTCCCCAGCTGAGAAACGTGATTCCGTCCTGAGCGCTTGCCAGTTTACGATGTTGGCGGGCCTGTGTGTGAATTTTCGTCTTGAGCGACGACATCCAGGAAACTTGCAACTCGGTCGTTTGAGAGTCTCATTGCCGAGTGCTTGGAGCTCTTCGAGAGCCCACCTGAACGCGAGTGGCATGGATGTGCGCCCAGGATTCGAGGGAAGCGCGCTGACACCCAGGAAAGTGACGGCACCGGTGACTGCTCAGTGGAGATCGATACGGGCAACGGAAAAGCAGGAGTTTTGCTTATGTAAATCAGCTAGGCGAATAAGTGCGGAGCAAACAGATCGTCTTGAAATCAGCACCGTAACCTCGATCCTCTATGACATCCGACGACAGCCGGCGACCGCGCACGAAGATACACCGCACCTCCGCATGGTGGAACGAGCCGATATCGTCGGCACCTGTGGGCACAGACCACCTCCACGATGGACAATGCCACTGTTTCTGCACTGTCCAGCCGCCCCATGTCTGCAAGTTCCCGATGTCATCGTCGGGAAACAGGAGGGGAGGAGCATGCAGCTCTGTGGCGACCGCGAGAATAGACGCCGGGCGGGAGATAAGCACTTTCCATCGACCGGACTTCAGAGCATGAGCTCCACGCGACTGTCAGGCAATGATAATCATACATTCCGCGAGTCCAGAGCAGTCGCCGACACTCTTTATTTCGACAAGCCCACCCGAGCTCCACCCTCCGCCTCTCGCCTCAAGTTCATCGAGATGCACGAGCCAGTGGCGCTTAGTTGTCATCTCACCGACCAGTCCTCTGCGTCGTAGACCATGGCCGGATGAATGATTCTGGACACTAATCAGCAGTGCGACAGGAGCCATAGAAGACTCACCCTCGAAGCATCCAGATCACCGGCCACAATGCCAGCCACGATATCGACGACGGTCGATCCCACGAGCAGCCTGTGTCGTCGTCTACTTTCTTGGACGACACTCACGGCACAGATACTAGACGAGTGGACTCTCCCCAACAAGTCGACTCGATCCGCAGCTGAGACCCACCCCCCACTTCCTTCGCAAACGCCGTCTTCCAAATGGACCCGACGCGGATATGCTGTGGACGAGTGCCACATCCAATGCGTCCATCCAGGTGCGGTTGCACCGCGAGTAGTGGCTGCAGACCATGCGCACGGATGGGATGACGTCGAAATCGGGCTGCCTCGGCATTGCATCCCGCATGAACACTTTGGGAACTGAGAGCAGAACGGAGTGAGGCGGCAAAAGACGGGTTGCGGAAGTTAGGCAGTTGGGCAAAACGTGCAGCGCAGGTTGGGGGGATACCTTTCGCCCGTATCGTGTTCATACGTTTGGCAGGGCTTCGCTCTCTTTGCGTCCATCGATTTCACGGTTACCGGGGGATGAACAATTGGACCGCGTGCGTCCTACTGGTATCCTTCGCAAGTGACCAGGGCACGGTTCGTTTCCTCTCCAGTCTCGTTTCTGCTTTCTCGTCAATTTCGGACTGGTTCGCATAGAACGGTTGGTCGTGTTCTATTCAATATGTTAGCAAATTGATGCGGAGAAATAGAATGAAAGCTGTGACCGACAAGTGGTCTTGTACAACAGCCGTTGCTCGATCGAGAGCCATATCCAGCTATAACCGCTAGTTGACGGAGAATTCTGGATTTCCACTAATCATGTGTAACCAAGGCAAGTCCCGATGCTCGCCAATTCTCATTTTCGGCACTAACGCAGGCTTTAGTGGCTCCGGACCGGCCTGGCTCATGCGGACGAGGAGGGCGATGGCGAATGCGATCAACAGCGTAAAGACCACCGGATCTGCGACTAGACCAACTGCCTGCGCATTCAAACACACACGACAAAACGATTCCGCGAACGTTGAGAACGCCAAATGAGGGAATGGCGGATATTTGAATGTGCAGAAACCGGAGAGTTGTGTCGGAACACAGCTCGTTCCTTGCGGCGTTTTCTGCTGTGCTGAAAGCTGATCTCGAGTTGACTCAGCCAACGACTCCGGCGAGAGATAGAAACTCGCTCACCATCAATCCTGGTCTGTACCACACGGGTGGCGGCTGCGTTCGAGCTCGGCTCGGGATTGACAGCTCACATCCGGACTCTTCAAGACCCCTTCGTCGACCAATCATCGTTGCAAACCAGGGCCGGTGGACCGTTGATTGATCGTCGTTTGGGAGTGCAAAACCTCTGCTTAGGGCTCGCCCCGTCCATCCCCGGCGACCAGGGAAGGTCATTGGAGCAGCTCGAGATTGTCTCGAGCTTTGAGTGGAAGCATATCCCATCGCGGATGTCGGCACCCGTGATTCTGTCGAGCCTTGGGACCTTCGAATTCATTCTACCACCTGCTTTCCCAGTCTTCATCCGTCCTGTGGAGCACCCAGAACCCAAACTCATCCACGCTAGCGACGGTACCAGTGAACGTCGCGGCTTCGATAGCAAAGGACTGGCGGATCCAATGCAGATTTGCGATCCCATCTGCAAATCACGCAACAACCGTCTCAACAGAAGGCGTCATGCAGCAAGGGGAGCGGTACACTCGGTTCTTCGTCATCGTTTAGAGGCGAGCAGTCTCGACCACCTGATCGAAATCAGCACTCGGTGCGGGCCCCGGCTCGATGCTATGCCCTCGTCGAACTCCTTTAGCCAAATGCTGCTGATTCTGCTATTGCTCTGGGATCTTTCAAAGCCAAGTGGGCCAAGTGGGAAAACCAAAAGTTCTCGTTTCGTCAAACAACGGCTAGCGGCAGACCCGGATGTTGATCGGGAGGGATGGTGGCTGCGAGACCGAAGCAACAGAAATCAGAGAGGAGCAGCTGAGGGCAAAGATGTCTACGGAAGGTCTTTTGCCGTGCTACATGCCCCCTTCCAAGGCAGCGACATCTGTGGACCGGGTGCTGTGTCTTGATAAGTCAATAACCAGACTGCCGTGGGTCCGTGATCGCTCTCCTCCCCGGCATGCTTGATGCTTTTAACCAACCTCCGACAGTTATTCTTCACTGTTCAGTGCCACACGTGATGGAATAAGCGGAGACTTGCCCAGTCGAACACCCCACGAGCTTGCGAGGATGAGGGTCGAGCCCTATTCGCGAAGAGAGGATCATGGTAGGGCAACACAAACCACAATAAGGCATGCATATGTACTCATTCCAGTTACAACACAAACACCCACCGCCTTCCTCCTTCTCCGTTTCTATCTACCTCTCTCGATCTGACCCCCAAAGATAACAACCGGCCGCGTTCTTTTGTATCATCACTCACAAGACCGTGTCCGCTTATGATGTCATGAGCGTCCCGTAACGGGGGCAAGCACTGGCCTTCCCCAAAACTCCCCACGGACACCACGAGGGAGCGATCGCTTCTACGCGTCCTGCCGAGCGGGGGACTGCGATCTCAGTTCTAACATTCTAACATGCAGGCAGGAGGTACATCATCCATCCTCCGGTTTCTCCGGCTGACATTCTCTCTCAAGGACATCTGCGACTCTATGCCGGTGGGGGTCCACCAGAGGCATCGCGGAGACAATCGTCGCATATCAATAATCGATCATCGTCGAACCCCTCCAGTCATGAACTTGGTTCGCACACGGTAGCGTCGCTCCCCGTCCGGAAACCGGCAGCACGCCGGGTGTACCACCCCGATCCACCAGTTGACCGCTCCGACTGGGCAATGTGGGTCGGAAACGTGCCGAAGCACGCCGATGAAACCGATCTCCAGACGTTTTTCACGCAATTTGAAGACCACGGCGTCGTCTCGATATTTTTACTGTCCAAGTCCAGCTGTGCATTCGTGAACTTTGCGAGCGAGGCGCACTTGATCGCAGCGATCCAACAATATGACGGCAGACATCTCCGCCCTGAATGGTCGATGGGGCCCGCACTGGTCTGTCGGGTTCGCACCCTCAATGACGATCTTTGGACTGGAGTCGGTGGGCAGCGAGGAATGGGACTCCATCGGCAGTGGATCAAGGATCATGCAGGGCCTCCAAATCCAGCACTGGATGTCTCGGACAGCCATTCGCCGAGCTCAGCTTCAGACGGGTCAACAACTTCGAGCTTCTTCGAGACACACTTTCCGCGGCGCTTTTTCGTGCTCAAGTGTCAGACGAGGGAAGAACTAGATCGCTGTGCTATGGACGGCGTTTGGTACATCCAGAAGCACAATCAGGTCGTGCTTGACCAATCGTTCCGTACTTCCCAAGAGACGATCCTGTTCTTCAGCATGAACAAAAGCGGCCAGTTCTACGGTTATGCCAAGTGCGTCCTTTGCCTTCATTGAGCCCACAAGTTTACATGCGCGTCTAGAATGATCAGCCCGGTGACTTCCATTGGATCTGATCCCCTGCCACATGGCATGGATGCGGGCGATGCATCGCCGAACCTGGTTGTGCGAGTCGCATCGCCATATTCGTTCCAGTCAGGTGCCACCCAGTCGGCACCCAGTGTTCTGAGCCGCCGGGTCTCTGACTCTGGAGAATTCGATCACGCCGGAGCCCGTCAGCATCGATCCCTTAGCTTTAGCCGACTACCTTGGCTGACGTCGCAGCACTCTGGGCCTGATCCCCAGCTCGAGCCAGAACTGGTGGACAACGTTTCGGGGCCCAGTGAAGGGCAGCCGCGGCTGGCGTCTGGTTTTAGCGGCCAATTCAGCGTCGAATGGCTATGCCGCGAGCCTTTGCCCTTCAAACGGACGCGCGGCATCGTCAACGGGTGGAACCGGGGTCGTGAAGTCAAAATCTCGAGGGACGGAACCGAACTCGAGCCGAGTGCTGGATCGGCGTTGATAGCGGCCTGGCAATCGTGGCTGACCGAGCCTAATCGCCACCGCCAGCTGTAAATGTCTCTGATTTTTTGTTATCTGCCTCTTGCGTAGATCAGATGGATGAATCTTGCAAGGAGCTCGGGTTTAACTTACATTTCTCCCAATCTCTGGATGGTTGCGATACCCGTGTTCTATCCTTTGTACTACTTGCGTCTTTCGGTAGTTACAATCTCTGTATTCTCTTCTGCATATCAGGTCTCTTGATTCATTGTACCCAAGTACCGTGAGAACTGGACTGTCTTGCCCTGCCTTCCTCTACGAACACCTGAGCTCCATCCACTGTTCGCCACCATCGATGATTCAGCCTGTTTGCGTGCGGACTGCTCCAATGAGATTGCGAGAATCGTGAAGTACATACATAGTAGCTGGGCATTGTACGGTCATAGCGGATGACTTAGTGTACATATCGGTGAGATGGTTACAGAAGGCTTATGACGTTTATCCATAGCGAAAGAGAGAGAAAGAGAGATAAGAGATCGGAATCAATGGCTCAGCTCGACATATATTGGAGCCCATGTTCAGGAGCACATTTTTTGTGGACAGATCAAGACCTGGCTCGTGGCGCTTGGATGAGCGTTGCGCGCTGGGCTTTCCAGATGTCCAGCACAGCCTGGCCCGCTTCAGGCTCGATCTCCATCCCATCGCGCGAGATCTTCACCTCCCGGTCCTGGTTCCACGGATTGTGGATATGTTTTGTGCGCGAGAAGCGCATCCGGTCGACACACATCCAGTGCAGAGGAAAGTCGAACTCGGGCTCTGCTTCGATCTCGTCGAGCAGGGCAGGGGGGAGGAAGGTTTCTGGGGGAGGGAGATCTTGGGAGGAAGGCGATTGTGCACCGAGTGCGGTGTGTGGAAAAGACTCGTGTCGTTGGCCAGGTACTCCACGAGGAGTTATGGGTCCCGTCATCCTTGAATTCGTCTCAGTAATCGCCAGCGACCTCATGTTCCGACATACCGCGCGTACCCGTAGAACTCTCCGCTCTTGTTGACACTGAAAAAGAGGAACACGTCTTCAGATGTGCGAAACGCACGATCGAGAACCTCTGCGTTGTGTCGCTGGGCATTCCAGAGACCGGTATCGACGCTCGAGTCGAGATCATCCTATAAGAAGGTGAGGGGAGAAGACAACCGCAGCAACACTGATGCGGACCTGTTTGTACGACTTTAGCATGAAGAACCGCTGTGGGAAGTTCTCTTGAAGCAGACTTGACGTGGTCGACGCATTGGAAATGGTGTCCGAGTTGTCCTCGGTCGCGCTGGCCTGATTCCTCGCCCTCCTCTCCTTCACCCAAGTGGAATGCAGACCCACTCCCCGCTGCCCGCCGACTCCTGTGAAGAGGTCGTGCTCTTCCATGCGTGCACGGCAGATGAGCGGCTTTGTCGCATTACGCTTTCCCACGACCGCGGTTTGTTGGGGAAACGTCCGGAGTGACACCCCGTTGAAGCTAGCAATTGCGATCGTGAGTGCGCTTTCGGAGTTGTAGTTGACGAAAGCGCAGTTGGAGCGAGGGAGCACGAAAATGGACTGGACGCCATGAGCGAGGGCCCCGGCACCGTCACCCAGCGGCTGGGTAAAGAATCGATGAAGCTCGTCTTGGTCTGCGTCCTTTGGGACGTTGCCCACCCACATCGCCCACTGGGACCGCTGTGTTGGAGCTGCTGGGTGATATGATCGTCGGACAGGTTGCGAGGAGATCGGAGCGCGCGGAGGAAACGGTCGTTGCATAGCGGTACCGGCGTGTGTTAGTGGCGGAAGGGGCAGGTGTTCATTCGAGAAGCCAGAACGGTCGGTACTTTCATGAACACCCGGGTCAATCTCTCGAGGGACGAATTAGATTTCTCATATCAAGTCAATGACATAACGCACAGAGAAGGGTTCTCGAGCCCCGCACTTCAGATCCAATGGATCCAAGACTCTGGGAGCAGGAGTCGAAGTCGAAGTTGAGCGCTTAGCGCAGAACGGGTTACTTGATAATTACATCCGATGGCAATCTTCACGGCCGGATCAGGGCCGGATGCACGCCAAGCCTGCGGAGGAGGATTTGCCGATCTTGGAGCCAATTCAAGACACAACCTTCGCTGTAAGTAGATTTCTCGCGGAGAAGGAGAACAGAATGTAACATGCGCGCGCATATCTACGTCACAACTATAGTCGAAAAGCACGCGCAGTCATTGGACATCTCAGACGTCCCACACTCGGTCCTTCATGTCGACTTCACGAGCTGAGAGGTTCAAGAAAGCGACGCTTCGTGCTCTTGCTTGCTGGTTACCCAATGGAGAGGGTTAGTAGTTCAGTCTTAGAAGTAAGTGCATATCCGGTAGATAGGCTGAGAATCACGAGGTGAATGTGGATCGTCTCGATAGCTTCGAAGAATCAAACGAAATGTCGGTATAAGTTTGTGAGCCAAGTGTACGTTATGTAACTTGTTATAAAAAGACAGATAGCACCAAACATAGTGGTGCACCTGGGAGAAAAGAAGATACAGTAAGATGGAGTACATTTGCAAGTGTCCAGATATCAGCTCGCATATCTCTGTGCACCTGGAACCTGGGAAGACTACCAAAGGAAGCGAACCACAACACGGGAGTCGAGAACGCAGTCGCATTTCCTGTCTCTGGAGTCCGAGGGCAGGATCATACGTTCACGCCTGTCGGCGTCTCCTCTCATCCTGCACCAATCGCCATGCCTCCAGAAGCGCTAATCCAGCATTTGGGTCGAGCTCAGTGCCGTCCCTCGAAATCTTGACCTCGCGATCACGGTTCCATGTATTGACAATGTTGCGCGTCCGTTTGAAAGGCAGTGGCTCGAGGCAGATCCACTCGACGGTGATTTGAGCGGTGTAGCCAGACACCCCGTCACTCATGGGACCAGGCTCAGGGTGGTCATCCGGTTCTGGTTCCGATCTAGCTTCGAGGATGCCCTGGTGCCGCTGAAGGAGCCCATCGAGGCTGATAGGTTGATGAAGGTCTTTCCCAGCTTCGTAGAACTCCTGGAGGTCCGGATGCCCGGGAGTCATCACACTGGGTGCCGACTGAGTGATACCGGGCGGCGACGGACTCGGCGTAAACGGGCTGGGGGACTTTTCGGCAACCATTGTATCGGGTGGCAGGCCATCATGGATAGCATCATTCGTCGTCATCACTGAGGTCCTCATCCTCAACGTCGGAGAAAATGAGTAAGGATCGGGCGCATCAGGAAGATCGCGCACCTGGCATAGCCATAGAACTGGCCACTCTTGTTGACACTGAAGAACAAGATCGTCTCGTCAGATGTGCGAAACGCGCGGTCCAGAACAGCCCCATTGTGTGTCTGGATGAACCACACTCCATCTTCAACACACCGATCCAACTCTTCTCTTGTCTGCGACTTGAGGACAAAGAAGCGCCGTGGAAAGTGCTTTTCGAAGAAGCTCGACGTTGTCGAGGCGTCGGAAGCTGCGCTCGGCGAATCAGCGCCTCCGATGCCATCACGCGCTGCGATGCGGTTGTTGATCCACTGTCGGTGCAGGCCAACTCCTCGCTGCCCACCAACGCCAGTCCAAAGATCGTCGTTGAGTGTCCGGACTCGACAAACCAGCGGCGGCCCCCGAGTCCAATCCGGGCCTAAATGCTTGCCATTGCACTGTTCGATTGCAGCATTCAGGTGCGCCTCGCTAGCGAAGTTGACGAACGCGCAGCTCGACTTGGAGATCAAAAACACAGACAGGACACCGTGGTCGGGATTTTGTGCGGCAATGAACGTCTGCAAATCATGCTCGTCGGCGTGCTTGGGGACGTTGCCCATCCACATCGCCCATTGGGACCGATCCGCGGGCGCAGCAGGATGGTAGACCCGCCGTTCGCTGGGCCTGTGGCTCTCGTACTGGTTCCTGTTGGAAGAAGGGGTAGATCCGCTTGGTTGACTGCTTGCGTAGGAAATTAATTGGACGGCTGAAACAACACGGGTGAGGCAGGAACACGAACTGCAAGAGGCTGGCAACACATACCAGTCGGTCGTCCTCGCGTCTCAATCATGTCAGGTTGTGATCTGAAATAGAAAGACCGTGCTGAGTTTGAGGTCGATCTCGCGCCTTAGGTCGTCGAGAACAACACAAGGTCGAATATTACGAAGCCCCGCAGGCTTCTCACATCGTGACATCATGGAGAAACCGCTTTGCTAGGTGATGATGAAGCAAAACACGCTCATCCGGAAAAAGGGTGTGGAAGATTAGAGAAAAGGATGTATCCGTTGCTTCCTTTGGTTCATGCACGGTCCGGATCGTCGACAGAATACAAAGTCGCGGAGTTATTTTGGTTTGTGTTGCCGCTCGATGATTCCTTTGGGCGAGTCAGTGTTCCTTGCACTGCCGGCTCAGGTCACAGCAAACTCTCACCGACTCGTAGGCCCACACTATCGGGCTTGCCCGGTGTGTAGAGCCACCGGCTACACACGCATCGCCCCACGTTCTCTCTCATGTTTCTGGTCCCGGTAGTCCGATTCGGGATTGCGATCGTGCGCCTGGGCCGAGGGCCAGTCCGGAGGATGTCGGGTAATGTGGAATTTCAGGGCGTAGGCAATGCATGGTCTCTGCGATGCTCATGAATGACTGCGGCAGAGTTGTTTCGCCAGGGCTTCGTCTCACTGCACGAAAAGAAAGTTTACGCGCAGTGCAGCTTTGTCGTCGAATTACTCCTCGATTTCAGACGTGGCGTCACCCATAAACCTGTGGCACAACATATTTCTGGCCATCACAGACATGTAGAGCTCTTTCGGTATGTCATTTATTTGGCTGAATTCGTGATTAGACCTCGAATGGGAACACGGGATACAGGCAGACACTCGCCCTTCGGTCTTCAGTGTGTGACCATTCTCGCGGTCAATCTTACTTCCCATTGAACGCTACTCGGATATCTCCCGAAATAGTTCCCACTCGTGCAAGACGAGACCGGGTGTTGGGGCCTCCACGTTTCGGTCAGCAGTGAACGGAAAAGACGTCTGAGCGCTGGATGGCTCAGATTGCATGGCTGAGATGCGGTACAACTGGAGGCGAGATGGGCCACAGGCGAGGGTGGAGTATCGCTGTTGACGAGTCGAAAGGACCATCGCGGACATGATTGTGCTGAACTTGGCTCTTATATCTGGGGAGGCAACGACACCAACTGATTTGTGCGCATACGAAAGGGAGGCGTGAAGACTCGATCGGAATATGGCGAGAGCTTGGAGGGAGCCGAAAGTCTGAAGGGAACAGGAGCACAGGCGAGCGACCTGAAGCGGTGGTGGATTGGCTGAACGAGAACTGGCCTATCTCCGGAAACTCATGGACCACAGGCTGGAGTCCGTTATATACAGCGCCTTGTCGACGGACGACCATCCGCATCCCTTCTCTTCATGGAACACCTCCACAGGGCGAGTATTCTCTATGCGCGATGCCGTGGTGAAAGGACAACATTAGGACAATGCACTTGCATAATGAAGAACGAATCAAAGGGGCTCGCACTTGAGGACATAGCACATCGGCTGTTTTCGTTTTGTGTCTAGAAGCGTGCGCTTCATCGAGTTAGGCGTTTTTGCCGTGAGCTGATGACACTGAAAGGATGGTATCAGAGCTCAAACAGAAACCAACTCGAAGAAAGCACAAACTTGGTGGTTACCATCCCGATCCTATGACTAGAGCACTCCTCCACACGACCTCTCCTCCACAACCCTCCCTTGTTCCGACGACTCTTTAACTTTAGAGGACTGCAAGATACGATGATACTACGAGGGGATCGCCAGTGGATTGAAAACGTGGCTCCCTTGTCGATGTCCTCGATCATCATTGGGTTCCGCACATTTCCCAAGAGCGTGGCCGGGAATCATCGACTTCCAACCCAGACATATCGGCCCTCATATGCATGCGCTGCTGCGACTTGGTTTGCCGTACCAAGAGTTCCTTTTCGTCGAGTTCCCTTCACCCCTGAAGCGGAATTTGACCTGCAACGACCCACACTCCTTTGAGCATGGCTACGACGATCCACGCTAATAGCGATGAACGGGGTGGACGAGCGACTCCCAAGAGGACTATCAACAGGGCGAAGAATTTGGTCGAGTGCGGCTTCTGTGATTTCCTCGCAATGTCGCCATGCATCGGACTATATGGGTCGGTTACGTGGACGACTCCAGGACCAATCCAAGGATGTGAGCGATTTCCCTGAGGAGTAGACGTCTCCGGTAGGTGGTGGCTTTGATTTGTTCTCGATACGATTTGTTGATGACTTCTTAGCGGGAGAAAGACATGTCGACTAATTTGTGAATGAGTCGCAAACTGAGTTTCAAGCTCACGGCGTACCGCATGCACGGCTTCACCTGCAGAGGAGAACACCAAGTTGAGCTTCATTGGAGGAACCATCCCATCCGCAAGGACAGTCGCTAGCACTGAGGAGGAGGAATAGACCGCCCACCCGATGTAGTAGGCCAAACGGAAACATTCCCAATGCGGCCGATCATACAGGTAGTCACCGATTCCGTCCTCTCTTGTCATCCTTCACCGGAGACTGCATTGCGCACTCCGCCCTAGGCTCAAGTTTCCTGACGACGTTCTTATTTGGAGCGACGCTGCAATCGTGGCGATCGTATGCATATGAGCATTGAAGACGGCTGCGCTGGGGTTTCCGACTGTCACTGGAAGTCTGAAGCCGAACGAACCTCGCGTGGATTGTGCTGAATCCTGGATCGCGATGTTCCGAAACGAATGTGAGACGCACGCTGGCGCTGTTTTCGGAATGTCCAATCCGGGGTATTTTTTGGGTGTGATCGAGCGGGTTGTCGTGTGGGATGCGAATGGACGGGATCCGGCGGACCATAGAGGGATTGACATGACGGCGGAGCTTTGGAGAATCCTCGGGATCGACTCATCTCGAGGAACTCCCTGTCAATTGGGGATCGCGGTGCGTCAGATTTTGCGCAGAGAACATGGTCAAGCCGACTGACTTGGTTTTGGCGTTCACTTGGCCACCCTCAAGAATGCGTCCATCGTGTGCTGTCCTCGTCTCTGTCAACTTGTCGACACAATGCCACTTCGCTCTGCGCGTGTAGGAAAACACGGACTTGGGCTCTTGTGCATTGACGTTGGCGAGACTGACCCAAGCTTTGCGACCTGAAGGCAATGCTGCATCTCGAAGGGATCGAGGGTGAACACTGTCTGGGAGGGGGTGGCCTGATGAGATGGAGTTGTTCCGTTGAGAGCCGACGATTCAATTTGTTTGCGATAAACACCGCTCTCGGGGTGGTCGCCGCGCCTCCTTACATAAAACACAGGCTTCCTTCACACAACACACTAGGCTCGGATCCTCTCACCGAATATCTATCTCCTCGTTCAGGGCAATCAATCATGGATCCTCACTTGACCTAATCGAGTCGACTTCTTGGCTGGATACCTGCTGTGGCTATCCTACCTGAATGCGTGCATGAGAGGACGAGATGTCTATCGTTTCTGTTTCTTTGTAGTGCACGATTTCAAGCGCTATAAGAAGCGGATGGGCCTTTTGATGTGCAAATCAAGGTTTAGCGGTCGAACCGGGGGAATGTATCAAGCAGACGGGCGGACTTGTGTCGCTTTTCCTGGGCACGGGCATTATTTCCCCGCGGCCCATGACACAGACACAGGTCCTCGACGCTTGGATTTAAGTCCTTGCTTGTGGTATGTATCAGTATTTCTCATTGTTCTGACTTCGCCTGAGACTCCCAGCCAAGCTCAGACGCGACTGAGATCGCCGACTTTTCCTGCGGCCCATGGACAGGGGTGACCAGAACATGACGTCAATTCTGTGCAACCATCTTATCTCTGACCTCAGCGTCATTTCAAGCGGAGGGTACTAACATACTCCAGGAGTCTATATTGTAAGGTCGCTCTTAGTACTTACTGGTTGAGTTCCACTAATAACTCAGTGCGCATGAATTGGAATCGTCTCCACGGTGTCACCATGTAGCGCGAATCTAGGAGAGTCATGGAACAAAACCGTGCTTGCATAGCGTATTAATTCAACATGGCGGATGCATTCCAATCGCAGTCTGGAACCTCCTCACGTCTGCCGAGCCCTTTGTAAGCATCAAGAGTCTTGTCGTGCTAGGGTCTAGTAATGGGAGAGGCAGGGATTGGCGCCTACAATCAACTCCCATCACGGACATCAACGGTCTGTCATCTAATCTTTCGTGTCAGGGAAGAGGGAAGCGACTTAAGATTACACCATGTCTCCACAGTAGGTGCGATTCAGTATATTTTTCGAGGTCTATTGTTCACAGATAGTTCAAGCTCATCTATGGCCGCCAGTGTTCTTTGGGCGATCGTTCTGAACGGGGCGGCACCAGAACCGAACGCGCAGGGACTGGTTACTGAAGGAGGGTTATTCACAAGGACGCATCTCAGGATCCAGGACCTAGGAGGTTCAATCGAAACTCTGAATTGTATCCGGACACCCTATCCTTGACTGTGTGGGGTCGGCAATGTCGTGGTTCGATCGGCGCAGTGAGACATGGGCGGGATATAAGGCGGGAAGGGCGGTGAGACCAGCACCTCCTGGCATCTTGCTTCCAACCACCACAACACAACTTCACATCTTATGCGCCGAGCTCTATTGCCTGCCCTATCCAAACGCACCTCATTCGAAACTCATCCATCATGACATCCACCCACTCATCCCACCCCGCCCCGCTCCCATACACCCGACTCCCTGACTTGACAGGGTCCACCGTCGAGAACGGCAAGCTCAAGCTCGTCGAGCTTCTCGGCCATGGCTCATTTGCCAAGGTCTACAAGGCTCTGGACACCCAATCGACTGCATCATCCGGGGCACCCATCCACTACGCCGTCAAGTGCCTCTTGAACGGCGAGCCCGGATCGCAGGAGCACCACAACCTCCAGAACGAGCTCAAGAACCACACACAGGTCTCTGGCCTGCCGGGCGTCGTGGCCCTGCACCGCGCCTTCGTCGAGGGCGAGCACGTCTTTGTCGGGATGGAGCTCTGCGACACGGACCTGAACCGCTTCGTCATCGAGCACAAGGACTGCGACGAGCAGTGCGACGTTGCGAAGCGGGTGTTCTTGGACGTGCTTGATGCCGTCGAGACATGCCACGCTGAGGGTGTGTTCCACCGGGACCTGAAGCCCGGGAACATCTTGTGTGACGCCGACGGCAAGAACATCCGAATCGCCGACTTTGGTGTTGCGACTCGGTCTGAAGAGTCGAAACAGTTCGGCGTTGGGACTGCTGTGTTTGCGAGTCCTGGTGTGTTTGAGACTTCCCACTCATTCGGAGCCCCTGACTCACCCGTGTCGCAGAAAACATGGACAACACCCGAGACACCTACTCCCCTCGCGGGACGGACTGCTGGTCGCTGGGTGTGATCCTGATCGCCCTCATGACGAGCAGCCTTCTTTGGAAGGCACCCGTGGAGTCCGACGACACGTACTGCGCGTACCGCGCCGACCCCACGCACTTCTTCCGCGGGACGCTCGACCTGAGCCCTTCATTCAGCTCGCTCGCGAACCGGATCTTCGATCCCAATCCGGCGCGCCGGCCGAGCATTCCAGAGCTGCGCACGGAGGTCGAGACGATGGACACGTTCGTCGTGCCTCCGCCCGTAGATATAGTTGCTCTGGCTCTGCAGAACCCACTGCACAAACCGAAGAAGAGCAAGCGCCGGGCGACGCCGCCTCCGGTGAGTAGCAATGCGACCACGCCTCGGCGCTCGCTGAGCATCGCGTCGTTGACGAAAAAGCTGAGGAGGCTCGTGCGTCGTCGGTCAATGTCGTAGTCGAATTCACAGCTGTCTGTCTCGTAGAAATTCGGAATCCTAATCACATCACATTCCATACTGTCCTGCCGATGTCCTGACGTCTAACCTAAGATCCACCATCTGTCTCACATTGCCGTCTCTCCTGACCCACCCACGGCATGGATGCACATGAAATCGCCCTGTGACCTCACGTGCCTGCAGAGGGTGCATTCATCGTTCTTTATCGTGTAATCACCTGAGGCTTCAGTTCCCGTTCATAAATCTTAATCATCCTAAGAGATCATTGGCACATGAAGATTCTGAGTACGGCATCTTAGTTTCGAGCTTCGAGTTCTGCAGAGCAAATTTGTGGGTTAGGAGCGGCCACAGTATGATCTTGCTGTTCGGACTCTCAAGCACCGAGCGCCGTCGCCGAGAATGACAGTTCTCGAAACAGGCCGAAACCATGTTCTTCAGGCGGATGGGAATCCCGCTGTGGTTAATCCGCTTACCTCGAGTCTGCCGGCCTGACACAGGAGAGTGAGCGTGGCCCGATTTCTATGACATTGGCGCGGATTGTGTAGTTGTGTAGCATGAGTCGCAGAAGCCCAGCCAAGCAAGGTAACACGTGATCGTGAAGAGCTGAGACTCAGACACCAACTTGCTCCAACTTTTAACTTGACAATTCCAACTGACTAACAGAACAGTGGATTTCCATCCAGTAGTGGATGCTCGAGGATAGATACATGCCTTTGTAAGCAAACGCAGCCCCGCTGTTCGTACAGAGGCAATCTTATTTCCGTTCAAACTGGGGTCTGACTGACGGCGATATAAGGGTCGACACACTCTTGCCCTTTCCAGCAGCCACCTGCTCCTCAACCCCCTTCTAGACTCGTGTTTTCTCCACAACTCCTCCCGCAGTCATTCTGAACCCACTTGCCGCAGCGCGTGCGCGCGCGCTTTTCATGCCGATGGCCCTCCCTGCCGCCGTGACGAGTCAAAACTGCATCAGGGTTGTACGACGTTCCGATCCTCGCGCTCGAATACTACGAACACGATGCGGCTCATTCTAGGAATGAGCAAGACGGTGGAAAGACGGGCCGCGCACACGCTCTCGATCGCCATGACACACAAAAGAGCGAACGACTAAATGCCACGGGGGAAAACACTGCGACAGTCAGCTTGATCAGCCACCGCTCATCTAGATTCTCCCTTGGAGTCAAATCGTGCAGCTCCGACGATCTCGCCCGACAAGATGCCGACTTGCATCGTACGTCGTCGGCCTTTTCTTTGTCGCCACTCCCAGGTACATGCTCACTTGCGAGCATCTCCAACCGTGTTCTTGAAGTCCTGGAATTGGCGTGGATGCGCGATGTCGAGCGGGGACGTACAGGCCGATGCGTCACTCGAGGCTGGGCCCCCAGGCAACTTGAAGGCGTTTCATCTCCACCTAGTGAGACTCTAAGGCCGTCCCTTCGCCCAGGTGGACGGCTGAAGCTCAACGAATGACGTCACTCCATTCCACCTCTTCCTAATCGCGAGCGCGGCATTCATGAAACAGGCTCTAAGCAAAGATGGGGTGCAGAGATTGCCCGAGCTGCGCCCGGTTTCTGGAGTCGTGTGCGTCACTTGCGCGTTCATCGACTCTCTCGGCGGAGTCATGAGCTTACTTAGTGCTACTCCCCATGCTACTACTGCTGCTGGAACGCCTATAAAGTGACGTCCATGCGCAGGTCGAACTCAACAACACCCTTCTTCACACCATGCAGTCTAACTACAAGAACGAAAACGAGCAAACATTCAGCATCCAGGACCGCGGAGTTGAGGGCGTCCAGAATGACGCGGGTTGTGGAAACGACAACAAGGTGGAGGCGAAAGGTAGGTCGTAGGTCGTTGGTCGTCGTGTCGGGTCCGTGTAACTGATGTCTGGACTACAGAACAAGCGCGCTGGGACCGTGGCACAAACAACGACGAGACCGACCCATCTTCCGGACAGGCTGGCCACAACGCCGACGTTCCTCGCACTGACGGAACCGACGTAAACGAGATGCACGCCGATCGTCACGATGATGACGAGAAAAACCAGCGCTCGTCTGGAGCGACGGATTCATACGAGACATCCGGAACCGAACGCGATGCGCTTAGCGCTGGATCAGACGCCGATCAGCGTCAAGGCGACTTGACCAACGGCAGCTATGACCAGCGGGAAGAGACGGCCCCCGACGCGAGCCGCGATAACGCGTCCCAGCTCATTGCTGGTGGACCTGGCCTGCAAGAAACGAATGTAGCGGAACAGCGCGACCGGGACGGAGCGCAAGACCAGGCTTGCGCAACGGGTGGACAGACGGACGCCAATAACGCGGACGAAGATGCGATTACTCGGACCACCAACGTCCAAGACAGAGAAGACCTCGCCCCTGCTGGTACCGAATCGACCATCAATAACGACGGCGCTAAGCACTCTGATGTGAACCCTCCTTCCACGGATGCCGATAACGAGCGCCCCACGACAGAATCCGGCTCTGACGGGCTCGACTCTGTCAACGGGACCCACGCCAAGAAGGCCGGTCTCAGCGACAAGATCGTCGGTGAGTCGCATCGTCTGCCTGCATGTGGGCTCTTTGTGGATGCTCAATGGCATGACGTAACAGGAGGCGCCGAGAAGATTGCAGGCCGGGTCACCAAGAATCCTGATTTGCGAGAACGTGGCGAGGATCGCAAGGTATGTCCGACTTGTACCTGGACCGTATCAGTCATCTGACGCGCATCGCTCCAGGCTGGGATCGAGACAGTTGTCGAGTAGTGGCATTTCATTGGAGCCTAGTGGTTGTGTAACATGATGATCTATCCTCCGTTTTCAGTTCCCAGAATCAGAGCCTTTATGTGGGGGTCAGCAACTTGCGGACCGGTTGTGGTGATGTCTCGAAATTACACGCTCACAGCCTGCATATTTCGCATTGGTCACTGGTCCTGACGAGCGAGCTTCTAAGCAGGTTTGATTGCTCAATATCGCGAGTCTAGAGGCTTTGCCAGCAACTCATAACAGTTTGGTCTCATTGAAGCAGATCCGAAATGTATGTAATCAACCTCCGGACGGTGATAATCTATCATTCGAGGTTAGATTAGTCCAACTCACGTGCCCGGTGGATGGTCACAGTGCTGCCTGTGACTGCCTTCGTCGTCCGCCACATGTCCCCACTAATTTCTTGAAGACTCGGACACGCCGTACGGCAGTTGTATGCCATGTCGCGAGAGTATTGTCGATTATCAAAGCGAACTGCGACTCGTATACTCGATAAATCATCGCCAACATAAAGCCGAGCGTTGAGCGTTTCTGGCCCGAGCTGGCCACCATCACGCACCCCGGAACCAGAAGCCTCTTCATAGGCGCGTGGGATCCGGTCATCTGTTCAACAACCAGGCCCTTCCTCGACGGCATATACGTTGGATGTGAGTACAACGCCGGTAGAACGGAAAAATTGGAGAAACGATGAGGTGACCTATCAACCTTCCTTTGCAATTCCGCTTATGTATAGTTCGTGCCCGGATGCCTACCGCCGTACGAAAGCGGCATGGGAGGGTCACTTGAAGGAAAGATGCTTTGTATCCGAGACGATCTGAGCCTGGCTTCTAGTCACAGCAAGCGGAATAAACGCGGGACACCTGAGCGGGCGGCCTTGCTCATTGCTGATTGGGTCATCATTCATCTTGCTCTCCAGCCGTTTTTCCCAGCCATGCATCCGATGACCACCATGGAGAGGGTATAAGAAGGGCTGCGTCTATTCTAGACGACCAGAAGCTAAAATGCATCAACCTCTCCGCCAAGGTCTCGTCAACACTCCCACGACGCCCGAGGCGGCTCGCAAGCTGCAGGAGCTGCTGGCACGGGATGCTCGAGAACATCATTGTTATTTCGATGACATCGGGCGCAAGAACCACACTGCGCACCAGTGCGTTCATCTGTGCCCTTTCCGTGCACCTCGCAGTCGCTGAAATCTTGCGCCAGCTTGGTTGCAGCGTATGACCTGGGTGCGACTGGGGCTTTCCTGGAGAAAATCTACAAAGAAGAGAGTGTCATTCTCCGGCCCCTAGGTCCCCAGCACGATATATTCACTGACAAGACGTGGACGACGAGACTGGGCGAGCGACAGTACGTTGGCCGAGTCAGGTGTATGGCACGCCTCGAGCTGATGATTGGGTACTAGGGCATACGCGAGCTATCTCCTCTTCTTTGAGAAGAAGATCGAAGCGCTCGGGATTCAGAAGACGATCGAAGACTATGTGCTAGCCCCGGCAGCGAACGCGAACGGCGCTGCGATGCTGAGCCGTTTTTTCAGCGGCGCGTAAGTGATTGCTTTGCGGTGTCTTCGCATCTCATTCCTCCTTGCTTTTCCAGCGTGCATCCGATTATTCACGTGGGGGTGAGTGCACGTCCGTTGACTCGAGACTTGACTGATGGGAGGTTAGTTCGGCGTCGAGATTGGTCAAGACTGTGTCGTTGCCCAAGGTGTGTATCCGCAATCAGAATGGCAGGCGTTTCCGTTGAGCGTTTGGGCTAGGTCTCGCTCTGTGCGCTGTCGTGGATGCCGACTTTGCCTCGATCTTCTCTGGTCACCCCTCCGGCTTGCCGGAGCTTTCCGCCGCTCCTTCCAGTGGCGCAACGTTGTTGTCCATCCTCCGCGAAGTCTACGATTCGCCTTCGCTTGCACCCCTTGCTCCGTACAATGCGCACGACATGGGCGGGGCAGCATTCAACCGATTGACGGAGTCCCCCGCCCGAGGTGCTGAACTCCGTCGGCTGTACGCCCCGTGGTCGCTCGATACATCGCTGACTGATTCCGCCTTCGATGACGCGTGTGAGAAGAAGGTGGACGAGTGTTTCTGGCAGGCCACATTGTTGACCGCGGCAGCGGGGCGCCCGGGGCGCGAGAATCGGATCGACTTCTTCCTCATGCACACGCTGACCAGCGCCGTCGCGCTGCCGAGGGTATTGGCCGCGCTCCCGAACAAGCTGCACAAGGCACAGCTACTCCAGGGCCACGCACTCGCATCTGCGCTGTGGGCCATCGCGCGCGGCCGCCCCCGTGTCAATCCCGCGCTGCTGATGTCGTATCCCGACGTCGTCCCGGGCCACCCGGGCGGCGCGGCTAATCCGTGGCTGCCGGTCACGCTCAATGCTCTCGAGCACGCGGACTCGCATGTTATCAAGACCGTGCGGACGCTGTACTACGCTGCGCAGCGGCTCGGCCAGACGGGTGCGGGTGCGGTGCCTGGTGCGCTGGATAGTGCTGGGAAGGAGACGCATGAGGGGGTGAGCGGGCTTGATGGGTCGGCCTTTGTGCGGGCTGCTATCATGACGAGCGAGACTCTCGGCTGGGTCGCGTTTGGGGGTAAGCCGGGGGAGTGGGATCGTAGCTCTCTAGGATGGGATGCCGCGTGGGCGTGATTGAAGCAATCTCTGAATAGGCTGAAATGCCACAAGATGTATCTGAGTGAATTGAATGTACTCAGACCCCACTCATCAGTGCAGGGGAGGTATGTAAGTGGCACTGAAAGAGTCATCAAGCTTTTTGCTCAGCGCCATGACATATCGATGCTCCACTACGCATTCATCTACAAAGCTGTTAGATGACCTGTCTCACCAGAATCCCCGACCATGTTCTTCTGACTGGACGTGATCCTAGATGGCATGCCCCAGGTGTGGAGACGATGAGCATCCGGAATGGACTGTAGAATGACGCGATTCACTCGAGATCCAGTCCTGGCAACGCACTGGATCAGACTGGGCCTACTACAAATCACAAAGAAGCACTCTTGCTGGATTCTGATAATCGTACGCATCGGATCGCGTCTGTCTATTCTAGTGGTTGGATTGAAGGATCTGTTTTCTATTTTGATCTTTCATAGGCTTGTTGTGTGGGAAGATCTGCACGTGCCTATGAGATAACGTGTCAATTCGCGATCACATGCTCTAATATATGGCACCTCGTGACTGTTGAAATTGACCGCGCTTCCAAGTTCCCAGAATCTCGAGAGTCCGGTCCTTCGTTACTGTATCCTTCGTCGAAATCCGTCGGAGTTTCCTGCTTCGGCTGCATCCGGTATGCATCGGTACATGGTTGAAGACACGAGAGTGGAGTCGGTGAGTACTAGATCCTGCCTGGTTTACTGAACACATCGGGGCATACTTGGAGTTGTGGCTGCGAAGCTCGCGCCCTGACGAGGGCTTCAGCATTTTCAAGATTTCACGCCAATGACAGCAGCTCTGAGTCACAGCACTCTATGATTGCGCAACACAGCGGACTTTGATATTATCAGGGAGCACGGCAATATCTGTACATAGAATCAAACTTCAGCAGGCGTTTTGGGATGGGAATGACACGCAACTTGGAACAGCAAGCTTCGCGCACGCGTGCAATCCGGCAGAATCCGGCTCTGTGACCTTGGTCCCCGATCAAAGACTCCGAATCACGGAGTTAGTGCCCTTGCATGAGTATCTTCCGCGAGAGCATGATTGGACTAGGTGAGTGCCGATCAAATTCGCGAGATAATGCCCTTAAAACGCAATTCAATCCTGGCCCGGTATGGAAACGGAGGATATGGATCTACGAGGACGTAGGCAAGTAGAACAGCCAAGATATTGAGGATCCGGTGATCCAAAAGACCTTGCCGCGATTTGAACGCGGGACTTCAGGATAGATTCCATTCTTGGGTTTCATTCGTTGCAATCCTACACTCTAACCACTGAGTTACAAGGTCGTGTGACGCCAGTTTGAGGAGTGATTCCTGAACTGGACTGGAGCTAGCGGGTGCGTCTGATCGCCCATCCGTAGCAGGGATCTGGGATGACCACGCTGCGGAGTTGACTGACCATTGTGGATCGGAGGTTTGGGATTTTCACAGAAGTTGCACCGGTATACTCGGCCCGCGGTGATGGGTCTACATCCCTGCTCTGCCATCCGGCATTCCGGAAGGTCCTTGCTTGGTTGAGAACTGAATGTGATCTGTGACATGCCGTAATTCAACAGTGCGGCAGAGAGTAAAGTAAATTTAAAGTTAATTGTGCGTGTGTACACCGGAGGTACCCGCGTCCTTGAACTGTGTCCCCACGAAATGTCACGGATTTCAGCGCGAGTATTGCTGTTCTTGGAGCACGATGCCGCTCAGAAGACTCGGCGGCGGCCACTCGGAGGTCACCAGTGCATTCACCCCGATTTGCAGTGACCTCATGATATTTACGCTGGGATGCATCTCGAAGTCGCCCCGACGGAGCAGAGTTGTTGCGCCATGATTTGTTCTCACCGGGCCAGTGGTGATGCATATGGTGATGTCATTTCCGAAGTTCTAATCGCTACTTATGTAGCCAGAGCCTAGACATCCTCCGCCCAGTTCCCCAAGCCATGAAGTCCGTCGGGTGCCCTAGCATTGCTGGTAAGTGGATGTCAGGGGCAATGAAGAATCGGACGAATGACGTTTACATGCACGTGCTCAGTTTCTGCCTCGGAGAAATCCGAAGATGGTGCCGATCGCGTCGTGCGGCCGCATTCGTCAGCGATATCGTCCCCAGTCCACGCTCTCAGATTTGCTTCTTTGAACGACCCCCCGCCTGATGACTCTGCTCTTCGCTCCCCGTCCACCGCCCATTGGCTTCACGTCCCCTCGAGTCCTCTGTACGCTTTAGATGAGCCATGGCCCTATAGCCCACGATTCTTTCCATATCAAGCGATGCACCAGGGCTGTGAGCGCCCTATTGCATTCCCTCATCTATCGCGTCCATTTGCTCTCGCACCCGATGTGTTCTCACCGAGCTCGCCGACCACCTCGGATAGCGGCGAAAGCGGCAGTGGCAGCAGCAGCGACCACCATGTGCCTGACGCGCCTCGCCCCGCGCGGCGGTCCCTGCGCACGAGATGGGCCATGTGGGTTGGAAATCTCCCGCTCGATGTGACGCACAAGGAGCTGCGCACGTTTTTCACGATGGGTCCCTCGAAGAAGTCCGCCCACGGCCGCGACTCCGACCATCGCCGCCTCGCCGACGACCTCAACGGCGTCGTCTCCGTGTTCCCCATCACGCGCTCGGGCTGTGCGTTCGTCAACTATGCGACGCCCACTGCACTCGAGCAGGCGCTGGCGCGGTTCAATGGCGCGCACTTCCGCAACGATCTGACCAAGCCTCTCGTGTGTCGCACGCCGGAGGAGGAGGGCAACGGTCTACATCCTACCACTCTTTCGGTCGCCAGCTCAGCCACGTCCAGTCATCGAGCACTTGCGGACCACTTTCCGAAGCGGTTTTTCGTCATGAAGTCCCTCACACAGGTATGTTTTGCGAGCACATGTGTTTCTACGCTGAGCCGTCCCCCAGGGAGACCTCATCTTAAGCGTCAAAACGGGTTTGTGGGCCACCCAGAGGCACAACGAGTTCTTCCTCGACCAGGCCTTCAAAACGGCAAAGGAGGTGTACCTCATCTTCAGCGCCAACAAAAGCGGCGTGTTCTTCGGCTATGCACGGTGCGCCGGCTAGCTCGCGATCCGGAATCTCACCGACACTCAACATGATCTGCTCTTTTTCTTTCCTTAGAATGATCAGTGTACCGCGATCCGACCCCTCGCACGTCGAGAGCCCAGCGAATGACTGCCGGGACCAGGTCGGGATGAGCCCGCGGTCGAGCTCGATGGCCCCGGGAGTGTGGAGCAAATCCACCAGCGACGGCGCTTCACACTGGGGGAAAGAGTTTGGCGTGCAGTGGGTGTGCACCCGGGCCCTTCCCTTTGCATATACGGAGCAAGTGCTGAATCCGTGGAACCGAAATCGAAGGGTGCAGGTATCGCGAGACGGCACTGAGCTCCATCCCGCGGTCGGCCAGGAGCTGCTTAGGATCTGGGGCGAGCTTGCCGTGGAGCAGTAGATCCCGCCAGCCTTCCTTTCATCTCTGCGCCGGGATCCGCATGCGCAGCCTCGTCGTTCGCTCTCGCTTGTCGTGTTGTACTACATGTGGCTGTCTGTCCTCGTAATATCTGGGCTGGGCTGTGGATGGCTTTGCAATTGATAGATACCCTCCTACAAATCGCATGGTGCGATATCGATGCCGTCTAGGCTCCGGAACCACTCCAGTGTCGCGTTTCTCCACACATCAGACATCAGATCACGACCGAAGCGTTCGTCAGTACAGTGCGTACACTTGCAAGTTAGTAACAAGTCACAACCGCAGAAATCTCACGACACAATGTACTGGCCATACTTTCGGTCCTAGTTGGTGCACATCCGCGGATGATGCGTTGATTGAAGCTGCTCGTGTCAGTGCGCATGTCCATGATATGCTTGGGCCACTGTCCTGCTTGTCCAGTCACCTCGTACGCTCGAAGGTTTCGGCAACACGCAAAATCATTAGCGCGATGGCGAACTGAGAACGATATATGGAGACTATAGCATCTCGCCAAAGGCCGACTGTCGTGACCTTGTAACTCAGTGGTTAGAGTGTAGGATTGCAATATTGTTATCCAATGATCCTGAAGTCCCGTGTTCAAATCACGGCAAGGTCTCTTTTTCAAATCCGACCTTCTCCCATGTCTTCCTTCTTTCACACCAATTTTGAGCTTGATTTCCTTGGACTGTGGTGATCGTCGCGCTGTGATCCTCCGCATCGCGTTCGAACTTCGCGGACAGCCAAATACTCCGTTCCCGCCTTTTCTCACGCCGCGAGAAATACCCGCCCATCAACTTGTCACATTTCGCCTTTCTCCTGTTGCCGCTGCTCGAGTCAGCCAGTGGTTTCGTTATTTTCTGCAATGAACATGACTGCCGGATTTCCGAGACCCATCGACATCCTAGGCGCTCAGCTGCGCTTCAACAGGGATCAGTTTTAGAAACTGCCACTAGTGTTGTTCCGGGTCGGGTCGGGTCGGGTCAGAGGCAGGTCGGGTCGGGTCAGAGGTGGGTCGGGTCGAGGGATTTTGCCCGACCCGACCTGGGGGACCGGGTCGGGTCGGGTCGCGGGTCGGGTCTGGGTCGAGACCCGGGTCGGGAGGTCAGAAGATTAGACAAAAATTGCGTTGCATTTTGTATGCAGTGTTGTATGCGAGCGAGAAATAGATATTGAACAATGTTCCAGATGTCTTCGTCCTCCTCTTGCTCATCGGGTTCATCTGCGAGACGGCCATCACATGCTTGGAATTCAGGTTAGGGTTTGTGCGGGGCGTGATCGCGGGGTTGTCCGCAGGGTGGGACAAAGGTGGGAACGTAAAAATCAACAGCCTGTCACATTTGCAGGCTTGTGGCTGCAATCCAGAACCCCACGCTTGCGTTGCAGGGTGCCGCAGACCTCCAGGGACTCACGTGTCAATGCACCTGACGTGACCCGGGTTGAGACCCGGGTCGTCGGGTCGCGCAGATAGCCCGACCCGACCCCGACCCGGTCTCTGACCCGACCCGACCCACCTCTCGGGTCGGGTCGCTGCGACCCGGGTTTCGGGTCGGGTCGCGGGTCGCGACCCGACCTGGGACAACACTAACTGCCACATATCTAGAGTTAGACCTCCGATCCGGGACGCGGGAACCCACCTTTTGGATCCTTACCAGCTTGCTATTTGAGTTGTTTCAGCTTCATGCTTCGCAAGTCTCTCTTCCTCCCTCCTTTACGACTGACTTCTTTCCGCTTCCCTGGCACCGGCTGCTCCTCTTGGATTTTCTCACTGCTAGTTGCTCGGGGTTGCACACTCTCACCTCTTTCTCTCCTTCTCCGTCTGCTGTCTGGACCCGTTCGAATTTTCAACAAGTCTTGGGAATCCCGCAATGTCACGCATCCACTTCGACCGGGCTTATCAATTGTGAGCTGGTTTCTTCTCGAGTTATTATCCACGGCAGAAGTTCCAAATCCTTGTTCTTTTTCTAGGTCCGGCGATGACTCATCTTCAATAATTTTGGCAACGGCGACCAGCACGGCGGGCGGGTCCTCGAATCCGACCTCAATGTCCTCCAGGGTTTCTTCTCTCGGACCCCCATCGACCGCCCCTTCGATTTTCACCACAGCAGCCTTCGACACTCACCCATCGAGCACACTCGACGTGACCCCCAGCCCCGTCGCCACGGTCACGGTGACACAGAGCCATATTGGAACTTTTCTCGCAGTCGGGATTTCCCTCGTCGTTCTCCTAATAGCTCTGTTGTGCTTCGTATACTGCTGCGGGCGGCGTTCGCGCGCGACGGCAGACGTGGCGGATGACGAAGAAATCGAGCTCGGGAGCGTCCCGAAGAGACGCGCTGGGCGTGCCGGAGCTATGCCCTCCGGTCGCTGAAGGGACGACGTGATCTGGAGGCTGTTCTTACTATTGCGCTGCGTTCGGTAGCTGATTGGGTGGGAATTGATCATGATAAGTGCGGGCAATATTTCCCTTGAAGCGCTTTTGGAAAGCCTGGATTTTCACATCTATCAGCAGGTGCTGCGATCCGATGCGATCTGCCTAGACATAAGGCCTAGACTGACTGTGAGACTTTGCACTGCCGTTTGGCTTACCATGGCCATTGTCCTATGTGAGTCTTACGCCTTTTCCAAATCCTCCAAAAATTCAAGAAATCATCCACTTGCAAATCCGCAAGGGCGCAGCCGTCCCCAAAAAATCGCCTGCGTAATGAGCTTTCCAAAATGATGCGATGAAGGAAAGCGCTACATCGGTTTGTGCATAACTAATTTGAACGCAGCAATTAAAAAAAAAGCTTTGTCAAGTGCCAGTGGAAGGTAAAGAACTCAGCCGGGTTTCCTCATCTCAAACGGAGCCCCCCGATCTCCGAGGGCAGGCGATGCCACCACTACGTGCGACGACATACGTTCAGCGTACGAAGGCGGTGGATCCAACATTGAGCCACTATCAACATCCGCTGTGGATGCCAGTGCAGATGGGAGGTGCGTGCCGCCGGCCGAGGCTGAGCCCGAGCCCAGGCGATTCGGCGACAGCAGGGACTGGAGAGACCCGGCGCTGTGCACTTGGACAGTGGTGTACGGAACAGGTGTGCGTTCCTGATCCTCCGTGGATGTCCTGCAAGTGCGGTGGCGACGGTATCGCATACAAAGAAAGATGGCCGCAAGTGCGACGACGGAGATGCAGACGGCGATAACGACGCCGATCATGCTGGTATTTTTCCGGCGAATGCCGGTGGCGGGCGGAGACACTTCGGGTGAAGTACCCGTGGATGCGGTGGGAAGAAGAGCGCTCGAAACAGTGGCGGATGCAGAGGATGACGCGGAAGATGATGGAGTAGATTGAGATCCATGCGAGGTTATGCTCCTCGAGGTTATATTCACGCTGCTGGGTGATTGCGGACCGACAGTTGATATTGAAGTCGAGCTCTGGAATACGGTGTCCGTGCTCCCTGTGCTAGACAATGTGTTGATCACTGCGGTGCCCACAGCTGTTGCGGTACTCGTCGTGACTTGAGTCGAAACTACGACCGCCGTGGTGGGAGGCGTCGACAAAGTGGAGGAGGTCGCCGGTTGGTCATCGAACCTGAGGTAAAAACAAATCGAGCGCAATGAAACACAACAACCGCCCGAAATTGAACCACTCACGTGTACTGCGCCCAGTCGAAAAAACATCCTAGACCCCGTATTCGCATTATTCGTCGTCAATGTCACAGTATGGTCCGCCTGTGGGAGCCCAGACACGCTGAAAACCGTTACGTTGTAAACGTAAACAGCCTTCCCGGTTTGCGGATACAAATACGTCCCGTGCGGCTGGCCATCGAGCGTGAATGCGAGGTCCATGGGCGTAACAATGTCCGTGCGCGGCCCGAGGTCGATCGCAGCACACATCACCGATATTCCCGTCCCTGCAGTAAATGAGAGGGGTTGCGTCAGGCTACGATGTACGGCCGACGGGAACCTGAGTCTCAGCGCACCGGTGAAAGAGAGTGAAAGGGAAACGGGTGTTCCCTGGACGGCCTGAAGCCCATCGTGCCATGTCTGCGCAAACAGGTTATCCACCACGAGCGAGTCCGTGCATGTCAGGCAGTTCGTGTTCTGGAAGCTCGTATTCAGCCTCATGTGATCGGCGGCAGCAAACAGAGATGCAACTCAACTAGCCACCACTTATCGGCCGGAGTGTAGACCGGCTTGACCCCCGTACGCGAGTCGCCCAGCTCGTCGTCTATGGTCGCGGTCCCCGAAAGCGCACAGAGAGTGTAAAATGAGAGTGTGAAGAGCCAGGACAGCAGCGAGGCCATTGAAGGAGCGACCCAACGGTAAAGAGCGGAGAGAGACAGTCGCGAGACGATAAGAGGCGCAGGGGGAGCGAAGGCGCATTCTGATCAGCTGAGGTTTGTTGATCAGGATCCGACAGTTGGCTTCCCGTTTCACAAGCATCCAGATCAGTCATGAGAATCTGATTGGTCTCCAGAATCCCCCTTTAACTTCTTTAATGCACCGAATCGGTTCATCAACGACCGCGGTCGCGGGTCAAGAGACAGTACTTTGCTATAAGACTCCACTCTCCTTTTGTGTGCGTGCAGATGGTCACAGGAAGTCGAGATTTGGGATAGAGGATCGCTTGTCGAATGAAGGTCCCGGATAACCGCTCGAGCTGATATGCAACAACTTGAGGCACATACAAACAACAACTTGGCGGGACGCAAGAACACAACGGAGAGCTGTGTCCTATTTACGGGCAAGTCCGTGCATGTGTGACAGTTCGTGATTTGGGAGCTCGGTTTCAGCCTCGTCTGATCGACCGTGACAAGTAAACATGCAGCTCAACTAGCCACCACTTATCGGCCGGAGTGTAAACCGGCTTGGCCCCCGTGTGTGAGTCGCCCAGCTCGTCGTCGATGGTCGCGGTTTCCGAAAGCGCACAGAGAGTGTAAAATGAGAGTTTGAAGAGCGAGGCCAATAGCCTGATCATTGAACGGAGCGACGGAGTGGTAAAGAGCGATTGTGGACACTTGTGAGACGATAAGAGGCGCAGGGGAAAGGAAGGCCCATTCCGATCAGCTAAGTTTCGCTGATCTGGATTCCACAAATAGCTTCCCGTTTCACAGGCGCCCAGATGAGTCATTAAGATCTGATTGTTCCCCGGGATCCGCTTTGGACTTTTTGAATGCGGTGAATCGATTCATCGACGACCATGGTCGTAGGCCAAGAGGCAAGACGTGGCTATCACAAGGCACTCTCTTGTGCGTGCAAAGAGGTTCACAAGGATTCGAGAGTTGAGGTCGAGAATCGCTCTCCGAATGCAGTGCCAAAAAAAGCTCGAGCAGATCGAAAATGAGTCAAGCGACAACAGCGTAAGGCACATTTGAACAACTGGGCGTGACGAACGTAGAACTTGTCTCATCACGTGTGGTGGGCTTGGCCCGAACGCGCAATGGCAACTTGCAATTTCAAGATGCCATGCGGGTTTAGAAACTACAATTGCTCAAACATCTAATTTACTGTACATGTAGTATATACGGGCCTGTGATTCATGCCGTCTGACGAAACCTGTGAGCCCATCCGTTTCCAGATACGATGACAACTCACCTTGCGCTCCACACCGCGCGCCTCGAGATCCGGGTTACGAGTGACTTTCCCAGCGACCTTCTCGACCGATCCTACCGCAAGATTAGCTTGCGCGTTGATGACACAAACAGGACGGACAGACCAATGATCTTGTCCCCAACCCCAACATGACGGCCTTCCGTTCGTTCGGCAGCAGTCGTCCCAGTACCCGTCTCATGGTCGCGGAGCGTCGGGGATGTTTCCGAATGCGCGCCCGGTTCCTGCTGATGCTGCTGCTCGGTGCCAGACGAGAACTCGCCCCGCGACGCAGTGCGGTACACCGTCTCGCCCCCCGGCTCGCGGTCCTCGCCGCTCATCGCCTGGAACGTCGAAATGCCCGACGCCTCGCCGCGTTGCATCGATTCGCCCACGGTCGGGTGCGTGACAGAGCCCCGCACGCCGGTATCGGTATCAGCTGCAGTGGTGGAGGAGTACGGCTGTGGCGTGTTCTGGTTGTTGCCGTACGAGATGTCACCGGTGCTGGTGCCTGTCGTGCCGTGCGTGCTTGTGGTGCTAGAGGGTTGCTGCATGTTCGTAATGTTTGGTGTTTTCAGTGGGGAGACCCTCGTTGTGCATTTATAGAGCCGCATAATCCCAACTGTGAGGTCACATACTCCGAGCAAGTTTCCAAGCTCAGAGGCTCAAGCGCTCATTGGTGACGAGAGGTTCAATGAAGTCATGGATGAATGGGGTCGCTGATGTGAAGGCTGTCTCCGTCTGGGAGCTCTGAGAATTCCGAACTGAAATCCCAACGGCGGAGTCTCCACAGGCCAACAAAAAAGGAGCCACAAATTTGTCGCTCCAAAGCATAGCGTCATGCGTCGCGAATTCACAGAAGAAAGGAAAGACATCTCAGGATTGACGGCGCTTATGTCATCATCACTCATGACTGAGTGAAATCATCGGGATTCGCAAGGTTATTTCTACGGAACGGATAACAGAGATAGGAAATAAACTACAGCGACGACCGACGACGCACAAGCCTCCTCAGCTTTTTCGTCAACGACGCGATGCACAGCGAGCGCAGAGGCGTGGTCGCATTGCTATCCACCGGAGGCGGCGTCGCCCGGCGCTTGATCTTCTTCGGCTTGTGCAGTGGGTTCTGCAGAGCCAGAGCAACTATATCTACGGGCGGAGGCACGACGAACGTTTCCATCGCCTCGACCTCCGTGCGCAGTTCTGGAATGCTCGGCCGGCGCGCCGGATTGGGATCGAAGATCCGGTTCGCGAGCGAGCTGAATGAAGGGCTCAGGTCGAGCGTCCCGCGGAAGAAGTGCGTGGGGTCGGCGCGGTACGCGCAGTACGTGTCGTCGGACTCCACGGGTGCCTTCCAAAGAAGGCTGCTCGTCATCAGGGCGATCAGGATCACACCCAGCGACCAGCAGTCCGTCCCGCGAGGGGAGTATGTGTCTCGGGTCTTGTCCATGTTTTCTGCGACACAGGTGAGTCAGGGGCTTCCAATCACTGAGAAGTATCAAACACACCAGGACTCGCAAACACAGCAGTCCCAACGCCGAACTGTTTCGACTCTTCAGACCGAGTCGCAACACCAAAGTCGGCGATTCGGATGTTCTTGCCGTTGGCGTCACACAGGATGTTCCCGGGCTTAAGGTCCCGGTGGAACACACCCTCGGCGTGGCAGGTCTCGACGGCATCAAGCACGTCCAAGAACACCCGCTTCGCAACGTCGCACTGCTCGTCGCAGTCCTTGTGCTCGATGACGAAGCGGTTCAGGTCCGTGTCGCAGAGCTCCATCACGACAAAGACGTGCTCGCCCTCGACGAAGGCGCGGTGCAGGGCCACGACGCCCGGCAGGCCAGAGACCTGTGTGTGGTTCTTGAGCTCGTTCTGGAGGTTGTGGTGCTCCTGCGATCCGGGCTCGCCGTGCAAGAGACACTTGACGGCGTAGTGGATGGGTGCCCCGGATGATGCAGTCGATTGGGTGTCCAGAGCCTTGTAGACCTTGGCAAATGAGCCGTGGCCGAGAAGCTCGACGAGCTTGAGCTTGCCGTTCTCGACGGTGGACCCTGTCAAGTCAGGGAGTCGGGTGTATGGGAGCGGGGCGGGGTGGGATGAGTGGGTGGATGTCATGATGGATGAGTGTCGAATGAGGTGCGTTTGTATAGGGCAGGCAATAGAGCTCGTTGCATAAGATATGAAGTTGTGTTGTGGTGGTTGGAAGCAAGATGCCAGGAGGTGCTGGTCTCACCGCCCTTCCCGCCTTATATCCCGCCCATATGTCTCACTGCGCCGATCGAACCACGTCATTGCCGACCTGAAACCATCTAGGGAGGAGTATCTCTGGATAAAATGATTCATCAGACTCGACTCGTTGAAAGGGTCTTGAGTAGAAGCCTGCAGACTTCAATTGACTCGCGCGAAATCATACCCTGCGATGCGTCCTGTGTAGATCTTTCCCCCCGATGTGAGATAGGATTTCGTTGCGCCTCGGTGATTGCGTGTTCGGACGGGCGAGCAGACGGTCACAAAAGCGAAGATTCACGGTCAGGGCCAACCGGCGATAAACAAGCGACGCCGTCTTCATTGACAGTGCAAAGGCATGCCAAGATCTAGACTCAGTGTCATCTCTCGTAACACGATCACGTGAAACTTTTGCTCGCGTACCTAGAAAGGACACGTTCTGAATCTAACGCCTTTTCGCGCTCCTACTCTATAGAGTATAGAAATCTGCTACGAGGTAGCTGAATGATGTTGTGGCAAGCGCGGAGATGTGCTACCGCCATCTTGATGCGGTAGCGACTGCGCAGACCCACTGGCCAGCTCCCAGAGCGGGATGGGAATGGACTGCGGGGCCGCCAGCGAGCTCTCGAGGTCAGGCGTCTCAGGCGGCAGATCTTTCACGTTCGGGGTGCTCTGGAGGTACGTGAGCATAGAGCGAGGTGCGCGAATGAGAGCCACCGCTGGCGCACATAAGAATAGCGTGCGAAGGTGGGAGTCGCGACTCCGACCGAGTGGCGGTGGCCGTTCATCACGCTCTCCAGTTCTACGGTCACGTTCGCCGAGGCTGACCGGGGACCGGACAGGAAGTTGATCAGGAGCGTCAGCGCGTAGATACGGCCTTGACAGAAAAAGAAGAAGTTGAAGACTGCATATGGACTGCTGTCAGCCCTCCCGGCAGACGGCTGAAATCGAGGACGACGGACCGATATGACCCTTCAAGAAAAGAATCATCATCAACAGCGTCGTAGAGGCCACGACCGCCCCGGAGACGAGACTCAGCATCAGGACCTTGCGGGCCAAGCTGGGATCGAGAGTAAGCAGTTGTCATAAGAGGAGGAGCAGAGCCCACTTCAACAACTGTGAGCTCTGCCGCGATCCACTGCTCAGGCTGACGATCCTGATCTTATTAAGCTCGTATCCCAGTAATCCAGCAATGAGGATGTCCGTCACACTGCACAGTATAGCGCCAATTCTGGAGAACACCGTAAGAGCCGTGCCCGGGCCAATCCAAAGACGGGAACTCGCGAGGTGATTTTGTAGGTAATATCACGGAAGCCAGTCACTGTCGGCTGGAGCATGATGGCTGAGGCGAACGAAAAGCCAAACTTTGCGCTCGTAAGAAAGGAGGCGTCGCGGCTGAGACGGAGCTCACATGGAGAAGACCAGAAAGCACAACAATCAACGATAAGATTTTGTTGCGAGACCTGCATGGAGATCGTATGAATGAATGGTGGTAGCTGAGCGGGGCGGAGACCGCGCACAGAACAAAGTAAAGGTTGCAGAGGAACGACTGCTCGACAGCCGCCGTTGCATACGTCGCAGAAATGATGATGGTGGTCGGCACCGTCACCGCACGGAAGTTCGCTTTCCCGAAGAACGTGAGGAATGTCATCAGCACGCTCGCATCGATGGCCATGGTGCATATGAGATCGAAGAAGACCATCAAGGCTATACCCAGCCGGTGCATCAGCGGCCGACGTTGGCGCGCCAGGTAGCGAAAGGCCAGCACGGCCTCAAACGCGAAGAGCATGGCGTTGACCCATGACCCTGCGAGTTCCACTCTGGGCCATGTTCAGAACACAGCACGGTCGTTGATGGGAGCACTGCTGGAGACGCACGTGTATAAGTTTGTCAGTGGTCCATCGAATGCGGTCGCAGACATGGGCACTCGGCTCCAGCCAAAGTCACGTAGCAAACTTGCTGTCGAGCAGAAAGAGCGCGCTGGGGGAGAAAGAGAACACTGCCGAGTAGCAACTCACGTCATGCAGAAGCTAGCTCTTATAAGTTTACATAAAAACATCACATCACATACATTATCCGAGTGATGATCGTGATCAACGGGTGTTCTGTCTGACTCTCTGAGTGGTGGCTGCTTCTCTTGTTCTTTCCATCAGCATCAGGTCTCACAATACATTTCCTTTATTGAGACATGCAGCGATGGCCTATCAATTTCATGAGTATAGCTATCGCGTTGCACACAAGGCGTTGTGGAAGCAATCCTATCTGCCGCGGACGGCTCTTGGAATAAAGGCGAAATTCCACGTCTTCTGCCGCATCTGATGACCATAAATAAGGTTGCACAGATCTGAGATGTCAGAGCGTATATGTATATTTGGACAACGGGGGTGAAATTGGTCGCTGGGCTTGACTGGTCAGACTGGACTTTGTCACGTTTACTTACTTATCGACACTAGTCTGATCTGGTGGCGTCGCGGTCGTGTCACAGTTCTGCACGGCTGGGTTTCACAGCATCTGGGGTAATGCTGCTGTTCGGTTTCACCTGCAAAGGCCTCTGACAGTCGACTGTGCTCCCAGATTTGTTTGGAACAAGATATTTTACAGATCTACACATTCACAAAATACGCTCTACTTCTGACACCCACATTCCGGGTCCAACTTGGACATCGGATCAGCTGCAGCGATCTTGTTAGCAGCGGCGTCAAGCTGCTGCAACGGCAACTTAGCCGAGGGGCGGCCGCCAGTGCGATTGCTGTCGCCCGTGCCGACATCGACCTGCAGGTCCAGGGGCAGAGTGTTGCCGTCGTTGTTGTTGCCGTTGGGGAGTTGAGCGTCAGCCTGCCCGGTCTGCGACCCGCCGTCCTCATTGGCAGCAGCACCGACTTGCCCATTCGATGGCCGAGTGAGCAGTGCATGAGCCTTCTTGCCCGAAGGCGCACTGGGATCAACGGGGAAGTCAGGTTTGCCGTTGTCAGCCACGTCCGCCGAGGTCTGGCCATCGCCACCCTTCTTGACGCCGTCGACCGTCGCCTCTTCGCCCGGCCCTCCCGGCCCGTTGTTGCTCACATCAGCTTTGGCAGTGCCGTCGCCGAGAATGGACGCAAGGTCATCTGCAACTGGATGGTTGGGCATGGAAGAAAACTTCTTCGGGTGATTCTCCTCAACGTTTGCGGCAGCGTTGGCCCCACCTTCCTGCCCCTGACCATCCGCCTGAGCGCCGGAATCCTGGGACTCTGCACCAATCTTCGCGTTAGGGCTTGACGGGCTGATGTTGCTAGGGCCGTGAAGACGGGACGGCGACACAAACTTGCCAAAGCGAGAGGCAGAAGCAATATCGGCAGTATCAGCTGAAGGTTGGTCCGAGGGGACGAGGTTGATGTTGAGGTTATTCTCGTGGGGGACGATCGACTGAGAGCTTGGGTTGGACGGGTTCGACTGTGGGTCAGGTCCCGGAGCAGAGACAGAAGCCTGCTCAGACGCCTGCTCAGATGACGGCTGGTTGGCATTCATAGCGAGAGGCGAGCTGCCTCCAGGGGCAGGGCCGCCAGACGCCTGCGCGCAACAGCTCTCGAGAAAGATGCGGAAGTCAGGTGCTGACGAGGGCAGATCGTTCGGGTTCCCCGCCAGAAGCTTGGCGGCATTCTCGGCGGTGGTCGTGAACTTGATGGCCTTGTTGTAGATGCATTCGACGGCGTTCTGATGAAGAAAGCATGAGCGAGATGAGGGAAAGAGCGAGGATCACGCGCACAGGTCCAGGTCCCTGGTCACGTGTGACATGGTGAATGGGACTAGCGAGCGCGCCCGCGACGAAAAGAAGAGGCATGATGTGTGTGTACATGGCGAGTAAGGATCGTGGAGGTAAAAGAGTGTGCTGAACGAGATGAGAGGGAAAGGAAGAGAGGATTGGTGAGTATATGCGCCTGGGTATGCCAAACTTATATACTACGGGCGAGTTGTTTGTCTTTCACTTGATGTTATTTGTCTTTCACTTTGGAAAGGAGGGACCAGGGGTCAAGCTCAAGCTTCACGTTCCTAAACATGTAGAAGATAGCTGCAAAGCGGAAGCGACGAGGTAAGATGCGAGGGTGCCTACTGGATTGGATTGAGAATGTTGGTCTCGAGGAACTCGAAACAGCGACATCGCTATCATCGCCCCAGCCACAATTCTGGAAGTTAGTACCGATGAGGCTCTGAAGCGACATGGAAAGGTCAGGAACAGGGTTGTCCAGCCACTGAGATGTACGCTGTGACAGGAGTTCACACACGCCGCGGCTGATAAGTAGATTGTTCTATGCTAGGATGGTCCATTGTGTCGAGCAGTCAGTCGAGCAGTCCGTCTAAGTACGAATGCAGATGGATGCATGGGTGTGTGAGAGCGAATGGTTGATAGATAAGCATGAGGTAGGACGTGGAGGTATCGCAGGGCAAGGCTCGCAGAGGAAGATTACACGGCAACGGATAAGAGTCCAGCCCAAAGAGACAACCCTAGCACCAATAGAGGAGCGAGCAGCGACGGCAGTGAGGACGGTCGTATAATCGGCCTAACACAGAAAATAAGTATGGGAGCCGCAATAGCATTCACAGCGAGACCCACAGTCCAGCACTCGTTGCGTTCGCAGGCTTGGTCACAACCTTGATGTCTAGAACAGCTACTAGGCCATCTATGGCATTCAGACCGTTGATGGGGACGGAGAGATTGTGGTTGATCCCGTAGCTTGTGTTCGACAACAAGCCCGACACGTATGATATCCCCACGGAGTACACGAATCCAGCATACGACTTGGTGCCCGAGAAGGTTGAAGTGTTGGTAAGAGAAAATGTGTCGATCGGAGAGCCCGTGATGTTACCGATGAGCCAATCCCTACAACTAGCATGAGCAATGGGGATAGAGCATCAGCCCGAAACGTACCGTCCGACGTTGTAGCCATTAGGTACAATGTCATGGCCTTCGGCAATAGGTTTCTCATACGACGAGGCAAGAAAGTATGCTGAGCTGTTCGCTGACTTTCCGTTCTGTTGCCAATAACGGAAGTGGTCTCCTCCCTGAATAGTCTCCTCACAGGTCCCGAGTGATGGATCTCCATAGTCCCAGCGCAGCTCCGCCGTCTCGTTCACTGCCAAAGCCAGAGCCCGGTGTCAAGAAAAATACGCGCAACAGGGGTAAGAATGACGCACCGAGACCATTGCCGTCACCGAGGTCTGCCATCTGCGAAGCACCAATATGCTGCCCCAAGCATTCTCCACCGAAGCCAACAGCCCTGGAAAGCGATGAGTTTCGAACGGCGCGAAAGCGGAAACACGAAGCCCACATCCAAAAGTTCAGGAAGCCTCCATTCAGCGATGAGTGGACCAGCACTTCGGGACTGGAGGAGCCTGATACGATGATATTGAGAGGTTCGCCTTGTCCTGGAGGGAACGTCCCTGCTACGCTCTACGTGGGATATGGGATAGGTACCGTCAACTACTCATCTGCCGCGCAAGATAGGGAACGCAGAACGCACAGTAAGCATGGACCCTCCTGCATTCGCGGGTGGATAGTATCCACTTGCAGGGCCGGCTCTTGGCACATTGATCGTTCGACGTCGTGGCCAGATGCGTTCATACACAACGTCGACGGTCCTGCGGGGGGATGGCATGGACAGTGCTAATGCGGGTAGCGACAAAGAGGGAAGGCATAGGAGGAGGAGGAACAACGGTGCTGCAGATGTCCGGGTCATTATAAGGAGGGTGTTCTAGAGGAGTGAGATGTAGGGTCGGAGGTGCGCGGTCGTTGTGGACTCGGAGATTTCTGCAACCGATCGCTACTGTTTACGTGATGGCTACCTGCGAAAGCCCTTGTTCTGTGTATGTCGCCAACGCGTGGGAGGGCCCTGGTTCGAGGTGAGATGTCGTCAAGGCTTTCTGTGAACTGGGAAACCGCGGAACGGAAGAATGCGAATGGATGGAGGAGGGAAGGCGTGAAGCTGTCAATCACAACTCGATGATGCGAGGGGGCTAAAAGATCTGCAACGTCTAAAAAAGCGCAGTGGCGGATGAATCTCCGAGCGCGCCCTACTGACAGCTGATGTCCTCATATTTGCAGATAGAACGGGTTTCAAAGCACGTTTCGAACCGATAACCAATTAAAGTACATATGACACACTCCCAGTGCTAGCAGCCATTCAGTAGGCTATTCCTGGGAAACGTGTGCCCTGCTTGAGCCCATGTCGTCAGATTTGCATTCGTGTACGCTTCTGAGTGCCTAAAATAGATTTCAGCATTCAGAAAGAAACAACCCAATGGGTAATTACTGGGCAATGTAGTCAGCTGTGGGGCGATTCGGCGGATCGCAGCTCAGTCCATTCTTCGCACCAGGCGACTGATAGACCCGAACGTAGTCCACGAGCATAGTAGCAGGAAAGACCAGCTGACTGAAGTTCTGCGGCTGGAACGTGGGCGACATGCCCAGGTTGAGGATGATGTACTGCTTGCACGTCAGGATTCTACTACTCAAAGCTCAGGGCAAGCTCACCATAGGCTCTTCTGAGATCAAGCGAGCAGAGACATTTGCGATGGAGTCCGGACCGATGCTAGCTGCCGTGATCCCCCACGTCTTCTGCCCATTGCTATACCAATTCATGAATCCCTTCTCTCGGTCCGTAGGATCCGAAAACCACTCGATCCCATAAGTAGCGAACGCCTGCGCGCCATAGAATTCGTCCTCGATGTAACTCAGCGCTGAGACTGTCTGCTGGTACTGCCCGCCGAGATAATGGTTCAACTTCGTAATGCTTGCGTTCTGGATTGTCGTGACGGTGGTCGAGTTGTCGAACCACCGATGGTCGTTATAAGGTGCGATTTGCGTGCTTTGTGATATCTGCCCACGATAACTGGAGCCGTTGACCTCCGTGAGAGCCTCCAGAATGTCGATCTCAGGCACTCCTCGCCCAACTGAGGTGGAGGGACCAGGGTGATCAGAGCCTGGGCATGTGCAAGCGGACGCCCGTTGCCCCGGCAGGAAGCTCAGCATCTCATCATGAATTGCTGCCGGCAGTCCTGTGGCCGTCGTTTGGTTCGGGAGAGTTCCCCAATCACAGCTGCGTGGGAGATGGTGAATGGGAGAAGTGCTGTTCGACAAGAGATAGATACCTGTCATAGGTATAAGGCCACATTCCTTCAGTCGTTGCTCCGTATCCAGCGCGACCGAGGTTGCCCATCGTCCACGCGGCTGGCCAGAAGCCGACTTGCGAAGGCGAGCCGGGGAGACTGACCGAGACTTCGATGTAACCTCCATTGACGCAGACTTTGTTCCATGACTGCAGCATCCCTTCGAGTCAATGAGTCGAAGCAGCGGACAAAACTGCGTGCGAACCGCTCTGATAGGACAGGTTGTGATTGTTCAGCTCCGACATTGTGAGGACGAGATTCCCGCCCTTAGTCGTGACAGCCCACATTCGCAGATTAGCTCCAAAGTGACAAACAGCTGGCTTCACAAGAACCTCAGGGTCATACCATTCCAGATCATCCGTCGGCCAATAGTGCAGATCAACGGCTGTGAAGCGTCAAGCGCGTAAGGATCAGGTCCGATTCAATTACAAAACACGCACCTTCCCACCAGGGATCATCTCCTGGATAGAACGACCTCCCATCTACATTGAACTCGTCACTGAACACTAGCTGGTACTGCTGCCCATCCGGGCTGGAGAACGTCCGTGCTGACGATGGAGAATCTTCGTCAATCAGCTTGGGGAAATTGGGCATGCTCGGAATTTTGTCGGTCCCATTGCCCAAGCCTGAATCCAGCCCAGGTATCCGTGGTGGACGAGTGTAGAACAGGATCAGAGGATATCCGAGGAACAACGCGACAAGACCGCCCAGAAGAAGACCCAATGCGATGGAATTTGCCCATCCTCGTCCAGATGTCCAATCGAAGGATGAGCCTTCGTCAGCGACCGTACTTGGGTTGTGCAGCTCGTCATCGAGGTCCATGTTCTTCTCCCAGTGGGTGTTGACGGTTACTGTCTTTGTCCGTACCAGGTTGACTCGTGGAGGAGCTGGTGTGCCATCCATTTTCACGTGCTTCAGAGCAGGATCGAACTGCAAACGGGCGCTGAGATGCGGTGGATTGGGGGAGATGGACAGCGTTGCGCACAGAGTAAGGACCAAAATCAGAGCCAATGGACCACCTTGCTACGTCCTGAAAAATGTCTCCGCCTGCGCGCGGCACGCGGTCTGCGTGCAGCTCCTCCGTAGGTGCGCCTGAGAAAACAGAGGCGATCGTTGGAACGACGCGGTCGCCTGCGGTTGTGGCCCGTGGGAAAGCCGAGGGGGGCGATTGGTGAGGAATGGCGTTTTGCGCGTCGACATCGTTCCTCCGTTTCAGCAGTCTGCGGGGCGCCCTGGGACGGGAGTGGGACATCAACGGTGCTCTCAAGGTTGATGACGTAAACTTCTTGCATCGTGGCTTCGCGTAGGTTGAGATGGGTATATATATAGACCGCGCCACTCGGGGGATAAGTAGTAGTGTTCATTCAAAGATACCAGATACCAACAGCGACTCTGAAGTAAGTAGACGAGAGGTGAGGAATGCATGTTGCACTGCCACAGCCTTCCTCCAGTCTGAGCATGGCATCACTTGCTCTGAGCCGTCATCACTCGGGCACGTAGTGTGGAACTGTGTTTCCCTCGACGAGAAGGTCACTGATCAACACTTATCTCAAAGATGTGGCGTCTGGATGGTACAATTCGTGGTCCAGTTGGCAGTGTCACTAGCTCAATTGACAAACCTGATAAACGACGTAACGCAAGACCAGACCATCCTCCACTGCAGACGAGCTTCTAGGCGCGGCGATCTCCCCACTATCCATCTCCACTCCGCACGAACATGTGCTTATCGATGCTCGAGCAGTTCAGTCGCCATGCGTCCGCGTTTGCGTCAAGGATCACATCACCTGCTGGGACTGTGGGCATCGTGTCGAATTGCGGGGTGGGTATTCTATGGCTCAGTGACTGGAACCGATACGGTGATGGCCTATAGTTCTACTTTCAAGATGCGATGATTCACCCTAAATCCTTCCAGACTTGATCTCTTTCCTTATCAACTCTGAGCTCAATCTTGCCGGCTTACCTTCCTGCCTACGAAATATTCACATCTACGACAGCTACGCCTTCATCTCGCAAAGGAATATCAGGGTAACAATCCGTAGTTGGGGCTTTCACAGTGTCTCAGCAATCTACCTATCCTCGCTACGATATCGGCCTGAGGCTGCGTTCCTCGACCAATGCGAAGATCCATGCAAATCCATTCATGGTCCCTGCGTTGCAGACGCATTTGGCGTGCCGATCATTCAATGGCTCTTTAAACTTTGTTTTTCTTGCCAGATTTTAGAGATGGAGAAAATGGACTGCTCGTCGCTGGATTCAGAGCAAGGGACTACGTGAATATCCTCCAAAGAACCTAGACACACGATCTTCTAATGCTGCTTACCTTTGCCGAGCGTCAACCAAAACTGCTCTTGCTAGCTTCCAGTCCATTGACTGTCACCCGCTTGAACGTTCGAGTTTCGCTACCCTGATACTGGATTCCGAAGCAAGCCATGAATCATCGCACACACATTCAAAAGCCTAGGCTCTAATGAATGCTCATCGGGCTCGGATCATGGCCTGCTATCCCTCGGGTACACCAGACAAGATCAAGATAATGGCCTAAGCGTCTTCGGCAGCCATGGAATCCTGAGTACCCTGATCGCAGACGAGCACATCATTCGCGAAATCTGTCATCTCTGGGGCCATGGTGGATAGTACTGAGACCGGGCCCGCAGTTGATCTCGTTCAGGGCAGCAGCGCTAAGCATCCAGGGTCGTAGAGTGCTCAGTGCATGTTTGTAGAATGCCGAACATAATCCTATGTATGTGCACAAGAAAGTCCTCGAAATGGAATGCTGCAAAGGGCTTGACTGGACCGAAATAACAAGGAGTGGCACTGGCTCAGTCAGAAAGGCGAAAACATGCACAAATCGAGGACAATGGCCATCTCTCTACTACATAGGCCGTGACGAACGCCTCATGACCACTCTTCTTCTTCTTCCTTGCTTTCTTCGCGCTCAGAGTAGACGCGCCGACCTACTCGATCGCTGCGTTCGCACTTGAGACATACTTCGCTCTCTATTGTTCTTTGCGGCCTGATCGACGCACTGCCGTGCCACGTTCCGCCACAATCAGAACCTCCAACTGGCCCCAGATGCCCCCAAGGTTCATCATCGAGGACGCAGGGACGATCCGGGAGACACGCGACGACCCGAACTCACCCTCGCGTCCGCGGAAGCGCGCGCGAGTCGACTCAGTAGCTGACGGCGGAGGGTACGAGTACACGGGGACCGAGCGTCCTACCGAGCCTTGTGGCCCGGTGCACGACGATCCAGTCTACTTCTCGAACGATGCGGATGCGGAGTGTGTGGTGCGCGTTGGCAATACGCGGTTCAAGGTGTGTGTCGCCGATCTGGCACACAGCCAATGCTCACGGCATCTCTCAGGTCAAAGGCGATCTTCTAGCGGATGTCTCGATCTTGTTCAAGGATATGCTGCTCCGCCAGAGACGCTTGAAGAGACAACCGGACGGTTCGATGTACCCGTTGGTACTCGTTTCGATTACGCTGCCCGAAGAGTTCCGGGCACTGATGTGGGCTTTGAATGCCAGGTGCGACTTCTTTGTCTCATGACCACAACTTCCGAGTGCTGACTCACTCTTTATTGCAGTGAAAAAGAACTTTTAGCCCAACCTATCGAGCACGACGAAATCGACCGCCTGCTCTCCATCTCCTCCATATCGTACCAGTTCGATTGCCCGAAACTAAAGACATGGGCAAACGCCGCCCTTCTCCGCACTTTTTCCGCGGAGACTTCTCTCCTATCAAGCTGCTCGTCGGCGCTGCTCACCCGTGCTCTGGACGTCGCCATCCGCACCCGCCAAGACGACCTGATCGAAGCGACAATCACGCGCTGGTGCGAACGCCTGAAGACGGGCGACACACCCTGCGTGCCGGCCATCATCGCCGCGGACATCCACGAACTGCAGGGCCTGCGCGGGGTGGCCTACTACCAGCATGTGCAGAGCATGATCGCGCGGCAGACGACCGTGACGGGGCGCGGGGCGACGCAGTTCACGGCCGACGCGCGGCTGAGCAATGCGCAGGTGATGCGGCTTCTGTCGGGGCACTGGTCGCTTGTCAGTCTCTGGGAACGGACGAGGAAGAGCGCGGTCAATTTCGCTTGCGAGTGCAGCGGTGTGAAGAGTTTGTGTGCGGACCTCTGGGTGCAGCGGTGGAAATGCGCTGTGACGTCAGACAGGGTGAATGCGCTCAGCTCAGGCAGCATCTTGAGGTTGATCGCCTTGGTCGGGGATATCCTGGCGGCGGACCAGAGGTTGAAGGAAGAGATGTCTCCGGGGTGCCGGCGTAATGCGCTGGCAACAGTCAAGACACGCGCAGCAGAGATCGAGGAAGGTATTGCTGACCACTTCTTTGGGTGGCTTTGAGCTTTCCCTTTGCCTGTACATACTACTTATTTGCCATTTGCTTTGTACTTCTAGTCATCGGTGTAACATGTATTATGATGTTAGACATACATACAGCATCTGTAACTCACACGCGACTGCCTCACTCGCCGGCACGTCGATCTTTATCTCAATGTGCCCCGCACTGCTGTAGAGAGTGGAAACGAGCCCAGTGTGCATTGTACTCGGCATTCATGGCTGTTCTCCGAGCAAAGCGCCGAATCAGGCCAATATCCGGCCTTTGACTTTATTTTCATCTCATATACTTATGTCGTACGGTTCAGGGAGGCTAAGGCACGAAAGGGGTACCTTGTTCGCATATCGATTCCACTAGGGCTTCTAGTATCTGTCTGTGGCATATCTGCGCCGTCGGGCACAGAGCCCCACTATTCCGCACGCGGCATTGGACCTACGCGACGGATTGACTAATACATCCCTCAAGCGGAATGTACCTCGAATCCAGAAGCGCCACCAAATCCAATGGAATGGTACGAGGGGAGTCTGAACCTTACCTGGACACCATCATCACTCAATTGAAGTATGTTTTGCACGAAGCTGCTGTACCCCTATGACTCGCCAATGATGTTGTAGGATGAAGATCATCTCGTTTACCGCAGAGGGATTATCAAAGTTTACTTGCAACCTTGTGCGTCGCTTCTTGCCATTTTGTCAAATTTGATAGCAACAGCTGTCCTCCTCTGACATCGAGTGTGTATCTTCAGTCTAATTGTGTGTCAGAGCGCGCGAACTCGAACTTCGCCCCCGTCAGGGGTACACTGTCGGAATTCTCCTCCAACACCTTGTTATCTATCACCTCAGTCTCAGTTCAAGGAAACGAGCAGAATCATTGCAACTGAAAATACTAGGCACCATGCCAGAAAGTTCAAAGAGGTGTTCAATAACTACCGAGTGTCTTCGATACACCGAATCACTGGAAGAATTTTCCCTCATGGCCAGCCCAGATCATCCGCCACAGCGTAGGAAAGCGTGTATAGATACACAGATGCTCACAGCCGAAGCCATTGCGCACAGGGCGACATGCATACATGTGGTCATCCCATGCCCCTGATGACTAGTCTGACTGGAAAAAAGCCGCCCCGATGGCAGCAACGAAGCCGCGCAGGACTATCACGATCTCGAGAGAATTGAGAAAAAGTCAAGCTCAACACGCCGTTCAAGAGTGGTGCTCTACTGCTTTCTTCATCGACGCCATGGAGTACCTGATTATCCTTAGAGTATGCTGCAGGGGTAGTAAAAAAAGCTTGACAAGTAGACAAGCAAATGAACACTTTACATCAGCGCGGACCGACCAGAATAAGACCAATTGTGAAGTTCTCAGATTAGATGGAGCAAAACGCGTTGCAGTGGACATGCCGAGTCACATGCCTATTGTAAACGACCCAGATCCCTGCATACATGAAACGGACCGCTTGATAGAGACCCCCGAGTCATATGTATTATCGAGACATTGAACGGCTTCTGCTTATCGCTCTGTCACGTGATCGTGTTTGGACGCAAGATCAATCGTGCTTTCGTAACATTTCCACGAGAAGGCAATCTTCGCGGGGCCCGCGCTTCGCCGCCAACCGGGCGCCCGTGCTTCTTACGCACCATCATCCAATGTGATTCCGAATTCGCTCAGCTATTGGAGGTTGCTATGGGCTAGAAGAGTATAGCCACCTTCGTCCATCGGATATAAGCAAGGGATTGCCATATGACGCAAGTCTTTCACCCCCTCTCGAGCGCTTTCCTACAAAACGGACTCTCCTCCGCTCATTCTGCGGGCGCACGCATGTCGGCCCCCGATGCGGATGGTCCCAGACCGGATATGGGCCCCTTCCTGTTCTCGTATGGGTGCGTGCCGCGGCCAGTTCCCCCAAACGTCTGAGCGTCGAGCCTGAGGGCGGCAGCACACAGCTCGCCGGCACGTGGGTGAACATGATGCTCTTCGCGTGCGAGCTCGTGCTGGCGACGCGCTACCTCCTGCGGCCGCACCGCCCGCGCGTGCACCGGCTCGGCATCGCGGTGATGCTCCTGGCCGACACGATCTGCACGCTCGCAGTCGATTCGATCGTGTTGACGACGGTGCTGTCGATTTTTGGCAAGCTTACGTTCAGATCGGACACGATACCGACCACGATTAGCATCCTCGCGACGTACATCACGGCGGCTATCGAGCAGTCGTTTCTGTGCCAGTTGTACTACATTTTGTGCGTTGAGGATGACTTTGAGTTATTTCACTGTTTCTGATTCGCGCCCCAGGTCACGAAAGAAACTTGCCACCCTCCTCATCGTGTCTTGCAGCGCCTTGCACGTGAGCCCCCTCGTCACTCCTTATCCGTCTATCGCCGCCGCTTAAGCACTGCTTTCCAGCTCGCAATCTCATTCGCAGGTGGAATCATGCTTCAGATCTCCGGTGTTGGGGCATTCCCGTCAATCTTCCAAGTGACTGCGTGAGCATCTGTGTTCTTGAATCACGTGTCCTATGGGTTGACAACGCTCCAGCGTCGGTGCGATCACCTGCAGCGCAACGGACGTCCTCATTGCCGGGCTGGTGGGATATGAGCTGAACAAGATCAGGCTAATGACGAGCAAAGGTCCCGGGCACAGCGCGCGTCTTCTAGGGTACGTCCCGCTCGATTTTCCAGTGCTTATTGTATCCCCTGATTCAGCAACGAAGCATCGTACGCAGGGTTCTCTTCCTGAGTCTGATATCAGGGGCGATCGTCGCTTCCACGACGCTCTTGATGATGATCCTTTTCATCAGGAGGAACGTCGGTGCGTCGCCTCGGACCCTTCGCGCGTTGTCTGCACGGTCCACGCGCTGACCCATCAACCGCAGTGTTCGACATGCTCTTCTTTTGCCAAGGCCGGGTCTACGCGCTGACCCTGCTCATCAACTTCCTCTCGGGACCACAATCGGCCTCGACGGGGATCACGGCGCAGCCGGACTCCGCCGCGCCCCACTCAGTCGGGGCCACCACGCCCCAGTTTGCGCCCTACTGTTATGTGCGTGCTGCCTCTTCGTGCTGATTTTCTGCGCTCACGGGCAGGGCATAGGAGGAGGAGGAGGATGACGACGATGTGGCGAACTCCAAAGCCATGCAGCCGATCCAGATGGACCCCAAAAGCCAGTCCTCATCCGTAGCAGGGCACTCGATCCCCATCCCTCTCTGGGAGCTGACGCACGGATCGACATCGTCAACGCACTCGCGGGAGACACCCGCAGGGAACTCGTCGGAGGCGGACTCTCCCGGTGCACCAGACACCTCCAAGTCGGTATCATCGTCCCAATCGTAGTCCTTTTTTGTTGCTCGGATCCTTCGTAGTATCATGTAGTGCGCTATATATGGCCACTTGACCAGCGCAGACGCCATAGTCCAACAATGACACGTGCCTAACCATATCACGTGTTCGTGTTCTTTGTCCTCGCAGCTTTGCGTGCCAATTAAGCCTTGACCGTCGCCGCCATTTTCTTTGTGCCTACGATGAAGTCGCTTTGACGCTGTGCTTGGGCCCTCATAGGGTGTATAAAAACAGCGGATCGTCCGTGCTGCGGACTGCACCTCCGTCTGCCCTTCGTCTCGTCGGGTGTCCCAGGCCATCCCTCCCTCCTACTCAACCGCACATTACCCCCTGCCAAAATGCGCGGCCAAGTAATTGTTCTCCCTCCGTTCATTCCGCAACGGCACGCGCTGATCCCGAGCCCAGAGCACCCGGATGATCCCCGATCCCCCGCTGGCGCACCCGTGCCCGCAGCCCGGCTGCGCGTGGAGCTTCGCGCGCAGGCACGACATGCGGCGGCACACGGCGACGCACCTGTCCGACGCGGAGCGCGCGAAGTTCGAGTACATCTGCCCGTACGCCGACGACGGGTGCGTGTACACGGCGATCCAAAAGGGGAACATGAGCACGCATATAACGTCGCAGCAGTAAGTGGTTCCTCGTTTCTGCACCGGTTGATCGTCCCGGAGGCTGAAGGTGTTATTATCTACAGCACGACAAGGCGGCCGCACGCCTGCCCGATCTGCCCCTACACGACCGGCGATCCGTCCAGCGCCGTGCGCCACAGGAAGATCCACATCCGCAAAGGAGAGCTAGCGGCGGACGAACACTCCAGGACAACAGCGCCCGCACCGCAGAGACACTCGAATAAAACGAACGCGATATCCCACCATCGCTCGAGTAACCCGGCGTCTGCCGCGGGATCATACTCCTCGCCTACTGCGGTATACGGCGGTTGCCCTGTCTTCAGCTCGAGCACCGAAAACTTTTTTCTTGATGCGTCGCAGTCTGTGCATATGCGCGCACGTCCTTCGTGGTGCTCGGACGACGAAGCCGACGACATGGATTGGGATTCCAACCAGCCCTCGGGCCGCGTACATCAGTGATATTCGACACACCCGCACCAGATACTGATACACTCCCGTCCTGGTAGCACGCTCTGTAACAAGTAGCTAGCTCGAAATAAACGAGCCTCTCATCGTGAACACATCAAACATACAACATGAAAGACAAACGGGGCAGAGCGAAAAATCAAATGCTCTGCGCCGGGATGGTCTTCTCGAACCAAGCGACCGAGTCCTCAAACGCCTTCTCAAACGCTTCCTTGACCTCGGGGTATTTAAAGTTGGGCCGCGCCGCGAATCCGTGAGCTGCCCCGAATATCAGACCAGCCAGAGAGGGCGAAAATCGAAAAACACACTGGTTCCTGCGTAGACGAACGGTTCATGAATCAGGGCCACCCAACGACCTCGAAATGTTGCATAGCGTACCTTTGTAAGTGATGAACTGATGCACAGCGTCCGGCCGGTCCACATAGAGCGCCTCGATCTCAGCAACGCGCTTAGGCGACAGACTGAAATCCTCTGCAACCAACGCATCGTCAACAATCCCGGAGCGCCGCTCAATGTATGTGCTGTTTTGACGAACCCTCAGCTAGTACCCACGCAACAGGCGCCTGCAGCGCACATGTCAAACAAATGTTCAAGATCACTAGTCTTCGACGACCGACCTTGATAGACAGGATATCCGCGTTACTCGGCGGCGAGGGATGCGCGATGATAATGGAGTCGAAAATCGTCGAGCTTCCGCCCAGACGCACAGCGACGCCGCCACCAAAACAATATCTGCGACCGAACATTGGGAAATCAGACGACACATGTGATCGACTTATCCGCGAGACGGATGCCGCGCACGCACCCGATGGCCCCCAGCTTCTCGTACTTCTTTTCAGCCTGGATCGCTTCCACGCACTGGAGACACCGGGCGAATGAATGAGTTCCAAGCAGCTCAATACAAAAACGCGGATCGCACTCGCCGAAACGACACGCGCATCAACAACCGCGGGCCGGTTGCGGATGAACGACGGCAGCACACCGAGCGCCGTGACCGCGAACTTGAGCCCTCCGAGCACACCCATCTTCTGCCCGGCCTTCTCCGGGAACTGCTGCAGCGCCTCCGGCGTGAGGAACGGTTTGCCTTGTAGGCGTGCATCATCACGTCAAAGTCGGGTCAAGCTGACTCGGCTGCAGAGCGCACCTGCAAACAGATCGGGCACCCACACATCGCAGCCGAGGCGTCGAGCGAACTCGTCCGCAATGACCTTGCAGTTCTTCAACGGGAGCCCGAATATGTCGGTCAACAGCACGATGGCGCGTTTGCTGCCGGTGGTACTCGTGGTGGCCGCCGGAGCGAAGTACGCGCCGTGAAAACGTTCTTCGATACTCCCTGTGGGCGTGCCCTCGAGAATTGACCCTTTGAAGCAGTCGGGGCAGCTCATGGGAGGTAGATGCAGTCGGGGCGGGTTGGAGGAGGCTTGATGGTGTGTAATCGGAGCCGGCGCTTGTATTACTAAAGGGAGTTTCCCACCCCCTCATTGTTCGCGACCTCGGCATCCGTGATTATCGAGGTACCGAGTGACACCCGTGGATGTATCGCGTAGATGGATAACGCCCAACTCCCACTAACGCGGAACAATGAGGGTAGCCTACGGCGCACGCCAGACTGGCAGACAAACAAACGGACGGCCCTCCGTCAACGCCCACGCGAGATGTGCGATGACCCTCACATTGCCACAAAATGCCTGCACCAGAAAACCTACATGACACATCTCGCAAGGAACAGCCAGTGGTCAGTTATACAGTCGGTGAACCCAAAAAGCTCTCAGACGGGGAATCGAACCCCGGTCGCCCGCGACATCAAATATGACAGGCGGGAATCTTAACCATTGGACCATCTAAGATGGATTGATCTCCCTCCTGTAGCCATTTGATTGTGCAAGACACCTCCTTTTTGCTGACCCTCTGATCATGCTGTCTGGGACAGCCACTGACTGCAATATGGATGTTCGATGTTGCCCAAGGACAGCAATAAACTTGTAGAAATTCGCTAGTGCATTCCAGGTTCTTCATGCTGTCTGAATAGCGAGATCCGCCCGTCGCTCCAGCGCCGAGTCTTTCTTTATACCGGAGTAAGCACTGGCCGCCGGTTTCTACGAAGAGACAAGGAACACGCAATCATTTACTGAATGAAGGCCCTAGATTTCGCGGGGGCTACTTCTGGGTCCAAATTTCACTCAGTCATCCCACACTGCGCATATACATAGAATCAAGTTCAACTTCAAGACTGTGTACAGGTTCCTACAACAGAGATCAATTGATTCGTCCGCAGTATAAATGGCTGGCGTAGTCCAAATCGGTGTTTGATTCACACGAGCCAGTCATTCTGCACTGCTGAGATCCACGCCGTTCACACAGGCAAGGTTTTCTCGAACCACGCCACCGAGTCGTTCAGCGCTTTCTCGAAGCCCGCCTTGACGTCGGGATACTCAAAGTCCGGGCGCGCCGCGAACCCATGAGCTGTGGAAAGATCATATGAACCAACCTGCCCAATCTCGGCGAAAGTGTATTATGCCTTACCAGTTCCTAGACACGATGAATTCGGGTAAATAATATGTCTGTGCGATGATTCTCGGCTTACCGGGATATGAGATAAACTCATGCTCTGCGGTTGCCCGATCCGCATAAAGAGCCTCGATCTCGGAGACTCGTTTACGAGACAGGCTGAAATCCTCTGGAACAAAACTACATCAGAAATGCCACAGTGCTCCAGGAGATAGATACAAATACCTTCAGCAAGCAACCAGGCTGTGGGCGCCTGCCACAATAGAAGCATCAATAACACGAATCGAGTAAAGGAAGGTGGATCATCAACTCCTGACCTTGATAGCGAGGACATCCGCGTCCTTGGGGGGAGAGGGATGCGCGACTACGATCGAGTCGAAAAGGCTTGAAGCTCCCAGGCGCACAGTCATGCCCCCGCCAAAGCAGTAGCTGGAGCACCATCAGCCCAGCACCCGGAACCAATATTCAGATGCCGCACCCAATCACTCCGATTTTATCATACTGCCGCTCAGCCTGCAGAGCATTCATAAACTGGCGATGCCGACTCAATCAGGAGGAATGCCGGTTGAAATCATCAATGTTCCTCACCGCCACTACTCTCCCATCCACGACCGATGCTCGATGGCGAACAAACGAGGGCAGCACGCTGAGCGCCTTGATCAGAAACCGGGCTGTGTTCAGCACAGACAGCGTCTGGCCCGCCTTCCTCGGGAAGTGCTTCATATCGTCCGGGGTCAGAAACGGCTTGCCTGCATCGCACGGAGACAATCAGCCCACGAGGAACCCCCAAGACACACCCTATAAGCACACCGGCAAAAATATCGGGCACCCAGACATCGCAGCCGAGCCGTTTGGCAAACTCGTCCGCGAGAATCTTGCAGTTCTTCAGCGGGAGGCCGAATATGTCCGTCAGCAAAACGATGGCCCGCTTATTCGCACCACGCGTGTCCCCAGCAGGGGCGAAGTACGCTCCGTGGAGATGCTCCTGTACGGTCCCGGTGGGCTCGCCCTCGAGAATCGACCCCTTGAAACAGTCTGGGCAGCTCATAGTCAGTACTAAGTAGAAGAGGTGGGCGGGGCGGGTAAATGCGATGTTATCTGCCCATATCGACGCGATGTGGGCCACTTAATACCAACTGCATTCGCATGACGTGCTGGATTTTACAACGAGACCGCTGCGCACACCCTCATGCCGGGCGCATTCGTCGCCTCGGGATGCACGATACCAGCCTCAATCTGCACAGGTACGCTGCTGCGCGACTGCGCAAAAGCGTTAAGCATACGCACCCCTACGGCGCTGCTCTGAAATCTATCCTATCCTGGCGTAGATCTTCCCGCGCAACATGATCGCCTGCGATGACGCGGCCTACGATATCGTCCCGTTTCCTGGCTTTCAGTTGATTTGCCTTCCAGAACGCAAGGCAGAGAATAAACCATAAAGAGAATGGCGATATTGATTTCCATGAAGCCGGTCGTTATTCGATAAGGAGCATAGAGAACATGCGTGACGCCGCGGATCACAGATTCGTCACGATGCTGAGATCATGATAGATGCTCATCAATCTTATCAATAGAGGAGTGCATCGCAAGTAGGCCAGGGGGAGACATCGTCCAATTCCGTGAAACGGATATCTGGAAACGGATTGTTAGTAATAGTTAGTTTTCACTGAGGAAGAAGCCCTGCAAATGATTAAAAAGCGGACCAGAGCTCTTGAGACGGAGGGTAAATGACTCCCAATCTGACATGAAAAATACCATCCAGTCCCTTTACGAAGAGGAATCAGCCTACAGGCTACGAGTCCTAAGCCCGATTAAAAGACTGCGTGGGATCTTGCGCAAATTTCGGATCAAAACTGACCCGCCCGTTTCTCCGAACTCCTCCAAAGCACGCGCGCAAAAATTGATTGGAGATCTGTGGTTTCTCACTGTTCAAATCTCCAGATCGAGAAAATGATACACCGGCTCCGATTTTCTCATTAAAAAATGAAAATAGAAATCGGTTATTCCTGGTGGTTTTTCGTAATCAAATAATATCACATTGCCTCGTGAATTCTCGGATTAATGGTATGCCACCTCCCTATATGCGTGAGGAACTCCCCCCGCATTCAAACACATCCTGCAAAAATGCTGTACAGCTCCCGCAGAGCCCATCGCCTTGTTTTATCCGTCAGCCATCGCACAAGGGACCCGAATGTTGCAACTTCCTGCATCGGTCAAGTGCGATAAACGCCGAGCTTGGAAGAAACCGTCGCTGACCGAGGTCTCCCCGACTCTCTCGTTAATCTCCTGGCGCTCATCATCGCTACCGAACGTCCGACTCCGACGGGCACAAGGCTCGCTACGGCGTGGCACAGGGTTTCCATCTTTTTAAAGGCGCCGCTCAGTCGATGACACTAACATCCGCTGTCAGGACTCAGCGCGGTCTCAGACGGGACGATCCCCGGCCATCGTATCCAAGTCATCTACAGCAGCAGTCTTCCTGAGCGCATGGCCTGAGCAGCAGACCCTCTTCGGATATGACACCCCGATGTGCATGGCTTGTCGGCGCCAGTATCGGAGCGCATAACCAGAAGGGGAAGATGCCCGAATTTTCATCGAGGATAGACGAGCATGCTTAATTACTTGCTACCGGGTTTTCACCCACACGTGATTGTCTGTGGAAGTACGAGTGATCTGCGGTAAGCTACGTTCGTCGCCGAACAGTTGCCACCTTCAATAGGAGGGTGCTGTAATTCGGTATAAAAAATCAATCCCAATTTTAGCTTGGTTACACTTGAATTGCATGGTACACACAAATATCCGTGTAAGGATAATATTCTCTAAGGTATGTTTTTTGGTATGTACGCGAAACAGGAATCCATCCGCGATAGGCTAGAGAACAACGAAAACACAGAGTAAGTCCGGAGTGCACGGCGCGCATGTGAGTATATAATCTGGGTGGGCGGCACTGTGCGAGGTCACATGGCGGCGTAGCCGGTCGCGTTCACCGCAGAGAGCCGCTTCTTCTCGACGAACGCCGCGACCGTCTCCTCCGTGCGGCGCATGCAGTCGACGGGGATCAGGCCCATCTCCGCGCGCTCACCGCCGGGCGCCAGCTTGTCGACCATGGCCCAGCCGTCGTCGTAGATCGCGAGCACCTTGACCTTATCGCCCGTCTGAACGGTGATCTCGTCCTGCAGCGTCTGCGCGAACGGCCGGCTCACGGTCTCCACCGCGTCGAACGCGGTGGCGGCGGCGATGGCGGCCGGGTCGGCGAATGGATTATCCGTCAAGGAGCTCGCCTCCCCCTGCCGGTGCTCCCCGGCGAAGGCGTCTTCGGCTGCCAGCGACGACCGCCCCAATATCGGCATCGACGTCGACACTCTCAGGGAGCCGGTCCCGGTCCAAGCGTTCGAGCGCCGCTCACGAGGGGGTGCGGGGAACGCAAACGATTCGCTCGGCGAGAACGGGCGGACGGACATCGGGGTAACCACAAGGTCAGGGGTGACCAGCTGGTTGTTGGCGGGCCGGTCGTAGGTCAAGAACTGTGCGTTGCTCGATGTCGTAGACGTCAGCGAGCCCGCGGACACGCGGCGGTTCTGATCGGAGAACACGTTCGAGTTCTCGATCGAAATCAGCAGCGCGACCGGGTTCGACGGGGAGGAGGGCGAGACGGGCGAGATGGGAGATAGGGCACGGCCGCCGAGGCTGCTATCGCCTTTGGGGACCGTCGCGGGCCCGCCACGGATTTCGACCATCGGAGGAACAGCAGGCGCATTATCATCGATCTGCAAAGAGAACTCGCCTAGAGAACGAACACAATGTCATGTCAGAGAGAGACATACAGAACACACGCGAATTCCAACGTACTGTGATCGAACGCCGTCCCAAAGCTGGACCGAATGCTGCGCGAGGACGAAGCCCGGCCGACAGTGGCAACGCCGCTATCCCGGGGCTGCTCCGTCCAGTTAGCGCTCGACCACCACTTGCGGCGCTCCTGCCGCTTGTGCACCGCGCGGCGCCGGAAGAAGGACAAGATCGAGGCGATCACGATGATGGTTCCCACGACACCAACGAGCGGGTAGACGAACTTGGGCGTGCCGCGCGCGGGCGTGTTGCCCGCCGACGTGCCGCCGTTCGGTGAGCCGTTGGAACCGGTGGTCCCGCCCGACGAGCCAACCGTCGCCGAACTCGTGGGCAGCCCATCGGAGAAGGTCACCGTACCGACGACGGCGATCGTCTTGCTGCCTTGCACGAAATAGCTCGTCGACCCGGTGGGGTGCGCAACGGCTGCGGATGAGACGCCGGAGTCGGGATTGGAGACAACGTTGACAAGCGATGACCCTTGCTTCGAAGAGGCGACCGAGCCTTGGTCGGCAGCGGAAGAGCCGCCGGCCGTGCCGGACAAGCTTGCAGACGAGGCTGAGGAGCCAGTTCCAGTCGCCCCGGTGGCGGCGGCGCCCGAGGTGGAAGAACCGGTGCTTGCTCCGCTGGCGATGGCGTTGCCGCTTCCTGACCCGCCAGAGGCGGGACTAGAGCTGGAGGACGATGATGAACCGGAGGCGGCACCGGATCCCGGGCCGGATCCCGAGCCTGAGCCCGAAGCAGGAGGAGTGTTGTTAGAGGAGTCAGAGCCGGAAGATGAAGCGGAGCCAGAGCCGGAGGAGGAGCCAGAGCCCGATCCGGAGCCGGAGACGGAGCCGGCAGAGGAGCCAGTACCAGTCCCAGAGCCAGTACCAGAGCCAGAGCCAGTACTAGAGCCAGAGCCAGAGGATGATCCAGTACCAGAGCCGGAGGACGATCCAGCTCCAGAGCCAGAGCCGGATGACCCAGCGCCGGATCCAGATGAGGCACTGCCGGATCCAGCCGTAGACGTGCTCGGCGGCTGGGCCGCCGTAGTGGGTGTACTCGCAGGGGTCGTCGGAGTATTCCCAGGCGGGGTGACAGTCGATGACGGGCCCGGGAGGCCGGCGATGAGGTCCGTCAGCACACCGGCGACGATGGGCAAGGTGGGTATCGGGAGGGGGAGGTTGATGAGCGCGGGGGCGCGTATTCCAAGGGTATCGCGCTCCACGGGTGCCAGCGCGTGCCGGACGACGCGGTGGAGCCTCTGACGCGAGACAGGACTGCTGCTGCTTCTGCTGCTGGACATGGGCAAGTGGAGCTGAGGACGATCCCCCGCGTTCGGCAAAAAAGAGTGTGAGGGCCGCGTAGTGGGCTGTGCTTCAGCGCTGTTACAGCAGCTGGTGCGAGCGAGACGGGGAGTAAAAGAGGAAAGAAGGTATATGCGCTCCTACAGGCTCCAACGTCCTGTCTTTCATTTTTGAGCCCGTGATAGGGCCGTCGCGCTTCGACTCGGCAAGCCCATCTGTTGTCAAATTGCTCCACCTTCCTATTTCAAAACATCTCAGATATGGGGAACGCGCATACTTGACATGTCTGCAACGCGAGAATGGTTGACCAGACACCGCGCCCGCCGCGATGTGTCGGGTACGCGGTAGTCATTGCTACGCCGGCTCCCGGACGAGTGTACAGGGACCGTGCCTCCTCGCACTTTTAGCGAGGCCAGCACAGGTATAACTCGTGAGAGGTTCCATACTGACGGTGTGAGTACGAGAACAGAATATGTCGCCTATCTTGGCACCGATCTCAGAAGCGTCGCCAAGGCAACAACGCTTCCGGTCAGGATGCGGAGAGCTCAGGAGGAATTGCAAGAAGCCTGCGAGCAGGATAAACGGTCTCGAGCATCGTCGAGCGATCGAGCGATTACGGAGAGGCAGGGGCGTTCCTCTCTCTTTTCATGTGGGAAGAGAGAAGAGGCGGCCGGCGTGAGTCTTTGCAAGTGAAGTCAGGTGAAGTCTCAAGCGAAGGAAGTTTGAGGGACGCATTGACCTGTCAGAGAAACTGTTCGGATCATCGGCACACGGAATGTGTAGCATATACGAATACGATATCGCCGCATCAGGGAGCAAACATTCGATCTGTCACGCGACCTCGTTGTCCAAGATGGGGGCCCTCTTCCGCAAGTCGCAAAGACACTACTTCTGGAGACAGCAACGCATCCCCTTGCTCTCTTTTTCGCTACACGAAGGTCTTGGCTCTGTGCGATGTGTGCGCTCACCTCGTCGCGGTAACTACCACCACAGTCAGATGATGCTCCATCTTACGTGCTTTTCGAGAATGACACCTCTCTTGATTCCAAGGTTCTAAGGACACGGATGCACGCGCATGCTGGACGCGTGCGCTCACACGGGGGTTGGCCCGCGGACGCGGCATATCCCGAGACGTGGCCCGCACTTGCCACCTCGGCAATATATTCTCCTTATCTTCGAATTTGTAGCCATCCCCCAACCAGAACTGTTGTATTCAATTTCTCTTGTTGCCAAGTGCTTATTAGAGTACAATTATTCTCGGGGGCCTAATTGTACCAGACTGATTATACCAGTTTCGGATCAGTCGGGCATTTCGCAGGACATTTTTGTTACACATGCACAATGCTCAATTTGCAGCAAGGTAGAGAAACTGGAAGAAAATCTTACGTGAGCTCCGAAAATAATTCCTTTTCAAAAATCCTTGTGTCAAAACTTTCTGCTTCCACCTTTTCTACCCCCCGGGTATGTATCCGGAGTGTTCACCTCAAACTGTTGCACAACGTGTATACATTGTTAACTCTGTTGTATTTCTATTTGGTGCGGTTTTGGATCGACATGTCCCAATTTCCTTTTGTCCTATTTTACTCCATTTTGAAAGCACTCGTGCTCCCCACGGCTCAGTTGACCCGATGCTTCAGTGTCGCCTGTCAACGATCCGAAGTTTCACAGTTGGGAGAACACTGCACGTTATGCATCTGTTGTCTACGCATCGCTGCTGCAAGGCATCTCGGCCGCGAATCCGAACCGATCAAGGAGCTGGTTCTCTTCCAGGCGAGCATGCAAAGTGCGGTTGCGCAGTGTTTGAACGTGCGGTTAGATGACGGTAGCTATCGTACAGCATGCAGATGTAACTCATCAGGCATTGGGCATTTGCGACATTAGTTCTATTTCTGGCTAGCGACCGGGCCCTGCTTGGCCGCGAATCTACTTCTCGCGCGGATTTGTGCGCCGTATTTCCACAGTACCCACGGGCTGAAGCCATTCGTCCGCGTGTCAGTTAATAGAAAACCGACGAAAGGGAAAGCACGCACGCGGGACATCCTATGACGATAGCTACGGCGCCCAGGATCGAGTCGCCCGTACCGTATCCCAATTTATTGTACATCGATTGGGCGAATAACGGGAATCCGAAGCCGCATATTGAGCGCAGGAAGGAAGCAGCGGCTAGGGCTGCAAAGAATGAGAAGCGAGCGGGATGCGGCGATAGGGCACGCGCACCAGAAGCGGCGTACAACGTGAACGCGTCGATAAGATATATCTGGATCGACTGGAAGTTGAGAATCACGCCCATCCCGACAAACGCAATGCCCTTTTCGAAATCAGAAAAAGGATTCATCATGAAGGGCAGCTTACGATATCGGGCACAATCCAATGCACTTTGTTCTGGACTGTCCACCCGGTCAGAAAAAGTCCAATCGGCAGGGCGAATGTTCCAGGAACCATCGAAGCTGTTGACAAATGAGAAAAAGTGCTTCCATACGACAGGTAGATCACCCACGGAGTCGGTATTCGGGACGTGCGGCTCCCCCGTTCCTTGCTTTGAGTGCTACGTATATGCGATCCATAGCCCTTGCGTTGATCTGTGACGACAGCGTCACGCCAACACCGAGCGCAATATAATTGAGCCCTGCGATGCCAACTTGCTCGTGATAAACTTGTTCGAAGACGACTGACATGGACGTGAGGAAAACTGGGTATTTTGCAGATCAGACTAGGTGGTTTCGAAATTCAGGTCACGCACGATAGAACACGCCATAGATGAAGGCCATGTACAGAGCGAGGATCTGGACGATGGGCTCATTGTAAAGCAGGATGAACGGCCTCGTCAATGCGGTCTTGAGCAATTTCTTCCACCTACAGAAATGATCAAAATCGGGTCGAATCAGGGTGGATCAAATACGGACGATCGCTCTTCTGTTGCGAAAACAGAGCGGATTCTCTGTTTCCGGCCCTTCTCCGAGTCCATGGCTTTCCTCATTCGCTCTGCCCTCTGCTCCAACAGGACAGGCGGATATGCTGCACGAACTATTAACTGAAGCTCAGGTGAATTAGAAAGTCGCTCTCACATTCACGAATGAAGAGCACTCCGAGTAGCTGGATGAGCACGGTGAAAGCAGAGGTCGCCCAGAACTCAACAGAAGTTTGAGTTCAAGCAAATTCACGGACGCAGGATCGGCACATACCACCCATCTCCATGTCGTCCTCTCCGCAATGAACGCACCGCACACAGGCCCGATGACAGGTCCCAGCAGCGGTGCCAGAGAAAACAAAGCAATGGCCTGTCCACGCTCTTCCGGCTTCCATATGTCACCGAGCACGGCTCCGCCGATCTGTGATGTGCCATCATGATGAGCCTGCGAGGGGATGATGCATCTGGCCCGAACGGACGTACAGCTAGCGGGGCACTACCCCCAATTCCGGCAAGGAAACGGAATGCCAGAAGCTCGCCTTTATTTCGTGCCCATCCACACACGAAATTCCATAGCAGATAGAACAAGTTGGCGCCTTGCATTGTACGACTCCGTCCCTACAAGCTGCTCGTAAGCAGGATGACAATAGCGGAGAGTCACCAAAACGGACGATGATTTCCGAGAGTGGGCCCAGAAACTGCGATCAGGATGTCAGCCGCGTCCTTGCACAGCCAGCAGCACCAAGACAACGCACCAAAGGGCCGATAGCGTAGGCGAGCACAAAGATAGAGGTCAGCAATGCTATCTCCACTTCACTCGTGATCCCGAATTCCTTCGCAATCTTCTGGCTTGCGGGCGCGGTGACGCTTGACGAGAGCGGGGATATCAACGTGAAGAGCGATATAACCAACGTCGCAGCCCATTTTTTGCGTTTGCTCCAGCTGCCGGAGGCAAGGTCAATCGCACTGACACCGGCATGTATGATAACCGGTAGATAACACGCACTTCTTGGGATTCTGTGGATCGTCCGGCCCATCCCAGTCTACAATAATGTCGTCTAATGACTCCGAATCTCTCTCTTTGTCTCGTCCAGATTCATCACCGGCTACGGTGGGTGTCGTATCGCGCGACGCGAGTTGTTCTGTTGCGGACATGAGGGGAAGAAGAGAGGGAGGAGGGAACGCGGAGACAATGACGCAGACGATGGGGTGTGAAGACCACCGTGTTTAGTACTTAAATAAACTTGACCACAGGTTTCCGCCCGGGTCGGTTCCGAGGATCATGACGAGCGGGTGCTGACCCGTGATGACGAAGGAGATGGATGTGTAAATAGGCGCTTCAAAGGAATCTTTTCCGGGGAAGTTGCATGTGTGTATCAAGTCATCAATCGATGTCTAGGGATTTTCGGACGGGTCGGTGTGGGGTGGTCCATTTAGAAGAGTACTTAGGTTCCGCACGCGTGGTGTATGTGTGTGTTGCCGTGATGCGATCAAGTGATGGCTTCTTTGATGCTGACAAATCCTCCCCCACAATTTTTAGCCTCGTCCGATTTCTCTCTTGAAAACAAAGCGTGTCTTTTTCGGTCACGAACGACAAGGATGACAAACGTTGAAGAGAAAGAGCAGGGAGTGTTCGTGGTGCCCGACCTCACCATCAAGCAGCTGCTGGACGCCATCCCGTGCGTTGCATCCTCTCCCTCTGTCTCGACGCTGAATGAAGCATCCACAGAGCACACTGCTTCAAGAGGTCGGCTTTGAAGTCGTCGATGTACATGTATGCGCGTATCTTAGTTCAAATTATATACGTTCTAACCTTCCCCCTAGCGTCTGGCACGGTAGCATCCTCTACGCTCTTTATAAGGCCACCACTTACGCCGACACGTTCCTCAACGCGTCCACACTGTCCACGCTCTTCCAGCGCGCAGTCCCTCCCGTGGCAGCTGGCTGTGCGCGTTTCGCTCTGTGGTCGGTGTACGGCTTCTGGGCTGGCCTGTTTGGCACGGGCATCTGGGTCATCGGACACGAAGCAGGGCACCAGGCCTTCTCCGAGTCCAAGACGATCAACAACACCGTCGGATGGATCCTCCACTCTGCGTACGCTGTCCCAAAAACTACCCCTTCTCTGACGCGCTCTGACTCCCCATTACAGACTCGGTGTACCGTACCACGCCTGGCGTATCACCCATGCTAAGCATCACGCCTCCACTGGACATATGACCCAGGACCAGGTCTGGGTCCCCAAGACACGCTCGAACAGGCGTTTGCCTGCCTTCAACCCGGAGAAAGAAGACCGGCTCGGTGCCCGCGCCGCCTCGGAGGAAGTGCGCAAGGAGTTCTTGGAAGCGATTGGGGACTCACCCATCGGTGCTGCTATCGGTGTCGCCACATATCTCGTGAGTGTCTTTGTATGTCTCTGTCCCATTGCTCTGACCATCGTTCTGGTAGCTGCTTGGATGGCCGATGTACATCATCCGAAACGCGTCTGGCCAGCGCCGTTACCCGAAAATCACGACTCGTACGTGCATCGTGAGCCTCACGCGTCTGCGTCTCACACTTCTTTAGACTTCAACCCGAAAGCGATCATGTTTGCTCCCCACCAGTACACGGATATCGTTGTTTCGGATATCGGAGTTCTTCTCTGGGTCGCTGGGCTCTTCTTCGCGACGCGTGCCTATGGTTTCGGGACTGTCATGCGCGTCTACGGTGTCCCCTACCTGTGGTGCGTATCTGCTTCATCACTAGGACTTTGCTGGATCTCACGTCGTTTCAGGGTTAACCACTGGCTTGTTTTGATCACCTTCCTCCAGCACACCGACCCTCTCCTCCCGCACTACCGGGCGCCCCAGTTCACGTTCCCGCGTGGTGCATTGGCAACGCTTGACCGCAACTTGTTGGGTGACTTGGGTTCAGTCGCAGCTTGGATCGGAGCTCATGCCACGTGCGCTGATTCTGCTTCCCGAGCGCCTCACGTGCTGATCCAGCTCCTAGATGCGGTATCTCGGAGACCCACGTTTTGCACCACATCTCAAGCAAGATCCCGCACTACAACGCATGGGAGGCCGCAGCTGCGCTGAAAGCCAAGGTGCGTAGATGGTCCGAAAATATTCATCTTTCCCGTACTTAGCTATTTGCCAGGTTCTCGAGCCAGCGGGTATCAAGACGAGTGGCGGCGCTGGCGGTTGGGCAGAGATGTATCGAGTATACCGGGAATGCAAGGTGTGTGCCCTCACGCTCGGGATTCCACACGTCACTGACGAGCATGCAGTTCGTCGAGGACGACGGGGACGTTGTGTTCTACAAGAACGTTAGAGGAGTTGCTCAGATGCGCCCCGTTTTCTCTGCGGGATCAGGTGCTAGCAGTGACTCCGGTATCGATGTTTCTGACAAGTAGAGGGAGCTATGTAGTCTTTCCTAGATGTCTTTTCTCTTCACGGTACATAGATGTCCTTGTCTGGTTTCGAATGTCATTCAGCAAAGGGCGATTACATTTCAATTGGGTAAGTATGCTCGTGTCAGTCTAGCTCGCAATCACTAGTAGGGCACCATTTTCCTTTGGACTTCTCAGGCTTTCTTCTGCTAGCAGGATACGAACTCAGTTCACTGAGCTCTGATAAACGACACTAATTCAGACGTACCTTAGTGTTTGCGTTCCGACGAGGGGGAAGGGGCAGCGGGGTGGTGTACCCATAGATCGCCTGCTGCTCAGGCATCGCAAATCCCCGGCGAGCGTCCGAGTCCGCCGGCTTCTGCTGCTGCTGCGTCTGCTGGACAGGCTCGCTCGGAGGGAGACTGTTGATGTAGGCGACCTGGTCGATGATGCGACGGCCGATGATCACTCCATTGGCGCCGCGCTATCAAGATGATAAGAAATCTTTGATATCAGCTCGACGAGCTAAAAGCACTCACCACGCCGTTGTGAGTGTTAGAGTTGGCTGAGCTTGAGTTGGTCATTGGAGTGAAAAATGGGGTGGTGAGTTGTGCAGAAACTCAGCTGTAGGCATCCCTTTTGAATGTGACTGGAAAAAGAGAGCAAAGCCATAACTGGTACTCAACATGGCTTCATTTGCGGCTTGGACAGTGGGGAAACCAGACGCTTTGATCCCTTGCAGCACTCAACAAAGCGACGGCGAAAATGAAATGGCTCAAGAAAATCGTGTGGCGGGTGATCGCTTGCCGAAAATTGTTCGCTGTCGAGCGGACTACTTACAAAACTGAGGCCGACGCTCCAATAAATTTCCAACCAATTCACGTGATTCATGATCTCAACCCGAATGCGTGATCTGGCGTGACCTCAGTTGATTTCAGGCCAAGCTCTGGGACTCGATTAAAGATCTGCATTTACGCGTGTCCAAGGCAAAATGTGGCTATCTGGTAGTTGAACTAAATTCGAACGCTACCCGTGACCAGACGAAATTTGATCGTTCGGACCCACGAACCCTTGCTCTGATACTTCCCGGTGCCCACAATGAGATCATCCAGATCCTGGCTCTTACCGTGGATATAATTTGCCAGAATATCCGTAGTGCGCTGACAATGAATATCTTTTTCTCAGATGGGAGTGTTCCGCGGCCGATGCCAATGTTCACAATTTGCACGGTTTCGAAACACATGTTATATATTCTAATGGCATGCCTCCTTCACTTGAACCGAGGGACCACATCCTGCTTCATGAACTCCTCCACAGTCCCGAACTCCATGCCCAATGCAAGGAGCTCCGGGTTCGGGATGGCAGTTTCGGTGTACAGACCGTGGCGAGTTGCCTGGAATTCATACTGGATAGTACTTGCGTTGAGTGTCCGGAAAAAGTCCGCGGATGAATGCACACACCATGTCATCCAGCATCGCCATTCCGGTCGACCGCCCAGACACAAACGAAACATGGACGCCCAACGCTGGATGCGAATCAGTAAGGACAAGGCGAGACACCGTGTGCACGCGCCTTGACTGGCCAGTCCCGCCAAGTCCGCAAAGCTCATCCGGGCAGTGATGACCGGGTAAGCCTTTCCGGAAATTAGCTGCGCGGAATCGGTGTAGTTCTTAAGCAGTGCAAGAGCGGCTGTCCCGACGTCTCTCCCAGCCCAGGTGAATGCCTGCAGATCGGCCGGCCCGTACGAAGGAACGCTGATCTCGAGCGAGCCGGACTCGGTCTTCTGTAGGGCTCCGAATCTAATCAGCGTTAGTGTCAAACTCGGCTCCGTCAGCTTTCAGAGAAAGACCGCCTACTTCCAGAGATTCTCCAAAAACACGCCGAGATGGAGCGACGCGTTCGGCATGCCAGAGGCTCGGAGATATTCTTCGACATGGGCTTTGTCTACGGACACGATGATGAGCCGACGAAAGAAAGACACAGCACCGGTCACTGACACTCATATTGGACACACTGAGTGTATTTCCCGTCGGAGAGTTTCGCCAGACTTGGAAGCGAGCTCGACACTTGGATGAGAGTTATTGTGCCAAGTCCGAGAGCGGCACGCACCTCCAGATAAAGAACTTGACGTTTGCCTCTTGGGCAGCGTCCACGATATTCTTGCCCTGCTCCCGCTCGTCGGGTCCCGGGGCATGGAAATTAAACGTCGTGAGCTTGAAGTCCAGTTCAGTCAGCGCCATGCGCGGGGGGACGAAACATACAGCGAAGACGGCCTCGCAGCCGGTGAGCGCGGCAACGACCGAAGCCTTGTCCGTAGCGTCCGCTTTGGTGATCTCGACACCTAGAGTCTTCAGCCTGATGGCGGCTTTGGATTCGGGATCACGCGTGATCGCGCGGGGGGTGAATGTGCCGTCCTTGAGGAGAGCATGGACAACCGAAGCGCCTGCCGATATGTGAGTCTGGAGTAGGACGACGTACGAAGGCTCGTAAGCGCACCTTGCAGGCCGGTTGAACCAAAGACAGCGACGATGCGAGGAGGGGGAGTAGGCATGCTTATTTCGTGGTGGAAAGATGAGTGTTGGTTTGTTCTGCCATTTTCGTGTCCCTTTATACAATATGGGGGACCACGCGTTGCACGGGCTCTGTAAGCTGCTGTGTCACTAGCTCTGTAACTTAGGGCCAGATCGGATTCGGGTCCACTGCTTGCCGAACTGCGTAGGGCCAAAAATCAAGGCAGTTGCCTGATCCCGGCATTCAGGCAGTTGCCGGGCAGATCCGGGTGGCGGTGATCAGTGGATAGCTGATCAGAATGCTTGGACGAGGCAGTCACGCTCCAAAGAAGGAAACATTACCAATATTTTTCTCAGTCTTCTGCTCGCATGGCCAACGACGCTTTTGACGACGCTTGGCGGCGGCCTGACGTCGATTTCCGGATTGATGACGTGCTGTTTCAGGTCTGGAGGTCCTGCGACGCAGGGGAGTGCGACTCCCAGTCTCCCACGCACCATTGTTGTGATCAACCAGAAAGAGCGTGTAATTTACACTTGTGTACGGTTTGCAACTACCTGTGACAACTCGTGCCAGGCAACCCTCAGTTTGCTTCGCAAGCCATTGATATCACTGCATTCAGCCCTTGGCTAGCACCGGCTGGAGCGTGAAGATGCGAGGTTGATGGGAGGCAGGCACGATCAGTGCCGATCATGGGCCGAGGCCGCTGGTGACGTGGGACCAGGTCACTCCCTCCGGGCACTGGCACGTGGAGATGCGAGCAGGGTGCGAGACCTGGTACGAGGTACCTGGTCCCGGAGCCGGCTGGTCATATCACACGATTCCCCAATATCAGCTTCCAACCAGTTCGGAGCGACAAGTGGCCAGTAGATAGCAAAGACAAGGTGAATCTCGACAAGAACATCCTCTAATTGTAACGTTCCGGGTTGTAAAGCATGCGCCAGAACAGAAACAAGGCGCCCGCAGTGATAATGTGGTATGTGGAAGGTCGTGGGAGCGAGTTTGGGTCGACGTGGGAGCGAGTGGTCGTGATCAGTCAGGAGGTGACTCGTGCCAGTTCGTGCCGTATGGGGCCAGCCGCCTCGTGCCGCACCTGGAACGAATGGTCACGAGGTTCGGCATGAGGTACCTCGCACCCAGACAGGTGCTAGCTAAGGGCTGAATGCAGTGTATATGCCATAAATGTGATTTATGTTAAGCAACTGCCATCAAGCAGTCGCAAGGCAGTCCACCCGATCGGGCCCTAAGCTCTATCGCTGGCCCCTCAGACTCGATGTTGGACGCGACGGATGTACCGGAAATCCGAGAGCCAGTTTAGCCGTGGATGGTGTCATGTCATGTGTTTGTCACCCGTTATCTTTTAAACTGTGCCCTAAGCTACGGCTCGGGGACAAATCAAAACGCCATTGTGAGTGTGTCCGAGCCGGAGACCGATGCGCCAGACTATGGGAAACTACCGCATCAACTTCTTGAAGACCTTCGATGCATAGTTTGAGAGCTGTGGACCCAGTTGGACCGTTTGGCCATGGGTGTCCCAGTTCGAACCGCTGTGGTCCCAGTTCTGCTGGATTGTTTGAGCCTAGACACATCGGGGCTGGCCATCCCGTTGAAAACGGTTGCATCTCAACTTCAGCTGATCCCATCTCTATCTTCCAGTCTATCTCTATCCGCGGCTTGAAGCGTCGTGTGATCAGCGTCGAAATGATGAACGACGAGGGCTGCGGGTCGGATCACCGACAGCTGCCGCTGCAGTCCTCAGCATGAACATCCAAGGATGTGTAGTACGCTAAGGGAGTGCACTTCTAGCGTTTAATGTAGTAGTGTGAGCGGGACCGCCGGAGTCATCCAGATGCGCTCGGTTTTTTTTTTGCGGTGTCATATGCGAGCGGTGACTCGGGTATCAATGTCTCTGACAAGTAGAGAGAGAGAGCTATGTAGTCTTTCCTAGATGTCTTTTCTCCTTTGTACAGTACATCTATGACTTTGTCGCCTCGATTCGAATGGGCTTCAGTAGAAGCCATTTACATTGAATCTAGTAAGTAAAGTTGTGTGTGAGTACGTATATGTTGCGCATCACCGGCAGGTCACTCAGTTTTTCCAGCCTTCAATGTTTCTGTTGCTATAATAATTTAAACTCAGTTCACCGACTTCCGATAACCGAACCCGAATCAGACGTACCTTGGTGTTTGCATTCCGACGAGGGGGAAGGGGCAGCGGGGTGGTGTACCCATAGATCGCCTGCTGCTCAGGCATCGCAAATCCCCGGCGAGCGTCCGAGTCCGCCGGCTTCTGCTGCTGCGTCTGCTGGACAGGCTCGCTCGGAGGGAGACTGTTGATGTAGGCGACCTGGTCGATGATGCGACGGCCGATGATGACCCCATTGGCGCCACGCTATCAGAATAGTAAGGAATCTTTGATATCAGCTTCAAGAGGCTGAGAAGTGCTTACCACCCCGTTGTGCGTGTTAGAGTGGGCTGAGCTGGAGTTGGACATTGGAGTGGAATGCGGAGTGGTGAGTTGTGCAGAAACTCAGCTGTAGGCATCCCTTTTAAATGTGACTGGAAAAAGAGAGCAAAGCCATAACTGGTACTCAACATGGCTTCATTTGCGGCTTGGACAGTGGGGAAACCCTATGCTTTGATCCCTTGGAGCACCCAACAAAGCGAGTGCGGAAATAGAATGGCTCAAGAAAATCGTGTGGCGGGTGATCGCTTGCCGAAAATTGTTCGCTGTCGAGCGGACTACTTCAAGACTGCGGACCAAGCCCCAACACGAGTCCAACAGAGCCACGTGATCCAAATTTCAACCCTAACTCGTGACCTGGTCGATTCTAGGCCGAGCTCTGGGACTCAATCAATCTCCATTGAATGCGTGTCAGATGAGACAAGATGGCTACAGAGAAGCTAGACGATATTTCAACGCTGCCCATCTAGAATATAGCCTTTTCAGAAACCCATCCGAAATATGTCCGTCCGCACTCACAAGCATTGCTATGATACTTCCCGGTGCCCACAATGATATTATGCGGATCCTGCTCCTTGCCGTGGATATAGTTCGCCAGAATCACCTTGGTGCCCTCGGCATAGCGGACCTGCGCATCGAGCGTCGAGCCGGCATAATGCGGAACCATAGCGTTCCCGCCGCCCAGCGGACTCTTCATCGTGCGCCAGAGGTGGTCCTGCGGCGCCGGCTGGACGTCCCATACGTCGCCGGAGTAGCCGCGCAGGCGGCCACTGGCGAGCGCGCGTGCCACGGCGTCTTTGTCACAGATCGCACCGCGGGCGGTGTTCACGAGCCAGGCGCCGGGCTTGAAGTACGAGAGGAGCTCGTCGTTGATGAGATTCCGGGTGTCTTCGTGCAGTGGAGCGTTGACGGTGACAATGTCGCACTGAAAGTGTGATTAAGACGGAGCGGGGATGAAATAAAATGAAGCCTACTTGGGAGACCATATCCTGCAGTCAGACGTGATTCAGTATATTGGAATGGTAGTGAGGAGATAGATATGCCTTAAGATCCAAAATTCGAGTAGCTTTCACTGCCTTCGTCGCATCTGACAGTTCTTAGCAACATTCCTAAAAAGAACGAGGTCTGCACACCTTCCGAAAGAGGATTGTAGTCATAGTACAGATAACCCTTCAAGTTGAATCTGATCACATAGTTTGACGAGTTTCACGAGCGGCAGAAGCCCACTCACGGCTGCAACCGCTGCAGGACGCGGTACCCGATGCGACCCGCTCCGATGGTCCCGACGACCTTGCCCTCGAGATCAAATGCGTCGCGGGCAATGTCTGACACTTGCCAGTCACCGCGCTCAATCATTTCGTGTGCGGGCACAAAGTTGCGAACGAGACTGAATGAAAACACTCAGGCGATAATGGATCTGGATTGCAGCTGCAACTTACATGAGAATGGACATGACGACGTGCTCGGCGACGGATACGACATTCGAGCCCGATACTTCGAGGACTTGGATGTGGTGGTCGACGGCGGCGTCGAGGTCAATGTGGTCCGAGCCTACTCCGGCGGTGATGCAGATCTTAAGCTCCTTCGCCTGGACGTGATCAGTCAGTGATCATGAGACAACGATTCCCCAGTATACTACCTTGTCCATAAGCTCGCGGGTGAGATACCCGGGATGAAATGGGGTGGTGATGAGCACTTCAGCCTGATATAGCCCGCGTGAGTTGAGCCTGAGTGAAACTTGGTAGTAAAGCTTACATCAACGATGTGCTGCTCGAAATGACTGTCCGGGCCATCTTTGCTACTCGATACTATACTCTGTTCAGCGCAGTAGATTAAACTGCCATGCCACATACCGACGAGCTCGTGTCCCTGCGCAACAAGCCAGTCGGCGATCCCCAGCTGAACTTTGTTGGGCAAACGGCCAAGACACATCATGCGTGTGTTAAACGAACTTTATTTTCCGTCGTCCCAAGCAAACGGGGCTCTTTTACCGCAGCTTCACCACCGTCATACACAATAGCCAGTACCTGAAATGAGTCAAGAAAATGGGAACGTGAACGCGGATCTCAAGGACCTTCATATTCAGTCGCTTGGGGTCGAGATAAAATCGGGGCGAGAGTTGCAGATGATGCAGATTTGTCGCAAGGGTGTTAGATTTTATACCAAACTCAACTAGATGCATGGTACAACCTAAATGAGCCAGGGCACGCAATGAGGAATTCACCCCGCTCATGATGCGAGCCCGAAGACAAAAGAACCCGTCTCGAACATTCGGAACCGGGCCAGCTGCAGCCGGATCGGGCGTCCAAAGGCGCCTGCTCTTCTCAGTTGGATCGCTTCGTAACCTTTTGGAGATATAATCCGCAGCGTCATGTATTCGCATGCGAACATTCCGCGTTTGATATCGATGTTCACATTTGCGCAGTTCCAAACAAGAAGAATGAACGAAGCTGTCCACGCACGCAGCCAGTTCCGCCAAATCCGAATAGCTCATCTGGGCGTCGACTCAGTTGGACGGGTCAGCCTTTTCGGAAAATCGGTGGGTGGAATCGGCGGAGCAGTTCTTGAGCAGCGAGAGAGCCGCTGTCACGATGTCCCCTCGCATTCGAGGTGAAAGACTGACAGTCAGCAATTCTGTAAGAGGTCATGTTGACAAATGGGCTTTTCTGCAGCTACGAGTTATGAGTCATCGAAAGACAGAGTGCGAAGTTATTGACACTCATCGCATAAACCGCGTTTATTTTACATCCGAGAGCTTCGCTACGCTCGGAAGTCAGCTAAGCACAGCGCTGGGAATCGCGGAGAAACGGTTTGGAGTGAGAAACGAGCCTCAGCTGGTGTACCATTTTCGTGTTCCTCTATACCACACTGGGGACGACGCGTGGTGCACCGATTTCTGGCAGATTTGCTTGGCTTTGTGTCACATGTTTATGGCATGTGACCGTGATTGCGCTGTGCACTTCGCAAGTCTGGCATCAGGGAAGAGACGAAGTCCTATGTTTCATTCCAGCCTACAGCGATGAGACACTGCAGCCCCTTCCATTTGGAGCTCCCGACGTACGGGGATTGTCGGCCTGCGCGTGTGAAGACGAGATTATAGATGATGTCAGGAGCTAGAAGCCCCGATCACGCTCCACCGATCTTGAATGTGGACTGTCTTGACTGCCATGAATTCTCAAGGTGCGTGGCCCGCGCAGCGAGGGCAACGTCGCACTCATCTTTTCCCCCAGTCGAAGACGAGACCCATGGCGGCCTGCACTCCGCGCCCCCGTTCCACGCGGCCAAAGCGCTCACCCGGCGAGCATACCACCCTGATCCGCCCGCCAACCGCTCGCCGTGGGTGATGTGGGTTGGGAACGTGCCCAAGGACACGACGACGGACGAGCTGCTGTGCTTCTTCTCCTCCCCGGCGTGCGGCGAGGGCGGGCACCCGGGCTGGCCCCCGTCCGCCTTTCAGCAGACGCACGGCGTGCACTCGGTGTTCCTCATCTCGCGCTCCAACTGCGCGTTCGTCAACTACGACAGCGATGCGCAGCTGCGTGCGGCGGTGGCGCGGTTCGACGGGACGACGCTGCGGCCGGCGAGCACGCTGAAGCTGGTGTGCCGGGTGCGGAACGAGGAGGACAATCTGCGGGCCGGGGTCGGTGGGCAACGAGGGATGGGGCTTCATCGGCAGTGGATCGAGGAGCAGCGGGGTGACAGCGGGATGTCATCGAGCACGGAAGGGTCGCAGTCGACGTCATCCAGTATGCTGCAAGCGCATTTCCCGCACCGGTATTTCATCCTCAAGGCTCTATCGCAGGACGACTTGGACACGTCTGTTCAAACCGGGTCATGGACGACTCAAAAGCACAACGAGGGCGTGCTCGTTCAAGCGTTTCGCACAGCCAAGGACGTTTTTATCTTCTTCAGTGCTAACAAGAGCGGTCGGTTCTACGGCTATGCCCGGTTTGTATCGCATGTGTCTCAGGCATCCTGATCGCCAGTTCTTACCCAAAACGTCAGGATTGCGGGTATCGAGGACAACTCGGCACCTGTGCGACCGTCAACTCTCAAAATGCTCAGCTCGCAACATCAAGTCGACCGATCGCCTAGCCCGCTTCCAGACGATCACGACCCAATGCAGCAGCCACCTTCTCTTCTTCAATCTGTTTCTGCTCCCCCCATCTTGGCCGACAAGCAAACGAACAAAGAGCCGCTGGGGATCAAATTCAGCCTCGATCAGCACCTGGCACGGAAGGTCATGAGCCATTCCATGGATGCTCCCGCTGCTGAGCCGGAGCCCGAGTACCACGGCGGCGGCGGGGAGGACGAAGAGGACGACAACAGCGAACCTCGTCAGTTTCGGCTGGAGTGGATCGACACGCGACCGGTCCCGTTCCAGCGCACCAAAGACATCCGAAATCCGTGGAACGGGGATCGGGAAGTCAAGATCTCAAGAGATGGGACCGAACTGGAGCCGTCTGTTGGGGCGGCGTTACGGAGAGCGTGGGATGCGCTGCCGTGATTCCTGTGGCTGACTCTGGGCTGTTATACACGCGCACTAGGTAGTATTTGTGGCTTGAGGTCTTTCTCCCTGTCTGTGAATCTTCGATTTGTGATTTATTCATTCGGCCTTTGTAAGATGGCGACTCTAGTTCTCAACGGAAAGCTCCTGGGACTCGATGGGTGTTTTCGAGGTTCTCCGAGTAATCAGCATACGAGGCGCCTAGGCTCCGACCCGGAGCAAAACGCTCTCAGGCGGGGAATCGAACCCCGGTCGCCCGCGAAGGCATTCAATATGACAAGCGGGAATCTTAACCATTGGACCACCTAAGACAATGGTGCTTAGGTCCGGACGGAGAATTATGTGTGGTGTAGCAATGTTGAGATCTTCAATCGGCTATTCCTATTCTCCCTTTTAATCGGGACCTATGTATTGTACCCCGATTGTGAAACAAAGTGAAATGCCTTCAGGAAGTCTAGAAGAAGATTGGCGTTGCGATCATCCTCACAGGTCATAAGTCTGCTCGTCCCGCGGTCGGGGCAAGCGCAAGTTCGAACTGGATTGCAACATTCTCCTGTGTTGGCCAACCTCAGTGTAGTATGTTTCATCCCTTCAGATTTTCAGTCCAGCACTGTATGTTGTAGGCGGGCAGCGACTGCCTGCGGCGCAGTGCACTCTCAGTGTCCCGATCATCTGTAGTTATGAAAATGTCGCCCGGACTGATTCTTCGCTGAATATAATCATTCCAGAGTCGATTTCGGATGGTCAACGTCTTCACATCTGGCAGATAAGGGGTTGCGTTCAATCCGTGGATCATGACCGGTCTTCTGCTGACGCAAGTCTTCCCGCACATTTGTGAGTGAATGTGCAGCGAAGCATCAATATTCCCTTGGTCTTGTTCGTGGACGTGCCTTCCACATATTCATGTATATTTGTATGCAACAATGCGAACACAGCAGCGTTTTATATGGAAGTGGATGGAACCAGAACACAGAGTCGTTTGTGCGATAGGAGGGCCAAGTGAAGCAGTTGTAATGGAGGGGAGCTCCAGATGTTCGTGAGAGAGAAGTGTGATGAGTCTGATGACGCCGTCACAAGATGACGTGATGATCTCCAGCTCCATCATCACCCCCGCTTTGGCCACGTCGCTTGTTGACTCATTTCAGTGGCACTCACACTCTGATCGATGAGTGGGGGAAATGTACATTCAAGTAACACAGACACACATTGTGGCATCTCAGCCTACACGGACATTGCTTCAATCACGCCCAAGCGGCATCCCACCCAAGAGAGCTACGATCCCAGCTCCCCTGCTTACCTCCAAACACAATCCAGCCGAGGGTCTCGCTCGTCATGATAGCAGCCCGCACAAACGCCGACCCATCTAGCTGACTCGCTCCCTCGTGCGTCTCCTTTCCAGCACTATCCACCGCACCAGGCACCGCACCGGCAGCCGTCTGGCCGAGCCGCTGTGCAGCGTAATACAGCGCACGGATCGTCTTTATCACATGCGAGTCCGCCTGTTCGTACGCATTCAGCGTGACCGGCAGCCACGGGTTGGCCGCACCGCCCGGCTGAGCCGGGGCGACATCCGCATACGACATCAGCAACGCTGGATTCACGCGGGGCCGACCGCGCGCGATGGTCCACAGCGCAGATGCGATCGCGTAGCCCTGGAGCACCTGCGCCTTGTGGATCTTGTTGGGGAGCGCGGCCAGCAGCGGCGGCAGGGCCATGGCGCTCGTGAGGATATGCATGAGGAAGAAGTCCACCCGATTCTCGCGTCCGGGGCGCCCCGCCGCTGCGGTCAGCAATGTGGCCTGCCAGAAGCACTCGTCCACCTTCTTCTCGCACTCGGCGTCGAAAGCAGAATCGGAGAGCGTTGTGTCGAGCGACCACTGGGCGTATAGCCGACGGAGTTCAGCACCCCGGGCGGGCGACGCCGTCAAGTCGTTGAACCCGATCCCAAGCACGTCGCTGGGGTTGTAAGGGGCAAGTGGAGCAAGCGTAGGCGAATCGTAGACTTCGCGGAGGACGGACAACAGCGTTACACCACTGGTAGGAGTGGCGGAGAGCTCTGGCAAACCAGAGGGGTGACCGGACAAGATCGAGACGAAGTCAGCATCCACGACAGCGCAGAGAGCGAGACCTGGCTCAGAATCCTCAGTGCGACCCCTGCATTTCCGTTTCTGGACACGCACCTTGGGCAACAACACAGTCTTGACCGACCTCGACGCCGAGCTGGACCTCCCATCAGCCAGATCTCGCGTTAACGAATCTGCACTTACTCCCACGTGAATGACAGGATGTATCCTGACACAACAGTAAGGAGATGCGACGAAACCGTAGAGCGACCACTTACGCGCCGCTAAACAACCGGCTCAGCATCGCAGCGCCGTTTGCGTTCGCCGCCGGAGCCAGCACATACTCCTCGATCGTCTTTTGGACGCCGAGCGCTTCGATCTTCTTCTCGAAGAAGTGAAGATAGCTCGCATACGCGCTAGTAGCCAATCGTCAGCTGGGGGCTTTCCGCCTGCTAGATCGGCTGCCGTACTTTCGTTCGCCCAGCCTCGTCGTCCACGTCTGGTCCGTGAAGTTATCGTGTTGGGGTCCCAAGGGCAGGAGCGGCACGCTCTCTCCCTCGTAGATCTTCTCCAGCAAAGCGGGAGTCGCGCCCAGGTCGTAGGCTGCAATCAAGCTGGCGCGGTTTGTCATCAGCGACTGCGGATCATGAAAAGCATGGAGAGGGACGCACTGGTGGGAATTATGGTTCTTGAATCCGCGGTCATCGAAATAGCAGTGATGGTCGCGGGCATCCCGCGCCAGCAGTTCCTGCAGCTTTCGGGCGGCCTCAGGTGTGTTGGGAGTGTTGACAAGGCCTTGGCGGAGAGGTTGATACATGGTGTTTCTCGATATTTCTGGCCATCTAGGAAAGATACAGTCCTTTTTATACGCTGTCCGTGGCAGTCACCGGATCGTGCTTGAGGACAACGACTGAAGAGTAAGATGGAAGGATCACCCAACCAACAATGCATAAGGGAGGATTAGAAATCATGTTTCGCGTTTATTCTGCTTACTGATCCTTGAATCTAGGCTCAGATGGTCCAGCATAGAACTCTCCAAGTGGCTCTTTCCTGCCGTGTTGATGTCGCGGTCAGCATCCTGGCAAAATTTCTGCATAAGCCGAATTGCAAAAGGCTACAAGGTCACTATGCCGTTTCTCCTATTTTCCCGCTGTGCTAGCGTAGCATCCATGTTCGACGTACATGCTGTTGTGTAATCATCTCGTTGGATGCAATGCCGGACTGTACGCGCGTACAGCGAAGCTCCCCTGGTAAGCAAGACTCCCACGGCTTGGCCAGTGGCCGTCGCGCAGTGCGTGCTAATTCTCCGAAATTCTGAGAGGATATCTTGATCACGGATAGAGAAGACGATGGCAATAGCGTTAGTATTGTATTACACTAGACCTAGTTCAATGCATTGATCACCCTCAATGAACACTGCCATCAACACAGCTCCGCGGGCAGGCGGGGTTTCCGCGGGGTCTCATTTTGCGAGAGATAGATATTATACATAAGCCCTCTGTAACCTAGGCTCGCTTCCCCCGCTTTGGCCGAGTCTCCTATGCTTTTGCAGGCGACCGGGATACGATTTCTCTTCGAGTGTGTTTTCCCTCTGGGTCGGAGCCACACTCAGACGCTGAACGCAGGAAGAACCTTCGAAATACCCCGAGTGCAAGCTTGTGCCATGTATGCTATGCATTCAAGCTGTGGGCAAGAAAAGAACTGTGGTATCGCTTGACGACTTTATCCAGCGTTGTTCGCTTCCTCTGGCTAATGAGAGGGGCGTACATTCAAACAACTCGGACACATGTCATGGCATTTCAGTCTGGACGGAGATTGTTCTAATCAAACCCATGCAGCATCCCACCCGAGAGAGCTACGATCCCACTGCCCTGGTTCGCCTCCAAACGCAACCCAGCCGAGGGTCTCGCTCGTCATGATAGCAGCTCGGACGAAGGCTGACCCATCGAGCCTACTGGCTCCCTCGTGTGTCTCCTTCCCATCGCTATCCACTGCACCTGGGACCCCACCGACAGGCGTCTGGCCGAGCCGCTGCGCCGCATAGTACAGCGTGCGGATCGTCTTGATCACATGCGAGTCCGTGTGCTCGAGAGCATTCAGCGTGACGGGCAGCCACGGGTTGGCCTCACCGCCCGGTTGTCCCAGGGCGACGTCGGGACACGACATCAGCAGCGCCGGGTTGATGCGAGGCCGACCGCGCGCGATGGCCCACAGCGCAGATGCGAGCGCATGGGCCTGGAGCAGCTGCGCCTTGTGCATCTTGTTCGGGAGCGCAGCTAAGAGCGTAGGCAGCGACACAGCACTGGTTAGCGTGTGCATGAGAAAGAAGTCGATCCGATTCTCGCGCCCGGGGCGCCCCGCTGCTGCGGTCAGCAATGTGGCCTGCCAGAAGCACTCGTCCACCTTCTTCTGACACTCGGCTTCAAAGGCCGAATCGGTAAGTGTTGTATCGAGCGACCATCCGGCGTATAGCCGACGTAGCTCAGCGCCCCGGGCCGGTGACTCCGTCAATCGGTTGAAACCTAAGCCAAGCATATCACGCGGATTGTATGGGGGAAGGGGACCAAGCGTAGGTGACTCGTAGACCTCGCGGAGGATAGACAAGAGCGTTGCACCGTTGGTAGGAACCGCGGAAAGCTCAGGCAAACCCGAAGGCTGACCGGACAAGATCGAGACAAAGTCGGCATCTACGACAGCGCAGAGAGCGAGACCTAGCTCAGGTACTCAGTGGAAGGCTTGCAGTTCCGATTCCAGACACTCACCTTGTGCAACGACACAGTCTTGACCAACCTCGACGCCGAGCTAGTTCTACTATCAGCCAAGTTTCGAATCAACAGAAGCACACTCACCCCCACGTGAATGATCGGATGCACGCTGAACACAGTGAACAGGTGGTAAGGAGTGTGACATAATGGCGCAGCGACTGACTTACGCGCCGCTAAAAAACCGGCTGAGCATCGCAGCGCCGTTCGCGTTCGCTGCCGGGGCCAGCACGTACTCCTCGATCGTCTTCTGGACGCCGAGCGCTTCGATCTTCTTCTCAAAGAAGAGGAGATAGCTCGCATATGCCCTGGTACCCAACCATCAGCTCGAGGCTTTCCACATACTTGACTCAGCCAACGTACTGTCGCTCGCCCAGTCTCGTCGTCCACGTCTGATCGGTGAATATATCGTACTGGGGGCCTAGGGGGCGGAGAATCACACTCTCCTCTTCGTAGATTCTCGCCAGCAAAGCCCCAGTCGCACCCAGATCGTACGCTGCAACCAAACTGGGGCAATACATCAGCGACTGTGCGGCGCACAGAGCGCGCAGAGGGACCCACTGGTGCGCATTGTGGTTCTTGCGCCCGATGTCATCGAAAAAGCAATGATGTTCTCGAGCATCCCGCGCCAGCAGCTCCTGCAGCTTGCGGCCCGCCTCGGGTGTCGTGGGAGTGTTGACGAGTCCTTGGTGCAGAGGTTGATACATTGTTGCTTCTGGTCATCTGGGATAGATGCAACCCTTCTTATACGCTCTCCGTGGTGGTCGAGAATCACGATTGCAGAGTAAGGTGGAATGGATCACCCAATCAACATTGAATAAGGCAGAATTAAAAATAGTCTTTCGCGTTATTCAACTCACCGTTTCCTGTGTCTAGGCTCAGATCATGTAGGAAAGAACTCTTCAAGTGGCCCTCTCATGCCGTGTCCATGTCGCGGTTAGCAACCCGGTACGAAGTCTGCATAAGCTGAATTGGAAATAAGGTTAAAAGGACTCTGTACCATTTCTCCTATTTCCCGTTCTGCCGACGTTGCACTCGCGAGTCGCGTCCAACGCACTTATGTGCTGCGGTCCGACAGAATGTTGGATGGCATGCGCGTGAGAAGAAGTATCCTAACCCGGTCTGTGGCGGTGTCGGTTCGAGAGCAAGAAAGTTGGGCGTGATCTGTCAGATATCCATACGAGTCGCACTTTGCTGCAGCCAGAAGCCAAGACTTCGACGGCAGGTTAGTGTCGTGTGGAGCGTCAGACTTCTCAAGAAATTGCAGGGGAAGTTCTTGACGACGGACAAAGACCGAAAATGGTTGGTGACAGTACACCTAAGGAACATCCGCCGCGGAGGGTACCCCCCCCTGTTAGGGGTCAAAATTCGACTGATTTGGGTACCTAACAGGGGGGGTACCCTCCGCACTTTTGGCCATCCTCCGCACCAAAACCTCCGCAAATGGGTGCCAAAGCATCCGCAACAAGCCCTGTAACCAGCTGCGGATCCATCCGCTCCTGGCTCTCCCCGTGATTGTTGTGATGCCATCATGCAGGCCATCCACGGACCATGTCATGTGACTGTTCTCCAGTGCGGAACCCTCCGCATTTCTTGCTCTTTTATTTTTTCAGTTCTAGCCTGTATATATTGCTTCACTGTGGACTTGAGCCTTCTGTAGCCAATGTATGCAAGTGCTTTTGACTCCCAAATGATTATAGCTGCTTCAAAGACCTCTATGTGCAGCAAACAAAGAGTGTTAGTTGGGCCAATTCAGTGCTTGGGCTGTGCAGATGCTCTGCATTGTTTCTGGATTGCTAAATTGGTTGCTCAGAACCTTAATGCGTAGGATAAACATAGAACGCAAGCTTCTCAGATGCTGCCAGGTTCCTTAGAACCCAGGTAGGCCTCTCCAGCACCCACAGCAGCTGAAACGTGCGCCATGCGGATGCATCCGCCACCTGCTGTCCAGGGCCAGATTGGGGCAGGCCCTGTTCAGTACAGGCTCTGCAGACCATTCCACTTGCACACTTTCACCTGCCATGATCAGTGCATGCAGCCAGGATCCTCCTGCATTGACAGCATGCTGTGCAGATGCATCCGCCCCTTGCGGTCCAGAGCCAGATTTCAGCATAGGCTCTGTGGATGGTTCAACTTGCACACCATCAGCTGCCAGGCTCCTAAGAACCCAGAGAGCCCTTGCCAGCACCTACAGCAGCTTAAAAGTGTGCCATGCAGATGCATCCGCCACCTGCTGTCCAGGGCCAGATTGGGACAGGCTCTGCTTGGCACAGGCTTTGTAGACAGTTAAAATTGCACACTGTTAGCTGCTATAGTCGGTGCATGCAGCCAGTATCCTCCTGCATCAACCACAGCTTGAATATGTGCTGTGCGGATGCATCCGCCCCCTGCGGTCCAGAGCCAGATTTCAGCACAGGCCCTGCAGACTCTTTGGCCTGGGGTCGCCCTCTGCATCAGAGCTCTGCAGATGCAGCCCAATCATCTGCAGCAGGCTCTAAAAACATCTGCTGATCCATCCGCATCTCATTTTACTGGTGATGCCCTTGATGGCATCATTTTGGTGCATTGCAGATGGTCCTTGAACATCCGCACAGGGATTTGATGGGTCCTGCGGATCCATCTGCACTCAAAATAATCTTTGCAGGCCCTGCTTCTTCTATGTGAATGGCCTGAAGAGCCTCTGAAACATTGTTCATCTGGTGCACAAATGGATCTGCACATTGGAATGGGGGCTGTGGCTCTGTCCCACAAGCCAATCTTATGCAGCATACATATATCTACTGACATTTTAGCCAGTGCACCGAGCTCCAGAGGCTCTGGGGACATCCAGAGCACACAAGGAAATGAACTGCTGATGCATCTTCAGCCAAATTGGCCAGCTAAATATGTGGCTGCTGCCCAGACAGCCCAAATACATTACATCACTTGAATGAATAATGCTATTGACCAATACAATTCATTACACAATTTCTGGAAGGGATATTGCATGGAATTTGATATGTAAGCAAGCCAAACAGTGATTCTCCTATCTGCGGATGCTATTTCAACCATCCGCAGAAGCATCTGCAGCAGCTAGTGACATGGTTGCGGATGTGTCACATGACCCTCCGCAGTCTCTTTGTGGGACATATCTGCTCAATATAGCCTCAATGGATGTCCTCTGTCTCTGCAGCATGTATCTAAGATGTATTTTTTGCTACCTGCATAGTTCTATCAACAATAGGAAATTTATCTGTCCTGCACAGGATTTTAAATTCTTTGCACCATAATTGTTGCTCATATACAGGTCGGATAAGCTCAGCTGTCCCACTAGGGAATCGAAACTTGTCAGAGACAAGCTATAAGCCAGCAGACACTGAACCTGGAAAGAACCTATCTGAACAATATAAAAAAAGCGAATTGAACATGATTCATATTTCAAGCTTTACACATTCATACATGTCTTGCAATTCAAGGGCCAAGACTTTAAGACACAGCATTCAATGTTTTGAGCTGAAAAAAGTCTCTTAGATCAAAAATATTTTCGATTTTGGTCAATGAGCAGGTTGAGCTCAGTACTACCATAGGAAACTGTGTTCAGGTCATGGCACTTTTCTGCATGACAGAAATATTTTCCTCAGTGAGCTGAATCGAGTTTATATTCGAGATGGGGCATATCTAAATAGCATCTGAACAAATTCTGAGCAGGATCGCAGCATCATAGCCTTCACAGGGACACAATTTTGAAATGTTGATCTTGCGGATGCATCTGCAGATCATTGAAACTTGCACTGAAGAAAGCTATGATGCTGCGATTCTGCTCAGAATTTGTTCAGATGCTATTTAGATATGCCCCATCTCGAATATAAACTCGATTCAGCTCACTGAGGAAAATATTTCTGTCATGCAGAAAAGTGCCATGACCTGAACACAGTTTCCTATGGTAGTACTGAGCTCAACCTGCTCATTGACCAAAATCGAAAATATTTTTGATCTAAGAGACTTTTTTCAGCTCAAAACATTGAATGCTGTGTCTTAAAGTCTTGGCCCTTGAATTGCAAGACATGTATGAATGTGTAAAGCTTGAAATATGAATCATGTTCAATTCGCTTTTTTTATATTGTTCAGATAGGTTCTTTCCAGGTTCAGTGTCTGCTGGCTTATAGCTTGTCTCTGACAAGTTTCGATTCCCTAGTGGGACAGCTGAGCTTATCCGACCTGTATATGAGCAACAATTATGGTGCAAAGAATTTAAAATCCTGTGCAGGACAGATAAATTTCCTATTGTTGATAGAACTATGCAGGTAGCAAAAAATACATCTTAGATACATGCTGCAGAGACAGAGGACATCCATTGAGGCTATATTGAGCAGATATGTCCCACAAAGAGACTGCGGAGGGTCATGTGACACATCCGCAACCATGTCACTAGCTGCTGCAGATGCTTCTGCGGATGGTTGAAATAGCATCCGCAGATAGGAGAATCACTGTTTGGCTTGCTTACATATCAAATTCCATGCAATATCCCTTCCAGAAATTGTGTAATGAATTGTATTGGTCAATAGCATTATTCATTCAAGTGATGTAATGTATTTGGGCTGTCTGGGCAGCAGCCACATATTTAGCTGGCCAATTTGGCTGAAGATGCATCAGCAGTTCATTTCCTTGTGTGCTCTGGATGTCCCCAGAGCCTCTGGAGCTCGGTGCACTGGCTAAAATGTCAGTAGATATATGTATGCTGCATAAGATTGGCTTGTGGGACAGAGCCACAGCCCCCATTCCAATGTGCAGATCCATTTGTGCACCAGATGAACAATGTTTCAGAGGCTCTTCAGGCCATTCACATAGAAGAAGCAGGGCCTGCAAAGATTATTTTGAGTGCAGATGGATCCGCAGGACCCATCAAATCCCTGTGCGGATGTTCAAGGACCATCTGCAATGCACCAAAATGATGCCATCAAGGGCATCACCAGTAAAATGAGATGCGGATGGATCAGCAGATGTTTTTAGAGCCTGCTGCAGATGATTGGGCTGCATCTGCAGAGCTCTGATGCAGAGGGCGACCCCAGGCCAAAGAGTCTGCAGGGCCTGTGCTGAAATCTGGCTCTGGACCGCAGGGGGCGGATGCATCCGCACAGCACATATTCAAGCTGTGGTTGATGCAGGAGGATACTGGCTGCATGCACCGACTATAGCAGCTAACAGTGTGCAATTTTAACTGTCTACAAAGCCTGTGCCAAGCAGAGCCTGTCCCAATCTGGCCCTGGACAGCAGGTGGCGGATGCATCTGCATGGCACACTTTTAAGCTGCTGTAGGTGCTGGCAAGGGCTCTCTGGGTTCTTAGGAGCCTGGCAGCTGATGGTGTGCAAGTTGAACCATCCACAGAGCCTATGCTGAAATCTGGCTCTGGACCGCAAGGGGCGGATGCATCTGCACAGCATGCTGTCAATGCAGGAGGATCCTGGCTGCATGCACTGATCATGGCAGGTGAAAGTGTGCAAGTGGAATGGTCTGCAGAGCCTGTACTGAACAGGGCCTGCCCCAATCTGGCCCTGGACAGCAGGTGGCGGATGCATCCGCATGGCGCACGTTTCAGCTGCTGTGGGTGCTGGAGAGGCCTACCTGGGTTCTAAGGAACCTGGCAGCATCTGAGAAGCTTGCGTTCTATGTTTATCCTACGCATTAAGGTTCTGAGCAACCAATTTAGCAATCCAGAAACAATGCAGAGCATCTGCACAGCCCAAGCACTGAATTGGCCCAACTAACACTCTTTGTTTGCTGCACATAGAGGTCTTTGAAGCAGCTATAATCATTTGGGAGTCAAAAGCACTTGCATACATTGGCTACAGAAGGCTCAAGTCCACAGTGAAGCAATATATACAGGCTAGAACTGAAAAAATAAAAGAGCAAGAAATGCGGAGGGTTCCGCACTGGAGAACAGTCACATGACATGGTCCGTGGATGGCCTGCATGATGGCATCACAACAATCACGGGGAGAGCCAGGAGCGGATGGATCCGCAGCTGGTTACAGGGCTTGTTGCGGATGCTTTGGCACCCATTTGCGGAGGTTTTGGTGCGGAGGATGGCCAAAAGTGCGGAGGGTACCCCCCCTGTTAGGTACCCAAATCAGTCGAATTTTGACCCCTAACAGGGGGGGGTACCCTCCGCGGCGGATGTTCCTTAGGTGTGACAGTATTAGGGGAAGTCAAAGCTTTGATTCGGAAGGTGATCTAGAAAGCGATTCAGAGGTGATTCGAAAGGTGATTCAAGTGCCATCAAATCACCGAATCACCTCGAATCGCCGAATCACCTCTGGAGGTGATTCATGGATGAATCGAAAATCAGAATCACTTTGGAACCTAACCCTAGCTATGGGACTTTCATCACGTGTAGAACTATTCCAGCGGCTTGACCATTCACGTTGGCGCGTTTCCGTCTCCGTGCTGCGAAGAGTCGTTTGAATCGTGCAGTTTGATGCTCGATGAACGTGTCGATGATGTCCCGGGCTCGCCGCTGCCTGGGAGTAGTGCGGGGCATGGGTAAGAGTCGGCGTGGTCGCGGGCACTGGCAGAGAGGCAAGGTCAGGTGACAAGACAACACGGAGATCTTGCTTGTTCTAAAGACTAGATAAAGACAGGAAGTATATACGCGCAAAAAGTGGGGTGGTCAATTCGAAGGTGATTCTGCAGTGATTCTGCAGTGATTCACGCTGAATCAGCGAACCGAATCACACTTGAATCACACTTGAATCACACCTGAATCACCGTTCGAATCACTTCCGCGTAAAGAGCTTTGACTTCCCCTATTGTACAGGGACTCTTTTCCACTATGGATGAATGCCATAAGCTCTTTGTCCCAAGCATCCCACTGATATGTACAATAAGTCATTGAACACGACCAAAGAATGCAAAACGGCCCTGTGCATATCATGTAACTGGTAGCCTGACTGAAGGAGATCGCAAGCAAACGATGGGATAGAGACGGTCGAAGGTCAGGACATTCGTAAACGGAGGCCAGAGAAAACGGCCAAGTCCTCAAGGAACTCACAGCGAAAAGAGAGAGACTTGTCATGCACCATAGAACACAGACATTGTAACAATGGAACAATACACCTGGTAAGACGGATAGAACTCGGGTATGGCAGCTATCCGGAGATTAGGAGAAAAATAAATAAATGACCGTGTCCTATGCAAGACGCGTATGTTTTATCTTTGCAGGGACCCGGGATCAATCAGCCGCATTCACACTTGTCGGTGGCGACTGGGGTCGGCCATCCACAGTTTCCAGGCCGCTATCAACGCTGACCCAGCACTTGGCTCGAGTTCGGTCCCATCCCTCGAGATTTTGATCTCACGGCCTCGATTCCAGCCGTTGACGATGCTGCGCGTTCGTTTGAAAGGCAGAGGCTCGCGGCACAGCCATTCGACGGTGAACTGGCCGCTGAAACTAGGCATCGGTTGCGATTGTCCTTCACTGGGTGCCGGATCGTTGACTGCAAGATCGGGTTCAGGTTGATCATCGAGCGGTGGATCAGGGCCGAAGTGCTGTGAAGTCGGGAGGGGTAGTCGACTCGGGCTGAGGGATCGATGCTGACGAACTCCAACCCTATCAAGTTCCCCAAACTCCGAAACTCGGCCGCTCAGAACACTGGGTGCCGACTGGGTGGCACCTGACTGGGATGAATAAGGCGATGCGACTGGCACGACCAATCTCGGAGACGTATCGTGTGGGGTGGGATCCGATGCGAGGGAAACCGACTCCACCACCGGGCTGATCATTCTGAACGCACGTGTAAGCGAAAACGTGGATTCGATGAATGTGGAGGACGTGCTTGGCATAGCCGTAGAACTGGCCACTTTTGTTCATGCTGAAGAACAGGATCGTCTCTTGAGAAGTGCGGAACGCTTGATCGAGCACCACCTGATTGTGTTTCTGGATGTACCAAACACCGTCCACAGCACATCGGTCCAGTTCTTCCTTCGTCTGACACTTGAGCACAAAAAAGCGCTGGGGAAAGTGTGTCTCAAAGAAACTCGAAGTTGTTGACCCGTCTGAAGCTGAGCTCGGCGAATGGTTATCCGGCACACCCAGCGCTGGGTGTGGAGGCTCCGTATGGTCCTTGATCCACTGCCGGTGCAGTCCCATTCCTCGCTGTCCACCGACTCCAGTCCAAAGATCGTCGTTGAGAGTGCGAACCCGACAAACCAGCGGAGGCCCCATCGACCATTCAGCACGGAGGTACCTCCCGTCAAATCGCTCAATCGCCGCAGTCAAGTGCGCCTCGCTCGCAAAGTTCACGAATGCGCAGCTCGACTTGGAGAGCAAAAATGTCGACACGACGCCGTGATCAGGAAATTGGGTGAAAAGCGTCTCGAGATCGGTTTCATCTGCATGCTTCGGCACGTTACCGACCCACATTGCCCATTCAGACCGGTCTGCAGGTGCATCGGGGTGGTACACCCGACGCGCTGTCGGTTTCCGGATGAGAGACGATGTCACCCTGGGCGCGGCAGATCCTCGGTCTGGTGGGATCGACGATGGTCGACCGATGATTTGTGACGATTGTTCCTGCCCTGATGCTGGTGGACCACCCCCGGTGGAGAGTCGACGATGTTCTTCAATAGAAAAAACGTCAGCTTAGGAAACATGAAGAGGGAAGACGTGCCTCCTGCCTGCATACAAGGACTGAGATCGTAGTCTCCCAGCTAGGAGCACACACAGGCGATGATCGCCCGCTCGTGGTGTCCGTGGGGAGTTTTAGGGTAGGCCAGTGCTTCGTCTTCGTTACGAGACGCTTGTGACATCATAAGCAGACACGGTCCTGTGAGTGATCATATAACACAACGTGGCCGGTCATGGTCTCCGGCGGGTCGGATGGAGAGTAGGAGAGAGACGGAGAGGGAGGAAGGCGGCGGTTGTTGGTGTCGCATGGAATGTAACCTGAAATGAGCTTGCATGATTTATTGTGGTTTGTGTTGCCCTCCCATGATCCCCCTCTGCGAACAAGGCCCGATGCCCATCCTTGCGAACTCGTTCAATGTCACGCTCAACAAGTCTTTTCGTCCATACTCATCGTGTGCGGCCCAGAGCAGTGGGAAACAACCTCTGGACGTCCGCTGGGAAGCAGCGAGCATCCTGGGAAGGAGAGCGATCTTGATGGACTGGTTATTGGCTTGTCAAGACAAAATGTCTGGTCCGTCGATGCCGCTGCCTAAAAACGGCATGCTCAGTCCGGTGGACCTACCACAAGCAGTCTTGCCCTTAGCTGCCCCTCCATCATCTCTGTCACTTCGGTTTCACAGCCAATCTGCCTCGAGATCAACATCCGCTCCAGGAGTTTGATGAATCGACAAGTTTCGTCCTTGGTGGACCCAGCTTCGAAACAGGCCAATGAGGTGGCAGAAATCAGCCCCACTTGGCTACATGACCGAGGGGAGTTCGACGCAGGGATAGCCTTCAACCGGGTCCAGGAATGATTATTGATCAGGTGCCCGAGACTATTCGCTCCCAAAGGATGTCTTGGAGTCCAATGCATCGCTTCCTGCTCCAGCAAGAGGCCCTCGGTCGAGACCCGTGTCGCGTGACTCGCAGATGCAGTCGCCCGTCTGGATTGGATACGCCAGTCTCTCGATGTCGCGAACGCGACTTCCGCTGGTGCCCTCTCCAGTGTGGATTTAGGTTCTGGACGCTCGACAGAATGGATGAGGGCTAGAGCAGCTGGTGGGCAATGGATTGGAAGGTCCTGAGGTTCGACGGAACCACCTGTGCAGACATACATGATGCGATGCGCTGCCAGCCAGATCTCGGGATTATCTTGAGCAGCAGCGCCAATATTCCTCAGTTGTCGCCGTGGAGAGATAATGCTAGCCCGGGCGGAGATTCTGCACTCACAAACGACTATCAATCAATGGCCCACCTGCCCTGGTCTACAACGATGATTGGTCGACGAAGAGCTCTTGGCGAGGTGGAAGGACGATAGTCAACGCGGGAAGGAGCTCCCATTCGACCATTGTCAATGTGGCGTAGTGAGGGAATGGGGGTGAACATGTTTCCATCTCGCGTCCGGTTCGTCAGCTGAATCCTCTCCCTCTAGACTAGAGTTCAGCACGGCAAAAAACACAGCAGGGAATGACCCGCACTCCGACATGGATTCCGTTGATCTCCTCACGATCCCATAGTCGACATTCCCTAGTTTGGCGTTCTCGACGTCTGCGAAATCGTTGTGTCGTGGTGTGTTTGCATGGACAGGGCAGTTGGTCCAGCCGCAGAAGCGGTGGTCTTTGCTTGGTTGATCGCATTCACATCAACCTCCGCATTCGCGTGAGCCAAGCGGGTCCTGAGCCTCCAATCCAATGTCGTTGACTTTTATTCGGCCCCACGGCTAGCAGAGGACGGCCCAGCAGCTCGGCGACCACCTGATGGACAACACAAGGACTCCCTCGTGCGGCATTCCTGACCGCAGTCTGAGAAGAGTGCGACACCTGAGCGGGGTGACGCCATCTCTGGCAACCAGGTCCAACAAGACAGCCCGATCGTCTGGCACGACCACTCGATCGACAACCGCTTCCACTCGATGCAGAACGAAGTCCAATGTGGTGGGCTCTGGCGCTCGGACGTAGGCAGGGGGACTTGTCTCTCATAGTCTGTGACTTGCTGTATGCTTCTCGACGGAAATGGGATCGGGGGCTCAGCGGAGAGCATGGATTTGGAGCTGGATGAGTGCGGGTTTATCTTCGGCGCCAAACGCCATCGGAAAGCCAGCTGGTGTTGCGATGACCTCTCTGTCGCTTCATTGACCTAACTGGATCCGAATCATACACGAGCGCAAAAGGATTGAGGCGATTTGTATTCGACAATATTGGCCAGGATCGCCCTCCTCTTCAAGCAGAGGTGGGCCTGCCGTAGCTTCGCATCCTTCGCCCGTTGACGAAAACAGTCCCACGTTGGCGAAGAGCCATGTAGAAGATGAGAGCCTATTGACATTGGCACTTGCCTTGTCTCCACAGAATTTGTGGCCGTCCAGAGTTTTCCGTCGGCCGGCGGTCATGGCTGAATGCGGCTCCCAGTCCACCCACGCCTTTGTACAAAGCCTACTGTGGATCACAGCTTTCTTCGTGTTCCTCCACGTCATGTTGCTAACATCGTGGGTAGAGCGTGACCGTCCGTTCTGCGTGAACTAGCCCGAAATCGATGAGAACGCAGCAACCAGGGTGGAACGAACACCAACTGTGTCTTGACCGCTTGTGGAGAACACTATCCAGATGCATTCGATTGTGCATCCACCCGTGACCATATCATCGAGGTCGAAAAGAGGGCGGAGGCCAGCCAACCCGATGAAAACCATACGGACGGAAAGAATTCCCAAAACGGACGACTGCCCTCGGAGTCACTGCCATCACTTCACATTTGCCCAGCTGCCCCAGCGCCCTCGAGCCGTCTCTTCCAACCTCACTCCGTGCTGCTCTCAGCTCTCAAGGTGTGCAGCGTTCGAGGCCACCCGATTCCATTATCATCGCATCCGCAAGCCTTGCCTGCAGCTGCAGCTCGCAGCGAAACCGCAACCGGGTAGACACACTGGACCGGATGTTGCACCCGTCAGAAAGCTGCAATTGGGCTCTCGAAAGATGTTTGCGAAGTGAGAGGCGAGCGGTTCTCAGATATGAATCGAATTGAATTGTTGCGGAGAGGTTCATGTGCCTCCATAGTCCTGTTGTCGAACTAGGCCCAGAACACGGGCCGCTTGCGCTTCAGAATCCCCTCGTCGCACAGACTGGTCGTTATTGGGAGTGGTATTGCGGCCGGGCGGTGATCTCGATGCTCTACTGGTGAGTCCTCTATAGGTCCTGTCCCGTTGCTGATTCGTCTCCAAGATTATCCATTCGACCGTATTCAAAAAAGCACGAAACTAAATCGTGAACACAGCGTTTCGATTGAGCCTTCCATCCATCAGTTAGCGGCGAGACAAGAAACATTGAATTGCAGCAAGGGTAGACGCACTTCGACTTCACCATCGGGTTTTGAGTAATACCAGAGCACATCATCTCGCCGTGGAGCTCCCCTTCCTTGCAAGTCCAAAGCATCCTAGTCTAGTAAAGAGTACCCACGCGGATGATCGCCCAGTGCTAGGCCCTTATTCGCTGCTGCTTTGACCGGTTTCTCCTTCACGGTCCGAGTTCTTGCTCGATGGCCCCGATTCTGTGGGCGACACCAGATGCGGGAGATCGCTGACTACGCTGCCGGCTGGTGCTGGGCCTTGGCCTGGAAACCTTGATACTGGATTGAAGGTTGAGCGGAGAATGCCACACGACTCCCCTGGCAAAAGATCCACGAGCGGCCACAACCTCTGTCTATGGCGAGGACTGTGTGGCTCGAGGGCGACGAAGAGCTCCACTGCGCGAGCCGCCTTGCAAGACTTAAGCCCTTGACCGTGCGACGAAATGCGAGGCGAGTGACGGTGGATGCAGGCAGGCGACTTGATGTTGGCGCTGGAGGAAGCAGCCACCATGAAGGCCGGGATCCGTGAGCGGCTGCGCCTTCGGTCTGTCGTGAAGACTGCTGTGGGCTCGCAAATGCCGAGCTTTGGAGGATGCGATAAAATTCAAGCGAGCGCGGACAATGGCGATGAATATCGGGAAGGCTTGTCGAAGGAAGACTCGTGCCCAACGCTCTGAGTGATGCGGGACGCATCATCACCGCAGGCTGACATGCACAGTCTCCTGCTTATGAGGCTCCTCCTTCTGGAGTCAGGCCGATGGAAAGAGCTTGCCTGCAATCCGGCACTTCAGTCCTCGCAGATGCCGCAAAGCTACATTCCCTCCTCCTCCTCCCAACAATGGCCTCAGAAGTTTGCGGATATCGGACGCTGGACAGCATTGAGATAGTGGCAGGGTCCGTCGTGGAAGCTGTCTGAACATGGTGGCCAGCGAAGCCACGCCGTTTCAGTGATGGGAGGTGGTGCTCTCGAGTGTGGCCGTCGGCTGTCGTTGGATGGAAGATCGAGGCCAAGCTGATTTCAAGACGATCTGTACTGGGAACTTGTTCGCCTACCCTCGATAATTTCTTTACATAACCAAAGCTATGGCTTTTCACTCCCCGTCACGGTCTTCGTCCCCGTCCCCAATACCTTCGTCACTCTTGCCCCGCATTTCGGACGCATAGGCATGGGAGTTGCTTTCATGCGGGCACTAACAGTTTTAGGCATACGGAAGTGAGGATTCCGTCAATTCTCCAGTCGCACCCCTCCTGGATGTTTATCAGGACCAGAACGCTCGCACTGGCCCGCTGCCACCGTCGCAAATCGACGGCGCTTGGGACGGATTATGTTTCTCCGCGGCGGAAAGCCATTTGGCAGGCGGTACTACTCTCCCCGCCATGATTCGCGATGACGCGCAACTGACGTTAAGTTCGAACTCGCCTCGTATTTCTCGAGCTTCGCACTGTAGAACCGTTTACTTTGCTAGAGCACAAGTTTATGAATGTGGCGGAGATCTCAGTCTCATGAATTATCATCTTCAGAAATAATCTCATTTGTTCGAACATGATCCGTCGAGCCGCTGTTGCTTGAATGCCGCGCTAACAGCTCACAATCTTATTTCGGAAGCTGTCAGCAGATATTGCAGTACTCTAATCCCACACAGATCTTCTCCTGCACGGATTACGATTGCGAAAACACATAATTTGCGCCGGGCCGGCATCTAAATGCATAAGGCCGCATCAGGCCGACCTGGACTCAAGTGATCACCTGTGGAACTTGATTCATATCGTCAGTACACTGGCAAGCGGGGGAGCTTCCTCTTAGTAAATTGAATCAAGCATGATCCTGCTCCTATGAAATCCTTGAGTTCAACACTCGACGAACAAGCTAAAGAACGCATGACGACCCCATGTTCATGATTATGATAATGAAGAGAGATGAATATTGAATATATAATGCCGCAGCCTTAAACAACGTTGCCCAGTGTTCTTTACCAGTCACCAACGGAATGGTGGGACTCGCCTCCGAAGTTTTCCTTTCCCCAGCTACGATTAGCACAGTTGCTCTAATATATGCCTCCCCGACTTCTCATCGACACGATTTCAATCTCCAAAAGCGCACTTTGATACCCTGAATCACACTCTGATGGAGTAGTCAATCACAGGGGACAATCAGGGACAATCCCTCGAGCTTCTTGCCGAGCCATCATCAATCGATGCACTGATTGCAGTGTTTGAGGGCTAACGAGAATAGACGACAATTGAGTCGACCTGAACACTGCTGTTCTAAAATTAAGACGGAGCGACGTAGTGTCGCAGGGCGCTAGATCACTGACATCACTCTGTTTCACCCGTCGGCATGCTCTTGGCGCGGTCTGTGTTCACCGCACTCCCCAGCGGCATAAAAGCTCTCTCTTGACACCATCGACAGTAGTTATACCTAACAAATGGCCCGCTTCTCTGCCGCTGTAATCGCTTTGACGCTCGCGGGTGTCGCCACTGCGCAAGTCTGTTCCTCAGGCAGCTGCTGGACCAGCCCTTCCAACGCCACCGACCACGGATGCCAGGCTTGGGCAGGCGGAGTCGATGCCTGGGCCACTTGTGGCTTCGAGGGAGCTGTGCGTCGCCATCTCTTTGTACTGAGTTGTCCTACGATGGACATTGACCATCCTCCTTCCCAGGTGACCTGCACGACCTGTCTGCCGTGCAACACCGAACACTGCTACACGTCTCCTTCGCAAGCTACTGGTGCCGGATGCACCGCCTGGGCTGGTGGAGTCGACGTCTGGCAGACATGTGGATTTGACGGAGCCGTGCGTTTCTTTACTCTTTCCGTCGATTCAAGGATGCTCCCTCAACTGCTTTCCGTCAACAGATCACTTGCAGAACCTGCGCCGCTTGAGTTGTAGTCCAGGACGCGCGCAAATAGTACATGCTTTGATACTTCTAATATAACACCTTTCTTGACGGTTGACGCTTCACCCGGTCGCTCGTCGCAAAATACACACCAAGCCATCCGAGTGGGCCGAAAAGATAGCATCGACGAGGAACTCTCCATTCTCCAGAGGCCGGATAGTCATCCGCCGCCATTCGCACAGCAGCGGCTGTGCCGCGTTCGCGACCGATCTACATATAGCCCTTGATAATCAGACAGATACGATCTAGTAGACAGGAACCATCACGCACAAGGACTGGCGCCCGCGGGGGAAAAACAGGAATCGTCCGTAGCTAAATCCACCACTCGAGGGCTGGCCGTGATCATTCACCCCGCATCGCTTGACGACGCACAACCAGCTGCGCACGACCATCTCGTCATCGGGAGCGACAAAGTCGAAGAACGGCCGCGTTGTTGCGCTGCCGGCGTCGACGAGCTGATGGTTCGTGTATCGTGTGATCGTGCAATTCGTGGAGAATCGGTCGAGGAGGAAGGCTGTTCGAGGCGATTGGGACATAGGCAACTCGGGAGGCGGAGTCAACGCTGTGATCGGCGATGAACTTCTATGCGGAGAAGATTCGTGCCACCGCTGGGAAAGTTTAGATATCCGCAATCTCCAGCTGGGATGGGCACCCACCTGAAACTCGAAATTGGACGCTGCCGTGCTGATGACCACGACCTCTTGCGCAGTGGAGTTGATGTGCAAAGCTTCGCCGCCTGGGTGGGCGAAAGACACGCTGCTATACGGTAAGTCATCGAGCACGGACAATGATGTCCGGGCACACACCTTCCGATCAACTGGTCGGTGACCACCGTCCTGTAGGAACTATGAACGAGGTGTCATTTTCGCTCGCGATGTAAACGAACTGAGCCTGGACAGCGAATCAGGTGTCTTGGATGTAATGGACACCAAGTTGGCCGAACCAGTGCGCAAACGATATATCCTTTGTGTGCGTCTTTGTGCTTGAGACGGACATAGGCAATAGTAGCGGCTTTGTCTGCAAGAATAACATCGCTGATAGTAAGTGTTCGCTGGAGCTGTTCATCCATCCGAGGCATTAGACACACCTGTGCAGCTCTTTGACTCGTTGTAGCTCGTCAGGATGTACCAGGTCGAAAAAGAGCCGATCGCGCAATTCAGCAGGCTCCCAGCCTGCACTGATTCAGTGCCAGGGGTCATTGAAAGTGGGAATCAGACAGACCTAGTAGGTCGGAAACCGATTCCGTCAAATGCTTCCATCGACCCTGCATGGATATGAATGAGAGGAGGCGTGTGTACTGACTGCCGGTAGGTAAGCACAAAGAGATCAGAGGCAAAGCGAGCGGACAGACCTCTTTGGAGCAGACCTGAAAGTCGAGGATTGTGACTACGGTGGTCAAGAACTCCTCATAAACGAAGCCATCGACGCTCACTGAAGGACACCGAAGGCGGGACAGTATTCATGGCTAGAGAAGTCGCAGCGCCGGTGGGCGTACTTTATGCTTGGGCATCTCGGTCTAGGTGCCCATCGCACCATAGCTCTTCACGCTGATTTGCTTTTTCGAGTAGGGAGGAAGTCGCGCAGAACAAGAAGCGGGCCGACGGATCAAAAGTGATCAGCGCAAACAAAACTTGCCCTCTTCTTTGCATCTTTACTCCATCTCAATCCAATTTACCCAGTTCTGGCATTGGGTACACTCAAACTCCTTGCTTCTTGGAGAAGATGTGGTCTACTGCTCGAGAAATCGCCGCCGGCGACACGGTCATCATCTGGCTTGCAAGTGCCCCTCATTGATACCCTCGATCGGGGAAATAACTGACCTGCAGAACCTTAGACGCGCGATTTCATCCAGCCGCTCGTCGTAACCCCGGGAAAAGATCTCAACAACAAGTATGGGATGTACAAACACGAGGACTTCATCGGGCTGCCTTACGGGTCGAAAGTGGGATCGAGGACAGGGCGAGGGTTCATCCACGTCTTACGCCCGACCCCAGAGCTATGGACGCTCGCGCTTCCGCACCGAACGCAGATATTATACATCGCAGACATCTCGCTTATCGTCTCGTACCTCGATATTCGCCGAGGCAGCCGTGTTATCGAAGCGGGTGGGTGTGTCTGCGCAGGTCGAATCGAAAACTGCTCAACCTTCACCGCCCCTAGGAACGGGGTCTGGATCCTTTTCGCATTCGGTGGCGCGTACGATAGGGCCCTTGGGTCATCTGCACTCGTATGAATTCCACGAGGCCCGTGCCAACAAAGCCAGGCGCGTTCTTCGGCGGCCATCATCTGTCTGTCTGTCTGCGCTGACGAGTTCTCTCATCCGCTTCTTTCTGCAGGGAGGAGTTCTCGCAGCACGGAATGTCAGAGTTCGTGACATTGACTCATCAAAATGTATGCAAGGACGGATTCAATTTGACGGACACGGTGGATTCTGGTGTGTGGCCCACTTCTCGCGTTATCGGGGTGTCTGACAAGGTTCTGCGCCCAGTTTTCCTTGATTTACCAGCACCTTGGGATGCCATCGGGCACGCCAAACAGGCTATGAGAGTACGTATATTCCCCTGCCTGCTTCGAAGAGGCTGACACCTTGCGTCGCAGAAAGACCGTGCGGCGAGAATATGCTGCTTTAGTCCGTGCATGGAACAGGTATTACGAACAGTCAGCGCGCTCAATGATGCTGGGTTCTCGGGTGCGGTGTCCCTTGTGGCTGATCCCCTACTTTCTACTGATCTGAGGCAGAGATCACGATGTACGAAACGCTCGTGCGCACACACGATGTGTCGCAGGTCCCGGTGCTCCAGCCCATCTCGGACGTCGTGGAGAAGCTGAAGAGGGCGGAGGGAATCCGGGAGGTCAAGCGCCTGAAGCAGGTCGCCGCAGGACAGCGAAGCCGCGAGAACCCCCACGGGGAGAAACGAAAGCGGGACCAACCAGCTGGTGAAGGCTCGGAGCCCGAGGATTCTGGCGGTAAGAGATTGAAGACAGAGGAAGAAATGGGGGGCGATGATGCAGCTCCAGATAACGACGTTTCTGGAAATGACGTCCGCTTGCCTGTTCCCCCTGCAAAAATTAGCGTATCGAAGGCCATGGCTGAAGTCCGTGGCCATACATCTTACCTTACCTTTGCTGTTTTGTTACCGGCAGTGCCTTCAGCAGAGACACCTGTAGAATAGTCCGTGTATTACTAATCAACTGACACTTCACGACGCGACAGCTCTGCGGAATGCATCCTCCACATCTTGCTCTTGTTGCAGCTCAGTCTCTGTCTTTGTCCTTCGGTGCCGCAGACTCCGCCTTAGCGGTGGCGAGCTCCTCTCACGAGCTCGCTTGGCTGGCGACGGGCCCGACGAGATTTCGTCCTCGGCATCCGAGTCGTCCTCGTCCTTCTTCCGTTTCTTCCTGGCCGACACCCGTCGCGTTACTGGTGATTTGGCTTTCGGCTTTGTCTGATTAGGAGCTCGGCTCGGCCTCAGAATTTGCAGTTTCTTCTGTGGCTTCTTCGCTGGCCGAGAGGGCAAGACATACTCCTCCTCCTCGAGCTCGTTCACATCATCTCGTTCCAGCTCCGTTCTCAGACGAGCCGCGGTTTCTTCAGCCAGCTCGGCCATCGATTTAGGTACCACGAGTGCCGGAGCAAGAGGAGATGGGGCGCCAGGCAGCTCCATGTCCTCGTCAACCTCCATCGTTTCCATATCGTATGCGACGGGCTCTGAATGCGGCATTGTGCTAGGGCCAGGGGCAGCAGGGTCCGACTGCGCAAAGAAGGGGAGGTGGGGTAATTGGTATCCCGTCACGACCGAGTCCGCTCCCTGGAGGAATCCTCCTTCGGCAGCTAAGCCAGGCCGGATCTCGACATCCTGAGGAGATCAGCAGGGGTAAAGCGATGATGAGTGAGACGCACCTCTCCCCTGTCTTCTGTCTCAGCGGCCACGGGCTGCCTATCTCGGTACTCATCCTGAATACTCTTTCTGATCCGCAGACCAGTGATGAGTTTACTCCACCGTGCCAACACGCGCCGTCTTGCTTGCACTCGAGCTTTCTCAGCAGCAGAGTGCTCAAATTCCCAGTAAGCCTGCAGTCCGAGTTAGCACACCGAATGTAATAAGATGGTGCCTGCACCAACCTCCAGGATCGCTTCCTGATTCTCTGTGGCAACAACGATGCCCTCGATGATGGGCGTGGCCCGTTTGCGAGCGTAGCCGAATCCGGTCTACATCCAAGATGAAGCTGGAATGCGAGTCAAGTACAAGAAAAGAGACGCACCACAGCCTCAGCATAGTCGTATCCGAGCTGTTTGGCGATCTTCCCGATGCCCTTGTCTGCAGCGCAGGTCAGGAAAAGTCAAAGGATGATGTGGGCACGGACGTGGAAGATGCGCAGCGCCTGCCGGGAGCATCGAGGGAACATAGAGATCAATGTTGCCAAAATTATTCTTCGGGATTTTGCCCTGTATATTGATCAGTCTAACGTCTTCACGAGGCAAGATACTGCACGAACAGCGATGCTGGGCTCAGGAACATAGAGCTCGGTCTGGAATCGAGCGTACGTTCCTTGCATGATGTCCGGCGCTGTCCCTTCACCAGCAGTAGGCAGCCCGTCCCGCAGAACCTCCAGCTCTCGCCTCCGGGACAGAGTTGACGGGCGCATCTTGACAAACTTGATCGGTTGTTCCCCCGGTTTGACTTGTCGTCCCTCGCTGCGCATCCAGTTTTCAGAGGTCTTGAGGGATACGACAGCGGATCGTGGGTAGACAGATTCGCCTCGAAACTTGCCGATTTCCCGCGTTTGGGGTGGAGCAGGATACAGCGTCTCGTTATGTGCTAGATGTCGGACCAAGACGTATCTGGGCGTAATCAGCCTCGTAAGCAGATTCAGTGGTTGTCTGACGCACACTGGGTGATGCTTGAAACCGTCTATCGTCGTGGGCATGCCCTCCATCAGCTGCGCAGTGTCCAGCTCCATGTCTTCGACATCGTCTCGATTCTACCAGTCCATTCATACTTGTACCGCAGTCATGAGCCGCAGAAGGACGCACCAACCGATACGGGCGCTGCACAGTCTGCACGACCCGTTCCCACCACATTTCTTTCCGACCACGCTGCTTCTGTCCCCCCTGAATCTTCGCCACCTTCGCAGAATACTCGCGCGCATACCGCCTTGTCACATCCCGCCCGAATCCGTCGTCCTCGAACGCCACCACGTACAACATCCGGTTGTCCCGCGGTGCGATCTTGAGACTTTTCCCAGCCAAAATGGTACTCGGGCGTGCATACGCTGAGCTGGAGTTGCCTATCCCTTGGTGCGCCGTCGGAGCCGCGAAAGAGGGATCGAATACGTTCGGCTGGTTGACGTATCCGCGGATGGGGTCTATCGGCAGCCACCGCCCGTCTGGTCGAGAGAACACCTCCGTCCAGAACACGGGGGACGCCGTTCGCGGGTCTGCGGACAGTGAACTCAAGCGGAATGACTAGAGAGGGCTGGCCAACCTGATGGCGATGCCCGGGGTGCGCCTCCAAGTACGTTTCCTTTCGATTTTCGAAGTTTGACAGAAGGCCGCGCCTTCTCCTTGCCTTTCGCCTTGGCGCTTTTGGGCGCGCTGCTGCTGCCTTCGGCGTCTATGGTGGCATTCGAATCCGTCTTGGCCTTTCCCTTTCCTTTCGCATCGCCAGAGATCCCACTTTTCTTCCAGGGCACACTTTGCAAGCTGACCACCAGTCGCGCTGGGATGCCGAGGGCGCGGCACAGGGCGGTGAAGAGCTGGGCACTGACGTCACGACTGCCTTTCCCCATGAGAGCGTGTTTCATGAGACTCTTGGGTCCGTGTATGACCTCTCCTTCGTCAGCCAAAATCACCTCTAACAGCTCGTCGTCCAGCGGATCCTCCGGTCCTAGCCCTCGGCGATCCATCTCAGCTTGGACAACGCCGAATGGGCGGTTGCGGACATGCCCCTCAAGAAGAACGGTGAAGTAGTCCTCTATCCACCATCTGGCTAGACCGTTCATGGCGGTCTCAAACATTCGTCCCCGCTTCTGCGACTCGGGTACACGCGATTTGTGAATCATGGCGAAGGAGGTTTGCAAAGAGAGCGGAGCCAGGGAGAGAAGCCGGGCCTGTCCCGGGCACTCAGAAAGAACTCAATGAGACAGAGCTATCCGGACGAACCTGCAGCAGGGGATCGTTAAGCCATTTGTTGCGAATCCATCCGTTAGCGAGCAGCGCGAGAGTGTGCAGTTTGTGACAGTTGATGCGGAGCACAGTCTCCAGTCGTATGTTTCTGCCGTTTCTATGCGATCTCAGTGGCGATCCGGCAGCCAACAGCGACGACTCAACGACTCCAAGGCTTTGGGTGCAGATATAGTAATCTCAAGGTTCTGCCCCTCTTCCGGAAGCTGAACCTCTTCCCAGTCTCCCTCCGAGTCGCTATCAGACATCACAGCGCCGCGACAAACAAGACCTCCGGACCAGTTCCAGGCTATGCAATTCCTTGCGCGAGAGGGTGTAATAAAAGAGTGCCGAGACACGCTTGTCACAACTCACGCGATAGTGACAAAGTGACTTGACTTTCGGCTCCGGGGCAGCGATTCTTGTCCACAACGTGATATTTCAGTTCTCACAAGTTATAAAACGACCGAATGCTCTTCCAGACATGTCCTTTCCAGAGATAATTCGTGCACCCTGCAGCGGCCTCTCCTTCGGCTCGCCGCGCGACATCCCATCCCGTGCTCGCCGTCCCACATGCCGCGGCCAGTTGCATCTTCGTCCATACGGGTCCCATCTTCCCCGGGAGCTCATCCACAAACGCAACGTCGGTATTGAAGATGAGAGACAGTTCCGACAGCGTACAGCGGTCGCCTTGCAGGCGGAACGTCTGGTTGATGAGAAGTGCGAGTGGGAAAGTGGTCAGGACGTGCGCTACGAACCCTGTGCGTACGGTTGGTCTCCTTGCGACGGCGGGGCTGATGGGATGACGTGCACGCACCTGCGACATCCTCCGAAGCTGTGAAAGAGCAGGGCATGTCCCCTTCGGTGATGAGGTTGATTTTGCCGTTCACCGCGAGTCCAGTCAACGCGGGAATCGTCTCGATGAAGATACCGGCCTGAGCTCATCATTCAGGAAGAAACGCAGTCATAGGCATCTGGCCTCACGTAAAACCGAGCGTACGCCAACATTAAAGATTTGAGGTGCTCTGTGCCGATGTTCAGCACTTAGCATTGGGTGGAAAGTCGATTTCCTGAGACGCACCTATTGTGCTAATGTGTTCCCCACTCTGCCGCATGTCCTCAGTCACCAGCCCGAACTCCGACGGAACGAACAATTGGACTCCCGCCTCTTTCGCTGCCGACGCCAGCCTGTTCTGCAGCGCTACATCCGCCGCCGACACAGTAGAGACCACGACCTGTACGGCTCGTGCCCGCAGCAGCTGCGCGACAGCCGCTACATCGTTGTAGTCTGCCTCCTCAATTGGGATCCCCTCGCGGATTCGGCGTTTGCTCTCCGGGGTGCACTTGCCCGGAGGCGCGATCACGAGCACTGATACGCCTCGAGCGTGGAGCTCGTTGACGATAGGAACACCTAAGAGCCCTGCACCAAGGACAGCAAAAGAAGTAAACATGGGGGGACAAATCCGTCGCCGATGGAGATTTCAAAAGATATACCTCATGGGCCAGGGAGTCAGCGATTCGCCCGACGAACTCTTGCTGGAGCCAAGCTCGAGTTTGGTCATATCCGATGCTTATGAACCCGTGTGACCGGGAATCGATCCAGGCTCCGTCAGCGGGGCCTTCCAGGTTGGTCATCCCGCTGCCTAAAGATAGACGGCAGTACAAAAACATTCCTGTCCTATCAATCGGCGATTCCCACATCTCTCAGCCTCTACTGCCAGGCGACGCGGGCTTCCGGGCATGAAACACGGTCACGTGGCGCATATCATCTCTGATTTCCGATGTCGGCCTCGATCAGTCCAGATCTACCGAGAAAACATGGTTCAAACCCGGTCACAACTAAGCCGAGTCGGCAAACACATCTCTCAGACATTCCAGAACAAGCTCTGCATCCTCATCGTCCAGGACATCCTCCGAGCGGAGAGCTGTAATACCAGCCACACTGCGGTCGACCAGTCTCCTGTACCCATCTTGAGTGCTGCACATCCCTAGTGCAGACATCTCCAACGTCTGTGCAGTGCTATCCAAGACTTGATGTCCAGCAACAGCAACAGCAGCTTCGAGAATAGATGGCCACCGGCCATCTGGGATCGAATACAACGCCCGGCGCAGACTTTGCAGTGCCTCACGACGCGCTGCAACCTGCACACCCGTCGGCAAGCGTAGTAAGAAGGTGAAGATTGCCGACGAACCGGAACCTTGGTTGAGACGGTTTCGTCCACGTCGATCAGCGATTCTGGAAGCTCCCCATCACAGGCTGGAGCGCATCCCCGCGAGTTCCCGCCCGCAAAAGCTTCGTCCCGGTTGGATTGCTGTTCTGGCGCGGCCGCCTGCTCCCAGTGAACCGACGAAGCCTCATCTCCCGAGCCAGTCTTCTCGCCGTCTTCGTGAGTTTCCGCATGACTCGGGTTCTCTTTCTGGCTCTCCTTCGACCGCGCGAACGGTGGCTTGTACGGTTTATTCAGCGCTCCAGCACTTTTGTGCGGCTTTGTAACTGAAACCCGACAATCAATCTTGCGCCAAGTGCGATCGGACCGACAGAGAACGCACTGAGGACTTTCGGCAAAGACGTGTCTATCCTAGCCTTCTTCGAAACCGGGCCCGAATCCCTGAAAGCGCGCTTCCTGCCCCCCAAAGGCCGGCTCCACACTGGATCTTGTTTCGGGTACGCTATCTCTTGGCACTTCGCAGGCTCATCTTCGTGGCCATCGAAGCGGACATTAGCAGGGACCTGGCTAGCGGCATACTCTTCACTCGACAGCGAGCTATGCCGCTGCCGGGTCTTGTCTGGATACCGACAGATCTATGCCCGTTCAGCGTTCCGAGCAAATGACGGCTCACAAACGTACGTCACACATCCGGTTACAATATTTGCCTACCTCTGCGGCTTCGATCGTCTCACCAAAGTACCGGCACAATGCCTGCAGATCCCGTTGTCAGGACTTCATTCTGAACATCAAGACACGCACGATATGTCGACAGACGGTCGTGCTCTCCGCAAATTGGATCAGCTGCAATAACATCCGTCACTTGCCTGACCAACGAGCTCATCCATACCGAAGCCAAACTCTTCACGGCTCGTTCATGGGCCTCCCTCGACTTGGTATTCGCGTTGCCGTTCTTCACCCAACGCTTCACCTTGACCACATCCTCCCTGGCTGCAGTCACCGTCAAACGCGTCTCCGGGACATCAAAGAGCTCACAATAATACAATATGCACTTTGCAGGGCTACCATCTCGGCCGGCTCTCCCCGTCTCCTGGTAGAACCCTTCCAGACTCTTTGGTAGATCGTAGTGTATGATGTACCGCACGTCGCCCTTGTCGATACCGAGCCCGAATGCGATGGTGGCGCAGACCACTTCGACGCCTCCCTGTGTCCACTGGGAAAGCGTCTTATCAAGCGTCGAGGAGCTGCAGGTGATCTGAGAGCGAGAAGCAACGGAGAGCAAAAGAACAAACTTGATGCCCCGGTGATAAGGTCTGGCTTGGATCCCCCTGCCTCTGAGAAAACCAGAGACCTCGTCGCACCCCGCCCGCGTTCGACAGTACACGATACCGCTTGAGACCTGTCCACGTCGTTGGTACAGCGTGGAAATGCAGTCGTGGATGTCGGACATTTGCGATGGACCATGGGGCGCAGAGGTGTATCGAACTTCGTAGAATAGATTGGCCCTGTTGAATGGGTGCACGACTTTGACGAGGTGCTCTTCGGACATGCCGAGACTTCGAATGATGTCTTCCTGCACGCTGCCTTTGTCGTCAAGACGCACAAAAACAGCGGAGTGGCACGCACTCGGCCGTCGCGGTGGCAGTCAGCGCCATGATCGGAATGTCCTCGTAACGTTTCCTAAAGTTTCCGACTCGCCGATAATCTGCGCGGAAGTCGTGTCCCCATTCCTGCAGAAGGTTGCAGACTCAAGGCAAACGGAGGGGGCAGAGACGCACCGAGATGCAATGCGCCTCGTCGACAACCAACCGCTTCAGCTGCTTGCTGTCGTACAGGTCATCCATGATCCCTATGAACTCTGACGTGCTCAGTTTCTCAGGCGTGACTGCAGACAGGGCATGAGCGGAGTGCGTAGTACGTCAGATCCTGGCACTCGCTGTATAGCAGTCGATTTCGCGGATTCCCGGACAAGAGGTCGTCCACGATCTGAAGCATTGCATCAGCTGCGATGCACCATGGATGACCAGGATATACGACACCTCTTTTCGCTCCTCCGCAGGGGTTTCAGACGTGAGTGCAGCCACGGTAACGTCTTTCTCGCGCAGACCAGCGACCTCTATCAGACGGGGGTGAGGAAACGCGCTTTTGCGCTATGAGCGCGCGGAACAAGCGCGACGTACGGTTCTTCATCAACGCCAGCAGCGGCGAGACGACTAGCGTGATGCCATGCTGGGATGTCAAGTGCAAAATCAGTCCAATGAGATCAGACGGGAAGTGAGCACGGACGCACCGTCTCAGCGATGGCAGGGACCTGGAAACACAGGCTTTTGCCCATGCCCGTGGGCGCAAGGACAAAGACGTCTGCGCCACACGCGGCGGCCTCGACGACAACTTGTTGTTTGCCCTTGTACGACGTGTGCCCGAATACTGTGGCAGGAGTCAGATTCCGGCAGTCCCATGCTCGAGGGTGTCGGGCAGACCTTTCGTCAAGACGCGCCAGCAATCGACCGACCCACTCGCGTCCCGCCTCAGCGCCTTCGCTTTCGTTTGACTGGGACCGGCGAGGTTTGCGCTGGTGTATGTGACTGCGGGTGGGGTTCGGAGGATTGACGACGAGAGGCTGGGGTCGACAGCGGAGTCTGCGTCTTCGTCTGATGAGCTCGACCGTCTCTGGCGACCCGGGGCATTGTATCGGATGGAGCGTGAGGAGTGTTGATGAGCTCGATGGGGACGACGAAGTGGTGGTGGAGACGGCGTACGGGACATGAGTGAGAGAACCCTGCAACGTCACTGCATCACAGGGATCACGTTGTCGTGACTCAACGCGCTGTGTGAGGTGTGACCGTCCTCCCTACGAATGTTTTTTTTGATGTTATCGATATGCCTGACGACAGTTGATACATCTAGCGCACACCTCAGTCCGATTCCACAGACTCGCAATCTTCCTCACATAGCTCTATCACCCCCTGGACTTGCTCTGAATGGATGGATGAGCTGTCCTTCGGCAAACTTAATTTCTCTTTTCGCGATCAGTGCGTCGCTCCACTTCAGCCAAATCGCCCGCACACACGATCCAACACTGACATTCTGATGGGCTCTATGATATTGAAATCGATTGTACATCCCATGCCAGTGCTTGCCTCGTAGCGGTCATACTTTCAAAACAAAGATGGCACAAAACGCTGGGCCAAAACTCTGAGCGCGGTGCCTACATTGCGCGGGCCTGGTTCCTGGTTCCTCGCCGCTCACTTTCCGAGGAAATTGGGACTGCGCCGAGTCAGTCCCGTCGGACCGGCGTACGGCATGATAGGTACCGACCACCGCCATTCGGGCTCCCAAGCCGGCGGTGACGTGCGCACTCCTGTATGTCCAATCGATGTTCGCCGTACGCGCCGCACGGCATCGAAATCCACGAACAGCCCCCGAGTGGTTCGTTCTCCGCGTAGCGACCGAACGATGCGAGCTGATGCAATAGAGTTTTTGCAGTCGAGTCGTGTTTGCCGGTCTGGCACAGATTATTAAATTAAACAGCGCCCCTGTGTTTGTCGATCACTTTGACGGCAACTAACGCGGAAGACATGACATCGGGTGGCTGTGCGGGGTCTAGAGCGCCATCGACCAACCTCTGAAAGTCACTTGACCAGCTTTGAGCCGCTCTGGACCTACAACGACCCGAACGTTTCCAATCAGAACCTGACTGAAGAAGGTGGCCATGTTCGGCCTTTCAACTCGCTCGAGTCATCGAGTGTGGTCTTCCACGTGCCACGATGGGAAGCGGTTGGAGACGGACAGGGATGGTTGAGGGGCGTGATGCGTTTTCCTCCATAGGGGTAACCTAAATCCGATCGCGGTGGAGATTCACGCGTGCGGCGCATATATAATCAGTGCGCTCGATAACCTAAAGCGTGAGCCTGACCTCTGTGTCGTCGACGTTCGTTCCCATCCCCCGCTCCCGCCTCCGCCCCCCGCCTCAGGCCTCGACCATCATGGGCCAGTTCGATCTTTCTTTGGGATGTTTGTTGTTCTCCTCTTGGGCAAACATGATGTGCGTCTCTCTTCTCCCCATAAAAAGCGCTGGCTCATCTTTGTCCAGTCTATTGACCCTTGAGTGCGTTCACGGAGCCATCCAATCCCCAACGCGCTAATCATTCCATTTTACTTCATCCAGGATCGCCCAGTACGTCCTTGTGCTGCTCCGCCATCTCATCTCGTCATCTGACTTGTGCCAGGATCTACCAATATTTCCAGAAATATCCCAAGGACAACTTGTTCAACAAGGGCTCCGTTATATTCGCACTGTGCTCAGATCTGACGACTGTGTTTGCGTGTTTATCTGTGAACTACCTCTACCTCGTCACGGTACGTTATCCTTGGCTTTTCATTTCCCGCCCATTCACGTCCTATAGCATTGGGGGTCGAACGACTATCTTCTCACCCAGCCGTGGTGCATCGCTGTCTACGTCGTGAGCACCGCCATCAGCTCGGCCATCACCCAGACATGGCTCTCGCGCATGGTGTACAACCTGTCCGTCCCTGTCCCTGCCTCTGTTGTTGACTCACCACGCTGATTGATTTCGTTCAGGACGAAGCAGTGGATCTGGCTCCCCATCATCTGGCTGTTCATCGTCGGCGGTCTGACAGGCGCAGCCGCCACCGGTGGATTGCTCGTCATCGACGCGTCGTATGCCGCCCGCGCAGGCTTGATCAAGTGCGCCACCGTCCGCCGTCCTGGTTCTGTACTGACTGGTTTGTGTGCAGATGGGTGACGCTCTGGCTCGCGGGCTGCGTCGTGGCGGACACAGTCATCACAGTTGTGCTTGTTGCCAAGTTCCGAACCATGAAGTCTACGTTCCAAGACACGAAGAGTCTGCTGCGTCGGCTCTCGCTTGAAGCCGTGCGGAATGGATCCATCACCACAGTCATGACGTGCGTCCTCTCTCTCCTCTGACGCTCGCCGCATCTTCTGATCTGCTGCACAGTATCATCACGCTCGTCATCTTCACTCAGCAACCGGGCGAGAACTGTGCGTGTTTCCCAGCTCGATCTGCGTCCGCCTTTTTCATGACTCGTTCCAGCGGCTGTCATGATCGAGATGACGATCGGGCGCGTGTACACGCTGTCGATGCTGTCCAATCTCAACAACCGCTCCATGCTCACCGGCGACTCCCAGCTCTCGGGCTCGCGCAAGGCGGGCGGCAACAACACGCATCACGACCATCAAACTCCGACGATGCTCCGCATCCGGCAGGACGTCGAGACGCACTACCAGATCGACTCGGATCCCATCCAGATGGGCGCGATGCAGAAGGGCCGCGAGGCGGCGGCGAACTCCGACGGGACGTCCGAAGTCGATCTGGTCGTCAAGACCAAGACCGACGAGGTGTATGCCGGTTATTGAGCTGGCCCGCCCTGAGGCGCTTTGATTCGCTCTTTACACACGTCTTTCATTTATCTTTCCCAGGGTGGTTTCTCGGGTGGGAATAAGCACGTAGAGCACGACGCAATGCATTCTTTGGCGATGCGGGTTTCGCAATTGCTCGGCGACTAAAATGTTATGCATCGGGCCACAACGTGTTCGGCCAACCATGAAGGTCGAGAGCGCCTGCGGGGAATCCTAATCCCGGATGTTTGTGTCGCACCGAAGAAATGCCGCTGGTTCTGGAGCTGGCATTATCATCGACAATAGTCTCTCACGCGAGCTTCGATCTTCGACAAATGGCGCAATGCCAGTGACTGGAAATAAGACGGTTGCCATCGGCCTACCGACGATCCTCACCTGCAAATGTTTGTCTCCAGCTCGAAGATCCCCGAGCCTTCGCCGAGCCCATTGAGTGCGTGGATTGAGGGGGCTCCAGACTCGGGCCGCTCATGAATTCGAGATGCTGTGGCAAAGTTAGACTGCGATGAGATCAACGAAGTGTCTGTGAGACGAACGAGGAAATACACCTCATGGGGACCGGGAACTTCGATTCCTACGCACACGCGGATTTTGTGCTTACATCCGTTCACTCGGAGAACCTCTGTGACCTGAATTATGCGACGCTTCAATGTCCAACACGTGCAATCAAACGAAACGTCGACAGCGTGAGAGAAATCCAGTGGGACTGGTATTCATCCTCTGAGTTTTGTTCACTGCCACCAAGAGAAAGATGCAGCTGAACTGTGGAGACTCTCCTCAACCTGGAAGCACTTGGACCTCACGTGCAGAGCTGACTCACCGTTCATCATCTGATTTGATCAATGATCGGTTCTCTTTTGCCGATCGGATTTACTCTGGCTGGGAATCTGGCCGTAAAAATCAGATGTCTTATCGACGTAATTGATCGCAATGTTTTTGTCCGGTGCATTCACTTGGTTCAGGAGACAGAATAGGAGGACGGAACGGCAGGGCGGGATACAGGCGAGGCTTATAGCTGCTTGATGACGAGCTCTGCTTTGCAAGACGGAGTCCAAGTCATTGTGATTTGCTATCTATGTATCGGTCAGGGATCCCGCCCACGATCTTGCGGAATCCCGAGTTGATGGGGTTAATCCCGTGTCGGGGAAGTGGGCAGAGAGCGGCCACTTACGTAGCGTCGCACGTCATGTCAATCTACGATAAACCCAAAGGGGTATACCCAGATAAAGAAACGTGTCAGCCATCCAGTGTGATCAAAGTGGAGCGACGCTTCGGGCCTTTTCGTGCTTGCGTTCAGCTAGCGTGCTCTCTTCCAGTTCTTTCGCTCGATCCTCGTCTCTCTCCTACTCACCGCTTTCCACCATTCGCCTGTCACCCCGCGGGCCATCGTTGAACCTTCGATATCACCGTGATTTGGACAACCGTCTGGGATACACTTTTTGAGGGGGCGCCGAAGGAGCGAGAGCTTGAGACAGGCATGGGCAACACAACCTCACAGCAGATGTCCGATGGAATGACGGGCGGCATCGGCACAGCGCCGCGCCCCACTCCGTCGGGCGCACCCCCGCCGACATGGGGCAAGGAGCGGGAGTCGCCCACCGCATCCGTCTCTACCACCCCCACCAAGTCGAAACACACGACCGCGACGACGCCCATGTCCGTCATCGGCACCTCCTCGACCGCCGCAGACGCGCAGCGCAACGGGGCGCCCAACGGCCACGCGCCCGAGTCCACTCTGCGGCCGAACCGCAAGTCCATCGACCTGCCCGGCCTCAACACGTTTGCGTACTCGCCGGCGATGACGCCGCGCTCACGCGGATCGCGCATTATGGAGCGCGGGCGGTCGTTCGTTGGCCGCGGGGGCAGGCGGGGCGGTGGTGGCAGTTTCGCCAAAACGAACGGCAAGGGCGTGCCGCCACCCCGCAGTGCGGCGATCGCCATCCCAGGGCCCGGGCGCCGGCTCTCTGGGGACGAGGAGCAGGATACTGGGTACGGGCGACACATGGCCAATCGCAAGCATGAGAAGGATGCGGAGCGCGACCGGGACCGAGACATTCAGGGCGATGAGAGACGGTGAGTTTTTAGCGCTCGCTCTATCTACCAACATCCACCCGCTATCTACGCCTCGTAAACCCCATTCTGACTCGAGAACCACAGCAGAGGCCGGACACGGTCGCGCTCACGACCCGGTGTTCCACGCCGTTCCTCAAATCACCACGACCGAAATTACCACCACAAATCCCAACGCCACCACGACTCCCGCTCTCAGTCCTCCGAGCGGGATCCCCGCGAAACACATCTGCGTGCGTCGTCCCCAGCCTCGAGGTCCGGGTCAGGGCGAACCGACTCGCCCTCGGCCGTTAGCGACGAAGACCACTTCCGTGGGCGCAGTCCCTCGCGCGGCCGCCCCGATAGAAACTTCCAAGTGCCGTATTCGTCACCTGTTGATAACGAGCATACCCGAGCGCATCAAGCAGCGATGGCGGCCGCCACAGCGACCCCTGTCGGCCCTAGACATGTCGTGGACTCGATGGAGTACACGAATGGCACAGATCAGAGCACCAGAACAGTGTCGCGCAACGATTCAGGCGACATCATCCGCTCGACGATCCCTCTCACTTTGGGGCCCTCTGCGCTCATTGGGATCGGGCAGGGTGATCCCGATGTCGAACAAGAGGAAGGAGAGGACGAGATTGACACTAGGAGGAAGGTTGCTGAGGCGGTTATTGACGAGATTGTTGGCGGTAAGTGTCTTGCCTGCTGTTATACCGCGAGACAGTTTTGAGCGATGTGCACAGATCCGCGAGCGTTGACTCCCGTTACTATTCCCTGGAGGGGACCTGGAACTGATGTTTACTTAATCCGTGCGGGAGACGAGGACTGGTCTCATCCAACACGGATGACGAGGGAGTGCGTCTCGTTCTTTCTTTCTCTCGTTTCTCCTTGTTTGGTTCCTTTGGCATCGCATCTCTTGTCGCGTGGCGCAGTGATCTCTGGTCTCTGCCTGGCTTCTACACAATCAGCTTTCACTTGGTGGCCGACGGCTAACCGTATTCTTTTCTCATCGTTGATATCGACACCGTGATGGCGACCGGGAGGTGCTTGCCACAGAAGTGGGGTTCCTTACAGCATTTGCTGGTTTGCTTCTCGATTCTGATAGACAGGCTTTGACTTGGACCACTTCTGTGACCCTGTTTTGGTTTTGGGGTTGGGCCATCTGCCTGGCTGGTGGCGTTCCGGCTGTTTCCGCTTGGCATGGGCGCCTGCAAATCCCACTTGGGTTTAGCTGCTGAGACTCCAGGTTCCCCATGATGCGCGCCACTGCCTGCGGACGAAACATTTGCCGTTTGAATTGTCCTTCTCTTCTTTTCGCTTCCATTTTCACCTGCTAGAGGCCGTCTCGGTCTTTTCCTCCGTCGGCAGCCGTGTGCTGACGACCCATCCCCTTTTTGACAGGTCTCCCGACGAACCGTTCACGACCACCGTGTATCTGTCACCCGGAACGCATCATTTCCGATTCATCGTTGATGGGAACACGCTCGTTGCGCCTTCCAGCGACATCACCAATGCTGTCGACGATCAAGGCTTCATCGCCAACTATGTGGCCATCGTCACCCCGCCGGTCATCGGCGCCAACGTTCCTCCGGCCGAGCTGAGGGCAGTCACCGCCTCGACGACCTCAGTGATCCCCCAGTCATCACGGGTTGACCCTCCGGCCACGAGCCCGACGGTCAGCCCAACGACCAGCCCCAAGACGCGGAGAGCGCGCATGGGTCTGCCGCAGGCACCCGGGGAGAGTTTCTGGACGCGCAGCAGCGACACTGACAGCACGGAAAACCTGCAGGACCGAGCGAACGTGACGACGAACGGCCACGAGCTCGGACAGAGCAAGAAGCGGGGGATCGTGTGGTCGTCTGAGATTCCTGCTGCGCTCCTGGCGGCTGAGAGGCAGGAAACTGCGTGGTACCATGCGCAGGAGGAATACTACAACGGAGGGCATCCCGTCGTCCTAAATGGGTTTGAATCGTTGAACATCCCGGAACTATCGGTCCTGCCCCAGCATCTCATCAGCCTCATCCTCAACCGACCGAGTCCGGGAATCGTCATCCCTCGCGCTGGGACGGGTGCAGGGAATTACGGCTTCGTCACCCCGCCACTGACTTCGCCGCAAGCGGGCAACGGGCCGAGGTCCGAGCTTCGAGTAACGACTGCGAGCGGGACGGACGTCACGAAGCCGATGCAGAGCCTGATGATGAGCAGCACGATTGCTCCCGACACACCGCGGCGGCCGCACCCGCAGTTCAGCGAGGTGGCGCCGTCGCGGGTGTCGAACTCTGCGGGGTCGCCGAACGGCGGCACGCCCCTGATCGCCGACGACCCGAGTGTGCTGCAGACCCCGTCGCACGCGGTGCTACATCATCTGTGTACGACGTCGATCAAACATGAGACGATAGCTGTGGGGATGTCGACCAGGTATAGACAAAAAGTGCGTGATGCTGTTTCTGCGCTCGCTGCTTACTAACGGACACGATCAGTTCCTCACGACAGTGTATTACAAGCCTGTGGATGCCGCTCTTTGGGCTGGCCAGTAGACCTGCAGCCGTCATCCACTCGTTTGACAGTGAGACGACCGCCCGCCCGACCGCCCGACCGACCGACTGGCCGTTGGTCCTGTAGAATGTAGACTCGTGTCCTATTCAGCCTATGTTTCGTTCATTGCCCGCAAGCATCTCTTCTTATCCCATTATCTCGGCTGTCGGCCTGCATTCGAGCGTATCCAGACACACACACACCCGATCGTTTAAAATTGTATCCTAGTCACTATACACGACGGTCCGTCTATCGAACTAGTTGGAGCCTGACACCGGTCGTTCTGCGTGTGGAGTCCGTCCTGTGAAGAGAGAGCCAGCCAGCCGGGGGTAAGGAGGGCAACTCTAAGAAGCTGTGGTTGCACTCTGACGAAGTGGGAGAGAAGTTTGATTGTGATGCCGTGAAGAGCGATCGCGGCTGCACAGGGCTGACGGAGACCTACATATATGTACCTGACCTTACAGCAGGTATGATTCCGCCAGAAGTTCGCGTCAATAGAGAGACGGACGGACGGACGGACAGCGTCGCGCCGGATCATCCCCTGGAACCTTCTCCAGAGCTTGTACACCAGCTGCTGCGGGCGAGAGAAGGCAGACAGCCTGAAGGGAGGCGGCTGGGAGACACACGTTCGCGGCATCGGATCGATAAGCACGTACGCACGCACGCACGGAGCCTTCTGGATATTCCAGGCGTCTTCTGCGTCTTCTGCTCTTCCCAGCGCCTGTTCGCGCGAGTGCGAGTGGACGTGGGCGTGGGAGCCGGGAGGGGGCGATCGTGGCGCGCGTCCACGATCCACGGCCGCTCGATCCAGGCCACAGATAAGCCAGAGAGTATCTCACAGAACTCGGGGGCTGCTGACAGGCATGGGTCCTGGGTCTAGATGATGATGACGACGGGTCGTGGTCATGGGCGGCGGGGGCGTGGCGAGCCTGCGGACGGGTAATACCTGTGCGGAATTCACCGAAGATGCTGCGAGGCAGGTGGTCATCGAGTAAGAGAGAGAGAGAGGAAGGAAGGAAGGAATAGTTCCCGTTGCAGCTAGGACCTGAAGGCGCCCGAAAAATGCCGTAGAGGGATCGCTGGAAGGATGATCTATCTGATAGAGTCGCCGCCAACAAGTGATCTCACAAAATGAATCCAGAGTTACATAAGTCTAACCTTGGAGCACGTCCTGACATCGTAAAGATACGCGATCCGATGAAAATCCGAGCGGATGGATCGCGTTTGCGCGGAAGTGAGGTGCTGGAACTGGGTGCAATGGAGATTGATCGATCTTATCTGATTACGAGGCAACGGTGATCGAGCGGGGCAAGTCGGGGTCCGAGCCCCCCGGTATGCACCGATAGGATCAGCTACGCACAGAGGGCAGAATCCCGGCGATTGGGATTCAGATCCATAACCGTGCGATTATCGGCTCGGTCGGACAGACGCGGTCGACGTGCATTGATTGGGAAGTACTTGCGCTGACTAGGGAAATCATCCACAACACAAATCACCGCGGATCATCCGAGTCCGTCATACCCCGCATTGTGAATTCCAGGTCCTCCTCCAGCGCCGCGACTGTGACTGCGACTGCGACTAGACCAGAGCCCCATCTCGCCTCGCACGGTCGGCGTGCCAAGGCCGCGGTGCACCACACCACGCCCCAGCCCACCCGCCACGCAGGTCCTTCGCCATTGGAGTGAACGCGGGAACGAAATTCTGATGCACTGCTGCATCAGAAGTCGAGGGCCATGTCATCTCGGCTGCTGTAGCCTGGACTGCGAGCGGGTTCTGGGCTCGGGCTCTGGAAGGACGCAGGGCCTCGCGGTGGACGCACTTGGGGCTCCACCCCCCATGTGCATGCACGGTCGGGATTCCCGCTGCGCTTCGTTCCAGCCTCGGAGACCGTGTTCGCGAGGCGGTGTTGATCCTAGGGTATGCTATGCCATCAGGATTAGCTTTGTCCTCCCCCCCTCTCTGCTGTCGAGTTCGTTTGATTCATCCGAGTACCCCACCGTCTGATGCGGAAGCTCGCGCCACCACTGTCTAAATGAGCCGCCACTGGATCCTGAGGTCACGAATCCTGCGCTTGCATCAGAAGTCGGTGACTGGTTCTGGCATCTGTCGTGATTTGTGAAGTAAGCCAGTGCTATCGAGGATTTTACCGGTGTCTCTACCGATTCAGGAGTTTAGGATTCTCATGAGACGTCGTTTGATAAGAGGACAATAGCACGTAAACCTAGTGACGATACACTTCTCCCTGTCATCGTTCCAGTCAAATATCAAAAGCGACGGAAGTGTGAGCACCGCCACAGCTTTCCTGTTTCGGAACCGTTCGCATACACGCACATATCACGTGCAGCTACACTCCACGCGTCACAGACGATCCAGTTGATCAACCCTGCAAAGCGCGATGCCGTTCGTCCCCCGCGTCTCGCCCCGGATTGCGGTAGTCCAGTTCCAGCCAAAGGTCAATCTCTTCCCGATCCGTCGGATCTGAGCGTTTCGCGTCGTTCCACGGGACTCAGGCCGCAGTCAGATTGGCCAGATCCAGGCGAATATAGCGAAAGCACGGGAGCTATGTCGCGGGTGGGTGCATTCTCCCAGTCCCTCTGGCCTGTGTTCAAATCGTCACTCACACGGGGGGCCGGCCAGGATCCCTGCACGGTCGGTGGACCTGGTTTGTCTGCCCGAGATGTGCTTCAGCGGTCAGACTCCGGACTCTACTTCCTGACAAGTATCGTTCCGCAGCGACTCACTGACACGACAGGATACGTCTTCGAATCCGCGTCCGCGATACAACCGCATCTCGAGACGCCGCGCACGGGCCCTACGTCACGGTTTGCTGCGGATCTCGCGCGGCGGCTCGAATGCTACGTCGTGGCGGGGTACCCGGAGCTCATCACCCCCGAAGAAGCAGAGCGGCACTTCGCACGGACAAGCAGGCGCGTGGTGGGCGCGAATAGCGCTGTGCTGTGCGACCCGCAGGGGGAGTGGGTCGGCGGGTACCGCAAGACGAATCTGTTCCACGTCGACGAGACGTGGGCTCTCCCCGGTGAGCGGTCCGTGTGCGCCTCATCACGCGAATCGATATCTGCAACTCGCAGGCACCGGGTTCGGGACGTTCCATCTGCCACCGCCGCTGCACACCGTGGCGCTGGGGATCTGCATGGACCTCAACGCGCAGCCCCCGCACGACTGGACGATCACGCACGGCCCATTCGAGCTCGCCGCGCACTGCCTCGAGACCCGCGCGAACGTCCTCGTGCTCCTCAATGCGTGGCTGGACTCTGGCCGGGCGGGCGAGGAGGAGAGCGACATGCTGACCATGAATTTCTGGGCCGAGCGGCTGCGCCCGCTGTGGGTCCCGAATAGCGTCCCGTCAGATCCGAATCCGGGGAACTCCGAGAGTGGGGAACGTCCAGAAACGATCGTTGTGGTTGCCAATCGGACTGGCACGGAGAAAGGTCCGTTTCAGTCGAATGGTTATCCTTATCTTTATTTTATCTTGAGCTGATTGGTGCTCGAGGGACGACCTTCGCTGGAAGCTCGGCTGTGTTCAAGATGAGGCGCGGCGGAGGAAAGAAAGGGATCCTGCGTGCTGCGCTGGGGCGAGACGAAGAAGACGTGATGATCTGGGATGACATCGCTGGCTGTTAGATTCTGATAGGCTGTGATAACACCTCTGAAGACGTGACCTCTTGAACGGCCGGCCTGCCAGTGCTCTGTCTGTGCCTTCGGTTGATTTGCTTTGAGTGGGCTTGGCCGACGGTGAACCTCAAAAGCTAGGTACAATAACAGTACTTATCTCTGCGGTCGGCATCGCGGAACGAATGCCGTGGCTACCCAGTTAGACTCGCCTTCGGACCGAGATTCACCTCATTGGAGGCTGGTGCTTTGGTGGTTCAATTGCTTCGTGTGCACTAACTCGGGCGAAATGATGGGAGTAGTGCACTCACTTATCGCCGGTGCGCATCCCAACGATCATCCGTGCACGAAATCTCTATCGTTCGGTTCCGGGGAGAGCAAAGCAGCTAATAGATGCAGCGCGGGAATACCCGAGTCCGTCGGCAGGCAAAACGCATGACAGCTGCGAGGGTTCGACAGGCTCCAGTCGAGCTGACCGGCTTCCTCCACCCCAGCCTGGCGCAAGCATAACTCCTCCACTTCCACTGGGTTGTTCTGTGACAGGCGTGTTGTTGCGAAGGATCGGAGCCATCCCGTCGTCCGATCAGTGCCCAAACCGGACGGCCACTGTGGTCAGTCAGTTAAGCTCAGCCGCGCGCGGACGCTGGGAGCCGGAGGGAGGGAAAGATCGTCGTCGTCAGATCCATGCTAGACGTTGGTTGGGTCGATGAATCCCGGGCTGTGCTATTCTGAATCCCGACTCGGAATTTGAGCGGAGTGATCCCGCCATCTAACTCGCGGGCGTGATTGGACGGAAATAAATAAGCGCTAAGCGCTCGCCAATATTCACGGGAGAAGGTCTGCGTGTTTGGTTTGGCGCGATATGTTCCAGATTATCAGATTTTGCATGGCATATATAGGTACAGTAGAGTAGACTAGCGAGTAAAAATCGAGAGGGGTGTGGACAGTGGAACGTACAGTAAAATACTTGGGGTATCGATCAGCCAGTCAGTCAGTCGTGATTGGTCGTTAAGAACGGAACCGCGCGCTAAGCCATCAGGACATCCATATCCTGCAGAGACATGTCCAGTCGGACGCGATTGAGTGACCGGAGATGCGAACTGGCCTGCACGAAGCGACACAGAGCACCTTCGGAGAACACGCTCGTTCCGTCCTCGCAATCGAGCGACTCGAGTTTCGGACACAGCATGGGCAAGGCAGCGAGGAAGCCGTCGTCGAGCTCCTCGAACATCGGGATGGGCGATCGGACCAGGCGCAGGGCGGTCACCCTGGGCAGCGCCTTGACCAGGTCGACGAGCGTCTCCGCACCCAGCTCGCGCGGGGCGACACAGAGCGTCTTGGCGGCCTCGGGTGCAGGGTGCACGAACTCCTTGGCAGTCTCGTCGCCCTTCCTCGCGAAGCAGAGCCGGCGCAGGGCCGGTGCGTCGAGCATCTTGACCAGCGAAACAAGCTGGATGTCCTCCACTTGGACCGGCTTGTGCACGGGCATGACGAGTTCTTCGAGGAGCGGCAGGTGTATCGCGGGCTGGTCCTGGTTGACCAGGAGCGAGTCTGCGGGAGCCGTGATGGCCAGCAGACAGCGCACGAGCTTCGGGCACTGGCTCAGGATCTCGACCACGTCGTTTTGTGTCAGACACAGCGCACTGCGCCAGTCGTGGGTGCAGGTGAGCGAGAGCTCCTGGAGGTGAGCCCACGGAAGCGCCAGATGCCGCGGATTCACGGCCGCTTCAAGCCAGACCCGGTTCAAGTTCGGGTGGCTGAGAATCGGCAGGTCACGTAAGTGCAAGTTCTGCGCAGAAGGGGAAGTCCGTGCAACGAAGCTCTCGAGGAGGGGAACCTGGGCCGGAGCGAGGTCGAAGGCCGCCTCCGCCAGAACGTCGTTCCCCGTGATCTCGAGATTCCGGAGGCGAGGCGCGGTCTTGTGGAGCTGCTGCACGCAGAACGCAGGGTTCGGGTGTGCACCGCCCTTCGCTGCGCTATCGCCGGCGCCGGAAAACGAGATGGATACCGGCCGCGTGCGATTGCAGTCAAGCCACGATGCAACCGCGCCCTCGAACCGCTCGCGCAACGCGCTTGGTAGGGCATCGACACGTGGGATCTCCACGTTGCTCCACAGCTCCGGCGTTCCCCGGGCAACCTCGCGCCAGTATCGGCACACGCGCGTGAAGACCAGCGGCGCGGAAGCCGGGTCGACGCGGGGTCGCTCGGGCAGGCAGGCGACGAAGATAGTTTGCAGGATTTCAGGGGGGACCTGGCGCACGGCGGCGACGAGGGCCTCGTGGGCGTCGATACAGTGCCCGACGTGGCTGCGGCGGGCTTTGAGCGCGTCGAGTATCGCCTGCGCGGCCGCGATTTCGGTGTCCAGGGCGGCGGCGGCGCGCCTGGGCTCGACGAGGTACGTCTGGATGGCGTGGACCTCCTCAGTCGAGGGGCAGTAGTTGGTGTAGAGCTTATCGGCAAAGGGAGACGGGGGAAACCGGGCATGCGTGGGGGTCTCCATGGTGGTGGTGGGAGGATGGGATTGTGTATGGATGCCAGTCAGTTTTGAATGCCTTTAGGCGACGATGCTGGCATTGCCTACCCGTGACAGCGTGTTGATGTCATCGATTCCCCATTCGAATACTGCCCGGAACTTGGCTAGAAGGTATTTTGGTCGGTGCCTAACACCCAGACGCGGTAGAGTTTACACGCTGTGAAACCCCTGCGACTGGACGCGATGGTCACGCGGCCTGGCCAATGCAATTGTGAGCAGCCCGAGCACCTCGTGATCAGTCCATGCCCTCAGGCACAAGCTCAGATGAGCCATTTGCTGTGCCGAAAAGCGCGTATTCGGACTAGCGCACTTCAAGGATGTGGGGATGGCAGAAGTACAACACAGAAGCCGAGACCAGAATTCTCCGTGGATCGGGCACGTGCCAGCTCTCGCTCCTGCTCGTCATCGACCTGGGCTGCGGTTCTCGCGGGCAGTGCAGGCTAGCCGACGCGCTGTCAGGCCCCGACGATCGTCGCTTTACCAAATCCGCAGTCCCCTACCGTCGTCCATAAGGGTCAAGGTCTGTTTTAGGAAAGTGCGATCATGATCCAATGCTGGGGTCCAGCGAGTGATCTCCAGTCACACCGTGACCTCTCCCTGGTGTGTCATTCGTCGTTACTCATCGCCTCGCCATCTCTTCATCCCATCGTTATCTGTCGCGTCGCGCTTGGACCAGCGCGGTCTATGTGTTCTTTGTGCGTACGGCTACAGCCTCTCATTCATATATATCCTAGCTACATATTTACACACCCTCTGTATTCAAACCCGATGAGAATTTTACAATTCTGATTACCCTCCGTAATACACGACCCTATCACTTTTCAAGGGCAAGGTCTGCTTTACCAACGGAAGAACGCGGAGACGCCTTCACCGACTCTCCCCCTCCTCCTCCACAGACGATGGGCCATTGCGATGGCTGCTCAAGCGCTCACACCTTGCCCGCCGTGTCAAGCCCTCAACAACAACGGTGTCAAGAACCCCAAACCGGACCGGCCTTTTTGACGCGGCAAGTCAAACTCACGTGATGGCCTCACATTAGCCGACAAGCAATGCTTTTTTCTGTAGAGCATTGGTCCTAGGGTCTCTCAACATCCTAATATTCGCCGTACAACGAAAAAAAAAATTGTTTCTGAAGTGCGAAAGTACTAGAAGCCGCTGTCACCATCGACGACGACGGCGCTTGCTGTACCGAAAATGTCCCCCGATATCAGCTCACTAAGCAGATATGAGGCATAGGGTCACGGAGTGCCAGGACCCCCAGCACTTGGTAAGTTCCCATCATCAAGATAGACCTTGACCCTTATGGACGACGGTAGTCCCCGCATTATCTTCTGTGGTCACATTGGAGTTATTTTAAACCTGTGTCGCGCACGGAAACATATATTATATTTAGTCTTCGATGACAGTCATCGCAGCACCGCTAAAATTAAAATCATTATCCTCTGTCCCAACGACGTGGTATTGCACGTGCTCGGTCGATGTTGTCCCCGAGCGCCGAAAACACATGCTGGAGCTTACTGGAACTATTCGCCATCCTGAACTTTGTGCAGGTTCTGCTCCAGAGCCAACGAGACCTCATCCTGCGTCAACAATAATTTTTTTCGGGTTTATCAAACATTTTATGCCGGTCAGGGCCTTGCGGGGCACTGAAGGTCTACTTACAAGAGAATCTGAGTTCCTCGAACCAGTTGTCTGCGGGACGCAGATAAGCCAAGGAGGGGATTGAGAGCAAAACCTTCTTTGCAGGCCCAGAGGCAGATTCTCGGAAGCGTCTGCGCATCGGTGTGAAGGTCTCCAATACAGCCCACAAAGTCCGCCTCGGCGTCAATGATACTATTCACCAGTTCCGTCAGTGCTTATGCAAACATGCTTCCCAGGGTTCCTCTGCGGAATCCTTTCTCGTCCGCTCAACGAACACTCGCTGCCTGTGTCGTGAGTAGTCGCACGACGCGCCTCGGGGCACACGAACCGCACTATTTTTTCTCGAGAATGACGATATAGACATTGTACTGAAAATTGGACGGAGCGACGCGGGCGTCGGCAATATCGAGTTTCTCTGATTATCCACAAGAGTCGCGACACGTCACAAGTGCACGGCGACGACAGCGCAGATCATCGGCGCTGGCCGGTCCGGTGCAGAGGGTATGTTTGTTATCGGCGGGACTGTGGGACTGAGATTTCTCCGATATCTAGCGTGTATACCAAAGCCGAAAATGACTTCATCGCGCACTTCTTTTCGTGGAGCCAAGGGACGTGGGAGGGATGGTTTTGCGCCCACGCTCTGACGTGCGGGTGCTTATCTGTCTGCTCTCCGCGATATGGGCAAGAAACGCGTTCTGTGCAGCTACGGGGTGGACGTGGACGCGGTGGCCGGATGGCTCGGCTCCTACGGCGGCGAGGACTCGACGAGCGACATCAGCCGAGGTGCGCAGACGGTGGACCGCGCGCCGACCCAACCAATCTCCGCGCAGGCATCTTCGCAGGCACAGTGGGGACGCGGCGCCTGCTGGCGCTGTTCGCCCAGTACAACATCAAAGCGACGTGGTTCATCCCGGGGCACTCGCTCGAGTCGTTCCCGGAGGAGTCCGCGCTCGTGCGCGACGCGGGGCACGAGCTCGGGCTGCACGGCTACTCGCACGAGAACCCGAAGGACATGACGCCCGCGCAGCAGCGCGCGGTGCTGGACAAGACGTTCCGGCTGCTCACGGCGTTCTGCGGCGGGAAGCCGCCGCGCGGGAGCGTCGCGCCGTGGTGGGAGACGAGCCGCGAGGGCGCGGAGCTGCTGCTGGGGTACGGGATCGAGTACGACCACTCGATGAGCCATCACGACTGCCAGATGTACTGGCTGCGCACCGGCGACGAGTGGACCAAGATCGACTATGCGCAGGAGGCCGCGGCGTGGATGAAGCCGCTCGTGCCGGGCCCGCCGACGGGGATCGTGGAGATCCCCGCGAGCTGGTACATCGACGACCTCCCGCCGATGATGTTCATCAAGTCCGCGCCGAACAGCCACGGATGGGTCAATCCGCGTGACGTCGAGGCGATCTGGATGGTGCGTGGTCTCTCTGGCACGGGTCGACATCGATGTGGAGATTCCGCTATAGGATCATTTCGACTACTTTTACCGCGAGTACGACGAGTTCGTCTTCCCGATGACGATCCACCCGGATGTCTCGGGCCATCCGCACGCGCTGCTCATGCAGGAGCGGTAATCAACCCCAGTGCAACCACGTTGGGCGAGAACTGATCATCGTCGCCAGGATCATCGAACACATCAACTCACATGAGGGCGTGGAGTGGGTCACGATGGCCGAGATGTGCGACGACTTCAAGCGCAAGAACGCAGCCCCCGAAGGCGCACTGATGCCTGCTGACTCAGTCGACGTCTTGAAGAGGCTCGGAATGTGAATATCCTGTCGTTCCATAAATATATACATGTTGTTACAAATATAGCAGTGTCTTTTGAAATCCTTGCGTCTTCCCAGGCTAATAATACCCAGGCAGTGGTTCAACTTCTCTCCAGCCCAGAACCCGCCCACCCGCATCCACCACCGGCACAAAGCCAGCCCGGACCGGCACCGGCACCGGGGCATAGTGCGAGTGCGACGACGGCCATCCCGCAACACAGTAGCCACCGGCATACTCCGCCGGCACATTCACCCGCTGCACACGCGGCAGCGGCGTCTCGCGGTACCGAGTGCTGGAGACCGGGTGCGCGCGGTCCCGGCGGCGCTCGTCCCCCTGCGACTGCGTTTGCGGCTGCGCACGGCGGCTGCGGCGCTTCGCGGACGGGAGCCGCACCGTGTACGACGACGGCGACGACGCCGCGCGGCGAGCGGGGTGCGGATCCGCGTCCGGCTGCATCGCGTTGCGCAGCGGGCTCGGGATGCGGGCGCACGACGTGCGCTGGTGCTGGTGCTGTTGCGGCGGCGGTGGGGGCGGCGGCGCGCGGGGGGTCTGCGACGTGTGCGCGGGCCACGCGAAGGGGAAGACGTCGCGGATGGAGGGGAGCGCGTCCGGGCTGTATCTGCGGCCGCCGGTCAGTTCGGGCTGGGAAGCAGGTAGGTGGGAGGGACGCACGCGTCGAAGTGGACGTGCCCGAGCACGCCACCGTCCTGCAAGATCGGGGGGAGCGGGGCATACGGAGGCGCGCTGTGGGCGTATGCATCCACCTTCTGCGTCTCAAAACGCACGGGGACGATCTCGGGAAACTGCGACGCGGTGGACGAGACGCTGGGACTAGACGGAAAAGCACGCTCCCGGGTAAAGCTACTCGGAGAATCGCACAAGGGCGACTCGGACGGCGTGCGCGAGGCGGAGCAGCGCGACTGCGCAGACGCCGGCCGGGCGATCCCGGCCGCCCACGAGCCTGTGTCCATGCGCACCGCGTCGGGATCGCGCGTCAGGTCGAGGAGCGAGTCGGAGTAGCGCCGGGCGAGCGGCGGGCGAGTCGTGGAGCTGTGCAAGAGGATTGGTTGGTCAACCAGTTGGGGCTGAGATAAGATAGGGAAGACGGACGGACCAGGGGTGCGGCGATGCCCGGGTGTGCAGACCCAGCGCGTTGTTGGTGTGCATTACTAAGTTGAATTGGGGGCTGAGAGTTTCCGTCGTGGTTTTGTGCGCGGGGGTGGTGGTGGGGAGCGACGGACGAGGGTCGCTGGGTTTTTGTACCCAACGCCCGGGGCCAAAGCCATGTTGACACATGTCGGAGGCACAAAGCACAATGACAATGCGACCCTCTTCCGCCTGGCTTGCGTCCAGCCGATCGCGGTGTGGTGTGTGGCTCTTTGAAATGCCCTCCCGGATGGGCCGGACGGCGGGCACGCACCACACCGCACCGCACCGCACCAATACCAAAGCAATCGGCCTGGTCGGAGAGTGGACAATAGGAAAAGGAAAGACGGCGGAACCAAATTCGCGGTTTCAGAGCAGGGCGACCGTGACGCCATTTAGACGTACATACGACGAAAAGATACCACCGCGCGCATGGCTAGTAGCAGCCCGATGTCGCAAAATTTGAGGCTTGCATCGTGGAATGGCTTCTGGCCATAAGTCTCGACAATGCTTTCTAGCACAAAGCGGGGTGGTGGGGAACGCGATGGCACGGCTTGGGTTGCGTCCGATCATGACATCCGAGAACAAGAACGCCGATCAGAGTCAGGAAGCGCGTGGCTGTGCGATCTTAGAGCACGTGAATGGTTGGCATCGCCAGTGAGTATACAGGACCTTTTCCACTCACTGCTGGCTTTGGATTGCCCCTGTTTTCAACGATGTATGCGCTTACAACACTGCTGCGGTTTTTTCTTGCTGCAGCGGATGAACAAGGCGCGTCGATACTGCGCCCGGGCCCAATACGTCGCTACTGTGGTGATATCGAGTTCTCAAGCAGCTCAGTAGCACGGGAGTCACTCTGGCCAGTGCGGCATGAGATTTTGGCGATTGCGCGGTAACTCACCGCATCAATACATCAGTGATGGAAACAAGATCCGTCGATTGAGCTCACTCTCTCGGTCCTCTAGTGTTCGTCCCACGTCTACGGATCCTTGACGACTCTACTCGTGAGGATGAACTTAAAACCATCCCACCCGGTCCGCCGGCTCCCGACTCTGGACTCGTGCCTGGATGGCTGCTCTTGGAGGGAAGATACATAGTGTGCTTCCAAACTCACACGGATGTTGAGCCTGGGGGATTCTCTGTTACTGAAGATCCTTCCACGTCGGACTTGAGTACTTGAGTCTGAAGTAGTGTTGTGTGTCTCACCGCCTCAGAGCCAGCGAATGCGGGTCCATCCCAACAACCAAGGAGCAGGACGCCGAGCGACGTTATCCGGCGGTTCTCGGATATGCCTCAAATCTGACATCCCGCGTACCGGCGCTGGCACCCGATCTCTCATGCGAACCTCACCCCCGTGGGTCAGTTCCTGGCGGAATTCTGGTGAGGCGTGATGAAGTTGCGAATAGATCCTGCAAGCTCGGACTGCCGAGCAGTACTTATCCCACCGCGCGCGCGCCCACTGGCCTCTGGGCTCCTCACGACCATGGCTCGCACTAACTTATACAACACGCTCGGCGCGTACGAGATCGGGCTGGCGCTCAGCACGCTGCTGTTCGGCGTCGAGTCGCTGCAGACGTTCTATTACTACCGGCGCTATGCGAAAGATCCCCTGGTCCTCAAGATCTTGGTGAGCCCCGTCTCAGCTGCTGCTGCTGCGCCGCTGCGGCTGACTGCCCGCACCCAGGTCGCTGTCATCTGGTCAGCCGAGCCTTCCGCGCGGCGTCCGAGGCTCACGCGCGTTCTCTGGCAGGATCTTCGGACTGACACAGAGCATCTGCGCGTGGCACGCCGTGAGTCCGCCCGCCCCCACCCCCACCCCCACACCGCTCTGGCTGACGCCGCGCCCGGCCCAGCTGTTCCTCATGAGCGTCACGTTCTTCGGGGAAGCCTCGCACATCACGACGAGCCCGCCGACCTCGCTGACGCTCAACGCGCTCGTGTCGACCGTGCTGTTCGTGCTCGTGCAGGGCTTCTTCTGCCTGCGCATCCGCACGGTCTCCGGCTCGCGCGCGCTCGCGGCGGGCTGCTTCGCGCTCGCGCTGCTCCCGCTCGCGCTGTACGCGTACGTCGCGGCGCTGCTGTTCCGCAGCGGGTTCGCGGCGACGGCGGATCCGCGCGGCCCGGGGCATGTCGTGATGACGGTGGCGGCGGCGGTGCTGCCGCTGGCGAATATCCTGGTGTCGGCGGTGCTGTGTTGGGGCCTGTGGCGGATGCGCGGGCAGAGGGCGTTTCAGAGGTGCGTTGCTCGTCGTTGTAGTAGTGAGAAGAGGTGACTGGGGATTTATCTGCGCTGCGTAGGACGAACTCGATCATCGACACGATTATCCTCTGGACTGTGGAGACGACTGCCATTACCAGGTGCGGCTCGGTTGTTCCGTGGAGCTCATCACCAACCTTATTCTCTCCCAGTGTGGTTGCCGTGCTGGAGCTGATCATGGACATCACTGCGGGGAAGACACGTCTGTCATTCGAACATAGTGGCTTCTACATTCTGATACATTCCGCGGCAGTCCTCTGGATCATCTTCTTCTTCCTACACGGCAAGCGTAAGCATATGTCCCGAAGATCGAGTGCTGCAACTCACTCTTCGCTTCGGCATCAGTCCAATCGAACACAGTGCTGGCCTCGTGAGAGCCTCAGATGCTATCCGGAGTCGACCCACTGACGCCTGCTTTCCAAAGCCTGAACAGCAGAGGCAGCCACGCCACCGACCGCTGGGCGATCTCGACCTCCGGGAACGGCGGGGCCTCCAGTACGGGACGCAGACGCGGGGTACGTTCCGCCCCCGCGGCTTCTCCCGAGTAGCGAGTGCATGACAGACTGACTCCCTACGAAAACCACGCAGACTGAGCCCGTGATGCTGCCCATGACACACTCCGTCGCCGCAAAGTCGGATCTGGAGGCGTTCGAGCTGGAGCACGCGCCGACCCGCGACTCGCACTCGGAGGACGTGAAGATCAGCCCGTCGTCGTGAGGCTTGTGCATGCTGGGCCGCAGATGGTCTTCTGTGGGCGTATGTAGGAGATTGTGCTGAGGCGCAGCACAGAACGAAAAAAAAGTTGTATATCGGCGGTGCTTGCGACCATTTATCCCCAATCCGTTCTTTCTGTACCGATGTCCGACAAAGAGTAGATTAGATAGGGATCGATTATCAGGAATTTGTCATGACCGATTCTAACCGAGTTAGCAGTGGTTCAATTTCAGCGACGTGGTAAGTTTCACAGGGAGGACCCCATCGTCTGGTAGCTTCCGCCCATGCCCCGTTTATTCTTCGAAAAACAAACCATTCAAAAATACATTGCTCATACTTCTATTCCGCAAACACACGCGCATCGTCTCAGTCCACAGGCTCGCGGGGGTACTTCCGGACCGCCGCGAGATAGTCCTCGGTCTTCTCGAGGGTGAACTCGAGCGGCCGGGTGAGCGGTGTGAGCGACTCGCCGCGGGCCTCGAGCTCGGCCAGCCTCGCCCGCGTCGCCGGGCGCGTGCGGTTCACGCTGTAGATCTTGATGCGGTGGCAGGACGACGTCACGTGGAGGTCCCAGCTGATAAGTGTCAATCACACGCAGGTGAGATGAGGATGAGATTAGATTAGATCAGATGCGGGAGCTGAGGACACGCACTTCCAGGCCGAGTGGACGAAGGTGGGCTCGGTGTTGTTGGACGAGTCCCAGGTGCGGACGAGGAACTCGGTCCAGCCCTCGGCGTCGACGGGCACATCGATCTTCCACAGGCGCCACGCGTGGTAGTGCTATCGCGGCGTCACGTCATGGTGTCTTCGGCGTGAGCGTGAGACGACGAGGACGGACCTTCTGCGTCATGTCCTCCTGCGCCACGGCGTACCAGACGTTTCCGCTGCGCGTTGGTGAGAATCGAGAAGCTCGATCTAGGAACACAAGCTCACCCATCGGGCGAGACCTCGACGCGCTCGACCCAGTTGCCGCCCCCGGAATACGCCCAGCCCTTGAGCGCGATCTTCCCATCGTGGATGATCACATCCTTGTCCCGCGGCTCCATAATCGCGCTCCTGCAGGCCACCAATCAGCCTCCCTCCTCCCGCGGCGACACCAACACGCCACAGCAGGACACGCACGAGACGGGCATCTGCTGGATCGAGAAGCCATTCGACGAGAGCGCGTTCTGCTTCCCGATCTGCTGCGTGTAGTACAGGTACTCCTGCGCCTGCACGGGGCCGAGGCTCGGCTCCGCGAGCGCGGTGATGCGGTACACCCACTTGCAGCTGCGCGCGCCGATGTAGCCCGTGACGACGACGCGGAGGGGCGCGCCGTGCGACTTGGGCAGCGGCGCGCCGTTCATCTCCCACGCCAGCAGCACCTCCTCGCGCGCGCGGACCTTGCGGTACGGGACGGACACCGCGTAGTTGTACACCTGGCCCTTCCTGGAGGGGGGGCGTGAGTGAGTGAGTGAGTCATTAAGGTGGGAAGGGGGAGGGGAGGGTACTTGAAGTAGGTGTCTGCGCCGATGAACTCGAGATGCTTGCACTCGGGCAGGACACCCCCGCAGGCGACCTTGAGCACCTTCTTCAGCGACACGCCGCGATACACAGCGGTCCCGCTGGTGTTTGCGTTTTGTCAGCGGATTAGTACAAACCGGGGAGCAGATCCTTACATCGCGCCTTCGCCTGTGGGAATCATCAGCCCATGCATCGGTGCGCAGAAAGGAAGGAAACGCGACAAACCCCAGGGCGCGTTGATCAACTCGTCCCCGTCTCCCGGATACTGCGCAATCTGCTCGAGTCGTCGCTGCGATCCTGTGGCATGAGGCACGGGTGTCGAACGGAGGGAGAAACGACGCCGACCGTGCCACTGCACTGGAGAGTCACTGTGACTTCCTCCTGCCTGATGAGCGCATAAGCATAGGTGCATCTGCACCGGCTCGGGCAGGATCGGACATACGGGAACTTGGAGGCGTCCTTGAGATCCTTCAACGACAGCTTCACGCTCTTGTTGACGAGCCCCCCGATCTCGAGCTCGAACGCGTCCTCCTGGATGTCCGGAATCCCGCCGTGGTTCCGGACGCTGGAATATCAAAACCATACATACACAGACGGACGAAATCCGCCGCAACGCAATGCGAGGCTCACAAATGGAACTTGTTGTCCGTGATCTTGCCCTGCATGATCTGCTCCCGCCTCGTCTCGCCGTTGTACGGGAAATCAAGCACGTGGATCAGATCGGGCTTCTCCGCGAGGACGGTCTGCCAGCTGAAGTCGACGATCGACGCGAGGCCCAGCGCGGCGTGGTACTCCTTCCAGCGGTGTCCGATCAGGATCGGGTTCGTCGTCGGGAGCGGGACCAGCTGGAATTCTGGTGCCGATGACGGTCTGGTTAGCGGCGGCTGGGTACAGCTGGGAGGAGGCTGACCGGGGATCGGGGTGAACTGGTGCGCGCGCAGGATCGCCTGCGCGCGGTCCTTCTTTTCGGGGTACTGCTCCCACTCGACGTATCTCAACCCCCGCGCACACGTCAGCATCGGATCGGGAACGTCCGCCTGCAGGCGTGCGGCGCACGCGTAGACTCACCCGCTCCATCCGACGCGCTCTTCGGCGAACTGGGGCGGCGCCTGGCTGATCTGGAGCTGTGGCTCGGTCGACATGGGCGAGTGTGGTGGTGGTGCAGTATTCGACTCTCGCTCCTCCTCCTTCCCCCCGCGTGCGAGCTTATGTTACTTATAGGACGAGCACTTCATCGTGTTCTTCTTCTGACCGACGACGTCCACCCAATCGAAGGCGAGCCGTTTGTTTTCGGGGTCGATGGGCATCACGTGGTCGGCAGGTATGATGTCACCGATGAGCGGTTGAGGAGGATATACGGGGATAGCGTTTAACGGGACGTTCCGATCAATTGTTCATCAGTTGGGTCGCTGTGGTATGTGATGACCATGTTCATGTTCATATGTACAACAGCTGTGGACAGCGCCTCGCCTCTCAGTGTCAGCGCTGATGAAGGGATTCAGTTCCTCTCCTACCTCCGGATAGACATCTCTCTGCGTGAGAGACCCGTGGCGAGCACCTGACGTTGCCATAAATGTGTGCCATCGGGTGTCCGCTGCAATGGCCGATCAGCTGAAAACACCGCGAGCGTCTCTTCGCAGATGTCTTCCCGCGCTTCTCTGTCTCTCTCTCTCTCTGTGCCTCTCTTCTAATGTCCCCCACCAGTTCATTCTCCCCGCCAGTGCCAGCACCACCCCCACCCACAAGCACGGTGGCAGCGACAACCGATCCCAGCCGCCCGCGGACACTCGTGCTGTGCTTCGACGGGACGGCGGGCCAGTACGACGGATACGTGCGCGGTGCCTCGTGATCGACGGGTGCGAGATCTCTGACCGCGGGGCAGAACACGAACGCGGTCAAGTTCTTCGCGCTGCTGGAGAAGGACGACTGGCGGCAGCAGCTGTGCTACTACCAGTCGGGCATCGGGACGTACTTCAATCCCGGCGTCGTCGCCCCCGTGTTCCAGTGGTGTGCCAAGATTCTCGACGAGGCGTTCGCGATGTGCGTGGGAGCGGCCGCGGCGCCCGAGCTCAGGGCTTTGTTCTGCTGAGGCTGATTGCTGCGGGGCAGATATATCAACACGCATGTGATGGACGGGTACCGGTCCGTGCATCGCTGCCCTCCAGCTGGGCTCAGGCTGATGAGACTCTCAGATTCCTCATGGCGAACTACCACCAAGGCGACAAAATCTGTCTCTTCGGTACGTCCCGGTGTCTGTCTGTTTCGAGTCAACCCCGTCCCGCGCTGATGTTTCCGAGGTTTTTCGCGGGGCGCCTACACGGCCCGCGCGCTGGCTGGGATGCTGCATCAGGTGATTCGCGCGTATTTCCGGATCCGCCTGCGATCACGGGCATCACCGCTCCGTTCTCACGCTGCGTGCGCAGGTCGGCCTGCTGCCCAAGGACAACGAGGAGCAGATCCCGTTCGCGTACAAGCTGTACAAGGACACGAGCGCCGCGGGCGTGCAGCTCGCCGCGGGATACAAGCAGACGTTCTGCCAGGATGTCGCGATCGACTTTATGGGCGTGTGGTGCGTGCGCGGAGCGGGCGGTTGCGTGACCGGCCGTCGTTGACAGCACTCATCGGCAGGGACACGGTGGACAGCGTGGGCATCATCACCAGCCGCACGCTGCCGTTCACCGCCGTGAATTCCTCCATCAGGACGTTCCGGCACGCCGTTGCGCTCGACGAGGTATGCGAGAGGCAGATCGTCGGTGGTACCGGACAGAGAAGCTGACGCCCCAGGAAGCGCCGGCTGCGGTTCATTCCGTACTTGTACGAGCCGAAGCCCGGCCAGCCGGCCAACGGCAAGCCGGCGCACTACCGGACGGACGTGGCGGAGGTGTGGTTCGCGGGATGTCACGGGGGTGCGTGAACCGCCAAATGCGCAGTCTGCGTCAAGCAGCACGATCCAACGTTACGATCAGATATCGGCGGGGGCTCCGTCGAGAACGCCGTGGCGCGCAGTCTGTCGGACATCACGCTGCGCTGGATGGTGCGCGAAGTGATGCGCAGCGACTGCGACGTCCTGTGGGACAGCGTGGCGCTCGAGCGCGCGGGGATCCCGCCCGCACTCGACTCGTCGGCAGACGGTGTGGATGCGGCGGACGCGGCGGCGCCCATGTTCGACGGCCTGGCCCCGCTTTCGCCGTGGTGGGTTTTCGAGGTCGTCCCGCTGTTCTGGCCCATCCAGACCGCAGCCGGGAATTGGAAGAGCAAGTTTGGGTGAGCGGTTCCTGCATCCATCATCTTTGTGTTTGGAGTCGTGGCTGATCGCCCGTTTAGATTCCACTTTGGGAAGGGCCGTGCGATCGCAGACCCAAATCCAAACTTTCATGTGACTGTGAAGGAGCGCATGGCGAATGTACAACTGAAGTACAAGCCCAAGGCGAAGTGGACTGCGGGATCGGAAGTCTACGTGCAGTGATGATCTAACGATGATATTTTTATTCCACTTAAATCGTTTTCCCTTCGGTACTCAGTATGACCGGCCACGATGTAATCTTTGTGCGAAATACCATGACCCATTTGAACACCTGATCCGGATCTCGGTGCTTATACACGAGTCCAGCTCAGGAGCTCCAACGCTCAGATCGATCCCAGAGATACAGAAGCCATTTCCAAGCCAACCCCCAGCGGGGTTTCCAACCCGGGACAACCGATCATGATCATGATGCGGGCGGTGCCGAAGCACGTGACGCAGCGCGTACCTGTTGCCTGGCCCTCTCTCGCTCCGTCCCAACACCCACAACAACCGCTCCGCCCGTCCGTCCGTCGCCGCCGCGCCCGAGCATGTCGACCCCGATCCGCAAAAAGCGCAACTTCAACGTCAAGGCGCTCCAGCTGACGACGCCGACGTCACCCGTCCCGTCATCGCCCGCACCCGAGTCTGCACCCGCACCCGCACCTGCACCAGCACCAGCACCGGCACCCGCGGCAGAGCCTGTCGCGATCCGCCAGGCGCCCGTCGCCACGGGCAAGCGACGGCCGCCCCCGATGACGCTCAAGGCGCCGAAGATCCCGGCGTCCTCGGGGCCCGCGCTCGCCGCCGCGCCCGGGGACGACGGCAATCTACTCTCCGTGTCGTCGTCGTCGTCGAACGGGCTGGGGTCGGCGCCGCTGACGGCGTCGCCGGGCGGCGCGAACCGGCGGAACACGTACCACACGGCGCTGTCGAACACGCTGGCGAACCTGGACATGAACGCGGAGATCAAGCTGGATCTGCGGAACGAGGACCTGAAGGATCTGCGGGAGCTGGGGCAGGGGAACGGCGGGAGCGTGAAGCAGGTGGAGCACATTCCGACGGGGAAGATCATGGCGAAGAAGGTGCGTGCGGGTGCCGCGCTGTCCGGGACGTGCCTGGCTGACGCTGCGTGCTGCGTGCTGTGTAGATCGTGCTTATCGACGCGAAGCCGTCCGTGCGGAAGCAGATTCTGCGCGAGCTCCAGATCATACACGACTGTCATTCGCAGTACATTATCTCTTTCTGGGGTGCTTTCATTGCCGATCCGAATATCTGCATATGCATGGAGTTCATGGACAAGGGCTCGTTGGATTCCGTGTACAAGAAGATCGGGCCCATTGACATCGAGGTCGTCGGCAAGGTCGCGTTAGCGGTGCTGGAGGGGCTCACATATCTCTACGACGTGCATCGCATCATCCACCGAGGTAGGCGTCTGATGTTTATTTGGCCCTACGTGCCAACACTGACAAACCCAACAGACATCAAACCATCGAATATCCTGCTCAACTCAAAAGGCCAGATCAAAATCTGCGACTTTGGTGTGTCTGGGGAGCTGATCAACTCGATCGCGGACACATTCGTGGGGACCTCGACGTACATGAGCGTGCGTGCATGACCTGTGACAGCGTCAACGGTGGACTGACAGCGGCGCGCAGCCGGAACGGATCCAGGGCGCGCACTACACCGTCAAGTCCGACGTGTGGTCGTTGGGGATCTCGCTGATAGAGCTCGCGCTGGGGCGGTTCCCCTTCTCCGAGAGCGTGTCGGACGACTCGGACCTCGAGGATCTGGAGGGGACGCTGTCGCCCGCGCGGCCCGGGTCGTACCACTCGCTCGCGCTCGGGCTGCCCCCGGCGAAATCGAAGGCGGACAAGGCGAAGAAGGACAAGCGGAAGAGCAAGGGCGTGAGCCTCCAGGGCGGGGCGATGACGATGAGCATCCTGGAGCTGCTCCAGCATATCGTGAACGAGCCGGCGCCCCGGCTGACGCCGGAGGGCCGGTTCCCCGTGATGGCCGAGCGGTTCGTTGACGCGTGTCTGCTCAAGGATCCGGTCGCGCGGCTGTCGCCGAAGGACCTGCTGGTGAGTCTCGTGTGATCCTCGCTCCTTGCGTTTGACTATGGTTGACGGAATTTTGTTTGCCCGGCAGATGGACGAATGGATCATCCACTCGAGGCTAACGCACGTCGATGTCGAGACGTGGGCTAATACGTTTTGAGCCGCTTGTTGAGATGGATGGATGTGTGCTGCTGCTGTCCCCTCCCCCATATATATTGTGTTGTGCTACCCTGATTTGGTTGCGCGCTAGCACGCGTGATGTGTATTGCCCCAGTATCTACCGAATGCTCCCCCAAAAAAATCTTCTTGCCTTGACGATCTGTGGGCACTGGCAGGGTATCTGGAATTTGCGGATATCCACTGGTGTTCGCGAGATGAAGCTCGGCTGTCCCCGGAACCTTCCAGGGCGATAAATTACCATATCGGGACACTCATAAAGTTATACTACCAGTGCATTAGCCTGGCTGAGTAGATACATATATTGCTGGGGCATCTAGTTGCCTGAGATCAAGCCAAACTCACTCACCAGCGCGATTGCAAATCTGTTCTAGCGCATACTACAGTGACATCTGCCTGATCGAGTCCTTGACCTGTACTCACCGACACAGATGATAATTGCTCAGGACTTTTCGCGCAATCAATGGGAGAAACTTGGGAAAACGATAGTTCCTTCAACACCGGAACCGTGAAACATGAGTCTTGCCCGGTGACACTCCCGCGCGAAAGCGATTGTCTCAGACTTGGCGGTCAAGCGTAAGGCGCGGGGCAGTCCGGATGATATGTATTTACTGTCACTGCACTCACTCATAGTGAGGTTTGTGTTTGCGTCCTTTCAGGATGCAAGTGGCCCGGCATTCCCCCATCAAACATCTGGATTTGAAACCTTTTCTTTCTGAGCCGATGGGGTACTCAAACTTCAGAGAAACCATGATAACTTGATGTGTGATCTTTGTTCGAGATCGGGAACGTCATGAGACACGAAACTTGCCCGGCGACAATCCTTCGTGATAGCGGCTGACTCAGACTTGGCGGTCCCGTCCCAGACGGTGGGCGCTCCGAATGATACATATGTACTTACTGCACAGTGTACTTACGGTGAGGATCGGATTTCAGCGCTTGCAGGATGCACGCGGCCCGGCTTCCGACCATCGAACATCCCGATCACGGTCGATAGATGACACGTTGCCGCACTGGGCCGTACCGTATGTTTCACAATTTGAGCTGCGTCTTTCGCCGTGCCCTTGGAATTGAGGGCTGCTAACGGCCGGTAGTGTGCTCTGTTTGTCAAGTGGCAAGGGTATGCACGACCGTCGTAGGGGGCTGGTAGGCTCAGCCTAGGGCGAGAAGTGGACTGCGGATGGCGTGCTCGATTGTTGGAGATCCTGCTTGTCGAATAGGGGAGAGCGTGATTGGCGGCTACCCGGTTGCAGTCATGTCTCACGGAGTTGAAGATTCGAACGTGACTCGGGGACGACCAGCTCCGCGGAGCTCGGACGGGAATGTCCTCCTCCTGACGCCGCATAAGAGGTCTTGGGACCTGGCCTGCAACGAGTTGTGGCTCAAACAGCTCTTGAGGGTGGGAGCCGAAGTTGGTTCGGAGCGGTGGCCGTTAAGCTTGACGTTTCGCAGGGAGTGCAGCGACCGCAGCCACAGTATGTCATGGGTGTGTGGGTACGTGAGCTCTATGCATGGCGAATGGACTGGAGATCAGGGATTCTGTGGCGGCCTTTGCGTACCAAGCGTTCTTTGTAAGAACCTTGACTCTTAGCACTTGCACTTGGCTATCATCTTGCGTGACTCAGGCGCAAAGAGTGCAGGGCTGCACTGGGTGGCATATCCATGTACCGATTGCGTTGGAGAAACGGGAATGTTTGCAGTCCATTCACTCTCAAAGGTATGGGTCTGACGCGCGGCAGACCGGGACTCCGATCTTTATTTGTCCATGCGTGAATCTGAATTGGAACCAAACAAAGCAAACCCGGCTTGGTCAGTTCTGTTCAACGACGACGGGCAGCGGTCTTCAGCCCCCATCCTTTCGACCCTCTACTCCCCCCATCTGCATACACTCAAGCGACACCCGCATCCACACGACTGCAGTAGGTGATCTCAGATACATAAGTTGCAACCCTGTTTTGGTTTGGTTTTTTTTTCGAACCACGGGCGATTGTGGCTGATTGCGGCTCGTCGGCAGTGTGGGTTTGGGTCTGGGTTTGTACATAGGCGTCCGTATACGAAGCTACAGACGCGTGCACGGCGGACGAACGACGACGTAACCGAAGCGAAGGAACGACGGACCGACGCACGGACGATCACACACGCACGCACACGAAATGGACGCGCAGACGTATCCAGCACAGCTCTCGGCGTCGGCTCTCACCCCCGCACAGCAGACGCAGCACCACCAGCACCACCAGCACCACCATGAACAACCACAGCACCAACAACACTTCCTCCCCCCACCGCCCGCCTCGCAACCGCCCCCGCCGGCCCACCCAGGCGCGCACGCCCCGGATCCGCTGTACACAGCAATGCTCCAGTGCCCGCGCCCGACGTGGAAGGTCACCGCGCTGTGCTCGTCGCCCCGCTCGCCGGCGGACAGCACCCGCACGGTGTTCGCCGGGCCCTGGCGCCACCCGTGCGAGCTGGAGTACATTGGCCCGCACCACCCGAGCGCACACATGTGGAGCGACTTTGCGATCCTCGCGTATCTGGTCGGCACCGGCGTCACGGTGCCGCCGCGGCGCGGCGAGGGGCGCGAGACGTGGGTTGAGGTCCGGGTGGGGGAGGCGGCGAATGGGACCGGGAACGGGAACGGAAATGGGAGTGGGAATGTGACCACGACCACCCTGCCGCGCGGCTACCGTATACCGCTTCTCTGGCTCATGCGGGTGCAATGGGAGTCGTTGCGACTGCTGCTGACCAGTGCGCGGCCGATGTGGGATATCTTGAAGTTCGACCTGCTGCACATTGGGCGACTGGTGACCCAGTTTCTGGCCAAGGCGCGCAACGAGGCGCGCATGAAACGGGGCTGGCGCGACCCCATGTTCGACCGCGTGCTCACCCGCTTTTTCAACGGGTGGATGGGATGTCGAGATCCGTTCATCTGGGATTTCTACAGGGAGTTCCGTGATGAAGAGTACAAGGAGGATGTGCTGACCAGACGTGAGTGGGGTTTGTTTTCAGATACAAGATATTGAGCAAGTGCAGGCTGGGCACCCAAGGTCGCAAAGGGGATTCAGGGCTTCATCGTCACAGACGAGGAGCTCGTCATGGGGATCACCGCTGTAGAATATATGCAAGGGCTGAAACTTGACGCTGAACGAGGGATGTTCACATGGGAAATGCCACCGGAGGTAGATAATGGGGAAATGTCTTGCATTCGTGTTTACTAACGTCCACTACAGATCGCTCCCCCCTTGGAAGCGATGCCGACGCCGATAAAGGCTGTAGACCCAACACCAACGATCGCCATACCAGCCGCAGCATTACCAACACCAACGATAGCAGCACCAGCAATCGCCACATCATCTGTAACGGCGACAGCATCATCGACAGCGGACGCTCTCACTGCGTCGCCGTCGCCTGACATGCCGGGATCTCCATTGACCTCCGATGGCGAGTCTGGGACGTATCAGCCTCATCCGTCGGTACGCAAAAAGGCGTCGAAAAGCAGCGCAGGCACGCCACGACCTCTGCGGACCCGGACGATCAGCGGGGGCACCTCCGCAGCAGGTAGCCCGGCGGCATTCCAAGTCACGTTCACTGCGCCGATCGAGTCACGGGGCCGCAAACGCAAGATCGCAGATCTGTACAACAGCAGCAACAACACCAATACCGCTGCTGCTGCTGCTGCCACCGCCAGCAACCGCATGAACACAGGTTCGCCGCTGACGTCGGACAACGAGGAGGATGAGGAGAGCAGTGTGACTGGGACGGCTACACGCGCTGGGAGCGGGGCGCCCGACGGCCGAGCAGGCTCTTATGGAGTGCCTTCGCGTGTCGTTGCACCGAGGCTAGCGGGGTCCTCGGACGTATTTGGGACACCGGCGGAGCCCGAGAAGGAGAAAGAGAAGGAGAAGGAGAAGGAGAGCGCGGAGGCGCTGACCGCAGCGGAGATCCCCGGACCGGAGCGTCCGCCGTACAAGCTTTACGCGATCTCGTCTTCGCCGTCCACGCAGCCGTTCCAGCGCATGCAGGACGCGGTGATCCCCCCGTTCGGCACGTGGCGGCACGCCGCGGAGCTCGGGTATGTTGTCGATCCGGAGCGATGGAGCGATTTCGACATCGTCGCGTTCCTGGCGCAGACGGCGTGGAGCGTGCCGGACAAGACGGCCGTGTCGACGGCGGGCAAGAGCTGGATCGACGTCGAGTACCGGCACGGCGAAGTCCGTGTGGCGGTGCCCCGGGGCTACCGCGTGCCGCTGTTGTGGTTCGGGCGCGTCTTATGGGACTGCGTGAAGCTGCTGCTGACGACGAGCAAGCTGTTTTGGCCGGAGATGAAGTGGGACGTGCTGCATATGGCGCGGCTGGCGGATGAGTTTTTCGCGCATGTCCGGGCTGCGCAGCCGGGCAATGTAAAGCGCGGCTGGCGGGATGTGATGCTCGACCGCGTGCTGACGCGCTTTTTCAACGGCTGGATGGGTGTGCGCGATGAATTCGTGTGGGACTTCTACAGAGAGTTCCGGGATGAGGAGTATCAGGATGATATGGTTGGCCGACGTGCGTGGTTGACAGCTTTCTAGAACTGGTGATTACTGACTGACTGTTCCTCAATCGATTGTAGGCTGGCACGGAAAAGCGGTGAAAGGAATTCAGGGATTTGCCGTTACTGAAACCCAGCTTGTCCAAGGGATCACTCGTGAACAATTCACCGATGGCCTGGTCGTTGACCATGAGCACAAGACGTACCGGTGGGAGGTTCCTGAGGCCGATCCTGTCTCTCCGCCCCCTCCCGCTGCGGTGTCATCACCTGCACCCGCACCCGAATCTGTGCCTGCACCTGTGCCCGTGCCTGCAATCGTCACAGCTCCGCCGCGCCCGAAATCGCCGCTCTCGCTCACGCAGGTGGCAGCCACAAGCCCATCACCCATGATCGTCAACGTCGACATCGATCCGGACACGACGATCACCGGGCCGCCTGATCCGGAGCCGGAGTTCGACGAGACCGAGTTCCTGCGCAGTCGGCTGCCGTCGCCGTTTGGCGGAGAGACCCCGGTCGAGAAGGAGAGAAAAGAGACTGCGCCAGCGCCAGCGCTGGTGCCGGCCCGGGACGTGTCGATTCCGCCTCTGGTGCTGGATGACCTGGGTCTCGAGGACGACGGGGATGCGGATGCGGTTGGGGATGACGACGATGAGGTTCAGATGGAGATGCATCAAGGCCCGCCGCATATCCAAGTGTTTGAAGAACCGCTGCGGATCCGCATTGTACCACAAGCACAGCAGCAGCAGCAGCAGGAACAGCAACAACAGCAGCATGAGCAGCAGCAAGAGCCCCAAATGGAGATGGAGGAGGAAGACGAGTTCCAAGGGCTGGTGATAGAGCCTGTGGAGCGGCTGACACTTCCCCCAGAGGAGATGGAGGAGGAAGATGAGGAACAAGAGCTGGTGATAGAGTTTGTGGAGCACCCGACACTACACCAAGAGGAGATGGAGGAGGAAGATGAGGAACAAGAGCTGGTGATAGAGTTTGTGGAGCACCCGACACTACACCAAGAGGAGATGGAGGAGGAAGATGAGGAACAAGAGCTGGTGATAGAGTTTGTGGAGCACCCGACACTACACCAAGAGGAGATGGAGGAGGAAGACGAGTTCCAAGGGCTGGTGATAGAGCCTGTGGAGCGGCTGGCACTTCCCCCAGAGGAGGAAGAGGAGGAAGATGAGGAACAAGAGCTGGTGATAGAGTTTGTGGCGCTGCCGACACTACCCCAAGAGGAGATGGAGGAGGAAGACGAGTTCCAAGGGCTGGTGATAGAGCCTGTGGAGCGGCTGACACTTCCCCCAGAGGAGGAAGAGGAGGAAGAGGAGGAACAAGAGCTGGTGATAGAGTTTGTGGAGCATCTGACACTTCCCCAAGAGGAGGAAGAGCAACGAAATCAGGACGACGTGGGCAGAGACGATTCGATCCGGTCTTCGTCGAGCCCCAGTCCGCGGCCTGAAGCCGTGCCTGCGCCGATCGACGACGGGAGCGACACCGATGCGGACGGGGATATTGAAGTCGAGGGCGACCTGCTCTTCGTGGGTGTTCCGCAGAGAGAGGAGGAGCGACTGGCACAGCCTGTGCCCGCACCGGAGCCTGAACGACGAGACGAGGAAGCCACCGTCCGTGTCCAGCCTCACGATGACAAGGAGAAAGACGATGATGACGAGCAGGACCTTCCGCCTGGTTTGGGACACCACCATCTCGAGGACGAAGTTGTGTTCCTCGGCGCAAACCCACCCTCGATCACTGATGACGATGACGATGGGACCACCAGTTCGGGAATCCCTGGACTGGGGCTCAACTTCGGACTGGGGCTCAGTGCGGAAGAGTCGAGGCAGGTCAAGGTGGAGATGCTAGCTGATGTGGATGGTGCGTTTCTACTTCCCTCTTGTCTAGAAACATTGCGAGTTGGTTTGGTTGATGGTTTTGCCCAGTGCCGTTCCCTGCCAGATCGGTCTCGCCGTTAGTGGTTCCTGCAGCCCAGTCTCTGGCAGTCGAACCTAGCCCGACGCTTCCTGCTGAAGATCTACCTCCTGGACTGGAGCCCAGATCAGCGATTGATGCTGAAGCTGAAACCGCGCCCCCAGTTGTTGGATCAGAACCGGAACTTGGGTCTTCGCGCGAACCTGAACCCGAACTCGAGCCTGAGCCCGAGCCCGTACCCGAACCCGAACTCGAACCCGCGCCTGCGCCTGCACAGGATCCTGAAACTGAACGCCAGCCTACCCTCGAACCTGAATCTACACACGAGCCAGAACCCGAGATCGAGCCCGAGATCGAGCCCACGCCCGAACTTGTGCAGAATGCGCCGGAGAAAACCCAGTCCCCTCTACCCGAGGCCGCGCCTGTTGCTGCTGCAGAGCCTGCAGCCGCCGCTCCTTCCGCCGCTCAAAACAATGCGGAGCAGGACAGCGACATGGAGCAGGACATGGAAGTGGACATGGACTTGGACATGGATTTGGACATGGACATGGACATCGAGACGCCCATCGAGTCGGATGTCGAGCGAGCGGAGGCGACGACGACCACTAAATCTCCCGTGCTGGTCGCGGCGTCAGTTGCGACAATGCCAGAGATCTCGACTCCAGTAACGACAACGGCCGTGACGACGGCCGTGTCGAGTTCGCCGCCAGTGACGACGACTGCGGCAGCGGCAATGACTATGACGCCGAAAAGCCCACCGCTCAGCGCGTCGCGAAGTCTGTTCACACCGGATGCCACGCCTGTGCGTGCTGGTGCCGGGGTATCAAGCGCCACGTCGGCCACACCCGATGCGAGTCGGCCGACGCCGACGAGCGTCATCTCGGCTGCGAGTACCAGCTCTGCCGCAGCGAGATCCATCGCGGGATTCGCATTCGGGTACGGGATCGGGATCGCGCCGGGGCTGACGCTGGCCTCGCCTTCTTCCTCGGCGGTAGGAAGCTCGAGACCGCTGTCGAGTGCGATGCCGCCGAGACGGATGGGCGAATCCAGCCATCTGGACAACGGCATCAACAATGTCAGTGGCAAGCTGAATGGGACGCACACTCAGGACGTGGCGCAACTGGCACAAGCCAAAGACATGCTGGACTCGGCGTTCCGGGCCGGGCCGTCGAATTCGCATTACGATCCTGGTGCCAACAACTTGAATTTGGGCGGCAGTAGTAACAGCAGCAGCAGCAGCAGCAGCAATATAACCACGCGGCCGACGGGATACGTGCCAGTCCCGGGCTCGCCATCGCCTTTAGGCTGGGGTCCGCGGTCGATGCATCCGCTGCCTGTGCGCCCTCCGCCGGGATCTTCTAGCGCGCAACAGCAGCAGCAGCAGCAGAATGGGGTCTGGCCCGTGTCTGGTGAGTTGTCGAATGTGTTTGCGTTTGAGTGCGGTTTGCTGAGGCGGATCTTTCTTTCTTAGTGAATGGTCCACAGGCGAATCTTGCGACGTCCGTCGCAGCGCCGCCTCCGCCGTCTGCGCCTCCTCCGACGAGCGCACGGAAGACGACCGCTGCCACTGGTGCCAATGCCTGGCCCGTGTCTGGATTGGGTCTGCGTGAGTCTGTGCGTCTGGTTTGCGACGACATCCGCTCATGTATCTGCTCAACAGCGCGAAACGTGACGTCCTCGGCGAACAGCGCGAAGCCCAAGCCCAAGACGAAAAAGGGCAAGGCGAAGGCTGGAGCATCGTCCTGGCCGCCGCCGCATGATCACCAGCAGCAGCAGCAGTCGCCGTTGGACTCCGGTGTGTACTACGACCCGGGTGCGGGCAGGTATGGGTACGATCAGCGGTCTGTGCCGTCCCAGAGCTGGTATGGAGCGCCGCCCCCGTCGTCGCAGGCACCACAGGACGAATACCAGCCGTATTCACCGCTCATGTCGCTGGGCGGCGGCGTCGGGCCGATGCCGATGCCGATGCCGATGCCGACACCGTCTGCGATGATCCGGAATCCCACCCCGCCGGTGAACGCGCGCGCAGGAGTGCGGACCCTTCCCGGTTTCGAGATACCTCCTGCGGTCTTGCGAAACCCGACCCCGACCCCGCCGCCGCCTGCCCCTCCCCCGATGATAATCCGGAACCCGACCCCCCCGCCGGTGGTCATGCGGCAGCCGACCCCCCCGCCGCCACCGCCAAAGCCCACCAAGGTGACGGCGGATCGGTCGACGAGCCCGCCCCCGGTGCCACGACGGATGTGCATCAATGCGTCGGTTGTCACCGACCCACTCCCGCCGCCGCCGAAGGAGATCGACTTGGAGGCCTTGGAAGCACGGCTGCTCGAGCGCCTGCGGGCGGAGATGCCAGCACCAGCACCGCCGCCGCCGCCTCCACCCCCAGCGGCGCTGAAGGTGGATGTCGACGCGCTGATTGCGCAGCTGCATGCGGAGATGCCGGCGCTGGTCGCGCGGATGCGTGCGGAGATGCCGGAGCCGCAGGAGCCGCGTGAGGTCGACATGGACGCGCTCGTTGCGCGTGTGCGGGAGGCGATTGCGGTGCCGGCGGTGGACGAAGCGGCGCTCGAGGCACGCATCGCCGCGCGCATGCCGGCGCCGCGGGAGCCGCGGGATGTCGACGTCGAGGCGCTCGCGGCGCGCCTGCGAGGCGAGCTGGGCGCGCGGCTGGACGGGCGCGTGGACGAGCTGCGCGAGGCGGTGTGCGCGCGGGTGATGGCGGAGGTCCCCGACGCAGTGCATGCGCGCGTCAAGGCGGACCTGATGGCGCAGATGGGCAGCGTGCTGGGCCAGATGCAGGCGGACCTGATGGCGCAGCTGCGGGACGACGTGGGTCTGCAGCTGCGGTACTTCGTCGCGAAGCTCAAGGAGGACATGGGCGCGCTCGTCCGAGAGGCGGTTGCCGCGAATCTGGCGGGTGGCCAGGCGCCGTGGGTGGGGCAGGTCAAGGCGGTGCTGGGGGAGCAGCTGCGCGATGCGTTGGCTGTCCAGCGCGAGGTGATGAACCGGGACTTTGAGCGCCGCCGGGCCGGTGTTGCGGCTAGGCGCGTGGCTACGACGCCGGCCGAGGCGACGACGCCGGTCACGCCGAGCCACTCGAACGCTGTGAGCAGCAGCAGCACCGCCGGCAACAGCGGCAACAGCGGCAGCCAGCTGAAATCGGTGCTCTTCCCGGGACGGCACCCGCTGCACCACCTCGTGCTCAGCGCCACTGCGGAAGATGCGAACGCGGACGGGACGCCCAGCCAGACGCGGCCGTCCACGCCGATGCCTGCGAGGCACCGCAAGTTTGTGCAGCCGCAGTCGGGGCTGACTAGTCCCGCATCAGAAAATCCCGTCGAGCGTCCAGCTGGTACTGAGCCTGCCCACCCTCTCCCCCTTCCGCCCCCGCCGACATTGATGGCTGACGCGCCGCTGCCGCCTGAGGACGCGCAGATGGCGACTCCGCCCCCGCCCCCGAGCGCGCCGGGTCTGGCCGTGGCGTTGGCCGCTGTATGATGTGTGGCTGCCGTGATTGGAAGACGACGCCGACGACCGAAACGCTCCCGGTGTGTAGTTTAATGCTTGTGTTACTTGATATATATATACTACTGCTAGGTTCATGTTTATACGGCTCGTCGAGTGTGTGGTTGTTGCGAGTCTCTCTGTCTCTCTCTCTCTCTCTTGTCGCTCCTGCATGACGTGTACTTACCTACTTGCTCACATACATTCATATATATACATACATGCGCACTTACTTTACGATTGATCATGCATTCATCTAACCTTGAACCCGCGCAACTTGAGTTCATTGGTCCCGGCGTAACGAGCGCAGCACGTGATCCGATGTTCCAGTTGACAACCGGGGGCGACCCGAGCCGGCAACTTGAATAATGACCTGCACTGCGCCGCCCAATCCACCGATATCGACATAATGCCTCCTCTTGCGCGCACTGGTGGAGACGAAGACGGCGCATTTTCTGTTGCGGTACACTGTTAGGTTCCCGCTCGGATATTTCCTCGTCCGTCCGGGACAAACTCAAATGTGCGCATGCATGTGCAGCGCTTGGAATCGTCGAGCGGATAATCCGAGGGACAACGACAGGTCATCTGGATTTGGAATTGGACGACCAGCACGGCAGGTCATCTGGATTCGGAATCCGGAATTGGACGACACGCGAGGGAAGGAGGGCCAGTGCGGATACGGCCCGTGTGTCCTCGCCAACGAACGCGAAACAACGACACCGAGCGTCGGGCGCACGCTGCTGTGTCAGCGCCACAATCCAATCCCGTGGCGGGGGGGCCAAGGCACGCGCGGGTGATAGCCTTCCCAACCGTGCGAGCGCTTTGCGTAAGCAGCTGAGGCCTAGATTATTTTGCGGAGCGTACAGTGTCGACCATGCATGCGCCACACTTTCGTGGACCTGATATCGATGAACGCGCTGATAGGCCCCACGCATCTGTGCTGGCGCGATCAGTGGTGGAGTGGGCGATTGCTGAGATGGGGACTCGAGGGGGAGGATGATTGGGTGACATAATGGCGATGACTGCGCGCGCGCGCTGCAGCGTCGTATTAATCCGTGCTTCCGCAGGCTGGGTAAACGTTGCTGGGGGGACACGTCGTCAAAAGGCTGGGGCGAGACGAAGAAGCAGCGGGGCGTGGGTATAAGTAGAGCGGGCTGTTGCTGTGATGGACAGAACATCCTCTCCCACACCGCGTCCATCCACCCACTCCCACCACTACTCAGAAATGTCGAGCACGTACTCCGTCGTCATCACCGGTGCTAACCAAGGTGAGTCTAGTCTGGTCTAGTCTAGTTCCCCCTGTCCCCCTGTCCTAATCACGTGCCCCATAGGCCTGGGCTACCACACGGTGCACCAGATCGCACAGCAGCCGCACAAACTCGTGTTCATGGGCGCGCGCCGGATGCCTGCGGCCGAGGCCGCCATCGCGCAGATCGTCGCGGACGGCATCCACCCGACGTCCGCCGTCGTCGCGGTCTACCTCGACCTCGCGAACGAGCAGTCCATCGCCGACGCGGGCGTCGCCGTCGCCGCTGCGCTCAAGGAGCGCGGGCTCTCGGGGATCGATGCGCTGGTCAACAAGTGCGTGGTCCTCTCTCTCTCTCTCTTTGTGTGTCTCTCTCTGATGAATGACCCAGCGCCGCGATGGCCGACGGCCCGCCCGCGCTCGTGTTCAGCACGAACATCGCAGGCACGATGGCGGTCAAGGCCGCGTTCCGCCCGCTGCTCAAGGCGGGCGGCACGATCGTGAACGTGTCGTCCGCGCTCGGCTCGCAGGGCCTCAACGCCGCGCGCCCGAAGGTGCCGACGCGCACGCTCGAGACGTACGGCGCGAGCAAGGCCGCGCTGAACAACCTCACGCTGCAGTGGGCGTACGAGGAGGAGGAGAGCGGCTCCGGCGTGCGCGTCGTCGCGCTCGATCCCGGTGCGTCGCCCCGCTGTGCTCGGCGGGTGAGGCTTCGCTGACTCTGGCTGGACGGTTGTAGGTCTGACGACGACGACGATGACGAGCACGCGCTCGTTCCTTGCTGGCCACGGGGAGTCCCCCGCGGTCGCGTGCAAGGTCATGGTCGACGCCGCGTTGGCGACGGAGGGCAAGAGCGGCGTCTTCTTCGACAAGAACGGAACGATTCCGTGGTAGTCCTGGCGCGCAGCCATGGTAGCGCCTCGTTCTATGCCAATAGCTTTCCTGGTCACGTGGGCGCGTTAGCCACCAGTTTTGCTTGTACATCATCAGTAATACCCTATACCTACAAGATATTGAACAACACAGACGACCTCATGCGAAGCCTGTTTCCACGACGATCTTTCCGTACACTTGCGGTCCATACGTCCAGGAACAAGCTTCGGGAAATCCGCCGCCGCCACGCCCCGGATGAACTCCACATCCGGCCGGCGGCTGCATGGCTATCCGCAGCACCAGCTGCAGCCTGGTTCTTCGTGCTACGCGTGTAGATTGACCTGCAGCCGCCTCAGCCACAACACGCCTTTGTTCAACATTCAGTCGCTCCCGCACCATCTGCGTGCTAAGTCTGAATGCAGCCTGGGAGACAATACCCTCTGCGTTCGGATCGCGTCACCAGTGACTCCTCGTGCGCCGGGAAGGAAGGTCAGACCAGAGAGCGTATCCAAGCAAGCAGAAAGAAACTACGGAATTCAGGTGGACGATCGTAGCTATCCGCTCTCGCACTGCGATCGTTCGATTGTACGTCTTGAACCTACGCCTCATCGAACGCGCCTTCCCTCCCCGCATGGACTCAGTATCGTGACCACCGCCTCCTCCTACTCGGCAGACCACGTTAGCTCGCCCGGATCGAGCGCCACAACGCCCTAGTGAGTGAGTGAGTGCGGCTCGCTCTCCACATGGGGTCGTGTCGTGACGCGCGAGAAGCCGGGATTTGCGTCGCGTCGAGATCAGTCCGGGAAGTGGGCTTTGGGGTGGCACGATTACTGAGAGCACGAGGTCGTAAAAAGAAGAATCGCGTCGATGGTGCATTTGGACTGGCAGAATCGAATACGTCTTGGGCACTGCCATACATCAAACATGTTTTCGGATATTGCCGGTGTTCTTTCGGACATTACCGATGTTCTTTGGGGTCATTGCCGATGTCCCTTGAGCAATCCCGACTTGATGTATATGCCGAAAGTTCAAGCGCCTGATCCACTGGTTCTGTCTACAATGCTGGACGTCCATAACACGCTCGTGTACCCATCTGGCCGCAATACGTGTCGCGACGTGTCCTGTGCGTGTCGACACGCAGTGACTCACAGCCCGCGCAGCTGCGTCCATCTATGTAAGCATCCAAGCGGGACCACAATCGGACTACTACACGGCTCCCGCTCTTGCTCTCCTATGCGCCTGCACACACCCGCACTCCGCCCGGTGCGTCACATCGTGTCCCGCATGATCCGGGTGGGCTGACCGCGCCCGCCAGGCCCTGCACCGCGCCCAGGCGCCCCCACGGATGGCAGCGGAGCGTGAGTGTGATATTAGATAGTACGGGTGGGCATCGCTGACTGACCTCATCCTCCCCCCGGCTCGCAGGACGCAGAGGCAGAGGATCCTGACGAAGGGCGACAACAACGACGCGGACGACCTGGTGCTGTACCGCGGCAGGGAGCGGCTGGCGCGCGATAACGTGATCGGGACTGTGAGAGCGTACGTCGGGCTCGCTGTATCGACTGCTGCCACGACTAACTACTCTGGCACAGGATCCTCCCGCGGGTTGGATACGTGTCGATCTTATTTGTGAGCGCGCCGGATTCCCTGCACCATGCGGCAAGTAGATGTAGTAGTGCTGATTGGTGTGCGTCCCAGAACGAATGGCCGCGCCTGCGCGCCGCCGTATTTGGCGTTTTAACATTGTGGGGCGTGATCTCAGGCCGTAGCTAGCTAGCTAGGTCGGGAGTCGAACCACCGCCCAGGCGAGAGAGAGAGCGAGAAAGGCTCGCCCGCATTAATGAAATCGAAGGTGTCCAGGATCAGCATAAGCTAGGGCTCTACTGCTAACGCAAAGTAAAGTAAAGCCACGAGAAGGGGGGAGAACGAGGAGCAGGAGGCGTCCAGCGCGTGGGTAGCGCGATGGTGTAAGTACTAAGGTTCACGTAGATGAAGCGCTCTCGCACGGGGCTCTGGATCGTTGGCTCTTGCTTTCGCTTGTTACCCGTGGCTTTAGCATGTAGGCTCGGGGCTGCCGTTCTCCCAAGTGCAGCGGGGACTGCTTCGAAGGTCCGCGGATCAGGAGGCTGCTGCGTGGAACAACAACCAACCGCCGGCGAATGATCCGGAAAGGCGGAAGTCAAACTTGAGCCAAAGAGTTGCGTTTTGAGATGGACAGCAAACTTGTGAGACTTTACGGCCTTGGGAATAGAGCGCGTCTTTCTGGCTGATATCGCGAACTTTCGGTCTGAATTCTGTCTAACACCGCTCTCTGCCGTAGCTGAGGTCCAGATCCGATGAGCAACTTGGTAGGTGAGTCCGCGCCGTCTTTTATGAGCTGGGTGATATCTATGTGAAGAGCAAGGTAAGTAGCTGATAGAACTCATTATGGGCTATAACAATGTACTCCTCTATCACCGCCCCGAGAGAATCCCGGCAGCCTTCACCTATAGAGCCCCATGAGCCCCCTCATGCCGTGTCTCCAAACATATACAGCGCGCAGAAATAGCTTGACTAGGCAAGCCCACAGCTTTCTTCTACGTCTCCGATAGTATTACAAAGCAGACCGCTACCCGGGTTCACAGCCCATAGACCAAGCATCGATCTCCGCGTCCGTCTTCCCATCCGTCTGCGCGCGAAACACAGCACAAACCTCCGCATGCACCTCCAGGCAATGCCCCGTCAGCTCCGCCGGCGGCGTCGCGCTCGGCCTCGTCGTCAGAATCCTGCAGCGGGGGTGAGGTGGCCAAATCAGTCAGCGTCAGCCCGACGCGCGTAGCAGGGACTCACGCGGGCTCGAGGGCGAGGCACAAGTTGCAGATGAGTCCGATGTCGTCCGCGGTCCAGAGCAGACCGAGCTGGCCGCGCGAGAAGCGATGCGCCGGGGGCTCTGCGTCCGGGGCGACGTGCCTCGGTTCTGTTGTGGCCGCTGCGGTTAGAAGAGGAGACACCGGTTGGGGCTGCACGGAGAGAGCCTCTTCAACTGCGTCGCCTGCAGTTGGAGGGGTGTTCTCTTGGTCGAGGCCGGGCTCTTGCCGGGCCTGGATAGCGGCCCCCGAATCGGTGTCCTCCGATACGGCTGCATCGACCAATGCGGCGTCGGTTACCCTCTCGATTGCATTGTTCACGGCGAGTCCTGGATCCGGTTCATCGTCCTCAGGTTCCTCTTTGATCTGATTGTCGATAATCGCTGCACAGATAAGATAACCTTTAGTATCCAGTAATGGAAGCGCCGAGCGAGACAGACGAACACAGGACAAGATCGTGCGTTAACTGATCCGTTTCGTCCCCGGTATCCTGCCCCTCCCCCTCCTCGCGCACAGCAGCTGCGACCTGCTGCTGCTGCTCGTCGTCGTCGTCGTCGCTCTCCGCCGTCCGAATCGCCTCCCACTCCGGCAACTTGCGCAAGAAGCTACCACCCGCGTCGCGCGGAGCTGCTGGCTGCTCGGACAAACGACGAGAAAGAAGACCCTCGAAACCCGAGGACGCACTCCCCGGACCGTGCTTCGGCGCTGCGAATCCCGCCGAATGGGGCTCGGGCATTCCCAGCGAGGACACCGCAGAAGCTTTTCGAACCGCAGGGGGAGAAGCGAGCTTTCCTGGGCGGGGGGCAGCCGGCCCCCCGATCCGGGGTGGACTCGAATCGCCCTGCGCGCGAGAGAAGGACAGCAGCGCCGCGGGGCCAGGGCTGGAACCAGCGAGATACCGTGTGTGATACACCCGCAGCGCGTCCGCGGTCTCCGCCCAGCCCATCTCGCGCCAGTTCAAGCTGTGCCGCGGCGCGTCGGGGCTCTGCGCTGCGCGCTGCTGCTGCTCTGCTCTGAGACGGAGCAGCTCGAGCGCCTGGCCCCACGAGCGTTCGGTCATCTGTGGTGCGAGCGTGTCAGTGATGCGCGCTACGGGACGGACGGGCAGACGACGTGGAATGGGATCTGACCTCCGTCCCCGAGGAACTCAAGACCCGGACAGCCTCGGCCAGCTGCGCGTCGCGGCAGGGCACGCCGTGGATCTTGAAGAAGCCTGGTTGATCCGGCATAGGGAACAGGCGATACTGGACTCGGTTGCTGCTGCTACCGCCGCTGCTTGCGAAAAACGACGGATCGGCGATCGGCGGCTCATCGAAACCAGGATAAGCAGAGTGGGCGTGTTTTGGACTCGGGTGACGTCCGTGCCCGCCCGCGGGTGGCACCGTAACCGTGGTTTCCAGTGGGATGGCGGGAGCATGCGGGATGCTTCTGGAATCGAGATCGAGGGCAGGCGCCTGTGTTCCCGTAGGTCGTGTGGGGAAACTGAAGAAAGTCGGGGTCACATCTATAGATTTCGCATCAGGAAAAACTCTGATGAACGGAGCAGGACGCACTCCGGCCAGCCTCGTCCGAGTTGAGTGGCGGCACTACCACATTCACGGTATCGGATTCGGTTTTCACTGCGCGGACAAGGAAGCATTCAGTGCGACCGGCGTCAGACGGAGTCACTAACTCGACCCACCAATAGCCTCCGTTCTGACGACCGCTGTATCGCGGTCCTTACCAGCTGCAAGTTTGTTCATCGGCATGGGCGAGCAACATCGATGCCGTACACGAATCACTGACGCTTCGGTATCGGGCCCTGGAGGTCGACGTCCATCTCGTCGTCATCCACTGTCAGGTCGATCAATTCCGGTCCTGGGCCTGGCGCAGGGAATGCGGGCGAAGGGGGTCTGGGCTCGGTCTGAGCCGAGAACATCATTGAAGCTATCGCATACAGCTGAGTGGGAACCGTGATCAGCGAGTCACTGGTCGGACTACGAAGGTCTGGGACAGGTTGAATGACAGCAGCAGGTGGCAGATGGGCTGGGAAGTGGAAGTCATCAGGATGAGCACTAATAGACCGCCGAGCTGCGCGCGATTCCTCAAACTGGGCGAGAATCTGTGCATTGGACTCGCTAAGCAGCTGCGACCGCTGTGGTAACTGCTCCGCCTGGCATCTCTCCTGCTCATCTCTGACACCCCCTGCCTCCTTCAGACGGACGGCCTGAACCTTCAGCAGCCCGTTCTCCTCATTCAGCACCCCAACTCGGGAGGTACGATCCCCCACGCTGGCCAATTCCGGCAACGAAGCCGTCCGCCCTTTCAGGGCCTTCCGGAGCTCTGCGACACCAGCTTCGAGCTCCCGGCTTTTCGCCCGCGCCGCATCCCGCTCGTCGCCCACCGCGCGCAGCGCCTCCGCCGCCCGTGCGCACTGACGCCGGAGCGTCTCGGCCTCCTGCGTGCGCACGCGGTACGCCGCCAGCACGAGCTGCAGCCGGCGCTCGGCCGCGGCATTCCGTGCGCGCTGGCCCTCGAGCGCCTGCCTGAGCGCGTGGTTCTCGCCGTCGAGCGCCTGCAGCGCCGCGTGCAGGTGCGCCGTCACCGTCCGCGTCGTCTGGGACAGCGAGGCCGGTGAGAGGGAGCGCGGGGGGAGGGTCGGCGTGCGTACGGTCTGCGTCGTCGTGCCAGCTGCGGGCTTCGGTGTCGTCGATGGCAGGGGGACTGACGCCGGTGTCTGTAGATGGAGTGTGTTCCAAGCAGAAGCTGATGGTGCATGGACAGGCTGAGAAGCGCGGAATTGCGGAGATGGCGGGAGTGTAACGTCCGTGAATTCATCAGAAACAACATCCGAGTTCATTGCTGCCAGTGGGAGAGCCGGTGGACGCGATGTGACAGCTTCGGCAGGACTTCGCACAGACAGAGTGGTTCCGGAGCCGCCTAATGCCGGGGGTGTCTTGACCCTGGCAGGTGAAGCGTTCGAGGCGCTTAATGGAAGTACATCCTGGGATTCAGGTCATTCGGATTTTGATCTCGTCCGGGGACAGGGAACGCACGCGAACTCCATTCGTATTCAGAGCGTTGCTCACTCCGGACGCAGTAGCCACTACCGAATCAGAAATAGACTCCGAGTCCTGTAATATCGCATCCTGCGATTGGCCCAGCTGGGCCAACCCCCATAGTACGGTCGCAAGGTCGGGAATCGGGGCGGGGGGGTTTACAGGTGAGGATGGCATATTGGGATGAGATTCCGAGGAATCTTCCGGTGCAAAGTTACAGATAGTGGGACTTGCGACCCGTTGAGACGCATCCAGTCCTTCGCCGCCGGCGCTGGTGGTCGGCGATCGGCGAGCCCGTTTCGCGATCGGGAGCGGGTGTAACGGATCCAGTGTCCTTTTGTTCATCAACTGCACGGTTCGGGATGGTGGATGGGGGTAGATTGTCTGAGATACCTGGGTATAGAGTTTACGTAGATGGCGAGAAGACCACTCACAGCGAGGCTGTAGCATTCGAATGTTTCTCAAGCACTAGCAGGTAGTGGGATGGGGGGATTCCGCAGGTTGCTAGCCAGAAGTATTCGAGCAGAGATGTGGCTCGTTGCTTGCAATCGCTCAGAGGATGCGTGGGTAACTCCCGGGGGAGATCCCGCCTCGAGGCAGTCGAGTGTTCAGGGAAGAGCTCGATCACTCAGATCACTCGCGTTACCAAAGCTGTGACGAAGCATCATGATGATCACCTCGTAGACACGGTCATGTGCTCGCGTCGATGAACGGATTGACAGCCAACACTCTAAATCTTGAACTTCTGAAGTGGGGAAGATGAGAACTTGGTACACGGGTTCGCTAAAGCCAGGGGCGTTTCTGAAGGCAGAGAAGCCTGGATATACAAGGCAACATGATTCCACTTCGACGCCCTCAAATCAATCCTCCATCTGGTTCCAATTTTCGTTGTATCGCCCTAATCACCGCTCTATCAGAGCAATCAGATGGTATGTCATCCGGATCAAATCTGCATGCGTAGACTACACCCTCTCAAACGTCCAAACACTGGAGAAGCTCCCTCAATCCCCACTCTTGTCGATCATCTGCGAAGACTGATTTTGGTTCTAAGATTTTGAACGCGCTTCGAACACTGGGACCCACTCGCCCCTTCTGCTCGACAGCCTATGATTGGCAGTCTAGCAGTTGACGCATTTTCAAATCCTATCAGTCTTGTTCATCCTGCGAATAGTCAAACAAGTAAGCCAGTCGATCCGAGAATGAAAGCAATTCCAGCCACATATCCCAGCACGCAAACAAGACCCATGGACGCTACAAACTGCTTTTATCCAAACGCTCGAGATGTCAATCTTGTCGGGCAGCAAGTACTGAGAGGCTGCGCGCATCTGGCTGCCATGTGGCATCAGATGTCCCGATTGATTTTCTGGCAGTGCATCGGCTTGCTTGAGCTCATCGTGCCTCCAGACGCCGGAAACTTTCAAGTTGTGCGATGGCGTGATTATGTCGCACAGGCCTCGCCTCGCTGCTTTAGCGCTCCGGCTGATGTTCGCGTTTACCTCTGCTGTCTTGGACGAAGTGCTGGTGGAATCATACCTCGTTCGTGATGCTTCCCCGAGTGTCTGACTTCGATGTGACGGGTCCTGCCGAGGCTATGGACTCTCCGGTCAAGCACACATTCTGGGCTTGACGGGAACATAAATATCCTGGCGAAACGCATTAATGAGCGCTGGACGACGAGATTCGTTGTCCTCCCACGGTTTGCTGTGGTGCTCCACGACCACTGCAGTTTTAGTTCCATTTCTCGTTGTCGTTCGGATGCATTAGACAAAAAAGGTCTGCGAGCTCCCGTCCCTTTCTCTGAATAAACGAGCCAGCCTGACTCACAGTTCCAGATTAGAATCTCGTGATTTCGCCGCTGCGTGGCCTACACACTCTCTTGATGAGATCACCTGGGCGATATTTCTGAGGTACCCCGATGAGGACACATTCGAGCCTTGGGCGCAAATAACATGAATTTCTAGACCCATTCAGCGCATAAGAAAGCCTCGGAGTGCATGTGCATGTGTCTCTGAACGAGCTTGATGAAAACGCGCGCCCGATAACTACGACTCAATCGGGGGGGCCACGTGAGATATGTATTATCCCCTGCCACAAAAAAGCGACTCGATATTACTCAAGTTGAGCATGGATCGCAGCAGCCGCGGGTGATTTCCGCGCGTCCATTGGAGGCGCTGTTCGGCGAGCACATGGAGTGGCGCACTCCACCGATCCCCAAGCGTGTGCATCCCTCGCGACAAATGACCGTTCCACTGCGATCTTCTAGTGCTGAGGCTGGGCATGGCATGCGCGCAGCCTTGGCATGCTGGAAAGATGGGACAACGGAGCTGATATTGAGAATCTCCGTGTCAACCGCGCCATGATGCCTTCTTTGGGAGGGGGCACCCTCTTGGCCGCCGCCTGGCTGGCGAGATTCTCGACAATGACAATCGGTGGCGCCGTGGAAGCACCACGCGCGCAGAGACTCTCTAGCCGGATGCGCGATATGTCAGTTTCCTATTTTGCACAAGGGCTGGGAGGTCTGGACCGCTGCTGGGTGGTGGCGCGAGGGAACGTCAGCCATCCTCACGCCAGCGCGTGGCATTGAGCGAGGTGTTACCCAGTGATCTTCACACGACGTGGTCCAGTGCACCATTTCAGAGGTCTTTCCGACGTTCGGAATTCCGAAGATGCGCGCTGACCTTCCGAGATGACTTCCGAGGAATCTGCGGACGGTGTGAGTCATTTAGCCTTGCCTGTCACTGGAATAATATTCATGTGCTCGTCGCAGAGCCGGTGTCACCCGAAGCTCCCATGCCAGTCACCGCTTCCGCATTCTCTGTCTTTGCGCTAGATGCATACCGGGCGAGGGGGATCCGGTCCTGATGAGCTTCGCTGGAATTTGGGGGATTAGCGGAGGCCCCCATCGGCATGCGGTCCACTTCGGGTTCTTCGCTGGCTCTATTTTCTGCATCTCATCTCCTCCCATCCCATCCCATATCTTCTTCTCTGGCCGGCATAGCGAAGGGCCACCACCCGCCCGATGACAGCGCAACTTCCCAGGCACTTTGTGTCTCTCGCTCTTCCCAAAGAAAGCCCTGGAAACCAGTGGCTCACCTTCCGCATATGGCGATATACCGCATTCAATGCCACGCGTTGTCCTCCTGACGCTCCTTCTGGGAAATGCACGGGGGCGTCTCCAGGCCCACTTCGTCGTCATTAGTAGCCAGGAGTCATGGATCTCACGTTCCTAGCGACGGCGAGGCCCACATGGGTCGCTCTCCTGGCGCGATACTCGTCGCGTGGGAGCGCTGATGGACAAAAGCTCTGCTCTGTTTTCGACTCCCGTTTCCCGCCAGGGACGAGTCCGAGTATGGTCACAGCACACACGGCGGGGAGAAGTCTGCGTGCAGCAGGCACTTTCCCAGTGCGGGCCTTCGCCAGCCAGACAATTTCCCAGTGGCGCTCTGGTTCTGGACCCAGTCCGGTGCGCCCAGTGTCTCGGGCTTCGAGTCTCATGCGTGAAAGGACATGTCGATCGAGGAACCAGAACGCTGCTGCTCATGTGTCGGATGATTGTGACTCCCAAGTGAACAGACGGGCATCAGACGGATTTAGACGACCGCGTTCGTTTTCCCGCGGACACTCTCGATGAATCAGATGCTCAGATCGAATGTCCTCGTCTCTCGGGAGGCTCGGTGATGTCGTCCTGCCATCCACACGTCGAGTCTATTAGCCATGTCACGAGTACGTCATTGCAGGACTTGTAACTTACATGATCCGGCAGAACGGAGACGATCTCCTCATATCTGTGCAAGGCTAGACTAGTCTACATAACCAACATTCGCGGTGATCTATCTGTTCCGATCTCCGATCTTCCCCGCCCGAAATCTGAAGTGTCTGATGTTCGAGCTCTGACTCAACGAGATAATCATGTTCCTCTTCACAGCCTTCCCCAGGACTTGATATACGCCCTGGATGTTCTCAAATTACTTCTCTCCTTTTTTTTCCCTCTGCGCGGGATGCGAGCTTAATTACGTTAAGCCAGAGGCTAGATCACCCATCATCTGATCCCAAGCTTATTAGATGCTAAGGACTCGATATCTGTTGCAGATCACTTCCCAGATCAGAAATCAATCAACGGTCCAAGCATCAAAAACTCGCACAGCACTCGAGCTCAGCCGAGCGCCCAGAGCAGAACAGAGCAGCGCTACTTTTGACCCCGAATCACACGGCACCCTCCCATTTCGAGCTAGCCCTTTCGCGTCGGCGCTGTCTAGTGTGGGTACGCACCCGCAAATGCATACCTCATAAGTATACAATCCAATTGCAGGTGCTTTACCAGACCGATCTTATCAGTCGGAGAAACAAACACAGCACGCGTCCGATTTTGAGGCTCCGCGTGAATCGCCCCGGATGGCACACCGTCTGCCGGCCCATGCCATGACGCACGGGGCCGCCGAGGCCCGAAGCTGGCCCACGACCCAGAGGACCGGGTGGACAGAGGTGGGTAGATCGGGCGCAGGCGATCTTGCCCGTTATAGATACCCCGGGGTAGCCGCCCTATGCGCGACGGGCGGTGCAGCGGGGCGGCGACTGAGCGGCCAGCGCCCACATCCAAACACCTGCAGACGCACACATCGATACAACGCGCGATGACGAGCAGAAGACCGTGAGATACAATTATGACTATACAGTGTGAGTAATAATAGATGCGGTGTCAGTAGTGTGAGTTGGGGGCGGCTGCGTCTATCTATCGACTGCCAGACTGGTTGGAACATGGAGATATACCATCGGGGACGATCCGTTTCCGTTACCGGGCCTTGAGAAGTCTCGCTTTCTTTTGCTTCCGGACGTACTTCCTCGCAGCTGGGATACCGAACTGGGATCTATCAGCACAGAATCTCGGTAGGGAACGAGAAACGACACACCTGATAGATGGGATATACCACCAACAGCGTCGCACCAATGATCCAGCCCCGCTTGACCTTTGCGGGAAGCGGCTCCGGAAACTGACCCTGGCTCCACTTGAATATCACGAGGTCCTCGGTAGCGACGGTGGCGAGCAGGAGCCAGACATGTTGTCCCATGCGCACAGCTCGTCTGATCGTCGGGAGATGAGCATCCAGGGAGCACTACAGAGAAGCCCACTCACTGAGGATGGTTGATGTACTGATACAGCTCCCGTACAGCAGGCAGCGCGCAGAGGAAGATGAATGCCAGCCGTAAGATGACGATGGGGTGATCCGGCTCTATCCACAGAAGGGTCTAGAATCCGGGGTGGTCAGCTGATCCGGTTCCACGCAATCACGCATACCTTCAGATAGAAAACGTTAAGCTCAGCGGCGAGGAACACCGTGAGAAGGAGCACGACGCTAAAGTAGTGCTTGAACGAGGTGGTGGTACCCCAGCGGAAGGACGTAAAGTCGTGAGGCGAGAACTGTGACAACACACGTCGCGTCTTTGCACGCAGCCCTTTGCTCTGGCGAAAGCCGCGCCACTCGTATGGCTGGGCGGCTCATCAGTCATGAAGAAGGGCGCCGCCACAACAGATGCCTACACACACCTTGACCTCAAAGTACTGGCACACCTTCATGCCAAGGTAGGTCCCGATCCAGTTGCACAGCAACACATCGAGAATCCACTGTCAGTCAACGGGCGATGAGGTCGGCCCGTTACAGAATACAACACTCACGTGGTCCCACCAGCACTGCACACAAGTAAGCAACTGCTATGTTAGGACATACTAGAACTCCAGCACACCTCATTGAAGTTGGCCAGCTGATGCCCGAAGCTGTACTCAGCCAGCTCGAAGGCGATACTCAAGATCTGTATCAGCTGTCAGCGCGAGTCAGGAGGAATGCAGCAAAACAAAGACCCACCCAGCAGAACCAATAGTCCCGCAGGATCATCGCCTTGCCAAACCATCCGATGGTGTGCGCGATGCAGAACACATCCAGTGCGTTCCAGAGCACTGTCGGTGTCAACGTGCAGTCCTCCGCGTAGCTCTTCTCCGGCAGCGGCACACCCAGATTCTCGTCAAGCAGCATCATCATCCCTCGCGCATTGGGCAGGTCCTGGAAGAGCAAGAACACGAGGGCAAGTTCGTAGAGCAAGTTAATACCGAGAACGGCCCGCCAGAAGGAGGGGTGAGGTCTAATGAAGGGACCATCACGGAACTGGATCATCGAGAACGCAAGGAAAGCGCTCAGGGCAGCATATGCACCTCTGTGCGTCGTCAAAACCGACGACAGCTTGGGAAAGCCAAGGGCACTTACACACGACGCTTGTCTCGGCCCTCCGCTAGAAGATCTTTCGTCATTGCGACATATGCCAGCACCACCAACAATATGCTGAGCGTCGTCAGCGTGATGGGCTTGTAGAAGAATCTACAGGGGAGGATTAGGCCAAAAGGAGTCCGTTATCTGGCAACACGTATCCACGGACTCGACGCTAGTATCATGTCGTTCCTGGAATGGCGTAATACGCGTATACGGTTCGGTACGGTCTGCCTGTGATCCAGAAGAGTCGTTGATTCACAATGTCAGAAGTCGTCATTGTGTCATTTTCATTTTGCAGATAGGACACACGGGTCGTTACGCCGGGCGATGAAAGGCAAAGTGAAGTCCAGGAGAAGCAGATAGGATACGGCGTGCGCGAGCCGGACGCGTCGAATGCAGCAGCAGTGACGGAAAAGTAGATCCGGTGGAAGAAAGGAGTCGAAGAGTTACGACATGCATACGCGCATTTCGGAACAGTTGGGAGGTTGTGTGCGCCGAGGGCGAGGGCCGAGGGGAGAGAGAGAGAAGACGAGAGGGAGCCGATCAGCAATGCTTCATGGAAAGGATTCATGGGCTACTACTACTCACATCGTACCCTGAGCATAGACAAATCGACGTCGCATTTCGTTAGCGTCCGTGGCTTGTGCGAGTATAGAACGAGTGGAGAAGGTGCGTACATCTTACTGGGTTCCCGTCGATCCCTGGTATGGGTTCAACCTCAGGAGGGGCGACGAGGGCCGTGTCTGATTCTTCGCCGGGTGAGGTTGGTGACGCGTAACCCGGCCGTTCTATAATTGACTCGGCCATCTCCCGCTTCGCTTTTGTACCGGTTGGCGACTATCTTCAAGTCTGGGGTGATGCGGAGGGGGGTAAGAAAGCAGCTGAATGCACTGTGAGGGGTCCTGGTTGTCGTCCTCCGTTGACGGCGAAAAACGAGGACGTCATCGAGAGCTAGCACGTGAACGGGATTTCCATTTCGGGAAGAGCACGTGCAGATGCACACGGCTCAGCTACAGCTTTGACCAGAGAAGCTCAGACAACAAAGCAAAGGATGAAAGCGACAGATCGAGGCAGCCGCGAATTTCAGGGTGTGTATGTCACGAATTCTTCCGAGGAAGGAGAAACGTGGGCTGAGGTCCGTCCATCGGGAGTGGGTGCAGTAAGCGCCATCATGGTATTTTCTGGACCCTCATGAGAATGTCAGAAGGAGCTGGAGAATTCGCCGAGATTAATCCTTGCCAACTTTTGGGCCAGGGAAAATCGCGCGCGGTCTCGATTTCGCCATGATATTCCGTCGAAAAGATGTGCTACCAAGGTTTCCCCGAAGATGTTGTCAACCGACCCTGATGCTTTGCGCAGATCCCTCCAACGTGAAAGGACGGCCTACGGGCAAGTGCAGCACCACAAGCTGAGCATAGCGTCGAGCGCTTCTCCAACTTCGAACATCTGTATCGGGACGTCGACCAAACATCCATGTGATGATCAGACAAACAGAGCTAGTTTTCCCTCCCCCGGGTCACTCATTTGCAAGCCCGAGACACACATAATCCCATCTCTGAGACTTGCACACACTCTTCTCTTTCTTGACTGTCCGAGGCCCCCGTACATTCAAACTCCCGGTAACAGTTTGCCGACGCCCAAAGCCAAGACCGTCGGGTCGCATCTTAGTCACTCGACCTCAATTCGGACGGACGCAGCCCTTCTGTGGAATGATGCTCGCCTTCTCTGGGAGTTTTGGCTCTGGCTTTGGGAGATGAAGCCCCTGAGAGCGCCGATCTCGTGTACGATCCCGTTCGAATAAGCTCTCATGTAGTGGCATCTGTTGAGGAGACGCGAGCAAAGCAACCAACGATACGATACGTTAAGGCGAACATTCCATCTCTCCAAGGAGAAGTTGTCGCGGGATTGGCGTTTGGCTATTCTGGTTCCCCATCCATGTGCGTGTGGTCTCATGCCATGACCTACTTACTGAACTCCTTGGGATTCCACGCTAACCCTTTTGCTAGACGCAACAGCGCGCCTAGTTTAGCCCTGAAGCCTAACACCAACGAGAAGGCTCGAAGCTTACCAGGAAACATCCAGGAGTGGACCGTCTGCTGGGCTGGGATTCTCGCTGCACCAAAACCGGATGCCCCGCGCCGGCAGGCCAGGCGCCGCGCGTAATGGAATGTGCGCGCCGGTTACTGGAATGGGCACTGGAACCTGCCCAGACCGTGTAGGCCGAGGGACGCGTTGGAGCAAGGGATTTCATTGACGAGTGCGTTCTTCTCCCTAATGTTCCCCCAATCTCTTCCTCATGCACCCTCTGGACTTCTCAGCCGGCATCTCCTAGGGCGGTCATGCTGCTTATCTCGCGGGCGCCAAGGCCCGTGGCCGTAGCCCATTTAGCGTGTCTGTTCTCGGGATGACGAAATAGTGTGCTAGGATGCGTGAGATGAAATGAAGATGAATGACTGAAATGCCCTATGTAAGCTAAGGTTAGACACGAGAGAGATCATCATTTCTGTTGCTTAGACTGCGCCCAGACCGTGTCGCAGGAATTCTCCGAGAATTGCATTGAACGTGTTACTAGAGGTACATCGAGTGTAACCGCGTCGAGTTCATTATCTCATTAGATGCGGCTGCTGAGTTGGGAATGAACAGTCGGACTCATCCACTCACATCCAGGTCCATGATGTGCAGTGATTCGAATCACGTCGTATGTAAGCCGGTCGAGAATGGGAATCTGGTCCCGAAAGAAGGTCTCGCCCGACAGTATGGAAAGTTCGCTGTTCTGTCTGTTCGGCGAGATGGACGGGAGCTTCCCACCGAGACGGCGTCACTTCTAGTTCCGGGTGAAGCGGATGCTTGGAGGACGCTCTGCTGCGCCCTAGGAGACTTTACGTCTGCGGATTATCCTCCCGTGCCGCTCGTTGTTTGGCTCGTGCCGCCGTGTTTGCGTGCGTGCTTGGCCGTGTGGATCTGGGGTGTGCCGGCATCGGTGTCGTTCATATACGTCTCTTCTTCGCGTGCTGGTCCCTTTCTGGATCGTAGGAGGGAAGCAAAGGATGTTTGCCACCATCAGCAGAGCAATCCAGGCATCCATAATGCCGATTCGGGAGGACCTGGCTCAGCCACGGAGACCCGCAATGTGCTGGCAATCTACCTTCTCCGTGCATGATACCCATCCCACTTTGCGTTAGCACTGTCTGCAAAAGCGAGCGTCGAGGTCCGCCACAGGATCCACGCGTCACGCGGCTGTGACCGAGTCCTTACTTGACGCAAGACTGTCAGCGCCGTGGGAAGTGAACAAATGATGCATTCAATCGGGTGGAATCGAATCTTGGATCGCCTCCTGCCTGGTGCCCGAAGGAGAAGCAGCTCTCGAAACGAATCCAACTGGACGCATTCCAATTAGAATCGAGATCGGGGAATGCCATCCATTGTGTATGACTGCCATTGGTTGTCCTTTGCATCCCATCTGCAAGCGGAGCGACTTTTATGTACTTAAGGCCCCGGGCCTCTTCCAGTAGCGCGAATCCTTCCCTGCTCCCTCCTCCAGCACCGCACCACCCGCCCTACGAAATCGATGGATCTCGAGTTCACCCTTGACACAGACCACCGGTGCGCCGCTCCTCCACTCTCTCGTTCCCGCAGTCGCTCACAGGCCAGCGCGTCCATCCAGCAAACGCAGGAGGAACCGGACCACCCAGAGCTGCCTCAACTGCCACACCTCCAAACGCAAGGTCGGTCTCGCGCGCCATCCCTCGGCGTCACACCGTGCTGACGCGCCCTCCGCAGTGCGACAGGAAGCGCCCGTGTCAGCGGTGCATCCAGCTCGGCCTCGTGGGTATTCTCTGCTTGCTTCCCGGATGACATTGACACCCGCAATGCTATGACAGACCGGGCTGTGCGTGTACGAAATCGACGATCCCGCTCTCAGGCGAGTAGATTCTCGGAAAGAAATGGGATGGTACCTTAACAGGCTGCGCAGGGACGACCCCACCCTGGATGAAAACACGCGTCTGCGCAATCGAATCGCGGAGCTCGAGAGTCTGGTGCGAGAACTACGAGGTGCGCGTCATCCTGTGCTCCGCTCACCAGGCACATGTGTCCTCATCTGGCATCTCCATGTAGGCAAGCCACATCCTCGTTGGGCAGACAGCAACTTCCGTGACGGCGACCCCAACGAAAAGTGGCACTCGCGCGCGACCAAGTGCACGCCCATCCCCAAGCGCCGCCAGTCGCCTGATCTGGCGCATCCGTCCTCGACATCCGATACCACCGCGCGCGGCGCACCGGGGCTGCTGCCGCCCATCAAGACCGAGATGAACAACGACCCGGCGTCGAATCTGTATCGCTTCACTGCGTCGCCCGCGCCGCGGTACTACGATTACGCCGATGAGACGTATAGTGGCGGCGGGGAGGCGTACTCGCCCTCCGCGGGACGACGGGGAAGCGTTGCCGGCGGGTACTGCAACTGCCGAACGAGCCAAGGGATGGCACATGCATATCTGGGCCTATCACAGCAGCTGCAGAGCACGCTCGCAGCCGCGCGGACGTACTCTGCGCATCCACCGGGGACGCCCTGCATTCTGTACCGGCGGATTTCGGACCTGACGAGCTTGTTGCAGTACGTCCTTTTGCCTTAGTCTACTGTCCTTCCTCGCTTCCATTACTCTGCTCTGCCTGAAACGACGATTTGCTTACCATTGGGGTGCAGGGGCTCCGATCCATCCGATTCCGCCGGAGTGGGGTACGACTCTGGGACGCCCACGGACGGGGGCAGCGACGTGCTGTCGCCGTTGTCGGTCTCGGCGCCGACGTCGGCGTCGTCGTTCCACGGCAGCAACGGGTCTCCGCCGTTCCACACGTCGGCGACGAACAACTCCGGAGGCGGAGGGGGATCCCCGAACAGCGCGTTCCACGGCAGCGGAGGCAGCGGATCTCCTGCAGCGTTTCACTCGCCCCATCTGCACCATTCTGTGGGGCCGGCTGGGCCCGCGTCGCCTGCGACCGAATGGAGCACGCCGTACCCGTCGTACTTCACGCCCGACGTCGGCAGCGGGATGCATCTCCCCCTGCCGCCGATGTACAACCATGTCATGACCTAAGTGCAATGCCTGTCCGGTGTGGATGATTGCTCGAATGGAACCTGTGACGAACCATCCATCTATTACGACCTGCTCTTCGCTTGGAACTGGAGTCCCCATCTTTTCTTAGCTGTACTCTCACACTGTTTTTAGGATATGTACACTAGTAGATATCTATGCTCTGCACGGACCACAGCTGCTACTCATCATCATCCCCTCCTTTAATAATCATATTCACCGGATGAAACCACTCCAAGCCAAGCGCAGGATATCATATCACGTGATCCTCATATGCACTCGCTGGTAGTCGCCAAGCGATTAGGGACCCTGGGCCGCGAAACACACCAAGCCCGACACAAGCCCGGATCATGGCCACCCGTTGCCCGCCGGCGTCGGTCAACGTCGAGCACATGCGGTGGCGTCCTCAGGCGCCCACGCCGTCAAAATTAAATAGCGGCATCACTATCCCCGGCAGTCTCTAAGCGACTCGCAGTTCCATTCCTTCCCCACATATTGTTCCGTTAATTAAGAATTCCGGGCGGACGGGGCCGGGCCGCGCGGGCCACCGCGCAGCCCCCTCCCGAATTCTGCCTTAAGTCGATTTATTCGCGAAGTGAATTTTGCTACTTTTAGGGCTGAGTCACACGCGGTGCACTGCACGGGGGGTCGGGAGCAGTGTGTGGTTCGGGGGGGGTGCATGTGGAGGGGCGGGGAACTCGCGCCTGTCAGCCGTGCCATGCCGCGCCGTCGAGTGCACGGTGGGTGGTTCTGATGGCGAAGGCGTCGCGTGCTTCCGCGCGCATGGAGCCTCCGCGCGCACCCTCGCGGTGTCGGCAACCATTGGTGCAACGGAGCCATGCAGCCCCGTCCGTCCGTTCCTTTCGCTTCCCAGGCGCGTGTCTATTGCATTACATTACATTGATGATAGAGATGGAGAGAGTGAGAAGGACTGCGACTAGGAATAGCAATATCCCTCGATATCAGCTATTCACAGCCACTAAATTTAACCGTGGCCGGGACGGGGAAGCGCCGTGCCAACGTCCACCCGGAACGCCCGCTGCGAGCCCGGCGGGGCCCGCACAGGCCGCGCCGCCGCGCCCTCGCCCGCGATCCGCCACACATCGCGCTCGACGAACAGCGCGGACCCGTCGCGGCGCACGAGCACGACGGTCGCCGTGCGCGTCCCGTAGAAGACCGGCAGCGGCGGAGCAGGAGCAGGGCCCAGACCGCCGTGTGCTTCGTGCTTCCCACCGACAGGTGCATACGCCTTCTCGCCTGCGCTGACGTCGACAGGGTGCACGCAGATCGTGCGCCGCAGCTCCTGCCGCGCGCGGATCGGCGCGGGCGCGGTCGTGCAGAGGAGGGAGAACAGCTGTTCGGCGAGGGCGGTGTCGGGGTCGGACCCGTCGGACGGCGGCGGTGTCGGGGCCGCGGCGATGCGGGCGAGCAGCTCTTTGCCGGCGAGGACCTTTGGCCAGCTGGCGCCATCATCATCATTATCGTTATCGGCGGTTGCGACGTGGATCCCATTCGACATCCCGCCAATGGCACGCTCGTCGGTCCGCAGTGCACGGCAGCGCACAGGCCCGCCGGCACCGGAATTGCTGACGATCCACGCGCCGTCGAACGCCAACGCCGAACCCGACCCCGACCCCGACCCCAGCCCATCCTCTGAAGCAGGCCCCCACGAGCCCTCGAGCAGCAGGAGGTTGAACCCCGCGAACTGGCCGCCGGGCGGGAACAGCGCGTCGGGAGCCGTGCCCGGGTGCGCGGCGAGGAACGCCGGCGCCAGCGCCCCGCGCGAGGACGCGCGCTTCTGCAGCGGCTCGGTGATGTTGGTGAGAAGCGCGAGGCGCGCGGTGCCTGCGTTGAGCCCGAGCCAGGTCCCGCCCGCCTGCACGTCGATGCCCGATAGGATCTCCGGGGCCGCAGCGTCTGCAGCCGCGCCGAATGCGCGGTGGAAGGTGGCGTCGAGGGCCGGCCGCGCCAGGTACTCGTCGCGGTTGGCACAGAGGATTCTGCAGCACGGTTCGTCAGTCACCCTATAGAAGGCAGAGTAATGTGCGAATGTGAATGGAGAGGAGGTAATTTGCAAAAGCGCCCGTCTTCTGGTGGAATGCACCCCCGTTTCCGTTTCCGTCCCCGTCCACGCTAGTCACTAGTAGCATACACGGAAGCAGCCCAACCGGCAAGTTCCGCCAACCCCAATGAATCAACGGACAGACAGACAGACAGTAGCCGTGCGCACAGGATATCTGTGCTACAGCCCCAGACGAGCTGGGAAACGCGATGAAAGACGAACGTGGAAAGAGGAAAGGAAGCATCAGAACGAGGCAGATGAGCGATGATGATGATGATGCTGGCCCGCCGACACCCAAGCTGAGCTAAGCTTATTCGTCTGGCGGCGGAGGAAATGAAGGTGTCAAAAACTCCCTGCCTCAGTCCAGTGCTCTGTCCCGATCAAATAGAGGATCGGGGGCACGAAACGGGCGCAGTTCCGGTGCCGGTTGAGAGAAAGAAATAAAATAAAATAATCAATCAGGACCCACAGTGCGTACTCTGGGTGCTCCAAAGTCCAGAACGCGACACACATCCTTCCTGTGCGTCGTTTGAAAGGTCCGGATGCGGTAATCTCGATGCTCCCGAAATTCCCGTGGCGTCGTCGTAATACGAGATCAGACGCCGGAGAGAGCGATAAGAAGAAGAAGAAGAAGAGGAAAAACCGCGCGTCCGGTCACACAGCGCCGTACTAGACTGCTGCAGCAGCAAGCGTAGTCAGAGGCCGGGTACGTGAGCTCTGGGCCGAGGGTTGCTCTACTGCTCCCGTGGTCGATCTGCAGGGCCAAGCGAGTCCCGAGTCACTTGCAAACCGGGGATATGCAGAAGCCAGACAGCTAATCACAACGAGTTGTATTTTGATGGACGGCTGAGCGCTTGAGGGAGCGAGGGGCTGGGAGACGGATCGCCAAAAATAGCAATCGCAACTAGTAAGGCCCCGGACGACCATCGTCAACCAAGGACCGAGCCGTCAAACGATCTGCACGCACGAACAGTGGTGCCGCAGGAAGCAGTGTCTTGTAATGTATATCGCCAGCACGATTCAGATTCAGAGACCAAGCGAGGATTCTGGAGGAGGCCCAGATCCACAATGGGGCAGAGGGGGGCCGCCGAGATGACAGTTCGTGGAAGAAGAAACTCAATGCCTCGCTGCCGCGATCGGCTGACGGAGTGTGAAAAACCGCGATCGGAATCGGAATCTGAATTCAAAAACCACCATCGGCGGCTGATCGATGTCAGGTCACGTGTATCGAAGACACCCTGGTTTGTGATTCGCCGGACGCGCGCCCGTGGAAGGGTGGGAGAGGTATGTACGCGCCGAGTTGTCTATCTCCTGGATACCGCTGGTGGGAGACCCGGCCGTCTGGCGTTCCCATCAGTGATGTGCGTGTGTGTATCTCTGTGTGTGCGTGAGTCGTAGGGCTTTGCCGAGACGGCTTGCCTCCAGGCCGTCCGGCATTCCAGTGTGCCAGTGGACTCTATCAATGAGACTGCGCTGCTGAACCATCAAGTACCCCTCATGTTGAACACAAAAAACCCTAATCAGGCAGTTGCACCGCCACTGTTCAAGATGTGAGTACGGTGACAAGAAAGCGGATCAGGCCCCTGAGCTGCGCCAAAAATCTAGTTTACTGTAAACCGCGACTAACTAATAATAATCCGAATCACGTCGCAACAGGTTGCGCACGAGATTGCAGGTGCTGTCGTTATCAGGTGCTAACAGCGATCAGGCGACACGCCGAGCGCGCACGTTGTTGTTGCACTGACGTCCCAGTGTGGAGCATCTCTCTTTTTCCTTTTGTCGTTTTGAATACGGCAGACGCCGATCCCTCGCTTCGTGCTGGCAGCCGGCCGCCCGTCAAGTCCGCCGGGGAGCGACTGCCCCCGAGGTCGACCCTTGGGATCGCCACCGCTGGGCGTTTTGGAACGCCGGGAGAAGTGGGATTCGCTGCGCGCGGCCTAAAAGCCAATGTGGCATTGGCTTTGATATGTATATGTATGCATGTATCCACTTGGCAAATCCATCTCCCTGTGAACTCAATTCAATCATGGCTCAACCTTTTTTGCAGGCAAGCAGGCTGCCTGATCGATGAGAGAAATTCCAAGTCGGGCCGTGCCAAAGGAGTAAAAGAAGGGAGGAGGACCCAGCGGACATCTAATGAACACCGGCGTCTGGCGAGTCGCTTCGCCTGCTGCAGGGAGATCTTCTGCGCACGCCCTGCGGGCTTCCCAGCTTGAATCCCGGGGGCGCCCTGACTAGAATCAACTGGCTGCGATGCAGAGTAAGCACGTATCCAGTCCAGTCATCCGCGATCGCACAGTCGCCCGGGGGTCCCCGCGAGATGCATCCGCGCGCGGGATCTGGATCCAGCGGGCACGGCGTGCGCCGTGTGCCCAGCCCAGCCCAACCCAGTGCAGCGAGGAATAGCCTCGCCCCTAGTTCCGGATCCTGCGTCGTGCTTGGGGGCACCGCGCGCAGGCAGGCAGTCTGCCCCGCCCACGGCAGATCGGGGAGCTCCGAGGAGGTGCATGCGCAGTCCTAATCGAGCACGGAGGGTCTTGGCACTGCTGTGGGTCCGCGGAGCGGCACAGTCCAGGGCGCGAGATGCCTGCCTGATTCGCGGAGCGTGGTTCCGAGCCGTTGACGAGGAGGGAGGGGCGGCGTGGCTTGCCCGCTCAGCGCATGGGACTCGACACCGCTTCTTCGCTGCGATGCTAGTGCTGGGTGCTCAGCCATCACACGTGAGGGCGGTGGTTGCCGGTGCTCGCTCGCGTGTTGCGTGTAGTTGGACTTTGGGTCCGGATGACCCAGCAGACAGCAGACAGCGCTAGCCGGAAGCCACCCGGGCCCTTTCTCGTAATAAGCACCCCAGCATCGCTGCGCGCTGACTCACCTCAACTGTCTCAGCGAGCCCCCGATCGAGACCCAGCCGCGTCGTGCAGGTGCACTGACGCCCTGACGTGTCGCGCGACGGGTGCGTCAGCCACAGAACAATTCCATGCGCACCGGGAGCTTAACGCGGGCTCCTTCTCTTACGTGTGCGCTCCGCAGGGCGCACCCGGCGGAAGCCAGGCCCAGGCACGCCCCCGCCGCCGCGTTTATCGCAGCGCTGGTCCAACCGCCGAGGCGAGTGGCCGGCCCGGATGCAGCGTCGTCCGTGTCCGCGCGCTGGCGAGTCATTAATAAAGCCATTACGCAGCGGATGGGAGGTGCTTCCCGCCCTGTGATCTCCTGGCCCCTCGCTCCTTGCGCGCGCGCGCGTAAAGTCTTCGAAGGCGTTACCACATGCAGCGCTACGTAACATCGCGCGACAGGACAGCCAGACACTCTGGATGGATGGATGATGATCCACCCTCCACTGCCATTTCCTGTCAAACCAAACGCTATCTGACTGACTGACTGACTGCCCCCCCCCGCGCACGAACCTGATTTGGATGCGGTGCGCCCCGCGCGCGCCGGGACGCTGTCTCGTCTGTCTGATTCTCTCAGTTTGAGGCTAATGGTCAGCGAACATCACCCACTCACTGGACGGTGACGCAACGCTGAAGCTACTGCTGCTGTCAAATCAAATGGAACCCAGCCAGCCACCCAGCTGGTGTCAGATAGCCTTCCTTCCTGCCATTCACGACACGACACACGGGCGGCGACGGTGCCATGCCGTGCCCTCGGCGCGGAAGATCGGCATGCAATGCCATCCCGTGCTGCGCGCAGTCCGATCAGAGCAGTGGCGGCACGCACCCATAATCATGTCTGAACTCATAGAAATAGGGGTCGCCTGCCCGAGGTGATTATCAGATACCGCACTGTCTTCCGCGCCCGTTAACTGATAAGATGGGATGGATCCGGACGGACGAGCTCGATCGCGTGGATCTCCCCACGCCGTCCGCCAATCGCGCGCTCTGTTTCTGTTTCTGTTTCTGTTTCTGTGAGACGAGATGGGATGGGATGTCCGATGCATGCGCATACGCATGCATGGCCCGGACCATGTGCGCGCGTCCCGCGTCCCGACAAGCCAAGTCTGCACCCCCGGTCGCATGCCCCGCGACCCTTGTGGTCCCCCTACACAGGCGGAAGAGAAGCGCACGCGGCGATCTCGGCGAGGGCCCGGTGGAGCACAATAACCTAATAGACCATCCCATCCCCCATCATATCAGATACCAGGCACCCCCGGGGTTATCAGATAACCTCCGGGTGTGGGGTTCGTTCGTACAGCCGACTCTGAGCGCCGACGGCAGCCTGCAGCTGCAGCACATGAAGGAGAAGGAGAAGACGGGCCCCCGGGGAACGAATCGATCGCATGCTCATCTCAATCCGCCTTCGAGTACCCGGGAGTGCGACTGCCGTGGTGTATACGTGGGACTCATGCTGCTCCCTGTACAATCCTCACATTCAGTCCAGTCACGTGCATGTCCTCTTCGCTTCGGGGAGCAGCAGCAGGTTCCCAGGCTTGAGCAGACTCGTGCTTTCAGATAGATACAGTTTACGAGAACTTCTCAGAATGAATGTTGCCAGTCCGGACTGTTTCTCGCCCGACGCAATGCCATCTGATACTGTGAATGTGAATACGCAGGATCCGTCCGCGCGTGGGCCGTGGCATGTGTAAAGCGGAAGCCTCGAGCCGAGACTCTCGATGCACCACCACCACGACCATCTGACAGCGCGAACCGTCGCAGGACTCATGATTCCGTTTCCATTTCCTATCCTATTGCACCATTCCTGCCATGTATTGTAAGGGTCAGATATATCGAGCCCGCGCGCACCCATTCGTCGTTATAAACAGCATTGAAGCGAGGTAAAAAAAAAAGGGTGGGTCATCTACGATAGCGCCATGAAAAGTGTATGGGGTCGATGGATGGATGGAAGAGCGATCGATACGTATCGTATCGATCAAATGACCCCCCTCCCCGTTTCACGCCTGGGGGATCTCTGCTATACGCATGACTTCCATCAAGAGTGTCTGCTGCTCGAGTGACAATGCCGTCGTTGCCGCCTGGTACGCCGCACCGTTGTGCATCTGGAAGCCTGCATCGAGAAGCACGCGGTCACAGTGAGCTCGCCGCGATCGGGAAAACGCGAAAGCGCAATGGTCACACACCCGTCAGAGCTTCCTTGAATCTCACATATGGATTCACGTTGTCCAGGGCGCTGAAGTACCCCAGCTCCTCCTGGATCATGTCGTCGTCGTCATCGTCGTCGTCGTCGTCCTCGCCGGCCTCGACCTTCGCCGTCTTCTCGCGCAGCCGCGCGCCCTCGTTGGCAAGCAGCTCCAGGTACGCCGAGTCCTCGTCCCAGACATCTTCTGTGTGGATGTCAGGGCCCATCGATGGCAGCAAGAACAGACATCACGCACCGTCGTCCTCGTTCATGTTCAAGATCTTCTCCTCGCCGTACTCATCCTCGTCCTCGTCGTCCGCCTCCTCCAGCTCCTTCCTCGCCTGCACGGCCTTGGGCAGGTCCTTGAAGATCTGCAGAATGGCGCCGACGATGCCGGGCCACCCGTCCTTGACGCTGTCCGGCACGCCAGCGGGATCCATCTCGAGCAGCGCACACAGCGCCACGATCGTCAGCTTCTTGTCGTGCACGCGCGGCAGCTTCGAAGCCTGCTCCTTGATCGCAGCGAACCAGTGATCGAAGAACACGCGCGCAGCACCGGGTTGGATCGACTCCATCAGGTGCAGCGCGGCGACTGGGTTGTACAGCACCGCGTTGATGAGCACTTCCAGATTCGCAAGGCGCAGGGAGGCCGTCTCGCTCTTGTCCAGCTGGTTAAGCGCAGCAGTGATGATCGATTGCAATGCCTTGACAAGCAGTCAGATGCGTTGCTGCAGAAAGTTGGGAGACGACAACGCACACTGTCGACGCTGCCCCGGAGGTTCAAGAGAATCGACTCGGCGAGCTTGCACCCATTCACCCGGTCGTTCTCGCCCAGCTGATCGTTCGTCATCGCAGTCGTGTAGATGTCCAAGAGCATCTGTTGGTATTCAGGACGGGCCTTGATGACGTCGCTGCCGTAGGAGACAAAGTTGTCCAACGAGGGCAACATCTCTGTACGCTCCCGAGTCAAATGCGATGTCAGATACCTCAACAACCATACGCACCCTCAAGGAAATCGACGGCGTCAGCCTTGAACAACTTGTACGTCAGCTCAAACACCTGCCACAAGTTCGGCGAGATGCTGCGGAGCTTGAACGTCAAGCTGTCCACCAGGTCGTACATGTTGTCAAACAGATCTCCACAAAAAAATGAGCGGATCGGTATCCCTCTAGTGGTATGAACACTCACCAAGAATCTTGTTCTCCAGAGTGTACACGATGATCGGGATGATGACCTCCTGCACCTGCGCGAGAATCTCCGCCGACGAATCGACACTGGACACAACTGTTCCGATGGTCTTCGAGATGCCCATCGCAGCATAGGTCTTGTCGTCGTCGGCGCTGGCAAGCAGGGAATCAACGTCGGTGCTGTCGCCGACGGGGACCGCTGTTTCGAGGCTTTCCTTGATCAGTCGGGTGTAAGAATCGCACTAGACGCGGTGAGGTGCGGAAGAACGACACATAGAAGAATGCCACCACACACCAGGCGGGCAGTCAGCTGGGCCGCAACGGGCAACAGCTCAGCCTGGAACGCCTCGACCATGACCTCCATGCTGTGGTTCAAGATGTCCAGGTCCGTCTCGTCTGACAGCTTGAGCAGGTCTTGGACAACCTTGCCGACCTGGGGTGCAACAGCAGTCCGGACTGATCTCGTCAGAAACGAAGCAATCGACAAACGAGCGGCGGCACCCACCAGACTCGTACAGCACGATCATCTCCGTCAGCGCCAAAGCACCCTGCACACGCACGGGCAGCTCGACATCGTCCAGCGCAGCCGCTACAGCACGCGATTGCACGTTCAAGTTCTGTGTGTGTGTGCGCCTTAACAGCGGTATCACAAAGACCGTATCGGAGAACGCACCTCATCAGAAGTCCACTTCAAGCCTTCCTTGACGAAGGTCCCCGTCACCTCACACGCGATGGCCCGCATGTACGGTTCTGGGCTGGAGAACTCTGCCGTGACAAACTGCAGGATGAAGCCCTCCATGTTCGTGCTGACCTCCGGGTGCCGCATGATCCAGGGCCCCAATGCGGCGGTCATGTTGAGCGCACCGAACCGCTGCGGTGCCGGCGCCGACGAGCGCAGAATCGAGTTCACGAAGCCGAGGATCGGCATAAACGCGGACTTGGTCCGGTTCGAGGCGAGCGAGAAGATGAACGAGGTCGCGGCTGAGACTGGTGTCTGGAAACTTTCATATTCGTCTGAAACGCGTCGGTGAGAGGGAGGATGTGCTCAGGAGGGTTGAGACGTACCGACTGCGACGCGAACATAATCAACCGGGTCCGAGTCCCACATTTCTCGGCGATCATCGTTGAACGACAGTTGCGGGAACACGAACGTTTCCACGAGCTTTTGGGCGTGGGGCTTCAAGAGGGTCCAAGTGGACTTCGGTTTGATGCTGTCGCAGCAATCAGATCCAGTTCACAAGTCGTAGAAACATACGCACCATTCGGTCAGATACGTGAAGATGTGGTACTGGCACTTTTTGGACAGCCATGCTTGGCCGCTAACGTAAAGATCAACCTGATGCAGGTAGATCCCAAGGATCTCGGGGGCAAACACAGTGACAAAGTGCTGCGCAAATGCACCGTACTCGGCTTGCATCGCAGAGGGAAGCTGTGACGGATTACCGAAGCTGTGAAGTGCGCTCAGTTCCTGTGAAGAGAACAGGGTCTGCAGTGCGCACCGATGGAAAAGACGGCCCAAGATGGCATACGCCCATTTCTTCGCCTTCCACCACTCACTCTTCTCCCGTTCCTCAACATCTTCCGGCACAGCCTCCTTGGGGATCTGCAGATTGACTACCGCAAACAGCAGTTGCCCCCAGGGCACGAGACTCTCGGCCGCCTGTTGGTGGGCAGTCAAATGCACCACCAATGAGGTCTTGTACGTTTTCAGTATCAAGTGCATCATCGTCGGGATCTCCTGCGCAGCACTCGGTGGGGTCTGCAGCATCTGGTTTGCGATGGAGACTAGGGTAGGGAAGAGGCCTTCCACAAGCATGGGCAGGACGTCGTTCTTCTGACGGAATCTGTTGCCAGAATCGATGTACCCATAAGAAAGCTAGTGGTATCGAGACGCGCGAGGAAACGCACCGGAAAGCCCTAACGGCCTCCAACGAAGCCACACATCCAGCATGTACCTGCCTCACGTCCCCGCTTCCCAGCAGCGCCTTGATCGTGTCCACCAGCCCTGGCCATCGCGCAGGGAAGTCGTGTGCGATCACGCCCTTGAGCGTGCTTGCCAGCTGGAGCGCGATACTTCGCGACGGGGCGGCAGCGAGGAGGGGGAGGAGGTGGCTGCGGAGGGCATCGCGATCGGACGCGGCGATGGTCGGTGCGTCCGGTCGCCGAGGGTTGGCGCCGGATTCGGGCAGGGCGTAAGCGCTTTGCACGCGGTTTTTCATCCATACTGCACACGCTTGGCGGGTCGATCTGGGGATGTGATGAGTGAGCGTAGGGTGCGAGTGGCACAGGGAAGGAGGCCAGGCGCGTCGAGATCTCACGTACATGTCGATATTGTCCGTTGCGATGATTTGCAGGAGGGCTGAAACCATCCCCGTTTCATTGCCGACCTGAAATGAAGAGGTGGCATGAGCATATCGTAGTAAGTCAAGGAAGATGGGGGAGATGAGGCTGGGAATGGACGCCAACGACACGAATAGATGACTAGATGGAGCGCGTATATGCATACCTTGCGGATATCAAGCTCAGCAGCGCGGCGCTCATTAGGATTGCTGCTCAGCGTCGCGGTGTAGAGATTCGAAAGCGTTTGAAGATCCATCGCTCTATAGCGAAGATTCACGATCAGGAACAAGCGGGGTCAAAAGAACAGGATGGCGCAACGCTACGTACCTGTTGCAGAGAGCAGATAGAGTTATTAATGTAGTGTGGTGGGAGGAGGAGAGGAAGAAATCGGTCCCAAATCACTTCACTTTTTCACTTTTTGCCGAGATACACGTGCCGCGCGACGCGTTGGCCCGTCTTTTTGTCAAACCAGCCTCATTCACCGCGACCAACACAACAAAGGACTGCCGAATGTTTCTTGGATACGACTACGACAATAAGCTTTTGGGTCATTTCCGTCCGCCGTGCCTAGCGCACAGGAACGCGTGCAAAGCGGCTTTCTCCGATATCGTCCTCTACATACGCGGGCCGACATTCGTATCGATCGTGCTCAACGTGAATTGGCTTCTGAGGACTGGGAACACCAACCACCAACGGGATCCGTCTGTCTGGGTTGGACGGCGAACTTGAGAGATGATAGGGTCCAGACTCTTGCCCCACCCAACGCGAGATTAAACGCCGGTTGGCGCTGCTAGGGAGGTCATGCCGGTCCGAATTCGCTCAAATCTCTGCGCTTAGCTTGACGATTCGCGGGAGGATGGTGGGCAGGAGGGTTCGATCGGGGGAGAGGTCCGAGACGACTGAGAGCAAAGCGATAGATTGTCGTGTTAGGCACGACCTTTTCATTCCGCAAGCGGCAAGGCGATGGAGAGGGACAAGATACTGTTCTTATACTTCAGGAGTGCAACCCTTTCTTGCCGTATGCAGTCAAGAGTTGTGGAAGCATGGCGGTCCTACATCCTTGCGATGCTGCATCGTTGGTATCAGCACGAATCGAGTTAGCTCGCCCCGCAACCAATTGCTTCGCAAGCTGTGGCACAACTCGGTAAACGGGAGCTTCTGGCTTCAGGCACTTCGACAGTGCCTACTCTTGCAAACGCGTGTGTGAGATCCGACTCTCATCGATGGAGCTATGAGGTTCGAAAGAAAAGGCGGCTCGCTTCTCCAATACGCGCCAATCGATCCGCCGTGAGCAGTTTCGACCGTCTTCTCTGATTCTGGGGACTCAGGAAGAGTAAGGAAGCTCGCTCCGAAACGGTCTAAGGTCTCTGCGCAGTCGTCGGTCCCGCGATGGTACATCTCTGCAGTTCTGAAAGTATTTTGGTCACACCCGAGACGGAGCCGAAGGGCTCAGCACATGCGCACGCAACTCGGCATCTCAGCCTTCCCATTCGCCGATTGCTGGACGTGTGAGGAGGGAGAAGGCCCGAAGCTTGTGCCACGGTCAGTGCGATCGTGTCAGTGACGCAAGCGGCCCGGGCGGCTTCCGGTGGGAAGTTACGTCAGTGTCAGCCGCTCTCACGTACACGTGATTTGTCGTGCAACTCGAGGTCAGAGGTACGCTCGACGTTCGACCGCATTTTTCGAAGCAAAAAGATAGTTTTCCTCAGTTTTCCTTTCAGATATTCCATCTGTAAGATAAAAAATTGAGCGGCTCTCAGATTCGAACACATAGCTTTCCTGGACCCATTAAGCTCACGCGGAGTGAAGCCTCGTTCTCACCAACTTGAGGGGCATTCTCTCCATCGCGCCAGTTGATCTGGCCTCGAATTTCTATATATGAATACGCAACCAAGTAGGGCTGCTCAATTCTAAGGTCGTTCATCCGTTCATCCGTTCATATTGTTCATCAGCTTATATAAACACTAATTGATCCCCATTTTGAGTGATGATCAAAAGGCCAGCAAAAGTCGAATATCGAGAACAGACTCGGTCCACTGTGATTATGAGCTGACTGAAAGCACATCGAAAATCCAAGTCGACAGATACCCAAAGATTCACTGTTCCCGCAGCCTCACGCTTCTTCAGACGTGTATGACTGCTCAAGCTCAAAGCTGCCAAGGAGGAAAATCAGTGACCATCAGGAATTCTATAAGCTGATGAACAGATGAACGGATGAACGGATGAACGACCTAAGAATTGAGCACTCATTCTTAGTGTTTGACTGTTGGCATCATTTGTCGAGTTTGCCCACCAATCAATGAGCGGCAATCATAAAACATGATTTCCCGGTCGTCTCACAGGGAAAATAATTGGATTGAAGCCTCAATCGGTCTTGGAGGTCAAATTTTCAGTCGTGTTCGTGGTTGTCCTGAGGGGCTTCAGAGGAACATCACAGGTGGCATGAGACATACAATTCCCAGATTTTTAGTGGACTGATCAAGAAGAGCCATCGAAAAAATAATATCACCAGACCTTACATCTGAACTATGGCGAGAAATCCAGTTGAAAATAGATGTACTCATCCACGTGGATCCCATTCCGGAGTCCGGCATTGTCTAAAAAGATTCTACGAGTCCCAATGTGGCGATTGTTTCACAATTCGCGCTATTTGGGACAAGTCAGCACGAATCGAAGGATCGGGGCACCACGCGAGACAGCTTGTCTAATGTGAGGGCAGGAATTTTGGTAGGGTGGATCAAATCTTCAGATTTCAGGATCCGGGCACTGATAGCGGTCTCCTGAACTCATCAGACTCGGGCAGTTACCCGTGCAGTCTATCAAGTACCAATAATAGCGACTACCGCCCAATCCTTCACTGCATCCCAGTCGGGACGGGATACTCGGCGACAAGTCTAGGGGGGAGGAGGCATTCTCACTGCCCGAGCAGGAAAATAGACCTAAGCGTTTTTTGGGGCACCGACGCCCGAGCACTTGATTGCATGTTTCAGACCTGAGGCCTGAGGATGCATGCGCCCTGCTGAGGCTCGACCGGGACAAAGATAATGAGAGTGCGAGAATCGGCTCGAGCCTACTGCGCTTCTCTGGGCCCCGGTCAAGAGTCTCAAATAATAAATTCTTGTCAGAGTGCTGACGTCGAGTGCTGAGTGGCCCCTATGACAAGCCTACAATGCTCAAGTTAATTTATTGCCGGAGGAGAAACACTGGGAGCTCGGGGGTCGGCAGATCAACTCAACTTCTCTAGATACAAAAAAGCATCTCTTGTGCGCTTCAAGCTGAGCCTGTGACTGGAAAGTCAAACTCTAGATGTGAAACGAGGATATGAGACTTGTAGCAAGGCAAGAAGTCTCGCAAAGGCCCTTTGTGACCGGCATGTCATTGTCATCCGGAGGTCGTCCCTGTGTTTTTCGAGAAAGTTGCGACAAGCGCAGGTTGGGAGCTGCAGCACTGCGATGACCAGTCTCGGCGCTGGGGATGGATCTGGAATCGGTATTCCCCCATGTCCGACGGAATTTTCAAAGAAGGTGTGTCATAGAAATAAGCTGTTGTATATCGAGTAGTTAGCCGCAACAGACATCTAAGCCGGCGTCAGAGCTGACTAGTTAAATTCAAATATTGCTCCGGCGCAGCGTCATCCGCAGCGTCACATGGTCCCCAGCTCCCCTGGACTTCCGAAATCAATTGTAGCTCAAAATTTCAATCGACGTAAATTATTGAGAGGTCGTACTTTGGCTCGATCTTGAGTTACCACAAGCCTGGAGGTCCTTTGAATTAGAAATCTAGATAGCTTTTCCGAGGCATCATCGATCGATCCATTGAACCCAGAGCTCGAGGCGTAAGTATTCATAGTCTCTCACATCACACCCGTCACTAAAGATACATCTAATTATATCCCAGGGCTACGTGCTTATTTGTGTCTCTAATTTAATCTTGTAACGAGATCGGGTCTCCTGACTAATACTCGTTTACAATATTGATGATCGGATGATACCGAATCAATGCTTCTTTCGGTTCTGTCCTCAACCATTTGCGCTCGAAATGCCTGATGGGCTGGTCCCCGCGTCAATACCGACCGAGACCCGCACCTAAAGATAGTGCTCGACCTCCCTAGAATTTGTGCGAGATGCGGGCGCGGTGTCTATTGACTACACTGGCTTGACGAATGGGTTGAGCAGGACCGGATGGCAAGACCGTATAAAAGCTGGTAGGCTACGGAGAGAGAGAGCATCCATCCAGAAACCAATATTTCTCTCAGTCCCAACAATGTCTATCCGATCCAGTCTCCTCAGCTTTGTTGTGCTGGCCGCGTTCGTGTCCGCGGCTCCCTCGCAAACGGATACCGCCAAACGCGCCACCTGCACTGTAAACAGCGTCGCCAGCGCGTCTGGGCTTTCTAGCTGCACAGACGTTGTCATCGAGGCGTTCACTGTCCCCGCCGGCGACACGATCACGATCGCGGTCTGTGATCTTTTGCCACCAGTTCCTTGGAGCGTTCTGACGATCTCTATCTACAGGCGGCGAGCGGTGCCACTGTCACGATGACTGGCGACATCACCTTTGCACAGACCACCAGCACGTCACGCTCCTTGAAGCTTGACCTGCTCCTTTACTGACGCGTTTTGCAGCGAGCGGCCCGCTCATCACTTTCGACACAGATAACATCAACTTCAACGGTGGAAACAACAAGATCGATGTGAGTCTCCGTGTTCCTTCCTGTCTCGATATTTCTTACACTTGCTTCCAGGGCAACGGCGCTCTATACTGGGATGGCCAGGGCACCAACGGAGGATCCTTCAAACCCCATCCTTTGGTGAAGTGCGTTTAACTTGGGGATTGACGTTGCCGGAAAATCCACTCATGCCGTCCAGATTCAAAGGCTACGGCACTTTCTCGTCCGTGACGGTTCTGAACACCCCCGCCCAAGCGATCTCGGTCGGTACCACGGACACATCGACCATCCAGCAGGTCACGGTCGACAACTGTGAGGCCGTCCACATGCTCAGCGTGGACACTGACAGAACACTTCCTTCCCAGCTGCCGGCGCTTCCCTCGGCCACAACACCGACGGCTTCGACATCAGCGCCGACTCCGTCACCGTCTCCCAGTGCCAAGTCACGAACCAGGACGACTGCGTCGCGGTCAATTCGGGCGACAGCGTGCTGATCGAGAACACGACGTGCACGGGCGGGCACGGCATCTCGATTGGATCATCGTGTCCGGCAAATCATGACGAACTTCCGCGCGACGGGCAACACGGTCAGCAACAGCAAGTACGGGCTGCGCATCAAGGTCGACGCGGACGCGACGAGCGCCCAGGTCTCGGGGGCGACGTACTCGGGGCGAGTGGCACATCCTTTGCCGTCGAACACATGTCCGCTGACCATCATCGACGCACAGAACACGCTGTCTGGGATCAGCGACTACGGAATCCTCATCTCGCAGAGCTACCCGACCGAGGACGGCTCCACCGTCGGCACCGGCGGTCCCATCTCCGGGTTGGCGTTCACCGGCGCCCGACCACTCTCGCTGTCGACTCGACTGCCTACTCCGTGGTTGTGAACTGCGGCGCCTGCTCTGGCACCTGGGACTGGTCCGAGCTCGACGTCACTTCCGCTGGGGATGGTCACCAAGCTCTCCCTTGACAAGGCTACGGTCAGCTCCGTCATCGCAGCAGGGTCCTACATACGACTGATATTTCCTCTCAGATCTCGGGAGGGCACCTACTAGTGACTTCTGCTAAGAAGAATTAGCAAACATCCTGCCCCTGCGTTACCTAACAAAAATATATACGCTCGAATTCTCTCAGTATCTGTTATCTATAGTGAGGGGACTTGAGATGAACTCGCATCACCCCAGTTTCTCGAGTTCCTTACAAAAGTCAGCGGCCTACTGTACAGCGTAAGTAGAGTGCTTTCACTCGTGACAAACGAGATCCCAAACTCAATCGGTTGCTATTTTGCTG